TTTATTTTTTATTCCTTTCCTTCCTATTATCAATATGCCTCCAAAATTTGAACTATCATTAATGGAGGTCCGACTTCCATTTTTGAAATTCCAAAATAAGAATACCATTAATAATTGAAGTCTAAAAATTTATATCCAACAACAGCCTTTACAAAATATAATATTGGCGTCGAAAGGCACCAATATTTATCCCCTATTAATCTCCACTATCCTGCTTAACTGGAATTTCCTTCACCTTTTCATCATGTCCAAATTTTTAACCTAAAAACTCTTCCCTAACCATTTAATCTTATTCCTTCCCATTATAAAATAACTTTAACAAAAGTTAAATTTCAAAATTTTTTTTTAATTTTAAAATTCTAAAATTTTTCAGTTTAAAAATGTTGAATTTTCATTAACGGAGGATTCGAACCACCATTTTTGAAATTTTTAACAATACATACTCATAATATATATAAGTCGAAGCAAAATTTTTCTTCCAACATCTTATCAAAAACCCCGTACAAGTCAATACTAAACGCTACTTCCCTTTCATTAAATATAAAATGAAAGTGAATCGAAATTCTTCAAAATTTTTCCAATTTATTCAATTTTTACTTTACACAAAAAGGAAAGATACAGAGTCCATTTAATATAAGGTCGCGTCCATTAAAAAAGGTCCATTTTACAAAAGCCTGAGAAGCTCCTTTCTTTATTAATAATCCTTAGCGGCCCTTTAGATAAAATAATCCAATATATCCTTTAAATAAACTACAATCCTTCCTATGGCGCGCTAACTAGAATAATTTGTCCGTTTACATTAACAATTCCTAGTAACTACATGCTCAGGCACAATCTTTAGACAGCGACACTAATCCTAAAAATTATCCAAGAAAAATATACAATTAAAAATCAGTATCAATCCTTTTTCCTTAATTCGAAAAATTCAAACCCCACAATTAATTTTCAAATGAAACACATCGTTAGTATTAATCCGTATTAATATTAATTGATAATTATCCCCGAATAGGGTAATTCTCTAACTTATTTTATTCTACTCTCCCCTTGAAATTCCAACAAATCCCTTTATCCCACCCCGTTTTTACAATTAATAATCCATCCTAATTAAACAGATTTGGCTGACGTTAATTAAATTAACATCAGAATGGAATACTAAATTCTTATTTCCCTACATTTTCAAATAATACCTTTTATCCTTCTCCAATCCATCATTTCACTTCCAAAACCAGATTCCAAAATTTCTCTAAAAGATCCATAATTCCATTAAAACATTCCATTAAATTAATTTTGAAATTAATCTAATTACGAGCTTATCCCAACCCTAAACCTTTCTGTTATCCCAAACTTACACCTCTCGTTCAAAATCCATCTATCCTAAAATACCCACCTACTATCAAATCCAAATAAACCATTAGATAAAGTAATTTTTGCTTTATAAAATGGCACGGCAGTTTTCCAATATCCTAACTATAAATAAGTCAAAATCCATACCATCCCTAAGCCCATATTTCCGCATAACCTTCAAACTCCATCAAATTCTGAAATCCCTATTCCTAACAAATCCAATTATGCCATTAGAAAGATAAGATAATTCTCTATCTAAATGGTGTTTAGTAAAGCCCGAACCCACGTTAATCAACAAAATCTCCCATTCTATCATCCAATGTAAAAACAATAAATCACTCAATGATTTCCCAATATTAGTAAAATATCTATTTCTAAATCCCATTAAAAATCCACAAATCCCTATCGATACACAAAATCAATGGGATTCTAGGTATAAAACAATCACAATCAACAATACACATTATCTAAAGGATTAACCTTGAGATAATGTGTTTCCACTTTCCACACTCATTTTCCAAACTTAGTTTACATTTTTCCATAAAATTTCCATTCCACAATTTTCCCCTCTAAAACCTCCTCTTATTACCAAAAAATTCGCAAATTATTCAATAAAATTCCATTATTCAACTAAATATTAATATTCAAAAATCAATTCTTACTTCACCATTAACTACGAAACACCTATTGTGTAATCGAACACTCTCAATTAACTCAACATGTTGGAAAATTTTAAATGGTTGAACTTTTAATGGACTGAACATGGAACCACTCGAAGTGCAATAGAGAAAAGAAAAAGAAACCCAATCAGAAGGAAAAACATGAAATACAAATCATTTGAAATTCATTATTTTTTCAAATATTCACACAAGATTTTATTTTCCCTTCAATACATATACACATTGTCAATTCTCATCCCTAATTTTTACCAATATTCAAGTATCGAGTCTATAAAAACACAGGGAAATAATCAACACTAAAACAAAAAATTCCCTCTTCATTTAAATATCAAACGGTGCTGAAATAAGTAAGTACACCATTTGATCTCCAAAGCGCAACATGAAAATTCCTAGATAAACATCCACCTAAAATTTCCACATTTTAACGGCGAAATAATCTCAACATTAACAATACAAAATCCCCACTCCTCCAAAAATTAAAACACTACGTAAGCGCAGGGTCGCGCTTATTGGCGGCAGGGAGATGTTACCCCCAGGACTCGACACTCGATACTTCCCCTTCCATCAAGTCCCGACCCCGACCATATTTCCCATATATGTTTATATTTATTTTATAATTATTCTTTCCCAGCTTATCCTCCCTCTAAATCTATATTTTCACACTTTTTGTTCATCCTCTTCCGTTCCCAACACATTCACTCTATCAACTTCAACACATTCACTCTTTCCAACACATTCACTCTATCAACTTTAATATATCCCACCCACTTTCCCGTCTATTTAACCACTTAATTATATCTCATCTTCAGTTCAATTTATTATTCAATCCCAATATTAATGTCCATTTTATTGCCCCCATCAATTAATCCCTTATTAAAAACACTACCCATTTAATTGTATTTTAAATGGAAATAAATATTATGAATTAGTCTTTAATTATTCGTTTAGTCCTCTGCGCCTCACCATCCCAAATCTCCCCCATACACATTCGGCGCTCTGAAGGTGCCTGGACCGGGAGGGTCCAGCGCATAACTCCATCAACAAAAATACAGAAGCCAGTTGAAGTGAGCAATTGAGAGAGATTATAATGCTTTGAATTTAGACGCGGCAAAATATTAGAAATAAATAAAAATATTTTTTTTTCAGAAATTAATTTAAAATATGTAGTACAATTCAACTCCTTATTTTCGTAGATTTCGAATTAAACGAAGAAAAGATGATTAAATTCTGTATTTCCAAAAAAATTAATTTCTAAAAAATTAATTTTTTTGAAATAAATACCGTCAAATTAAAACAAAGAAGTATCCAAAATATAATGGAAACGATTGTTTGCTCTTTCCCTTTATTTTATTTTTCCTATTTTTTCTCGATTTTTTCTCGATTTTTCGGCATTTTAAAAAAATATATTATTTAAAGTATTTATTTCCTCAACTTGTTAACCTTCTTCCCTTTTTTGTAATTTTTATAAAGCATTCTTCTTTATTTGGCATTTAATATATAAACAATTTATTTTTAAGTACCTTCAAAAATTAAAATATAAATAAAATATTCATATCCAATTTCATTTTTCTTTTATTGCGCAAGAAATAAAAATACAAAAGAGCGGTAAAGTTAAAGTAATTGAAACAATTGTAAAACTTTAATAAAACTTGAATTTTTAAATAAACATTTTGTAAAAAAAGTTGAATTATTAAGTTTAAGATTGCGAAAATAAAACTTGAAAGAGAAAAAGTTTTACAAATTGTAAAACTTTTTCAAGTTTGTAAAATTTAAAAATTAAACTTGAATAAATAAACTTGTAAAGGTTTGTAAAAACATCAAGTTTGTAAAAGAGAAAAACAAAACTTTAAAGTTGTAAAACATTTTAAGTTTGTAAATTAAAATAAACCTTAATATAAGTTAAAACTTGTTGAGAATAAATAAGCTTGTTAAGTTTGTAAAACTTTTTATATTTTGTAAAACTTAAGTTTTAAGAAAATAAAACTTGAAGTCGATGTTTTTATATATTTAAATTTTTCTATTGAGTATTTTAACAAAAAATGTTTAAAAAAAACAAGTACATTCAAATTTAATTAAAACTTGACGTTGATTGATATAACTCTTAAATTAAGTCGGTAAACTTAAGTTTGCAACAAATACATACTTTTCTATATTTTTTAATTCTTAAACAAGCCATGCTTCAAGGCCATAAATAAATTTTTTATTATATTAATATTCATCCGTTTCTTGGATTATCTACTTAATAATTTTCTTATTATTCAGAAAAAGGATAATCCAATTTTCTTTTATTATTGTGAACAATTTTTTTTTAATTCCAAGGATTTTTTATATTTAAATTTTTTTAAAAATATTGTTTTTAAATATTTTTTTTGAATTTTTCAATTTTTACAAAATTTTATTTTTTTTTAATAAAAAACTATTTTCTTTTATTCCTTTCAATATTAAAAAGAATTTCTAAATAGGGCAACTAAAAGTGCTAAAAATTTGTTGCTATTAGTTACAATAAACGTGCAGCCATTTTCTTCTCTCTTCTTATTGACAGCCTATTATAAACATCTCTTAGATGTTTAAGTGAATTAATAATCGTTAGGACAAACTTGAGGTTCTTACAAACTTGAAATTAAAAAATTTTCAAGTTTATTTATTTTTATTTATTTTAGTTTATTAAAATAAACTTAAGTTAATACAAGTTTATTATAATAAACTTGGCCAAGTTTTTAAAGCGAACTTAAGTTTATAAACTTAAGTTCATTAAAACTTGACCAAGTTTATTTTAAGGCAAACTTAAGTTTATGAAAAAATTTTTTCATTAAAACCTGACCAAGTTTATTTAAACAAACTTAAGTTTGTTAATTTAACTTGACCAAACAAGTTTATTAAAGAAACTTAAGTTCACTAAAGCTTAATAAAATAAACTTAAGTTTGTTGTGCTCAATTTAACAACAATTTAGGTTGCATTTTAATACCTGAAACAAAGTTTACAATTACAAACAAAAAATAATGGTTGTAGAGAACGAAAACATGCTAGCTTCATCGTCTGGAGAGCTACTCTTTACTGCTTTAGATGAGGGCAACTTAACTGAAGCAAACGCTATACTTGATAAAAAGCCTGTTAGTTTTTGAGATATTTTTAATAGTTAAAAAATTATTATTTTTTTATTTTCAAGGAAAGTGTAGCAGCTAGGGACAATGAATTACGAGTAAGAAAAATATTTTTAAAAATTTTTATTATAAATTATTTTGAGGTACCTTTGCATTATGCTGCAGATTGTGCAGATATTGCCACCTTCCAACGAATTTTTAGTTTGTAATTTTTAATCTTTTTATTAAATAAAAATATTAAAAATTATTTTCTTTGAAGCATTGGAGCGTTCCTTAATGGATGCACAAGACCAATTTGGATTCACTCCCCTACTTGTAGCAGCTATGGCAGGAAATGTTTCTGTACTTGAATTTCTAATAGAACAAGTAAATTATAAAAATATTAAATAATTATTTTTATTTGAGGGTGCTCAATTAGGACAGTTAGATAGGGATGGACATTCTGGAGTACACTGGGCAGTTGTTTGTGGACAAGTAAGAATATTGAATAAACTTGTTTCACAATTAATTAATACCTCTCAGTAATTTAAACTTAAGCAAAACTTAAACTTAAAAAGTTTAGTTCAAACTTGGAAAATAATAAAACTTGGATTTTCAAACTTGAATCTTATTAGTTGTAAAACTTGAATTAAATGTAAAACTTGAAAATAAACTTGAATTAATTTAAAACTTGGATTTTTTCAAACTTGAAAAAACTTGAATTTTAATAAACTTAAAACTTGAATTAATAATTGTAAAACTTGGATTTACAAACCTTAATATTATAAAGTGTAAAACTTGAATTATTAATAAAATCTGAATTTTTACAAACTTAAAGCAAAATAAAAGCTTAATAATTAAAGTTGGACGTTCTAATAGCATTGCTTCGCCATGGTTCTCCACTAGCTCTAGCAGACATTCACGGAGCTCATCCACTGCATTATGCCACAGTAGGATTCACCGAAACTGAGAGTCAACGGGAAGTGCCCGTAGAACGTTCAGAAGCCATTTTGCACGTTCTTTTGAGGCATGGTGCCCAGTTAGAATGTACTGACCTGGATGGGCGAACACCTTTAATTTGGGCTGCTAGTGGGGGTTTGTCGGAAAAATTGTTTTAAAATATTCCCAAATTTTCAAGGGAATCTACGAGCTTTTAGCAGTCTGATCCAAGCTGGAGCTAATCGCTTCACTGCGGATAGGGATAAACTTGGAGTTTTGCACTGTGCTTCAAGTCATGGTCATCTACCTATAGTTCAAGCAATGCTAGATCTTGGCCATCATTGGGTGGTTAATGCTAGGGATAGAAACGGCGATACACCTCTTTTCTTTGCTGCAGCTTATGGTCACCTTGAATGTGTTAAATTGCTGTTGGAAAGGGGCGCGGATCCAAACCATCAAGATAGACGTATTAGAACTGCGGCACACTGTGCAGCAGCTAAGGCACAACTTAGAGTACTTAAACTTTTGAGACAAAGAGGTGCTAGTTTGGATTTGCAAAATTATAGAGGGGATTTGCCTTTTCATGAAGCTGTTCAAGTTGGAAGTAAAGGTGAGGAGATTTTGCTACTTAAAATATGTTTCAAGTTTAATTATGAAATTGTGGTTAAATTAATTGTGAAACAGGCGGAATTATTAAAGTTGTAATTGTAAACTAGGCGGAATTATAAAATTAATAATTGTAAAGCAGGCGGAATTATAAAATTAATAATTGTAAAACAGGCGGAATTATTAAATTTGTAATTGTAAAATAGGCGTAATTATAAAATTAATAATTGTAAAGTAGGCGGAATTTAAAATTAATAATTGTAAAATAGGCGGAATTATAAAATTAAAGAATTGTAATTTTACAATTGTAATCTTAAAATAAACTTAAGAATGTGTTGATTGGATGTTAAGTATTGAACCTCGTTTTGTTAGCTCCTCAAATTTCTTTGGGAGAACAGCATTACATTTAGCTGCAGCCAGTGGAAATATGGAAATGGTTGTTCTTCTGTGTTCGAGAGATGCTCCTCCAAATTCTCTTATGATTTATAAGGTTAAATTGAAAATTTTACTAGAAAAAATTTTCCCAAAAAAATTTTTTTAAGGGAGAACTACTAACACCTTTGGACGTTGCTAAACGTCGAGGACACGATCTTATAGTAGACTACTTAACTGTAAGGTACGAGGCTTGCTTAGCCTCTGAACTTTCCACAAGAGAGCTAAATTCTTCTAGACAAAGTATTGAAGAGCAAATAAAAGCGGGTAGAGGAAATGACTTTTTTTAAGTTTCAATTTAATTTTTAGCCCGTCTTCGCAAAGTTAGGGCAGAATTAACAAATAGTGATGAATTGGGTAGTTATGAGAAGCAACCTCCCCCTATAAGACGTGGAATTTCATTGCTAACTATGGTAGATGCTAGTACAATGGTTTCTGTGAGTTTGCAAAAATTATTTTTAAGTTTGTAAAAGTTGTTAGTGAATTCTAGGTTTATTTTTAAGTTTATTTTTAAGTTTATTTAATAAGACCTTTACAATTACAAATTGTAAAAGTTTACAATCAGTAAAAACCTTACAATTAAACAAACTTATTTTCAAACCTATTTTTAAGTTCAGTCTTAAGTTTATTTTTAAAGTTTATTTTCAATATTATTTTTAAGTTTGATCTTAAGTTTATTTTTAAGTTCATTCTTAAGTTTATTTCTATATTCCAAGTATATTAAACTTGTTTTGAAGCGCCGCTCATCCTCTGCTTCCGCTATCTTTGGCAAACTTCCAAAATCAACTAGCACCACTGACCTTAACAACCACAGCATTGAACAATTTTATCAACAACAAAAAGCTTTGATAGATTTAGCTATGGCTACAACAAATAAATTACCAGGTGAAGCAAAGAAGGAAAATGAAAAAGAAATGGATAAAGAAGTAGATAACCTAGATGCTTCTAACAATACTTTGTTGGTTCATGACTTTTCTAATGCTTCATCTATTTCTGCTTTACAACAGCCTTTAGAAGAGGAGTTGCTACGCCAAAATAACTCGTATGTATATTTCAAGTTTATTTTACTCAAGTTTATTATTTTCAAGTTTATTAAAGTATAGGCTTATTTTTAACTTTTTTATATTCCAAGTTTTAAGTTTATGCTTAAGTTTTAGGTTTAATTTTTGTAACTTAAGTTTATTTCTATTCCAAGTTTATTTTTTTTCAAGTTTATATTTTTTCACGATTATTTTTTTCAAGTTTATTTTCTATATTTCAAGCTTATTTTATATTCCAAGTTTTAAGTTTACGCTTAATTCTAGCTTTAATTTTTACAATCTCAAGTTTAATCTTTATATTTTAAGTTTATTTTTTTTATTTTATTCACACTAAATCTATGACAATGCTTCAAGTTTATTTTTTATATTTAGTTCGCCTGTAATAAATACAGAAGGTGAGCATTCTGAAAGTGTTAGACATTCACCTAAAACATTATCGGATAGAGAAATTGGTTTGAATTATTTTTTAGACAAACATTCATAAAAATTAAATTAGGATTTCCCTCAGCTTCTTCCAAAAAAGTTCGTTTGGCAGTAAATAGTGATTTATTACTACCTGACGATAGTTATGAAGATAAACCTAAAAGAATTCGTCGTAAATGGACACCTTTACCTCCATCAGATTACAGGCATCAATCATTAGATGAAGCTGTTACAGAGTTGCATATTCTTGAGGATGGGCTTTCACCGCCTCCGGGACGTCTAGCTACGTTTGGAGGTGAGAATTATTTTCAAGTTTATAAACAAGTTTAATTTTTTTATATTTATTCCAAGCTTATTTTTACTCATAAGTTTGAATTTAAAGTCTGTTTTAGACTAGTTCAAACTTACTTTATACTATAGTTAAGATTGTAGTATTTCAAGTTTATTTTATAATCGAAATTTATTTTTTGTGTATTCAAGTTTAATTTTATATTCAAGTCTAATCTTAAGTTTTTAAAGTTTATTTTTTATATTTAAGTTTATTTTAATATATTCAAGTTCAATCTTGAATATTCCAAGTTTATTTTAATGTATTCAAGTTTAATCTTAAATATCCCAAGTTTATTTATTCTATTTATTTACTCTCATAATTTTCAGACCTAGCCAACTCCACTACTCGCTATGTCCACGAACGCGCTATTTTCGACGAATTAACGCACTTAAAAAGAATGCAGATACAATACGGAAAGGTTCGAGAAGAGGTCTTAGTACGTTCCCTAGTCCAAAACTTTTGTCGAATGCATGCAATTCACCCCGCCCATTTTCGGCGTATTTCAACTTTACAACAATGGGAGAAATTTTTATACGGTGAGGAAATTGATAATTAAGTAAAAAATAAATTTTTCTTCTGTGGAGATTGCCTTTCAGATCAACTAAAAATGATTTATTTGGAAGAAAGAGAACGTTTAACGGCTGCAGCTACCTTGGCAGCACAAAAAGCAGCGAGCGCTGCAGGTATGCGTCCAGCTGCGGCACTCTACTCTGCTCAACAACGAGTATTTGTTAAAGCAAATAATAGGAATGGGTTGGGATTAAGGTTTGAAATGAAAAGTTTTCAAAGAAATTTTGTTATTTTTTAGTGGAGGAAGAAGAAGAAATACTAATAATGGACACAATTTGCCTAGTGTGGGCGTTCCTCGGGTTCTTCCTAGAACGAATCCTTTGGATCAGCGGCTCCAAGAGTTGGGGCGAATTTATAGTGGAAGGTATAAGTTTACTATGCTAGATTCTTTTCTATAAGCGCAAACTTGAGTGTAAGCGCAAACTTGCTCTTATAATTTAAAACTTGAAGTATTTACAAACTTGTTTTCTGCAGAACAAGTTTCATAAATACAAAAGTTTACTCAAGTTTAAGTCCGAGATTTCAAGTTTTATTCAAGTTTGATCTTAAGTTGTATTTTTCTTTAATAAAAGAAGTTTTAATGTTTTAGTACCAAAAGCCGAAACAATTCTGCTATATCTGACGCAGCAGTTGCAGCAACAAATACAATAACTAGTGAAGCTTCTGCTAATGCAGAATTTCAAAAGAAAAAATATCTAAATCGAAATAATCCCTCAAAATCTCAACAGAAATTAAGCAATACCAAATCTGAAGCAGATTTGTTAGCAAGAAGTGGGAGAAGTGAAGAAAAGAAAATTTTAGAAGGGGAAAAGCACAGAAGATGTGAATGTTTGAATAAAGAATAAAATACCTATTTATTTTTTAGAAAAATATTTTTAAAAATTTTTTCGATATTTTTTGTTAGTCAACTTAGAGTTTTTATTTAATTTCTAAAATTAAAATTTTTAAATAAACATATTCGTAATTAACTTAAATTGAAAAAAATATATTTACTTAAGTTTACAAACTTTTAAGTTTATGCTAGAAAATATTAAACTTGAAAAATAAAACTTTTTACAAACTTAAGTTTCAAGTTGCTTTTTATTTTAATTCAAGTTTATTTATTTGTAGTCAAGTTTATTTTCAAGCGTAAACTAACTAAAACTTGCAGCATTAATAAACTTGTTCGAAGTTACAATTTTTAATTCAAGTTTATTTTTTCAACCAAGTTTATTTATTTGTAGTCAAGTTTATTTTTGTTTTCAAATTTACAAACAAAGCGGAAATTAAATTAAAACTTGAAACATTTACAAATTTGAAATAATCTCGTATTTATTTTAACTACAAAACAATTCTATAAATTTCCCCAGAATTTAAAAACAATTAATAATCCCCTAATTTCTTGTTTTCTAAAAAATAATAAATTTATTGGACTGCCAAAAGAAGAAAAAGACGGATGACTGACAGCATTTGCATCCTCAAAGCTTTTATCCCCTTTCCCCCTCCAATTGTTTCCTTTCCAAACAATGGGCAATCGATGGGTTTAGTATATAGCTACACTGCCAATATTGTCGCAAACAAAATTATGGCCAAAATTGAATTAAACAAATGAAAAGTTGATAAAAAAGGAAAATTGTTATTTACCCGGTTTGAAGGTTGCTATTTTTAAATTACAAATGTTTCAAGTTTGCGCTTAAAAAATTTTGTAAACTTTGCAAAAACAGACTTTAAATAATACTAATTTTTATTGAAAAATAATGACTGACGTAGAGTTGTTTAAATAATCAACTAAAATATGGACATAATAAATCATGGTATTTTACTTTATACGTCGAGTTATCTTCTTTATCTTTTAAATTTATTTGGTTTTTTATGGCTTCCTTAAAAAATTAAATGAAATTTTTATGCCTCATAAAATATCTTTGTTAATAGATTTATAAGTAATTTTAAGTCTACAAACTTTTTTGAGCGCAAACTTGAGAAAATGTTTTATAAAAAATTACAATTTTTTTTGCAACTTTGTTTTGCAACTTAAAACTTGAACCAATTACAAACTTGCTTTTCGATCTTAAAACTTATTTTCTTTTAAACAAGTTTATTTCAAGTTTTATTTTGAAGTTTAAACTTGGCTTAAAAAATAAACTTGAATTTTAAAAAAAGTTGTAACTCAAAACTTAAGTTTGTAAAAAGTTCTATTTATTAAGTTTTATTTTTAAGTTTTATTTTTTAAGTTTTACAAATTCAAGTTTTACAAATTCAAGTTTAATTTAATGTTTATTTAAAATTCAAGTTTTATTTTTAAGTTTGTACTCTTATCCATTAAAAAATAAAATATTCAAGTTTTCCCCATATTTTATCCATAATTTTATTCCTTATTTTTATGCTCTTGTCTTTCTTGGCAAGCTTTTTCTTTTATACATTAAGCATCGATTTTGTCATGAAATACCCCCCAATTTGCGTCTATATATTAAATATATTCCCGAAAAATTTTTTTAGTTATTTATTCTTTTGAGAATAATAAAAAAAGAAAATGAATGAAATATTGCTAGCAAAAAATTACGTGAAAAAATTTTTTAATGAAAATAATTTTTATTTTTTAAGAAATTAATTGTTATGATTTTATTTTTTGTTTAAAAAATTTTATTTAATAAATGGACCCGTGTGAAGGCCCTTCCCGCACAGAAGAGAAACAATTCGACGTCCATGGTGGCAGAAATGCCTTCAGGTTGAATAATTTTTGACTTAAATTTAAATGAATAATTTTAAAATAGAAGGCAGATATCAGAAAGAGCTTCGCAAATGATGGGAAAACAAATAGGTAATTAAACTTGAAATAGGTATTTAAAAATAAACTTGAAAAAGATTAAATTGTAAATTCAAGTTTGTAATTGTATAAATAAACTTTAAATGGATAAAAAAATTAAGTCAAGTTTATTTTTATATTTTACAATCTCAAGTTTATTTATTTGAACTTGAATTAAATATAAATAAACTTTAAATACATAAATAAACTTGAGATTGTAAAAAAATAAACTTGAATTGCAAACTTAAAAAAATAAACCTGAACTTGAAAATACAAAACTTGAATTAAAAAAAATAAACTTGAAGCATAATAAATATTTTTAAATTTTCATAAAAAATTTAAAACTAAAGGAAGAAAAAAATATTTTTTGTCAAAACAATACATTCTTTCAAGTCTATAAAACAAAAAATAAAAACATCTCAAGCTAAATGCCCGTTTGCTCATTTTGCCATTTAAGTACACCCAATTCCCATAGGCCATCTCGCTTTAACTAGAAGCAAGTCTTTTTCTGCCTTTTTATAATTTTGTTGTTAAATATATCCACACTTGACAGAATTGTATAGTGGAATAAGAAAAATTTTGCTTTTTACGTAAAAATTTGTTTTATCGAATTTCAACACCTTTTGACCTTAATTCTCTATAATTTAAGGCGGAATAATTTATTCAAGTTTAATTAAATTCAAGTTTAATTAAATTACAATTGTATCAAAAATAAACTTGTTTGTACTATTCAAGTTTATTAAATAAAAATAAACTTGAAATAAATAAACTTGAAACAATTACAATTCAAGTTTATTAAATTTACAATTAATTAATTCAAGTTTATTTAAATTACAATTGTAAAAGGGCATAAATACTAAAATTCCTAATTTTACAATTCAAGTTTATTAAAATAAAAATAAACTTGACTACAAAAATAAACTTGAAATAAATAAACTTGAAACAATTACAATTCAAGTTTATTTAATTTTACAATTTAATTCAAGTTTATTTTCGCTAGAATTAATGGATGTTGATGAATTGAGAAGGCAGCAATTCGCTATCAAAAGCTTTACCGAATCTGTTGAGGAGGATTTGGATGAAGACTGGCAAAGAAGGCATTCTACAACTAGAGGCGAAATTGATAGTGGAATGAAAGAAAGCAGTACAGATGAAACAATTATTGAAGTTGTAAGTATTTAATTAAGCATGTTTTTAGTTCTTAAGTTTTTAAGTTCTAAAATTCCAAGTTTCAATATTATTAAGTTTAAACTTGTTTCAAGTTTACAAATTCAAGTTTCAATATTATTAAGTTTAAACTTGTTTCAAGTTTACAAATTCAAGTTTAAACTTGCTCAAGTTTTATTGTTTCCAAGTTTATTTTTTTCAAGCAATTAAAACTTGCTTCAAGTTTATTAATGTTTGTTTTTCTTTGTAGACTCGTCGTGTTGACCCAACAAAAGGAGAAACACAGAAATATACAATGCGTGTATCGGGCCCAGAAGTTTGACATAATTTATTAATTTAAAATTAAAATTTAATTAAGTTAGTAGATCAGGAATTTGAGCTTCATAAGAGTCTAGTTCACAGTGCTAGTGGGGGAGAGTTTGTAGAGGATGAGGAAGAAGCACAGACTTCAAATTGTAAGTGATAAATGAAGCTTATAAAAATTGAAAAAGTAAAAATGAAACATAGCAAAATATGAAGCAAAATTTAAAAAACTGAAACAAAATTTCGAAAATGAAACATAAAAATGAAAACTTGAAGCAACCCTAAACTTGAAGCAAATTAAAATTTTATTATTTTTTCTTCATTTATTTATAGCTATCTTCACCCTCCCATCAGCAACACATGACATAGTACCCACAAAAAAATCTGTTAAAAAGTCATCATCGACTGTTGTTCGAGGAAAGGAAGAAGAAGCCTGCGCAAGCTATTTTAAATCTGCGTCGGTAAGGGAAAAATATATATTGGCATTTAAGTAAATAGAAAGAGAGAAAAATTTTAACGAGATATATTTTTTATAGTGGAGAAAGGGATTAAAAACAAGATTAACGTTTGGATGAGGACTCACTTAAAATATTTTAACACATATTCATTTTTAACTATATTCCCTCACTGTTAAAATTTTTGAGATTTGTTCCAAGTTTTACAACTTTTTTCAAGTTTACAATTGTTTCAAGTTTAATTAATTTTAAGTTAAAACTTAAACTTTCAAGTTTTAATATTTTCAAGCTTAAACTTGAACGTTCAAGTTTTATTATTTTTAAGTTCAAACTTAAACTTTCAAGTTTAATTTCATTGATACAAATAAAACTTGTTTTAAAATTTACAACTTTTTTTCAAGTTTTAATATTTCCAAGCTTAAACTTAAAACTTTTTCAAGTTTAATTACTTTGAAACAATTAAAACTTGTTTCAAGTTTACTTAAGTTTTAATTTGTAACTTAAAGCAAAATTCCAAAAATACACTAATCTTTTATTTTACTATTTTTAAGATGAGTACTAGACCACGTTCCTCCACTACAACTGAAGAATATCCCGCTGGCACCAGTTTCGCTCCTCGACCAAGAAATTCTTCTCCAAGGCCCAGACTTTCACTTACACCCAACACAACATTGGAAATTGAAACAACAAAATTAGAACCAACAAATGATTCTTTTGCTAATATTGAAAAAATAAGAGTTGTGTTACCCCCAAAGTGCAAAAGTAGGGAATTAAATTTTTGATTAAATTTTTAATAATTTTTAAGATTTAAAATCTTCTCAAAGGCGATATTCAACCGGACCGGAAGAATTAAGTTGTCGAAGCCCTACAATGGTAAAATTTTACTTATCGTAAAAAATAAACTTGAAATATAAATAAACTTGAAACTTTTACAATTTCAAGTTTATTTAATTTACAATTAATTAATTCAAGTTTATTAAATAGAATTACAAATAGAAAAATAAACTTGAAACTTTAAGTTTACAATTCAAGTTTATTTATTACATTTACTTCAAGTTTATTAAATACAAATACAAAAATAAACTTGAAACTTTTACAAATTTAAGTTTATTTAATTTATAACTGAACTTTGTTTTAACTTAAACTTAGACACGACTTCGTTGCGATTCTACCGCCGCCGCTTATCATTACCACCAACCTGGAGAGGATATAATCGAATCAAACCCGGAATATGCCCGTAAAGCACCTAAAAAGCCGGTAGTTCATAGAAGACAAAGTCGGGGTGACGACTGGGAAAATTTTCCTGAGGAAGAGCAACAACAAGCACAGTCCCTCGGTGATACAGAAGATGAGTCTGTTTCTACAGAAAACTTGGGTGGGGATTTTTAAATAAAATTGAATAAAATTGCAACGAGAATCAATGAAAATTGCATTTAATTTTCCCTTTATTTTTTCCTTCCTTTCCTCGTGTTAACAAGCAAAATGCTACATATTAACGTGGCATTTGCTGCCAACCGGTTAAATCAATATATAACAGTGAATTTACATAAAGCTTGTTTTAAGTCATGTTAATGCTTAATGTTAATTTACAATTTCTATTTAAAATACATAAATTGAAACAGAAACAAGAAACACAACTAGAATAATAAATGAAACAAACTTAAGTTTACTAAAAAATAAACTTAAGTTTACAAACTTAATATATGCAATTATTTCCAAGTTTATTTATATGCTTATTCTCAAGTTTATTTTTATGTCTTCTATTCAAGTTTATTTTAATACTTATATTTATGTTTATTTTTTGCTTATTTTCAAGTTTATTTTTATACCTTCTATTCTCAAGTTTATTTTGATACTTACATATATTCAAGTTTATTTTTATAGTCTACTTATATTTAATTAAACTTGTTTCAAGTTTAATTAATTAAAGCTTGTATTTCACCATAATTAAATATTAAATAATACAACTTAAATGCTAAAAAATATACATATTTTTCAGAAGCACAATTCCCCTTATATAATAAATATAACAATAAAATTCATAAAATTTTTCTACCGGCTGGCAATAAGAAGCCTTTTCCAATATAATCAATCTTGCCTCTTTTTTCATGCCTAACTCCTTTACATATTTACTTTTACTCTCCAATATAGGCAAAGTCTGAGTTTTTTCTACTCACAATGGGAGTGTTTCTTGCTTTTTCCCTTATAAACATGAAAATTTAAGTATTCCCTTACTTTCTTTTTTTTTCAAAATGCTTCCGTTAAAATGAGCACAGTGTGACGAAATTTAGTGACGGCATTTCTCCTTTGCTTCAAATTTTTTTTCTATTTTTTCCTTCCTAAATTTACCTTTATTTATAGGATTATTTAAAGGATTATTTTGTTTTTGCTTCAACTTTAATTATAATAATATGTATTTCTTATTAAACTTGTTTCAAGTTTATTTTAAACTTGTTTCATTTAAGTTTGTATTTGCTTCAAGTTTAATCTTTCTCTCTTATTTAAAACTTGTTTCAAGTTTATTTTAATCTTACTTCATTTTAAATTGTAAGTGCTTCAAGTTTATTTTAAAATTGCTTCACTTAAACTTGTACTTGCTTCAAGTCTAATTAAATTATCCCCTAATTTTTAAACAGAATTAGCAAAACAATTGCAACAACAAGTACACAAATTAATTGACGAAGTTGAGCAGCATAGACAACAACTTGAGGAAGAAGTTGAACAACAAATAATGGTTTAACTTCAAAATTCTTCTTTAGATTCATTATTAATTTTTAGGATTCCTCGGACAAGCCCCAATCTTCCAATATTTCAAACATTCAACTCCCCCCACTCTCCGATTCAAGCTACGAAAATGCTTTTGAAACACCAGCACATTTTGCTTCTGAAAATTTTGCTAGCGCCCACCAGAATAATCAAGCAAGTAATGCACCTATCAGAACTGTGCCAACTTCTCAAATGAGCGAAGAAATTGTGGAATCTAGAGAAGAAGCTCATTGGAGCACAAAAATGGAATTTGCTTCAGAATCGAATAAAGCAACAATTAAAGAAGCTGGAAATCCTTTTACACTAGAAGAAACTCAAGCTTCTCAATCACATTATATAACTGATTCCTCCCATTTATTTTATAGTAATGGAACAGGACAACAAGAATATCAACAACAAAGTTATACGGAGGGGGGCTACTACTATGGAAATGAGACGGCTAATACTCCAGCTAGTATGTTTGCTTCAAGTTTTATTTTAATTCAAGTTTTATTAAAACTTGAAATTAAGTTTTAAGTTTGTAATTGCTTCAAGTTTTAATTTCCAAGTTTTATTTTTAGAGTTGCTTCAAGTTTATTTAAGTTGCTTCAAGTTTTAATTACATCCTATTTCCAAGTTTTATTAAAACTTGAAATTAAGTTTTAAGTTTGCGCTTGCTTCAAGTTTTAATTTAATTTCCAAGTTTTATTTTTAAACTTGCTTCAAGGTTTAAGTTAATTTTAAGTTTTAATAAAACTTTGGATTTTTTAAGTTTGCGATTGCTTCAAGTTGTTTTCATTCAAGTTTTATTAAAACTTGGAGTTGTAATTGCTTCAAGTTTTAACTTAATTCCAAGTTTTATTAAAACTTGAAGCACATCCTTAAAATTTAATGTAAACATTTTTAGCAGCAGAAGGGTATGCTTCAAATTACCAGGACTATTCTTATGCTCCTTCAACTTATGAAACACCCGGCTATTATTCTACAGACTATGGAGCTAATAATCCTTATGGAGCAGGTTGCTTTACTATTTTATTTTTTAAATAAATTTTTGCTTCAACTATTCAAACTTGCTTCCCTTTCTTTTTAGTTCCCCCAGCATCATCAGATATTTACCAATACAATTATAATTATGATGGCCAATATGCTGCTGTATCAGATCAACCAATAGAACAGCAAATACCTGTAGCAGTACCATATTCTGGTCTAAATCCTTTTAGTGAGGATGGGAATGCTTTGCCCTACAAATCCGATCTTCCACCTCAAACAAATGAAACGCCGGTTGATGTTTCAGTGTATGGGTCACCTCCTCGTGCTCCTCCTCTCCCGCCTCCCCCTGTTATTGCTGCAGGACTTGGACTTCCAGGATTGGCTCAAAAGACAAGAACACATGATCCATTCTCTTGGGAAGCACAAGAAAGTGAAATTGAGCAGCATGGAGGGGCCCCTTTGCCTCCAAGGTAGCTTCAAACATTTTATTTTATAAAAAATCTTTGAAGGCCTCCTCCAAGGACCTCTGAAGACACCGTGCAACAAAAAGAAGATGAAACATCGAAAAGGACAGAGCCTCCAGCACGTCCCAAAATTCCCCCACCAAGTCGACCACCTGCTCCAACTACAACAAAAATTTCAGATAACCCTCCTAGCAACAGTTCACCTTCTGTAGTAAAGAGAGAACCTGAAAATAATGAAGAAGAAACAGAAATTAAAGAAGGAAAACAAGAGGATGAAGAAGATCCGTGGGCACGCTTCAATAAGATGACTGAGATGGTAGGAGGCACTTGCTTCAGCTTTGAAAATAAACTTGAAACTTTATTAAATAAACTTGAAACTTTATTAAATAAACTTGATACAATAAACTTGAAGCAAGTTTCAAGTTTATATTACTCTATCAAGTTTATTTTATATATTCCCAAGTTTAATCTTGAAAATATTTTCAAGTTTATTTTCAGGTTTATTTATTTTCAAGTTCAAGCTTGAAAATAATTCCAAGTTTATTTCAAGTTTATTTTAAGGTTTATTATTTCCAAGTTTATTTCTCTATATTTTTCAAGTTGAATTAATTATCCCCTATTTTTCTTAAGGTTAATAAGGCTGTCAAGAATACCGGTGAAAGGCTTGGTCAACTAGGCGAACAATCAGCAGCCTCCCAACTGCAAGACGACCAGCAAGTGCAAAGCTATTTGTCAACTGTAGGCGGGACTACCATGCAACTGACCGCTTTACAACGGCAACAGATTTTAGAGCAAGAAGCACACCACAAAAAATTGAAAGCTGAAAAACGACAAAAGAAGCTAGAAAAACTAGAAAAAGGATTTGGTTCAAAAATTGGAGGGGTTTTAGCTGCTGGAATTAATGCTGGGAAGGAAGTTGCATCTGTTGCTAAAGGAAAGGAGAAGAAACGAAAGGAAAAGAAAATTGAAGAAAAATACGATCCTAAAATGGAAGAGGATATGGAGAAGGCTGCTACTGAGTTAGCTAAGAAGATTGCTGCTCAGCACGGATTTAAGTTGGGGAATGAGGAAGAGGAAAATGGAAGCAAGGTGAAGGAGGAAGATGAAGAAAGCGATGAAAGCGAGGTTGAGCAACATGAAGCTGAAAAAGTTGAAGCAGAAACAAATCCGGAAGCAGAAGCAAATTCAGAAGCAGAAGCAAAACTAGAAGCAGAAGCACCTCCATCAAAAAATTGGGCGGCCGCTTTTGAAAGTGCTTCATTGCTTCCTCCTTCTGAATCTGATGTACACTTGGCAGAAGTATTAACCTCGGGAATAACAGATCCTTTCGATACAAGTCGGGCCAAAAATTTGGCTTTGGGAGGTGGTGGAGGTGAAAGGGAGGTGGATCCGTTTGCTCCACTTTCTCGGCAAGATAGACAAAAGAGTGTTATTGACGATCCTTTTGATGTCCGTCCAATAGAGGAACTCATTGCCGAAGCACGCCAACAAGCAGAAATGGAAAGGGCTAGGAGAGAAGCTGCTGCAGAAGCTGGGGAGTATATAGAAGAAAATGAGGGAGGTATTAGAAGACCTACTTCGTCTAGACTTTCAACTCCAACTCAAGAAGGTGGTAGTCCGGTAACGCCGTCAATGGTGCGTCCTGTTGGATTTGAAGACGATTTTAAGGTAAGGTGAAGAGAAATTTTATAAATTGAGCCTGAAGCATGAAGAAAAAATGTTTTTAGAATTAAAACTTGAAGCAAAATATTTATTAAATTAAAACTTGAAGCATTTTAAAATTAAACTTGAAACAAAATATTTATTAAATTAAAACTTGAAGCATTTTAAAATTAAACTTGAAACAAAAAAAAATTTTTAATAGAATATGGCCATCGATGAACAAACTCCTCTATATGACGAAGATGATTCTCAACCTCTTTCTGAATTTCCTCCGCGTTTTACTGGTGATGGCTGGGAGCTTCTTCTAAGATATCCACCCAAAAAGAAGCTGATGGCTGATCGTTATTGGAAACCAATTTTTGTTCGACTTAATGGGAATATGCTTTCTTTGTATGCAAATGCGCAAGAGACTAGGCCATCTCAGGAAATTTTATTACAGGTTGGTAAATCGGGTATATTTAAGCTTAAATAATGGTAGCAAACTAAATTTACGTATTAAAAACAATTAGAGAAAGTGAAACAAAAAAGTGTGCTTTGCTCATAAAAAAGTGAAGCAAAAAACTTGAAGCAAAAAGTTGAAGCAAAAACTTGAAGCAAAAATGTGAAGCAAAGAAATATTTTTATCTGAAACAAAATTTTTTAAAAAGTGGAGCATGCTTTTAGAAAAATTAAAATTGTCAAAAGGTGAAGCATGAGAGCTAAACAAAAATTTATTTTTTAAAAGTGAAGCAAATTTATAATTTTTCCCATAGGCCAACTATTCATTATCTGACCCAACATTACAAGCTTATGATATTTACGGCAAAATACATACAGTCAAGCTACAACATATTCTCTACAGAGAACGTGTGGGTATACGTCCAGGCCAAATTTCCCGGCTTGTTGAAGGACACATAACAAAGTATGGACTTCCACTTGAACATGCAGCACAATGCAATGTTATAGCAAAGTTTGGGTCGTTGGATGCTTCTACAGTTTTGAGTTTTACGAGAGCTGTGGAGGATGCTTTATTTGTATGTCCTAGCAAAAGAGAGTTTACTGCAGCAAATGCACCTTTATATAGACAGGATGAGGTTCAGGTGTGTATTTGGCTTTGAACTAGGGATAGTACTCTCCCTACTATAAGATACCCTCACTATAAGACCCATTCACTATAAACCCTCCTCTATATGATACCCTCCAATAATATAACCCCAAAGAGCCCAATACTAGATATCCTCAATTTACCCTGTAGAGAAGGCTGTCTAAGCGATACCCTCTATTTAATATACACTACAAGAATAAGCCCATAGGGTTTACCTTATAGTGGGTTATATGTATCTGAAGCAAATTAATTCATTATATTAAAGATCCATTGTTATGACGAATACGAAGCAAGGATTGACCGTGAAGGTTTTGTTCATGATCAAAAAGCACGTGTTCGCCTTTTCTGCCTTGCTTTTCTTACTGGTACAACGCCCACATTAGAGATTGGATTAAACGATCGTCGACGTGAAGGGAAAGAAATTGTTAGAAGAAAAGACATTTTGCCCATGTACACCGAAAGATGGATACGTTTTGAAGCTCCAGAGTTCCACAGTACTGTAGAGAAGTCTGTCTGGGAAGAAGACCAAGTAGTTAGACTCGTCCCTCCGGATGGCTGCTTCTTCGAATTAATGCGCTTTAGAGTCAGACCTCCAAAGAACCGAGAAAAACCTCTCAGTGTAAAATGCATAATGCGTCTGTCTGGGAAGCAAGTAGAAATTCGAATAGAAACTGCAGCAGCCCTACATCAACAATGTGCTAAAGGAACAGTAGAATCTACTAGATCAATCCCTTGTGAAAATATTTGCATCCGTTTCCCGATACCGGAAGCTTGGATTTATATTTTCCGTGAAGAGAGACATTGGGGTGTCGGTTCAGTTCACTCAAAGATGAGAAAACCTGGAAAAGTTAAAAACTTGAAGGATAAATTAATGGGAACTGTGCAGCAAAATGAGCCTTGTTTAATTGAGGTGTGTTTTGAGTTTGCTTCAAGTTTATTATTCTATCACAATCTCAAGTTTATTTTAGGTTGCAATCTTAATTCAAGTTTATTTTTTTTTACAATTCTTTTCAAGTTTACTTTCATTACAATCCTATTTCAAGTTTACTTTCATTACAATCCTATTTCAAGTTTATTTTTCTATCACAAACTTAATTCAAGTTTATTTTCTTATTTCAATCTTAAGTTTATTTTTATTTCAAGTTCAATCTTATTTCAAGTTTATTTCTTATTCCAACTTGATTCAAGTTTATTTTTTTATTACAATCTTACTTCAAGTTTATTTCTGTTACAAGCTTAAGTTTATGTATATTATCATTTCACAAACTTGTTTCAAGTCTATTTTCTTATTACAATCTTAAGTTTATTTTTATTTCAAGTTTATTTTCACTATTACTATTAAAAACTCATTCTCATAGGTTGGAACAGGTGAAGCAAAATATGAGCATTTATTTCGTTCACTAGTTTGGAGAATCTCTCGATTACCTGATAAACAAAGTGCTGCATACAAAAGTTATATGCTCAAGTAAATATTAGATTTTTTACTTTCACTTTTTTAAACTTTAAAGATGTCGTTTCACTCTCACTTCATTCGATTTAATGCCAGAAACTTTTATGCCACAAAGCGAGTTGGAGTTTACTATGCCTCTAGCGATTGTTAGCAATACAGTGGCTCGTTCTGTAGGTGTTGAGCAACACGAAGACAGTGATAGAGTAGAAAAATTTGTTCGGTATTTGGCAAAATTCCATTACAGGTCCTAAATTATGATAAAAAAAGGGTGTAGATATTTTACAAATTGTAAAATTATTAAAACTTTAATTACAACTTTAATTTATACAATAAGGTTAATCTTTAAACTTATGTAAGTTGTAATTCAAGTTTAAATAAATCTACAATTTGTAAAATTATTAAAACTTTAATTACAATAATTTTTACAATTGTAAAATTATTTAAACTTATTTTGTAAATTAAATTTAATTCAAGTTTAATTAATTTTACAATTGTAAAATTATTAAAACTTTTTTTTTTGAAATTAAGTTTGTAATTCAAGTTTAAATTAGTAATTGTAAAAATTATTAAAACTTTAAGGTTGTAGTTAAAGTTTAAATTAATTTTACAAATTGTAAAATTTTTAAAACTTGTTTTGTAAATTGTTACAATTCCTCAAATGTATTCATTATTCTTTTAAGAATTGACAATGACTATATTCAATGCCCAGACTTGGATGTGGAGGATGTTGTAGTTGAACAACCCCAGCAATCAACTGATGATAAAAATGAGGAAGACGAAGCTGTAGTAAATGAACCTTATGGAGGGTAAAAGAACATTTCTTAAATTTACTTTGTTTCAATTTAAGTTATCGAATTGAATTGCCCGACGATAATATCCACCAGCAACAACAAATTCCGTCCACTACCCCACAGGATTGGAACCAACAAGAATCTGAAAATACAAAAAGAAACACAAATCTTTCAAAAAGTAGTAGTAGTGGAAGTAGTGATAGTGGACGTAAAGCCTTCCCGGTTATTCAAATTGATATGAAAGGATATGGATATTAAATAAATATATTTTTTATATTTGTAATAAGGTTGATGGAATTGGGATTAATTTTTAAGTGAAGAATGTTAATTATAATTTTTTAAAATTATTTAAGACAAAAATACAAACTTGATTTTAATTGTGTTTGTTAAGAAAATTAATTACAACTTTAGATTGTAAAAATCGCAAACTATGTCTTAACAAGTTTTACAAATTGTAAAGGCCACAAAAATAGGTTTTAATATTTTTACAATTTGTAAAATTAATTAATACAATTTGTAAAAATTATTCAAACTTATTTTGTAAATTATTACAATTTGTAAATAAAGTTGTAATTCAAGTTTAATTAATTATTACAAATTGTAAAAATTATTAAAGCTTATTACTGATTTTTACAATTTGTATTTAGAGTTGTAATTTAAGTTTTAATCAATTATTACAATTTGTAAAATTAATTTTACAAATTGTAAAGATTATTAAAACCTATTTTATCATTTTTACAATTCAAGTTTTTATTTTTATCTCGATTCCATCAAGACCATAATACTTAAAAAATATTTTCCAGGTGATCATATATTGATCTCAAACGCAAATAATTATTTTACATCTTGTTTCAATTTAATATTTTTTTTATTTTTAAAATAAAAGCTATTCATAATTTATGTTTTTACCGAGAAAAGAAAAATAGAACCCGTGGTTGGACTTCTCTGAAGCCCCCTGTCAATTCGTTGTTGCCACTTTTAAACATTTTAAAATAATTTTCTAAAATAATTTATTTTAATTTTCCACACCTTTAATTAAGCAAATAGTTTCAGTATATTACCAAAGCATGTTTCATCTCTTTAATATTTTAATTAAGCTCTCTCACTCTCTCTTTGTTAGCATATGATTTTTGGCCTCTCTTCATTTGCCAACTCATCGGGTAAATATTTAAGTATTGCTGCCAACTCAGAGAAATCCATAAATTTAGCTTAGAATGATTTTTACTTTTTTGGTGGGAATTATCCTTGAAATTTTCTTAAACTTGTTAGTTTCTGCGCAATTATTTCCAGGATATGAGCCTGATGGAAGTAAATTTTCAGTTAAAATTGCTTTTAGTTACAAATTTATTTTTAAGCTTGTACGATGGGGAGATGCCTCCAAACAAGTCAAATATGCGATAGAAATACAAACAATTGCTGTAAGCTTTTAATAGTTTTTGAGAGAAAAAATTAAGTTTGAGGAATTTTTACAAATTGTAAAAAGTTTTATAAAGTTTGTAAATGTAAATTACAATTTTTGTTAGGTTTGTAAATTAAGGTTAACTAAGTTTTACAAATTGTAAAAGTTTGTAAATAAGTGGACAAGGATTTTTACAAATTGTAAAAAAGTTTTATTAGGTTTGTAATTAAGTATTACAAGTTGCTTAATTATTACAAATTGTAAATTAAGTTTTAATGAGTTTTTACAAATTTTAAATAAGTTTTATTAGGTTTGTAAATGAGTATACCTATATTATAAATTCGAAATTTATGGTGTTATTAATGATTTTATAATTTGTAATTTATAATTAGACTATGAATTTATTTGAAATTAATAATCAGTGTATATTTGATGATAAAATAACTAAATTTTTTTTAAATATTTTTGCAGTCAAAATTTCAAGTAGACAAGCAGTAAGAAGATACATTAGGAATGCAAGATCTGGCGTTTGTGAAAATACACTTTGCCCACCGGGAAGTATCAAAGACAAGGATGGTATGTTAATAGAAAGATTCAGCACTTAATTTTGAATTTTAAGGCTGTTCTATCAAAGGTGTCTGCATAACTTTGAGTCAAACTTGTATTCAAGGAGAGTGCTGCGAAAAGTCTTATTTGCCAAATGCGATGCAAGCAATGCAAGAAACGTGCAATCCGAATATGCCCTCCAATCCGAATATGCCTAATCCAAATATGCCTTACGATCCAAATATGCCCTTCAATCCAAATATGCCTAATCAGAATATGCCATATAATCCTCAAATGCCGTATAATCAGTTTGGGAATGGACAGATGACAGGTGGCATGCCTTATGGACAAGGAATGATGCCAGGATATGGACAGGGGATGCCAGGAATGATGCCAGGAAACATGCCATACAATCAAATGGGCTATGGACAGGGGATGATGTCGGGATATGGACAGGGCATGATGCCAGGATATGGACAAGGAATGATGCCAGGTATGGCAGGGAACATGCCGTACAATCAAATGGGCTATGGACAGGGGATGATGCCAGGATATGGACAGGGGATGATGCCAGGAATGATGTCAGGAAACATGCCGTACAATCAAATGGGCTATGGACAGGGGATGATGCCGTACAATCAAATGGGTTATGGTCAAGGAATGATGCCAGGATATGGACAAGGAATGATGCCAGGAAATATGCCGTACAATCAAATGGGTTATGGACAGGGGATGATGCCAGGATACGGGCAGGGGATGATGCCAGGATATGGGCAGGGGATGATGTCAGGATATGGACAAGGAATGACGCCAGGATTTGGACTTGGGATGTCAGGATATGGACAAATGATGCCCGGAAACATGCCGTACAATCAAATGGGTTATGGGCAAGGAATGATGTCGGGATATGGGCAAGGAATGATACCAGGATATGGACAGGGGATGATATCGGATTATGGACAAGGAATGATGTCAGGGAACATGCCATATAATCAAATGGGATATGGGCAAGGGATTATTGGTGGCAACCTCAACGGATTAGGACTTGGTGGAATAAGCAGCTTAAATGGAATCGGTGGCATGAGTGGAATGGGTCTTGGAGTTGGAGGAGGATACGTGGGAATGGGAGTTGGAGCTGGAGGATATGGAGGTATCGGTGGTATTGGTGGATATGGAGGCTTTGGTTCTTCGGATTACTATCCGCAATGTCTGCTATTTTCCCAATATTGTGCACTTTCCGCAATTGCTGATGCTTGTCCTGGAAGTTGTGGACGCTTTGGTTTCTCTAGGCGTTGAAGAAATCTTTCTAGATTATTTCTAAACTATTTACTATTTCTAAATTAACCTCTAATTTGATCTCAAAATTGTACATAAATTTACTAAAAAATAAAATTATTTTTCCATAAGAAATCGCCTGAACCCATATCTGAATAAGCGGAATGTGAAGGGAATGCTAATATGTAGATTAATGTTAGTGCGGCTGGACGATATTCACCGCTCACTTCTTTATAGTCGGATCAGCCTCGGATCAGTCGACTATTCACTTGACTGATCTACCGAGATCCTTTCCTTCTCTTATTTTCTAGAGTACCTATCTTGTTATGAATAACGGGCGGGGTTATTTTCTCAAATCCTATTTCCGCCTTTACATACAATAAAGTACATTTTCTGTTGGCATTTCTAAAAATATTTTTTTCTTCCATTTTTAACAAAATTTAAAAAATCAAGGGATAATAAAAAATATTTTTTTGTTTATTTAAAAAAATTCTTTAATGAGTGAGAGTTTAAAATTAGAGGATTTTTTGTTGGCAAATAAAAGCTGAGTAAATATTAAACCGAACATGCCATATCGATCCCTTCTCTATTTTAGATTCTCGATTCAACTTTGAGAAAAATATTTCCCTAAAAATTTTTAAAAATAAAAATTGATTATTTAAAAATATTTCAAAAATTATTATTCAATTAATGCCCTAAAATTGAAATTTTTTGAAATGAAAAGATTTTTAATTTTCTCCAAGAGTAATTTAAAGAGGAAAAAACGGCCTTTTTCAAATAATTCTCCTCATTTTTATTTTTCAAATGATTCAAGAAAACCCCGAAAAAAATTTTTCATTATTCTTTTGTTGCTTCTAAAAGTGCTGGTACCTGTTAATGGACAAGCTGCTTTTGGCCCCATAAATCAATGTCCGATGGGGCAAATTGCAGATGGATGTGAGTAAAGTTTAATTTTTACGCCTGTTTTTAGGATTGTAAAAAAATTAAAAATCCCCCAAAATGGAGTATATTTAAACAGAGGGAGTTGTAATTCAGGGGTATGTATTATTATAGGAAATACGGTAATGATTAAAAATATTCGTTACAATTGTAAATTGCGCCTTATCACAATTGACAATTATATTTACAATATAGAATACGCCTATTAATATTACAATTTAAATTTATTTTTTTACTATTGTAAAATCTGTTAATTCCGCCTGTATATATTCATTTGTAATTTTTGCCTTTTTGTTAATTTTTGCCTTTTTGTTAATTCCGCCTGTTTCAGTTCTTATAGTTATAAATTAATGAAGCAGGCGGAATTAAAAAAAACAGGCGTATTTTGCAATTGAGGCATATTTTTAAAGGCGTATTTTACAATTGTAAAAACTTTACAAATTAAAAAATCCGCCTGCTTCACAATAGATTAAAAAATAAAATTTATTACAATTAATAATTAAGCATGTTTTATTTATGGCTTTTGCTTCAATCAACAAGAGCGGTGCTTAAACGGAGTTTGCTGTAATTATTCTCAATAAATTTAATTAAAATTAATGTTCTTAGGTCGTCCATTAGTTCCTCAATGCCCTGTCGGCTTCATACCCGATGGATGTAATTATTATTTCATTAAAGTGTGACCAAAAGTAGCTGGTCACTTTTCTGTCAACATAACTTTTTTTTCTAATTTATATTTTTAAATATTTTTATAATCATTTTGTAGCCCAAACAATTCTCTTTAATGGCCTTCAAACTCTGTATCCAAGCATATAGTGTGAGCACAAGGAATGGGCTCTCTCGCAACATAGAAGGTGGAGGAATTCACCTTCAAAATACCAAAATTCTTCGGAAGGCGGAAGACAGCTCATCCTTGGTGGGCACTTCGGAGTTTCTTGATTACCTAGATTCGTTGCTTCCTTATTTCCCTATCATTTGAGCTTTATTTTATCTCATAATCCTTAGCCTGAATAAAGTTATGCCATAAATAAGGTGTCCAGTTACTTTTGGGTCTCCCTGTTAAATTATTTTAAATTAAGTCTGTATTTTATTTTCAAGTTTGTTCATACACTGGAATTTGTTTCGAATTAAATCAGCGTTGCCTTAATGGAGTTTGTTGTTAGTTTATTTTAATTTTCTCAAAAAACTACAAATTTTATAAATTTATTAAAGGCAGACCAAACCAAGTATATCAACAATGCCCCCCAGGAACATTTCTAGACGGCTTCTGTTCCTATACTCGAATTTGCTTTGATCCGCGTGAAACTTGTTTTAATGGACTTTGCTGTAATTTTATTCAAAAAATTTTAAATATTGAAAAATGATTTTAGGTCAGAGTTATGGACAAGGACAGTTTCCTCCTAACTATCCGCCGAATCAGCCAATATACCCTCCCAATCAACCGATATACCCCCCCAATCAACCAATATATCCTCCCAATCAACCCATATACCCTCCTAATCAACAAATATATCCTCCTAACCAAATATACCCCCCTCCCAATCAAATTTACCCTCAAAACCAAATTTACCCTACCAACCAAATTTATCCTACCAACATCTATCCTTATCCACGACAACAAATTCCAGGAGGAATTGGTGGCATCTATCAACCATATCCTATCGGGTAACTAAATCTAATTAGAATTTAAATTATCAAAATATTTTAGTGGTCTAGGAGGAATGGGTGGAATACGGCCAATTGGTGGGGGAATAGGCGGTCTTGGTGGAATTGGATATGGCGGAATTGGCAGTCTTGGAATGGGAGGACTTGGAGGCTTAGGAGGGCTTGGCGGATATGGTGGAATTGGCAGCCTGGGCGGGTATGGAGGACTTGGAGGAATGGGAGGCGGACTTGGTGGCCTAGGAGGAATTGGAGGTGGAATTGGCGGTCTTGGCGGTATGGGAGGACTTGGAGGAATCGGTTTCGGCTGTGTAGATTATCACCCATATTGTCCCCTTTACACTACTTATTGTTTCTCTTCAACGATTGTAGAAGTCTGTATGGAAAGTTGTGGACTTTGTGATATTTACAAAAGGTGAAAGGAGGATATGAATTAATTAAAAATAAATACTTATATAAAAATAGATTATATTTTGTAATAATTGTATAATTAAAAAATTATTTTATTATTAATTTAAAAATACAAAAATTGAAAAATAAATTTTGACAAGTGAGAGAGTTGGAATGATAATATAAGGTTAAGATATAAGAAAATGAATCATTAAGGAATTAGTATAATATATAAAAAGAAAAATCAGAATTATTAATAAATAATTCTGATTTGCAAACTTAAAACTTGATTTTGTTTAAATTTAGGTTTATTTAAGTTTAAGTTTGTTATGTTGGTAAGCTTGTGTCTGAAACTTTATTTAAAGTTTATTTAAGTTTGCAAACTTAAAATCTAAGTTTTACAAATGCATATTATCTATATATAACAGTAAAAAGGCACTCAGCTAAAAAAAAGTCCTCCGGAAGTTTGAGAAGTCGTAGAGGGGTGGGGTTTTTTTCTATAGATGGGAAATTTAATGTAGTTTTCAGGAAAAATCCGAAAAGTGGGGGAAAGGGGCGAGTTTTTTTAGATATTGTGAAAAAACGTGTTTTTTCGAATCTTTGAAGTGAAATTTGAATATAAAGATGAAGTCGGGGAAAGTTGGGTCAGTTACAAGGTTGAAGCAACACAACATGGAGAATATGATAGAAAAAAAGTTGAAGTCGTTCGGACAACGGGAAGGGTAGATGTGCCTGTTGACAACTTTTTTTTCAAAGTGGTAACTTTCGATTTAAGGTGTTTAGAGGGGTCTGAGCAAAAAGTTGTTGGGAGAAAAGTTGTAGAGCGTGGTGGATTTCTTAAGAAAAAAGTTGGGTTCAATTTGATCAGATGAAGAGAAAAAAAGATATGGAGTAAAAATTGAAATTTTGAGTATGATGCATATAAGTGACCTTATCTATATTTTGTTTTGGAGTTAGAAAAAAAGTATTGGGAGTTGAAAGATAGAGAATTAAATTCTGCATCGAATAAGCTTTGTTTTATGTTAAAATGAGTTTTTTGGACCGAGTTATGAATTTTTTAAGAAATTAAAATTTTGGGAAAAACTTTTTAAATTTGACAATCTAGACCGTCCGATCTGGAAAGTTAAGCAACGCTGAGCTGTTTTTTGTAACTTTTGAAGTAGTTATCGGAAAAATATGAATGAGGTGTCATTCGACGCGGAAAAATCAGGCGAATTTTTTAAAAATATTTTCGAAGGGGTCACTTGAGTCTGAGGATATGATATTTGAGTTTGAAGGCAAAAATCAGTGAAAATTAATTTTAAAAATTCTAAAAATTAATGGGAATATTAAAAAATAAATTTTTAAGAAAAAGGACACTTGAGTCTCATTTTTAGATTTGAGTCTGAGACTGAAAATTTTGTAAAAATTCTAATTTTTAATACTTTTCTGAAAAATAATTTTAATGTTATTCGCGATGCCTTGAAGTCGTTGCCGGAGGCAACCGCCAGAAATAAAAATTATTTTTTAAAGAAATCGGAACGCGTTGCAGAAAACGCGTTGCCGGAGGCAACCGCCAGAATTTAAATATATTTTTCTAAAAATTCGGAACGCGTTGCAGATAACGCGTTGCCGGAGGCAACCGTCAGAATTTAAAAATATTTTTCTAAAAATTCGGAACGCGTTGCAGATAACGCGTTGCCAGAGGCAACCGCCAAAAATAAAAATTATTTTTTAAAAAAATACGGAACGCGTTGCAGAAAACGCGTTGCCGGAGGCAACCGCCGGAATAAAAATGATTTTTTTTTAAAATACGGAACGCGTTGCAGAAAACGCGTTGCCGGAGGCAACCGCCAGAATTGAAATATTTTTTTTAATTCGAAACGCGTTGCAGAAAACATGCGGGCCGAAGGCCCGCATGTCGATTTTATGCTTAATTTTAAAATTTTATAACTTTTGAAGTATTAGTCGTAGAAAGATGGTTGAGGTGTCATTCGATGGGGAATTGAATGAGGAGTTGAATGAAAATATATTTAAAAGTGTCACTTGAGTCTGAGGGTTGGACATTTGAGTCTGAAGTTTTCAAATACTGGGAAATTAAGCCAAATTGAATTTTTTAAATTGTAATACCGCTGGAGTCAGCCTTTATACCCAAAAGCAATTAAAACTACTCAGCTATTCGCGCCGAACGCTGGTTATCTATATATAATAGTAAAAAGGCACTCAGCTAAAAAAAAGTCCCCAGAGCTTTTGAGTGGGTGTATCGGGGTGGGGTTTTTTGCTATAGATGCGCAATACAATGTAGTTTTCAGGAAAAATCCGAAAAGTGGGGGGAAAGGGGCGAGTTTTTTAGATATTTCGAAAAAACATGAATTTTCGAATCTTTGATGTCGGAAATGAGTATGAAGATGAAGTCGGGGAAAGTTGGGTCAGTTACAAGGTTGAAGCACCACAACATGGAGAATATGATAGAAAAAGAGTTGAAGTCGTTCGGACAACGGGGAGGGTAGATGTGCCTGTTGATAACTTTTTTGTCAAAGTGGTAACTTTCGATTTAAGGTGTTTAGAGGGGTCTGAGCAAAAAGTGGTTGGGAGAAAAGTTGTAGAACGTGGTCGGTTTCTTAAGAAAAAAGTTGGTTTCAAGTTGATTGGATTAACAGAAAAAAAGATATGGAGTAAAAAGTGCATTTTTGAGAATGTTGCATAAAAGTGACCTTAACGATATTTAGTTTTGAAGTTAGAAAAAAAGCGATAAGAGATGAAAGATAGATCTTTAAATTCTGCATCGAATAAGCTTTGTTTTATGTTAATTTGACTTTTTTGCAACGAGTTATGAATTTTTTAAAAAATTAAAATTTTGGGAAAAAATTTTTAAATTTGACGATCTAGACCGTCCGATCTGGAAAGTTAAGCAACGGTGAGGCGTTTTTTGTAACTTTTGAAGTAGTTATCAGAAAAATATGATTGAGGTGTCATTCGACGTGGAAAAATCAGGCGAATTTTTTGAAAATATTTTTGAAGGGGTCACTTGAGTCTGAGGGTAGAATATTTGAGTCTGAAGGTTAAAATCAGTGGAAATTAATTTTAACAATACTATATTTGAATAAGAAAATTAGAATGAGTTATTATTAAATAGGACATTTGAGTCTCATTTATATTTACAGGTCTAAGTATGAAAATTTTGTAAATATGTAAATTATAACAAATGAGCAATTAACCTCATTTTTGAATTTTTAATTCAAAACTGCTTGGTCCCCTCTGTGGTTTTTAATATTCGGGGGCCTGTAATTCGCCCGATCGAGTCAGATTTCGGTAATTTTGGTGTCAACCGACGCAGCTCGACGAGATCTATTAGCGTGGATATTAATCCCATTTTTGAATTTTTAATCCAAAAACAGCTTGGTCCCCCCTATTGTTTTCACTATTCGAGAGCCTATAACTCAGCCCAATCTCGTCAGATTTCGTTGATTTTGGTGTCATTCGACGCAGCTCGACGAGTACTTTCGAATGCTCTACTAACCTCATTTTCCAATTTTTAATCCAAAAACAGCTTGGTCCCCCCTATGGTTTTCAATGTTTGGGAGCCTGTAACTCGGCTCGATAAAGTCAGATTTCGTTGATTTTGGTGTCATTCGACGCAGCTCGACGAGATCTGTCGAATGATCTATTTAACTCATTTTCGAATTTTTAAACCAAAAATCAGCTTGGTCCCCCCTATGGTTTTTAAATTTCGGGGGCATGTAACTCAGCTCGATCAAGTCAGATTTCGGTGATTTTGGTGTCATTCGACGCAGCTCGACGAGATCTATTAAATTAGATATTAATTTCATTTTCGAATTTTTCGACCACGAGCTCTTTGCACGCAGCTAGAATTCGCTACGTTAGCAGCGTTGGTATTACCGCGGCTGTTTCTTTTCAGTTTCAAAAATTCAAAAATGAGATTAATATCTCATTAGACAGATCTCGTTGAGCTGAATCGAATGACACCAAAATCAACACGATCTGACTTAATTGAGTCGAGTTACAAGCTCTCAAAGACCAAAATACCATAGGGGGGACCAAGCTGATTTTTGGGGTAAAAATTCGAAAACGAGGTTAATAGCTCGTTTGATAGATCTCATTAAGCTGCATCGAATGACACCAAAATCACTAAAATCTGTTTTGATTGAGTCGAGTTACAGGCTCCTGAAAATTATAAACAATAGGGGGGACCAAGCTGTTTTTGGAATAAAAATTCGAAATTGGGATTAATAGCTTATTTGAAAGTACTCGTCGAGCTGCGTCGAATGACACCAAAATCAACGAAATCTGACTAGATTGGGCTGAGTTATAGGTTCCCGAAAATTCGAAAACTAATATATTTTGACATTTAACTTTCTAAGAATCAATTGGCCTCCTAACAAAGTATATATTTTTCTGGGTTTCATGTGACGCTCTACAACATAGGCCATCGAAATCGCATTTTAATTCAAGATCTCAAAAGTTGACTTTTTGAGTCCGCATTTTGAACTTGTATCTTCTTAAAAAGTGTTCCCAGAACTAAATGTTCAACTGCTTTTTTGTTTGGAACATTTCTCCCTATAAATTCATCACTAAAGCAGATTGATTCTCTCCCAAAAAATTTCAACTACATCAATTTTAAATCTTCAGCCGATTATTTCAACGCTAATTTCAATCATACCTTTAAAAAGACTAGCTATTTTGAAAGAGCATTTCGAGCTGAGTCGAACGACACCAAAATTGTCCATTTTGGTAAAACATGAACCAAATTATGGACGTTGCAAGATTTAAAGATATCATAAATCCTGCGGATTATCACGGTACGATCGTTCCGGAAAGATCAAACTTAGGTCAAATTTAGTTTACATGAAGAGGAATTAAAGAATTCTTGATCTGAAAAAATTTTTTAATAAATCCCTTTGGGAATACGTGTAATTATAAATATGGCAAAAGCTAAAATTTGTGAAATGAAAAATAAAAAGTAAAATAAAAAGTCTTCCAAAAGGAAGTCGATTTTATATTTTATAATGCTATGCATTATTAATAAAAGCCATGCTTTATAAAAAAGCCGCGAACGTTAAATTGATCTTTTGATCTTGAAAATCCTATTTGGATAATTAATGCTAGAGCTAATACAGTCCCTAAAGCTGAAACTTAAAGAAATTGACGGAAGGGCACCACCAGGAGTGGAGCTTGAGGCTTTATTTGACTCAACACGGGGAAACTCACCCGGACCGGACACTGTGAGGATTGACAGATTGATAGCTTTTTCATGATTCAGCGAATCGTGGTGCTTTAAAGAGCAATAAAAATAAAGAACATAACAGGTCTGTGATACCCTTAGAGGTTCGGTGCAATATCAACACGGGGAAACTCACCCGGACCGTACGCTGTGAGGATTGACAGATTGATAGCTTTTTCATGATTCAGCCAATCGTGGTGCTTTAAAGAGCGATAAAAATGAAGAGCATAACAGGTCTGTGATACCCTTAGATGTCCGGTGCAATATTCTGCCCCTAAAGGGCGGGTGAGCAATTGCTAATTTACCGTGATTGGGATTATAAATTGCAATTATTTTCCGTGAACGAGGAATTCCAAGTAAATGCGAGTCATCATCTCGCATTGAATACGTCCCTGCCCTTTGTACACACCGCCCGTCGCTGCCCGGGACTGAGCCATTTCGAGAAAATTGGTGACTGTTGATTTAATTTCTTTAAATTACTTTGATGGAAACCAATATAATCGCAGTGGCTTGAACCGGACAAAAGTCGTAACAATGTAGCTGTAGGTGAACCTGCTGCTGGATCATTACTTTATGTAATGATCAAACTTGAATCGCAACTTTTGTTGTGTAACGGCTGTCACTGGTGTCTATGTGTTGCTGATTCAGTTGTATTCGTCCGTGACTGAAAATGAGGTGACACGCTAGGACTCTATTCGTAGAGTTTAAGACTTAATGAGCCTCTTAAGTGAGGACGCCAGCATTTTTTACATTTATTTGGACCCGAAAGATGGATAACACGGCGATAACACGGCCGTCTTGATTATCCGTCTCAAACTCGTAAAGAATTGGCTCTGGAGTAGCTGTAGGTGAACCTACTGCTGGATCATTACTTTATGTGATGTTCAAACTTGAATCGCAACTTTTGTTGTGTAACCTAAAAGCTGGAATTACCCCGGCTGTTCTGAAAATTTTTGTCCGGTGAATTCGCTAATAGGCGAAAAACTAACACCGGATACTTGCCTTTTGGCTAATTTGTGAAGTGAATAGTTGAGATATAGTATTAAGACGAAGCGTCCTCGTAAACACGGTCCAACACGGAGCAACTCACTCGGCACGGACATTGAAATATTATTGATGTAATGGGTGGGTTAGCCATTGAGTGTTGCCGTGGTTGGGATCGAGTAGGTGCGAGTCATCAGCTCGTATTGATTACGTCCCTGTAACAATGTAGCTGTAGGATCATTTCTCTGTGTATGATCCTACTGCTCGATCATTGCTCTGTGTATGATCAAACTTGAATCGCAACTTTTGTTGTGTAACGGCTGTCACTGGTGTCTATGTGTTACTGATTCAGTCGTTTACGTCCGTGGCTGAAAATGAGGTGACACGTTAGGACTCTACTCGTAGAGTTTAAGACTTAATGAGCCTCTCAGGACGCCAGCCCATTTTTTCGATTTTTTGAAAGAACACGAGAATCAACGCGCACTGCAGAAAACTTGAAATTAATTCTAATCGTAGTCGGTTTATCCTATTTCAAACAAGATTCAAATATAATTAGAAACACTCATGAAATATTGACAATTGACCGAGAGAGTTAAAGCAAAATAGCAGAACAGGCTGATTGTACGATCGGGTATAATCAGCTGTGAATAGTTGTTGTTTGCAGCTTCAATTATTCATGGTTCTGTTTAGAAAATATGTGAGCCTGTTTGTCAATAGAGTGATACTTGAATAAAATGGTGAATGGTAGTGCATGGAAAATTTAATTATTGAGAAAGCAATGGTTTGAAACTATTTTAACCTTGAACAGCCTGAATCTTTGTCTGGAAACATTCAGTTGTGGGTAATTGTAGCGGCACCTACTTTCATCCACCGTTCATTGTTATTTATTGAATGCATGAAAAAACAACCAGAGCCTCTCAATAATATACGATTAGAATTGAAATTATATTAATAAAGAAAACGGCTTGGTAAACCGTAAAAATTGCTTAAAAAGATTGCTTGTGTTCAGAACAGGTCTGATTTCAAAGTTAACACAATCAAAGCAATGCGTTGGAGCTCTGATACCGTTCAGGATTGTCGGCACTGGCGTTCTCATTGCGCGGACCTCCTCCCGAAATGCCTGCGGCTATCAATTGTTTCTGGGTGTGTTTAACTCTGTTATCAGTCTTAGTGCATAGAATAACTAAAATTTTAAAGAATTGGCTCTGGAAACAGCTTTAGGTGAACCTATTGCTGGATCATTACTATATGTGATGGTCGAACTTGAATCGCAACCTTTGTTGTGTAACGGCTGTCACTGGTGTCTATGTGTTGCTGATTCAGTTGTATTCGTCCGTGACTGAACGTGAGGTGACATGTTAGGACTCTATTCGTAGAGTTTAAGACTTAATGAGCCTCTCAGGACGCCAGCCCGTTTTTAATATTTATTTGTCCCGAAAGATGGTGAATTGTAATGCAAGTAAACAATTGCATTAGAACGAGGAATTCCAAAAAAATTAAAGGATGGCAGCAGTGCTGAATTGAAAAAATTTTTAAGTGGATAGTGGTGCATGGTGCAACTGAACCCTGAGTTGGTTCCAAAGTAATATGACGAAAGGCAGATAGTTAAGTTCTGCAAAAACTAATCTATCTGAGGGCAGCCGATACCTGCTTCCTTTCGTCATAGTACTGAATACAATTTTAAGCTAATTTTCAATGCATAGTGTGTTGCAAGAGTTGAATAAATAATTCATCATGCAACGGAAGGCAAATAATCTACTCGTGCCGGAGGATTTTGTTTGAGAGCAGCCAGACCTGCTTCCTTTCGTTTGTATGTATGAGTTTCGCCGGTGAAGCCCTAATGGGTGGAGGTTGCCCCCACGAAGGAAGCCTTCGCGCGGCGGTGGGTGTTAGTAGGTTACACAGAGGGATAACACAAGGAAACTGCGTAACTGAAGCTAATTCCTTTAGAAAAGGGATGTTTTAATTATCGACTAAATGATGAAAAAAAAGTATGAAGATAATGATTCTTGCATTGAATCTGATAGTTGATATTCTGCTTATTAATACCATTAAGGTGTTAAAGCCCCATCATATGGCATTCTCCTTCTACTATTATTGGTAGTTGGTTGCTAAAGCCTAGCACACAAGTGCGGGTGTCTGTCGGGGCGCAAAAAACGTTTATATGACTTGAATACCTGTCAAGGGGAGTTTCCGGATGCGGTGCATCAGTTGAAACGTAGCCTTGATAGGATGATTTGTCTTTTTTATGTCCTATAGACTTGTTTATTTTCGGAAAGAGATTGAATAATTCTCAGGCCTTTGTTGTAAATTTAAAAATAAACGGCTTAATGAATTAGAAATTTATAATCTGAAAAATTATATTTTCCAAAGGATGTAAATTTAAAAATGAAAAAAATAATTTTCAGTCCTGGACAAACTTGAGACTCATCAAGGTAATTCAGTCCTGGACTGAAACTTGATACTCTAATTAGCAGCAAGTTGCTGCATTGGCCGAAACCGATACGATTTGGATGATGCGGGTACGATAAATGATATATCATTTTTAGTGCATATTTATATACCATGAAGGGGGAAAATGCAGCCTCGGTAATTCCAGCTTTTTGATGCATGTGTTTGCTCAAAGGGTTTAAAAAGCTCGGTTTTATAATCAATTTGGATTATCAAACAAATTTTGGTTCTGGGTTAGTAGCCTTAGGCTTTTTTAGCCAGTGAGGGTGATCCATTAAAACCCTGCGAACGAGAATTTCTTTATTCCTTGATATTGCTCAAAATATAGCCTTATTTCAAGCATCCCAGGCTTTAAATGGGTCGCTTTCTTCTTATAAATTTTAAAAATCATTGTTATTTAGATTATTTTATATAAAATGGTTAGTAGTGCTCAAAAAAGACGAGAGAAACAAAAAGATCATTATAGAAGAAGAAGATCTTTAGATAATTCTTCTTTAAATGTCTATGTTGAAGGGCAGCCGTTACAAAAACGGTTACTAAAGGAAATTAATCGTAATATTATTTCTATTTCCTATTAAAAAATTTTATTTTAAGCTATGTTGCCTGTTAATCTGTCAGTGAACAGTGAACCTATTAATAAAAGAGGAAGGCCAAAAAAAGTAATTAGACCTGGCCGTCCACGAAAGAATTTCAACCCTGTTCCACAGGCAGCTTTTGATTATGAAATAAATGCCCAACAAGAATTAAATCGTGAAATTAATGTTGAAGAAGATTTTTCTGAATCAATTGTTTCACATACTTCAACAATAACTTTGAGAAGATCTTCTCGCATTTCACAATGCAGTTCGCGATTAAATGAAGTTATGGATTCGTGGCCAGTTTTTAGTTCTATTACACAACGTTGTGATCGTACTCATTTTGGATTAGGATGTGGTGCCAAAGGTGCAAACCACATGCCTATTTATTATGACTCTTTATCAAAGGTGAAATCATATTTAGAATATTTAATTTTTATACATAGGATGATGTTCGATGCAAATATTGCAAGGCAAATTTATTACCATCAGAAGCAGTTGGAAACACTGCCTTCTCTAAATGTTGTGCAAAAGGCCGTGTGAGTATGCCTGAAAAGTATGCCTCTTTGCAAGACATACCTCTCGAATTGTTTGTTGTTTTCAACGATCCGTTAAAACTTGAACAGCGTGATAAAATTTTAAAACATTCAATGCTCTATAATGATCATTTGGCATTTGGTCACATACAAATTCAACGACAACGAGATTTTTCTGAGTCACATAAAATTGTTAAATGCAATAATATGATCAACTATTTCTTATGGGATTTTAACCCACCTGGAGGTGGCGAGCAGCCTTTGTTGCGTGGTCAACTATTTACACTTCCTGCTATTGAAGCTGCAAATAGATTGAATGAAATTGCACTCGATGTTGAATTAGACGTTAGCTTTTTATATTTTTAAATATTAAATATTTTTAGCAACAATTGTTGATCTTTTTGCATAACATTCTGCGTGACTATCATCCATTTTCCGCGCTATATCGCATTGCTTCGGAGACTTATAGCAATTTAACGGAAGAAGAGCAAATTAGTTTTCGAATGTTAGTGATTGATACAAATAAAATAGGAGTTGAGCGTGTTAGACAGGACGATGAAATTAACCCAATTGATGTTGAGCCGCAAGATGTTGAGGCATTACGGCGAATTCATCCTGGTAGACTTGAAGTGCAAACAGCTGCTGGCAGTCGCCTAGTAGCACAGGTTTTATATTAAACTGGAAATTTCTATTAATAATTTGTGCAGATTTATTTGGATACTGGGGCTAATGTGCCTGACTCGTTACACTATGATGTTATTTTGAAAGGTCGCCAAGGAACCGGACAAGTTAAAATGTCTTGGTGGGACAGGAATATAGATCCAACTCTTTTTCCTTTATTATTTTCGAAAGGGCAATGTGGTTTCGGTATGAGATTCATTTGACGATTCTATTTTATTTTTTAGAGAATGGAATAAATTTAAACCTTCGACCAGGAGAAGAGTTGAATCGTGCCAATCAACTTGTGGATAATGAAGGTGAAGAAGTAGAAGCATATGAAGAACTTGGAGAAGGTGAAGAGTTTTTGGATCCTGTTTTTGAGGCACGCCAACACAGTCGTGATATGGTGTCAAGATCCCAGTATATTAGATATATGTTTCATCAGAGAGGATCATGGCGAGATTCGCATTGGTTATGGAACTGGGGACAATTAGCTCAGTTATATGTTATTGCCTATAACAATCGGGTGGAAGCCCAGAAAGTACAATATATTAAAACTCTGCAAGGGAGAACACGTTTTGTTCGTCCTGGAGCTTTGCTCAACTGGCTTGAAAAACTACGTGATCAACAAGGTATTTTTGTAAAACGGCTTATATAAAGTATTGTTTAGGTTTAAAAGGACCTATTGGGCAAATCTATATGACGAATGAGCATTTTCGCGGCTCGATTCAATTTTATCAGAAACAGTATGGTAATTGTATGACAATATGCAGGGAAATTGGTTCTGTTGACCTATTAATTACTTTTACAATGAATCCAGAAGCTGAAGAACTAAGTCGTATGATACCTCAGGGTTATTCATGGGCAGATCGGCCAATGGAAGTATGTAGATTATTTATTGATAAACTCAAAGAACTTGAATGCGATTTAACACAACGTGAAGTTATGGGCCCAGTAAAGGGTTGGTTTTGGAGCTTGGAACACCAAAAACGGTATATTATATATTTAAATGTCAAATATTTTTTAGCGGCTTGCCACATGTGCATTTTGCGGTTATTCTTGATTGGGATCGCATGCGAACTCAAGGATGCATATTTACAAAAGAAGATTATATGGATCAGTATATTTGTGCTGAAATTCCTGATCTGCCTAACGAAAGTGATCAGTCTCAATCGGCTCAGCTACAAAGAGAACTTTATAGAGTTATTGTTAGCGCAAACATTCATAAGTGTGATAAACGCTGTTTAAGAGATGGTCGTTGTAAACAACGCTTTCCAGTTTGTTGTTCTTTATTTTTGAGTAATATTATATTTTAGAAAAAATACGCAGATGATAATAAGTATTCTGATAATGCATATCCAGATTATAAACGAAGGGCTCCAGCCCCAAATGAAGAAGAGCGGAAAAAAGATCCTCTGATCTATGGAAACGCACATTCATATACAGATAGATATGGGCATCAACATTTTATTACGAATACAAATGTAGTGCCTTATAGCCCATTTCTTTCTTCTAAATACAAGGCGCAGTAAGTTTTTTCTGATAATGCTGAATAATTTTTTTAGTATTAACGTTGAACTTGTGGCAGGCGATGGAAGTGTAAAATATATTTGTAAATATACAATGAAAGGAGCCGATATGGCTTTCATAAAAATTCAAGCAGAAGGATTTGAAGGAAATGCTTTGAGATTTGATCAATTTCATCAAATTCGGTTGGCTCGATATATAACACCAATGGAAGCATTTTTATCGATTTGGGGTGTGCCTTTAGTGAAAAAATCACATCAGGTTTATAAAATATTATTTTAAATATAATCAATAAAGGTTGATGAACTGGATCTTCATGGTCCAGAAGGACATAAAGTTGCCTTTCAAGAAGGTGAGGAAGAAATAATTGGTGAAAGATTATTGGCGCAAAAAGAAGCTGGAGAAGAACGACTAACCCAATTGACTTCTTATTTTGCGTTTAATAGAGAACTTAAAGAAAAAGGAAAACCCAGACTTTGCTTGACATATGCTAAAGCATATCGACGTTTGAGATATGATAAAATTAAGAAATCATGGAATTTTTACGTAGACCAAAGTGTTGTGAGAAAGAAACTTTGCAGAATGCGGACTGTTTCGCCAACAAATAAAGATCTTTTGGTTTCTTATTTGTCAGATTTTAGATAATTTAATTCAGGCTATTCGCATTCTATTGACAACCGTTGAAGACCCAACATGTTGGGATGATTTACGAACATTTAATGGACAATTGTATTTTAATTTTATTGAAGCGGCAAAAGCACGAGGCTTATTAGATGATGATAATATCTGGAAAGAAACAATTGCTGAAGCTTTTAGCTCTCAGAAAAGAGTTCGACAGCGAATTCGTTGGCTCGCCTTATTTTTTGGATCAGCCAATTTGTCAAACCCCACAGCGTTACTCGATTATGTGTTGGGACTTAAAGAAGACTGGCTTGTCGGCACTAGAGTTGCTGGAAAAAGTTTTGAAGCAAAAAAAGAATATGTACTCAATGCACTCGAGTGGTTTTTAAGAGTTAATGGTGTCAGGCCAGATGAACTAGAACGTGCTGATGATACATATCAATCAGCATGTGAAAAAATCGGCTTACCTCGACCAACATGTAGAAATATACAACCAGAACTTTTAATTCAGGTTGAAAATAAATATTTAAATTTATTCAAAAAAATATAGGCTGAAATTGATGCTGATACAATGCTCAACAACAACGTTGATCCTATATTATTGGAAAAAAATCAACGAAAAAATAAACAGAGATACTATCTTGATCTTTATTTGTCCGATCCTCAACCGAATGATGAACAAAAAGCAATTATTGAGGAAATAAAAGCTGGAATGCAAAGTGCACGCTATGTGCTTGATGGGGAATCACGTGAATTTGCTCCAAATATTCCGAGATTCTTTTTCATTACTGGTGAAGGTGGATCTGGAAAGACATTTACTTACAATGTTAGTTGATAATGATGAAAATATCATTTATTAAGTTTAGAAACTCATCGAATTATTGTTTGCAAGTGGCTTCCGTGTGTTACCAATGGCAAGCACCGGAATTGCGGCAGAGTTGTTGCATAATGGTGCTACAGTGCATAAACGTTTGTGTCGACAGCGGAATGTTGATGCTTCAACGTATCCCAATGTTGAGTATCAAAGCATGTATGCTGAGGTTTTGCGAAATATTCATGGATTCATTATTGACGAAGTGAGTATGCAACATCGTGATGTCCTGGATTTTGTTGATCGATTGTTGCGCTCAATTGCTCAACCAAATTTACAAACAACACCGTTTGGTGGCAAGGTTATATTTTAAAATAATTATATTGTGTGGCGGTTTTTGGTTTTATTTTTTTAAATTTAAGTTAGGTAAGCGCCCGATGATGCTGATATTTTAGAAATATCAGTCGGAGGGTTGCCCCCAAAGAGGAAGCCTTCGCGCGGCGGTGGGTGTCAGTAGGTTACACAGAGGGATAATACAAGGAAACTCAGCTGTAACTGAAGCGAATTCCTCGGAATACTAAAGATGGTGAGATTCCTGCCTAGAATAAAGGCACGGCATATTACTATATTTATTCCATGATTGGTACTTCAGGTTGATAAATGTTTGGACAAAAAGCTTAAATATTTAAATGCACGTTGGATTGTAAAATTGATATAAGGTTCTGGGTTAGTAGCCTTAGGCTCTTGCCAGTGAGGGTGATCCATTAAAACCCTGCGAATGAGAAATTACTGACCTTTGTCAGTATTGTTAGAAAATTTTATAAGATAATAAGAATAGATTGAGATAAAACCAATACACCAAGATATTTTGTGTCATTATTTATTAATATTTTTAGTGCGTCGTGCTTGGTGGTGACTGGAAACAATTAATGCCAGTTGTTGTTGGAGGAAATAGTTTACAACAATTCGACGCATCAGTTAAAAATGTGGAGTTATTCAAAAAAAATTTTGTAACTCGTAAATTACACAAAAATCAACGCCTTGAAAAAGGACAAGAGCAATATCGACAATTCCTTAAGTGTGTAGGAACAGGAGTTCTCAACGACGAAGAAGATCGTGTGAGAATACCGGCTAAGATGCACACAAACTCTAAAGAAGAGCTTATTGACTTTGTTTTTCCACATGAGTTATTAGATAATTCTGTAGCACAATGGAAAGAAATATGTGGACGAGCAATTCTTTGCCCTCTTAACAATGAAACGTTTGAAATTAATAATATTATTATGGTAGGAATATATTAATAAAGTTATGAGCAAAAAATTTAGGATCGAATCTCTGGACAAGAACAAACTTATTATGGTATAACAACGCCTATTATGAGCGAATCTGCAGAAGATGAATTAGTTAATAATATATCTGATGTGGATTATGAAAACTTAATTCGTTTAACACCTGCTGGAGTACCTGAGCATACGCTTAGGATAAAAGTTGGCGCAGTAATGATGCTACTTATTAATTTATCAGTATCAAATGGACTATGCAACGGTACAAGACTCCAAGTAGTGAGGCTCGGACGTAATATGTTGTATTGTCGTGTTTTAACTGGATCAAGCAAAGGAAATTTTATTGAAATATTTCGGACAAGATTTTTATTTGGTGGCGATCCAAAAGCACCAAGAGAAGGAATGCTTCGCTGTGAAAGAATTCAGTTTCCGCTGCGTCCAGGTGCAGCTATGACAATAAATAAAGCGCAAGGTATAAAAATGTGTAATGATTTATTCAAATTTAATTTAGGCCAAACGCTTTCGCGTGTTGGAATTGTTTTGAACACATCTCAATGCTTTTCGCACGGACATTTATATGTTGCCTTATCTCGTGCTCGAGACGTTGACAATGTCCTTATTCTAACTAAAAGAGCTGATAGACGTGTGAAAAATCCTGTTGTTCAGGCCATAATTGATAAAGATGATTTTGATGAAATTGGTCCTATTGATCGGACAGATCCAGTCAGTAGAATATTATTTTATAAATATAATGCTTTCAGATGTTTCAACAAGAAGATTTTAATGAATCTGATACAGACGAACCTGTGACTATAGTTAGAATTCCACATTCACAAAATGCTGAAAGACCTAATGTTGCCTGCTCAAAAGCAGTTATTCGTGCAACGCTTGATTTGCCTATTACAGCAAAAAAAGAACATTTGCTTAAAATTAATGTTATACGAAAACACTTGACATCGGTTGAATCAGATGTCATTACTACTGTAATGCAATCAAATTTGGAGAACAAAATACATGATGAAATTCTAAGAGCTTGTCAACCAGAAATGGACATGCTATTAGAAGCAACGCACTCTATAATTGAGAATATCGGAGTTATGAATTATGGAGACGTAATTCATTCTGAAACATTCGGCGAGCTAAAGAAGATTGCAAAAGGTTTTTATTAAAATTTTTATTGATAAAAGCTGTATTAAATGAATTTTAGTAATTGTTCACATGTTTGCTCCACAAGTAATTGGGAGTCGTTGCACAAATGAAGATAAATTAGCTTTGACAACTTGCTTTTCGAAAGCCTTGGATATAATGAGAGAAAAGGACTTTACGTCAATAGTAATTTTAAGAGATTATTAATATATTTTTTATTTTTAGTCCTTTCCTTGTGGGACATTGCTATATCCTAGAGGTGAAGCAGCAAAAATAATTGTTGAATCGTTATTAGGCTGGATTTCGCGAAATGAAGATTATTTGCCTAATTTGTCAAAGATATTTTTGGTAGTACCGTCAAGAAACGATGAACTTCTTTATAAGGATTCAATGGAAAAGGTTGAACTTTTTATTTTGCATCTTTATCTGTTTTAGGCAAAAAGACAACTACGTACTTTTGCTCGGCACAGTATACGACAAGAAAATCATAATGAAAATATTTACGACAATGCACATAATCAAGATTCGGATATACCACGTGCTCTTCTTGATAATGTAATGGGAGATGGTGACTGCCTTTTCAGGTCTATAATTAGAGGATTGCATGGTGGATCTGAACAACAAGATCTACAAAATGATCAACAACAAATTCTTAGAAGACTAATAGCTCGCAGTTATCAGCGTGATATTGCGAGAGCTACAGATGAAGAAGTGGCAATATTAGTTAATGAGGTAGAATGGAACGCAGAACATATTCAGAGAGCTGGGTTGCTCTTAGATGAGCTTAATCCAAGAGACTCTTTAAGACGTTATAGCATCCATATGATGCACTCGTCAAATTATGATGATACACGATGGGGCTCACATCTTGAAGTTCGATATGCAGAAATTGTACTGAACAGGAATATAATGATTGTGGAAAACCGGAGAGAATTAGTCGGAAATGCATGGCGGGAACTTGATGGAGTTTATGAAGCCATTTTTCTGGGAAATCACGCGATAAACGTTGCCGATTTGGTAAATATTTTATAATTGACTATATAATACTTAATTAGGGTCTTGCTCGATTCACCGAATATAGTCAAATTTTTGACGTGTTGCGCCAAATTAATATGATCGATGTAATTGTGCTTAGGCGAAATGGTTCTCATTATAGACCCATCTATATGGTATTTTTATTTTTATTTAATCATTAATGTTATATTCAGCACCCCATGGATGAACAACAAAGACAGACAAATTTGAATTTGTTAATGAACATTTTACAAGATGTCCCTGATGAACCATGGAATGAATGATTTTTAAAAATATCTTAGTTAAAATGTTGATTTTTTTCGTTTTTAGTAAATCTATATTCAAAGTTTTTTGTCTTTTGATGAACTTTATTGATTCTAAGTATTACTAGGAATCTCTTAGTATTATTTAAGCATGTGAATATCCTTAATTGAAAGTGGTTCTGCCTAGTACGAAAGGAACGGTATATTAAAAAACTTTCTTCAGAGTTGGAGAATTTTATTTATACCTTAAAGGTGTAAAAGCCCCATCATCTGGCATTTTCCATTTACTATTATTGGTAGTTGGTTGCTAAAGCCTAGCACGCAAGTGCGGGTGTCTGTCGGGGCGCAAAATACGTTTATACGACTTGAATACCGATCAAGGGATTTTTTCGGATGCAATTGCGTCTGATTAAATATAGCCTTGATCGGATGATGTCTTTTTTAAATGCTATAGACTTGTTTATTTTCAGATTTTACATTCAGTATAAGAGACCTATTTTCAAATTGAATGAGACTTTGAGTTGTAAATTGAATGAGGAATGAGGAAATGAATGAAACACTTGAGTTACGAAAGTTGAGGTCGGCAAGGATGAAACATTGAATGTTTTCAACTAATTTTACGGGAAATTTTGCTAGAATGCATACGAAATTATCTTATAGTACGAATTTAACTAGATTTCAATAGCCGTGAACATGAGGGCCGAAGGCCCGCATGTTTTCATGACTTAAATTCAAAAGTCTATAACTTTTGAAGTATTAGTCGTAGAAAGATGGCTGAGGTGTCATTCGATCGGGAATTGAATAAGGAGTTGAATAAAGATATTTTTAAGAGTGCCACTTGAGTCTGAGGGTTGGACATTTGAGTCTGAAGTTTTCAAAGTTTGGGAAACTGATCCAATTTAATTTAAACCAGTAGTAATAACGCTGGAGTCAGCTTTTATACCCAAAAGCTATTAAAACTACTCAGCAATTCGCGCCGAACGCTGGTTTATCTATATATAAAAAAATTTACCAACTCATAATAATTTGAAAAAATTTTGAAAAGTAGTGGTCCGATTTGGATGAAATTTTTTTTAAAAAATTTGATGACCCAAAAGCTACAAAAAATGTTCCCACGACGAGTTTCGAAAAAGTTCGGAACCCGGATTTTTCGAAATTTCGAAAGTCGAAATTGAGGATGAATGTCCAAAAACGAAGTCGGAGCGTTTCGGACCTGGAAGAAGAAATGTACAGCGTTCAATTCTGCACCGATTAACCGAAGCGTTTTTTCGATTTGAACTTCCCTAACGGGAGTTATTCCCGGGACAAAAAGGTACTACCCCATTTTTTCCACTTTTTCAATTTTTTTGGTTTTTTTGACATTTCGACATGAAGACGAAATGAAAAATTTTCGAGTTTTAGGGTATTCGAATCTACTTTGAATTCTCTATCGAATGATATAAAAATCATTGAAATCGGATTTTCCGATCGGGAGTTATTGTATCCCAAACCTGCTTTTTGGCGTTTTTTTGTGATTTTTTTAGGTTTTTTCGATTTTTCGATATGAAGTCGAAATGTATAAAATTTAATTTTTAGTACATTTAGACCAGTTTTTAATTCTCTATCAAATGGTAAAAATTTCGTTCAGTTTGGAAAATCCCTTCAGGAGTTATCATCTGCTAAAGTGCCAAAATCGGTTTTTTTATCATTTTAGCAAAAAAATTTTTCGGGCATCCCCGACAAAAAACAAAAGATCTCGACTCGAAAGTCGGATCGAAACAAACTTTTTTTTGTTTGATAGACAATTAACGGGACCATATAGGAAAACTCTAAAAATGTTCGAAATGTTGACTTAAGTTGGTCAAAAGTCGATTGCGACCAAATGAAAAAAACGTTTTTTCGACATTTCGACATGATCCCGAACCCGGCCGATTTCGACCCTTCCCGAAGGTTAAAATTTCACTGAATTTCGCGTCGATCAAAAAAAAGTTCATGCAAATCCGACTTTCCGTTCGGGACTTATGCGTGATACAACGAACCGGGGTAGGGGTAAATTGGGATTTAGTAGGGGTGAATTAGCACAATTCGTCACAGCAACAAAAGATCACTTTTTTTGTTATTATATAAAAATTCGGAACTTGATGCTATATTAGGTAATCGAACATGGAGAGTTCGAAAAAAAAGTTTTAGGTCGGACACTTGAGGTTCAAAAAAGTTATTTGAGTCTGAGCGCAAAAATGCTGATTTTTTTTATTTTTCTTCGATATTTCGACATAAAGTCGAAATTCGAAACATCGAAATTTTGATCATTTAAAAGGGCTTAAATTTCTCTATCGAACGTCGAAAAAATTGTAAAAAACGGATATGCCGTTCGGGAGTAATGGCATCGTAAAGTGCCAAAATTTGTAATTTTTATGAAAAATCTTTATAAACGAACAAAAAAATTTTTAGGTACCCCGGGAAAGAAAAAATAGGGCTTGACTCGAAAGTCGGATCCGGACAAACTTTTTTTCGTTTGAAAGGGGATATATGGGGCCATAGAGGAAAATTATGGAAAAGTTCCAAAAGTCGACTTAAGTGTGTCAAAAGTCGATTGTGACGAAAATGTCGAAAAGTTTTTTCGACTTTTCGATCTGATCCCGAACCCGGAGGATTTCGACCTTGCTTGGAGGGCACAAACCCATTGCATTCCCTATCGAATAAAAAAAAGATCATGTTAATCTGACCTTCCGTTATTGAGTTATGCGTGATTAACCATTTTTTGGGGTGGGCATTTTTGTTATTTTTGTGAAGATTTTATGGGAACTGAAGACAAAATGCCACGGGACAAAAGGGTCAATTTTATGTGCTGATAGGCAATTTTTGAACTTGATCCTATAATAGGTAATCGAACATGGGGAGTTCGAAAAAAATATTTTTAAGTGGGACACTTGAGTCTCAAAAAAGTTATTTGAGTCTGAGTGCAAAAAAGTGGTGGAAATGATCGGAAAATAACTATAAACTTATCCGAACGTGAATAAAATTATTTTTGCGTAAAAGGACGTTTGAGTCTCAACTTTTTTCTACCGAATGGTGAAAAAATTGTGTATGCAATGATTGCAGCAATGATACAAAAAACTGCAAATTATGCGTAGCCCTCGGGTAACCTTGAAACTGTGGTTATATTAAAAGGACATTTGAGTCTCGAAACTTATTTTCAGTCTTTAACATTAATTTTTATAAAAATTAAAGTTAAAGATTGTATTTGAGGGCCGAAGGCCCTCAAATAGACTTCCAACTATTAAATTCTTAATAAATATGCGGGCCGAAGGCCCTCATACATTAAAAATGTTGTATGTTCTGTTCTTTTCTAAAATGCATAACTTTTGAAGTATTAGTCGTACAAAGATGATTGAGGTGCCATTCGATGGGGAATCAAGTGACGAATCGATAAAAAATATTTTCAAAGGTGTCACTTGAGTCTGAGAAGAGATATTTGAGTTTTTAGGTGAAAAATTCCTATTTTTTTCAAAATTTTTACGTAACCAACTCAATACCAAAAACGCTAGAGACAGCAGTTTCGCTCCATTAAGTGGCAACGCCCAGAACGCTAGTTATCTATATATAATAGTAAAAAGGCACTCAGCTAAAAAAAAGTCCTTTTGAAGTTTGAGAGGTTGTAGAGGGGTGGGGTTTTTTGCTATAGATGGGAAATTTAATGTAGTTTTCAGGAAAACCTCCAAAAGTTGGGGGAAAGGGGCGAGTTTTTTAGATATTTCGAAAAAACATGAAATTGCGAAATTTTGATGGGAAATTTGAATGTGAAGACGAAATCGGGCAATGTTGAGTCAGTTACAAGGTATCATCTAGAGCATATTTCGAATATGATAGAAAAAGAGTTGAAGTCGTTCTGACAACTTGAAGGGTAGATGTGCTGTTTACAAGCTTTTATGTCAAAGTGGTAACTTTGGATTTAAGGTGTTTAGAGGAATGGGAGCAAAAAGTGGTTGGGAGAAAAGTTGTAGAGCGTTGTGGGTTTCATAAGAAAAAAGTTGGTTTCAGGTTGATTGGACTAACAGAAAAAAAGATATGGAGTAAAAAGTGCATTTTTGAGGAGAATGTGTAAAGTTATCTTAACTATATTTTGTTTTGGAGATAGCAAAAAAGTTTTGGAAGATGGAAGATAGAGAATTAAATTCTGCATCGAATAAGGTTTGTTTTATGCTTTTTCGACTTTTTTTGAAAAAGTTATGATTTTTTAAAAAAATTAAAATTTTGGGGAAAACTTTTTAATTTTGACGATCTAGACCGTCCGATCTGGAAAGTTAAGCAACGGTGAGGCGTTTTTTGTAACTTTTGAAGTAGTTATTGGAAAAATATGATTGAGGTGTCATTCGACGTGTAAAAATCAAGCGAATTTTTTGAAAATTTTTTGAAGGGGTCACTTGAGTCTGAGGGTGGAATATTTGAGTCTGAAGGCTAAAATCAGTGGAAATGAATTTAAAAAATTCTAAAAATTAATAAGAATATTAAAAAATAAATTTTTAGTAAAAAAGACACTTGAGTCTCACTTATAACTCTCAGTCTGATACTGAAAGATTTTGTAAATATATAAATGTTAACAAATGAGCTATTATTCTAATTTCCGAATTTTAAATCCGAAAATAGCGTGGCCCTCTTTATGGTTTTCAATTTTTAGAAGCCATTCGACTCGGCCTGATCAAGTCTGATTTCGGTGTTGTTGGTGTCAGTCGACGCATCTCGGCTATTCTTTCGAATGCTCTATTAACCTCATTTTTGAATTTTTAATTCAAAAACAGCTTGGTCCCCCTATGGTTTTCAATATTCGAAAGCCTGTAACTCGGCTCGATCATGTCAGATTTCGGTAATTTTGGTGTCATTCGACGGAGCTTGAAGAGTTCTGTCGAATGATATAATCGCCTCATTTTTGAATTTTTAATTCAAAAACAGCTTGGTCCCCCCTATGGTTTTCAATATTCGAAAGCCTGTAACTCGGCTCGATCATGTCAGATTTCGGTAATTTTGGTGTCATTCGACGCAGCTCGGCGAGTTCTGTCGAATGAGCTATTAATCTCATTTTTGAATTTTTATTACAAAAATAGCTTGGTCCCCCCTATGGTTTTCAATGTTTGGGAGCCTGTAACTCGGCTCGATCAAGTCAGATTTTGTTGATTTTGGTGTCATTCGACGCAGCTCGACGAGATCTGTCGAATGATCTATAAAACTCATTTTCGAATTTTCAAACTAAAAATCAGCTTGGTCCCCCCTATGGTTTTTAAATTTCTTGGGCATGTAACTCTGCTCGATCAAGTCAGATTTCGGTGATTTTGGTGTCATTCGACGCAGCTCGACGAGATCTATTAAATTAGATATTAATCTCATTTTCGAATTTTTCGACCATGAGCTCTTTGCACGCAGCTAGAATTCGCTACGTTAGCAGCGTTGGTATTACCGCGGCTGTTTCTTTTCAGTTTCAAAAATTCGAAAATGAGATTAATATCTCATTAAACAGATCTCGTTGAGCTGAGTCGAATGACACCAAAATCAACACGAGCTGACTTAATTGAGTCGAGTTACAAGCTCTCAAAGACCAAAATACCATAGGGGGGACCAAGCTGATTTTTGGGGTAAAAATTCGAAAACGAGATTAATAGCTCGTTTGATAGGTCTCATTAAGCTACGTCGAATGACACCAAAATCACTAAAATCTGTTTTGATTGAGTCGAGTTACAGGCTCCTGAAAATTATAAACAATAGGGGGGACCAAGCTGTTTTTGGAATAAAAATTCGAAATTGGGATTAATAGCTTATTCGAAAGTACTCGTCGAGCTGCGTCGAATGACACCAAAATCAACGAAATCTGACTAGATTGGGCTGAGTTATAGGTTCCCGAAAATTCGAAAACTAATATATTTTGCCATATAACTTTCTAAGAATCAATTGGCCTCCTAAAAAAGTATATATTTTTCTGGGTTTCATGTGACGCTCTACAACATAGGCCATCGAAATCGCATTTTAATTCAAGATCTCAAAAGTTGACTTTTTAAGTCCGCATTTTATACTTATATCTTCTTAAAAAGTGTTCCCATAACCACATGTTCAACTGCTTTTTTGTGTGGAACATTCCTCCCTATAAATTCATCACTAAAGCAGATTGATTCTCTCCTAAAAATTTTAAACTACATCAATTTTAAATCTTCATCCGATTATTTCAACGCTAATTTCAATCATAACTTTAAAAAGACTAGCTATTTTGAAAGAGCATTTTGAGCTGAGTCGAACGACACCAAAATTGTCCGTTTTGGTAAAACTTGAACCGAATTATTGACGTTGCAAGATTTAAAGATATCATAAATCCTGCGGATTATCACGGTACGATCGTTCCGGAAAGATCAAACTTAGGTCAAATTTAGTTTACATGAAGAGGAATTAGAATTCTTGATCTGAAAAAATTTTTTAATAAATCCCTTTGGGAATACGTGTAATTATAAATATGGCAAAAGCTAAAATTTGTGAAATGAAAAATAAAAAAAGTAAAATAAAAAGTCTTCCAAAAGGAAGTCGATTTTATATTTTATAATGCTATGCATTATTAATAAAAGCCATGCTTTATAAAAATGCCGCGAACGTTAAATTGATCTTTTGATCTTGAAAATCCTATTTGGATAATTAATGCTAGAGCTAATACAGTCCCTAAAGCTGAAACTTAAAGAAATTGACGGAAGGGCACCACTAGGAGTGGAGCTTGAGGCTTTATTTGACTCAACACGGGGAAACTCACCCGGACCGGACACTGTGAGGATTGACAGATTGATAGCTTTTTCATGATTCAGCGAATCGTGGTGCTTTAAAGAGCAATAAAAATAAAGAGCATAACAGGTCTGTGATACCCTTAGAGGTCCGGTGCAATATTCTGCCCCTAAAGGGCGTGTGAGCAATTGCTAATTTACCGTGATTGGGATTATAAATTGCAATTATTTTCCGTGAACGAGGAATTCCAAGTAAATGCGAGTCATCATCTCGCGTTGAATACGTCCCTGCCCTTTGTACACACCGCCCGTCGCTGCCCGGGACTGAGCCATTTCGAGAAAATTGGTGACTGTTGATTTAATTTCTTTAAATTACTTTGATGGAAACCAATATAATCGCAGTGGCTTGAACCGGACAAAAGTCGTAACAATGTAGCTGTAGGTGAACCTGCTGCTGGATCATTACTTTATGTAATGATCAAACTTGAATCGCAACTTTTGTTGTGTAACGGCTGTCACTGGTGTCTATGTGTTGCTGATTCAGTTGTATTCGTCCGTGACTGAAAATGAGGTGACACGTTAGGACTCTATTCGTAGAGTTTAAGACTTAATGAGCCACTCTGGACGCCAGCCCATTTTTAATATTTTTTGACTGAACACGAGAATCAAAGCGCACTGCAGAAGCCTTGAAATCAATTCTAATTGTAAAGTCGGTTAATCCTATTTCGAACAAGATTCAAATATAGTTAAAAACACTCATGATTATTGACAATTGACCGAGAGAGTTAAAGCAAAATATCAGAACAGGCTGATTGTACGTATTGGGTATAATCAGTTGTGAATAGTTGTTAGTTGCCGCTACAATTATTCATGGTTCTGTTTAAAAATATGTGAGCCTGTTTGTCAATAGAGTGATACTTGAATCAAATGGTGAATGGTAGTGCATGAAAATTTAATTATTGGGAGAGCGATGGTTTTGAACTATTATAACATTGAACAGCCTGAAACTTTGTTCTGGAAACATTCAGGTGTGGGTAAAAGTAGTGGCACCTACCTTCATCTACCGTTCATTGTTATTAATTGAATGCATGAAAAAACAATCAGAGCCTCTCAATAATATACGATTAGAATTGAAATGATATTAATAAAGAAAACGGCTTGTAAAACCGTAAAAAGTGCTTTAAAAAGATTGCTCATGTTCATAACAGATCTGATATCAAAATTAACACAATCAAAGCAATGCGTTGGAGCTCTGATACCGTAATGGATTGTCGGCACTGGCGTTCTCATTGCGCGAACCTCCTCCCGAAATGCCTGCGGCTATCAATTGCTTCTGGGTGTGTTTAACTTTGTTATCAGTCTTAGTGCATAGAATAACTAAAATTTTAAAGAATTGGCTCTGGAAACAGCTTTAGGTGAACCTACTGCTGGATCATTACTATATGTGATGTAACAATGTAGCTGTAGGATCATTGCTCTGTGTATGATCCTACTGCTGGATCATTGCTCTGTGTATGATCAAACTTGAATCGCAACTTTTGTTGTGTAACGGCTGTCACTGGTGTCTATGTGTTGCTGATTCAGTTGTATTCGTCCGTGACTGAACGTGAGGTGACATGTTAGGACTCTTTTTGTAGAGTTTAAGACTTAATGAGCCTCTCAGGACGCCAGCCCATTTTTAATATTTATTTGTCCCGAAAGATGGTGAACCCGAAAGATGTGAATTGTAATGCAAGTAAACCATTGCATTAGAACGAGGAATTCCAAAAAATTAAAGGATGGCAGCAGTGCTGAATTGAAAAAAATTTTAAGTGGATAGTGGTGCATGGTGCAACTGAACCCTGAGTTGGTTCCAAAGTAATATGACAAAAGGCAGATAGTTAAGTTCGGCAAAAACTAATCTATCTGAGGGCAGCCGATACCTGCTTCCTTGCGTCATATTACTGAATATAATTTGAACTCTAATTTTCAATGCATAGTGTGTTGCAAGGGTTGAAAAATATAATTCATCATGCAACGAAAGGCAAATAATCTACTCGTGCCAGAGGATTTTGTTTGAGAGCAGCCAGATCCTGCTTCCTTTCGTTTGTATGCATGAGTTTTGCCGGTGAAGCCCTAATGGGTGGAGGTTGCCCCCACGAAGGAAGCCTTCGCGCGGCGGTGGGTGTTAGTAGGTTACACAGAGGGATGACACGAGGAAACTCGGCGTAACTGAAGCTAATTCCTTTAGAAAAGGGATGTTTTAATTATCGACTAAATGATGAAAAAAAAGTATGAAGATAATGATTCTTGCGTTGAATCTGATAGTTGATATTCTGCTTATTAATACCATTAAGGTGTTAAAGCCCCAGCATATGGCATTTTCCTTCTACTATTATTGGTAGTTGGTTGCTAAGGCCTAGCACGCAAGTGCGGGTGTCTGTCGGGGCGCAAAAAACGTTTATACGACTTGAATACCTGTCAAGGTGAGTTTCCGGATGCGGTGCATCAGTTGAAACGTAGCCTTGATAGGATGATTTGTCTTTTTTATGTCCTATAGACTTGTTTATTTTCAAAAAGAGATTGAATAATTCTGAGACCTTTGTTGTAAATTTAAAAATAACGGCTTAACAAAATGGAAATATAAAAATGGAAATATAAAATTTATATTTTTTGAAAGACAAATTTAAAAATGGTAAAAAATATTTTCAGTCCTGGACTGAAACTGAGACTCTTCAAGATAATTCAGTCCTGGACTGTAACTTGATACTCTAATGAACAGGTGCCTGCGACTGTCCGAAACCGATACGACTTGGATGATGCGGGTACGATAAATGATATATGATTTTTAGTGCATATTTATATACCATGAGGGAGGAAAATGCAGCCTCGGTAATTCCAGCTTTTTGATACATGCTTGCTCAAAAAGCTTTAGAAAAGCTCGGTTTATAATAAATTTGAATTATAAAACTGACATGTTGGTTCTGGGTTAGTAGCCTTAGGCTTTAGCCAGTGAGGGTGATCCACTAAAACCCTGCAAATGAGAAATACTTGATATATTTTAAATATTACAGCCTTATATATATTAAGCATCCCAGGCTTTAAATGGGTAGCTGTTATATTTCTACATATTAATATAAACTTAATTTTTATTTAGATTAAAATTTATTAAAATGGTTAGTAGTGCGTATAAACGACGAGAGAAAATAAGAGATTGTAATAGAAGGAGACGATCTTTAGATAATGCTTCTTTGAGTATTCGTAATGATGGCCAACCTTTACAAAAACGGTTTATGCAAGAAATTTATCGTAAATTTATTTATATTATTTAAACAAGATTTATTAAAGATGAGATGTCTATTAATTTGACAAACAGTGAGCCTATTAATAAAGGCGGGAGGCCAAGAAAAGTAATTAGATCTGGCCGTCCACGAAAGAATTTAAATCCTGTTCCACAGGCAGCTTTTGATTATGAAGTGAATGCGCAACAAGAATTCAATCGTGAAATTAATGTTGAAGATTTTTCTGAATCAGTTGTTTCACATGCTTCAACAACAACTTTAAGAAGATCTTCCCGTATTTCACAATGTAGTTCACGTCTAAATGAAGTATTGGATTCGTGGCCAGTTTTTAGCCCAATTACTCAACGTTGTGACCGTACTCATTTTGGATTAGGATGTGGTGCCAAAGGTGCAAACCATATGCCTATTTATTATGACTCTTTGTCAAAGGTGAAATTATATTAAATTATTTATTTAAAGGTAATTACATTTATATAGGATGATGTTCGGTGCAAATATTGCAAGGCTAATTTATTACCATCCGAAGCCGTTGGGAACACTGCTTATTCTAAATGTTGTGCAAAAGGCCGTGTCAGTATGTCTGAAAAGTACACTTTTTTGCAAGACATACCTATCGAATTGTTTGTTGTTTTTACCGATCCAACAAAAATTACACAACGTGATAATATTTTAAAACATTCAATGCTCTATAATGATCAATTGGCATTTGGCCATATACAAATTCAACGACAACGAGATTTTACTGAGTCACATAAGATCGTAAAATGTAATAATATGATCAACTATTTGTTATGGGATTTTAACCCACCTGGAGGTGGCGAGCAGCCTTTGTTGCGTGGTCAACTATTTACTATTCCTGCTAATGAAGCAGCAAATAGATTGACTGAAATAGCAGCCGATGTCGAATTAGATGTTAGCTTTTTATATTTTTTAAACTTATTAAATATTTTTAGCAACAATTGTTGATCTTTTTACATAACATTTTACGTGACTATCATCCATTTTCTGCATTATATCGGATTGCATCAGAGGCTTATAGCAATTTGACTGAAGAAGAGCAAATAAATTTTCGAATGCTAGTGATTGATACAAATAAGATTGGTGTTGAACGTGTTAGACAAGACGATGAAATTCAGCCTATTGATATTAATCCTCAAGATGCTGAAGCGATAAGGCGAATTCATCCTGGTAGACTTGAAGCGCAAACAGCTGCTGGAAGTCGCCTGGTAGCACAGGTTTTATATTAAACTAATGACATTTCTAAAATAATTTATGCAGATTTATTTGGATACTGGGGCAAATGTACCAGACTCGTTACACTATGATGTTATTCTGAAAGGTCGTCAAGGAACCGGACAAGTTAAAATGTCTTGGTGGGACAGGAATATAGATCCAACTCTTTTTCCTTTATTATTTTCAAGAGGACAATGTGGTTTCGGTATGAAATTTATTTGGCGATTCTATTTTATTTCTTAGAGAATGGAATAAATTTAACCCTTCGACCAGGAGAAGAGTTGAATCGTGCCAATCAACTTGTGGATAATGAAGGTGAAGAAGTAGAAGCATTTGAAGAGCTTGGAGAAGGTGAAGAGTTTTTGGATCCTGTTTTTGAGGCACGCCAACACAGTCGTGATATGGTGTCAAGATCCCAGTATATTAGATATATGTTCCATCAGAGAGGATCATGGCGAGATTCACATTGGTTATGGAACTGGGGACAATTAGCTCAGTTATATGTTATTGCCTATAACAATCGGGTGGAAGCCCAGAAAGTGCAATATATTAAAACACTGCAAGGGAGAACAAGATTTGTTCGTCCTGGAGCTTTGCTTAACTGGCTTGAAAAATTGCGTGATCAGCAAGGTTTTTCTATAACTCATTTTATTTAAACGATTGTCTAGGGTTAAAAGGACCGATTGGACAAATCTATATGACGAATGAGCATTTTCGTGGCTCTATTCAATTTTATCAAAAACAATACGGAAATTGTATGACAATATGCAGAGAAATTGGTTCTGTTGACCTGCTTATTACATTTACAATGAATCCTGAAGCGGAAGAACTAAGACGTATGATTCCTGAAGGTTATTCATGGGCAGATCGGCCAATGGAAGTTTGTAGATTATTTATTGATAAATTGCATGAACTTGAATGCGACTTAACACAACGTGAAGTTATGGGCCCTGTAAAGGGTTGGTTTTGGAGCTTGGAACACCAAAAACGGTATAGTATAAATATTGAATGTTAAATATTTTTTAGCGGTTTGCCACATGTGCATTTTGCTGTTATTCTTGATTGGGACCGTATGCGAACTCAAGGATGCATATTTACAAAAGAAGACTATATGGATCAGTATATTTCTGCTGAGATTCCAGATTTACCAAATGAAAATGATCAGTCTCAATCGGCTCAGTTACAGCGAGAACTTTATAGAGTTATTGTTAGCGCAAATATTCATAAATGTGATAAACGCTGTTTAAGAGATGGTCGTTGTAAACAACGCTTTCCTGTTTGTTGTTCTTAATTTTTGAGTAATATTTTATTTTAGAAAAAATATTCAGATGACAATAAATATTCGGATAATGCATATCCTGATTATAGACGAAGGGCTCCAGCCCCAAATGAAGAAGAACGGAAAAAAGATCCTCTGATCTATGGAAACGCACATTCATATACAGATAGATATGGGCAGCAACATTTTATTACGAATACAAATGTAGTGCCTTATAGCCCATTTCTTTCTTCTAAATACAAGGCGCAGTAAGTTTTTTCTGTTAATGTTAAATAATTTCTTTAGTATTAACGTTGAACTTGTGGCAGGCGATGGAAGTGTAAAATATATTTGTAAATATACGATGAAAGGAGCCGATATGGCTTTTATAAAAATTCAAGCAGAAGGATTTGAAGGAAATGCTTTGAGATTTGACCAGTTCCATCAAATTCGTTTGGCTCGATATATAACACCAATGGAAGCATTTTTATCGATCTGGGGTGTGCCTTTAGTGAAAAAATCACATCAGGTTTATAAAATATTATTTTAAATATAATAAATAAAGGTTGATGAATTGGATCTTCATGGTCCAGAAGGACATAAAGTTGCCTTTCAAGAAGGCGAGGAGGAAATAATTGGTGAAAGATTATTAGCACAAAGAGAAGCTGGAGAAGAGCGATTAACCCAATTGACTTCTTATTTTGCGTTTAATAGAGAACTTAAAGAAAAAGGAAAACCCAGACTTTGCTTGACATATGCTAAAGCATATCGACGTTTGAGATATGATAAAATTAAGAAATCGTGGAATTTTTACGTAGACCAAAGTGTTGTTAGAAGAAAACTTTGCAGAATGCGGACTGTTTCGCCAACAAATAAAGATCTTTTGGTTTGTTTTTTTGGCAGATTTTAAATAATTTAATTCAGGCTATTCGTATTCTGTTGACAACCGTTGAAGACCCAACATGTTGGGATGACTTACGAACATTTAATGGGCAAATATATTTTAACTTTATTGAAGCGGCAAAAGCAAGAGGCTTATTAGATGATGATAATATCTGGAAAGATACAATTACTGAAGCCTTTGGTTCTCAAAAAAGAGTACGACAGAGAATTCGTTGGCTCGCCTTATTTTTTGGATCTGCCAATTTGTCAAATCCCACATCGTTACTTGATTATGTGTTAGGACTTAAAGAAGACTGGCTTGTCGGCACTAGAGTTGCTGGAAAAAGTTTTGAAGCAAGAAAAGAATATGTTCTCAACGCTCTTGAGTGGTTTTTAAGGGTTAATGGTGTCCGGCCAGATGAACTAGAACGTGATGATGATACATATCAATCAGCCTGTGAAAAAATCGGCTTACCTCGACCAACATGTAGAAATATACAACCAGAACTTTTAATTCAGGTTGTAAATTAATATGTAAATTTATTAAGAAAATATAGGCTGAAATTGATGCTGATACAATGCTAAACAACAACGTTGATCCTATTTTATTGGAAAAAAATCAACGAAAAAATAAACAGAGATACTATCTTGATCTTTATTTGTCCAATCCTCAGCCGAATGACGAACAAAAAGCAATTATTGAGGAAATAAAAGCTGGAATGCAGAGTGCACGTTATGTGATAGATGGGGAATCGCGTGAATTTGCACCAAATATTCCGAGATTCTTTTTCATTACTGGTGAAGGTGGATCTGGAAAGACATTTACTTACAATGTTAGTTGATAATAATGAATATATCATTTATTAAGTTTAGAAACTCATCGAATTATTGTTTGCAAGTGGCTTCCGTGTGTTACCAATGGCAAGCACCGGAATTGCGGCAGAGTTGTTGCATACTGGTGCGACAGTGCATAAACGATTGTGTCGGCAGCGGAATGTGGATGCTTCAACGTATCCTAATGTTGAGTATCAAAGCATGTATGCTGAGGTTTTGCGAAATATTCACGGATTCATTATTGACGAAGTGAGTATGCAACATCGCGATGTCTTGGATTTTGTTGATCGATTGTTGCGTTCTATTGCTCCTCCAAATTTACAATCAACACCGTTTGGTGGCAAGGTTATATTTTTAAATAAGTATATCATTTGTCGGTTTTTGGTTTTATTTTTCAATTTAAGTTAGGTAAGCGCCCGATGATGCTGATATTTTAGAAATATCAGTCGGAGGGTTGCCCCCAAAGAGGAAGCCTTCGCGCGGCGGTGGGTGTCAGTAGGTTACACAGAGGGATAATACAAGGAAACTCAGCTGTAACTGAAGCGAATTCCTCGGAATACGAAAGATGGTGAAATTGCTGCCTAGAATAAAGGCACGGCATATTACTATATTTATTCTATAATTGGAGATTTACGTCATGTTGATAAATGTTTAAACAAACGCTTAAATATTTAAATGCACGTTGGATTGTAAAACTGATATAAGGTTCTGGGTTAGTAGCCTTAGGCTTTTGCCAGTGAGGGTGATCCATTAAAACCCTGCGAATGAGGAATTATTGACCTTTGTCAGTATTGTTAGAAAGTTTTATAAGATAATAAGTATAGATTGAGATAAAACCCATACACCAAGATATTTTGTGTCATTAATTATTCATATCTTTTAGTGCGTCGTGCTTGGTGGTGACTGGAAACAATTAATGCCAGTTGTTGTTGGAGGAAATAGTTTACAGCAATTTGACGCATCGGTTAAAAATATGGACTTATTCGAGAAAAATTTTGTAACTCGTAAATTACACAAAAATCAACGCCTTGAAAAAGGACAAGAGCAATATCGACAATTCCTTAAGTGTGTAGGAACAGGAGTTCTCAATGACGAAGAAGATCGTGTGAGAATACCGGCTAAGATGCACACAAACTCTAAAGAGGAGCTTATTAACTTTGTTTTTCCACATGAGTTATTAGATAATTCTGTATCACAATGGAAAGAAATAAGTGGACGAGCAATTCTTTGCCCTCTTAACAATGAGACATTTGAAATTAATAATATTATTATGGTAAGAATATATGAATAATGTTGTGACTAAAATTTAGGATCGAATCTCCGGACAAGAACAGACTTATTATGGTATAACAACGCCTATTATGAGCGAATCTGCAGAAGATGAATTAGTTAATAATATATCTGATGTGGATTATGAAAACTTAATTCGGTTAACACCTGCTGGAGTACCTGAGCATACGCTTAGAATAAAAGTTGGAGCAGTAATGATGCTACTTATTAATTTATCTGTATCAAATGGCTTATGCAACGGTACAAGACTCCAAATATTGAGACTCGGACGCAATATGTTGTATTGCCGAGTCTTAACTGGATCAAGCAAAGGAAATTTTATTGAAATATTTCGGACAAGATTTTTGTTTGGTGGCGATCCAAAAGCACCAAGAGAAGGAATGCTTCGTTGTGAACGAATCCAGTTTCCGCTACGTCCAGGTGCAGCTATGACAATTAATAAAGCGCAAGGTATAAAAATATGTAGTTTTATTCCTATTTAATTTAGGCCAAACGCTTTCGCGTGTTGGAATTGTTTTGAATACATCTCAATGCTTTTCACACGGACATTTATATGTTGCCTTATCTCGTGCTCGAGACGTTGACAATGTCCTTATTCTAACTAAAAGAGCTGACAGACGTGTGAAAAATCCTGTCGTTCAGGCCATCATCGATAAAGATGATTTTGATGAAATTGGTCCTATTGATCGGACAGATCCAGTTAGTAGATATATTATTTTATAAATATAATGCTTTCAGATGTTTCAACAAGAAGACTTTACTGAATCTGACACAGAAGAACCAGTGTCTATAGTTAGAATTCCTCATTGTCAAACTGCTGAGAGACCTAATGTAGCCTGCTCAAATGCAGTTATTCGTGCAACGCTTGATTTGCCTATTACAGCAAAAAAAGAACATTTGCTTAAAATTACTGTTATACGAAAACACTTGACATCGGTTGAATCAGATGTCATTACTACTGTAATGCAATCAAATTCGGAGAATAAAATCCATGAAGAAATTCTAAGAGCTTGTCAACCAGAAATGAACCTGCTATTAGAATCAATGCAAACTACAATTGAGAATATTGGAGTAATGAATTCTGGAGACGTAATTCAGTCTGAAACTTTCGGTGAACTAAAGAAAATTGCCAAAGGTTGTTATTAAAATTTTTATGTATAAAATCTGTATTGAATGAATTTTAGTAATTGTTCATATGTTTGCTCCACAAGTAATTGGGAGTCGTTGCACTAATGAGGATAAATTAGCTTTGACAGCATGCTTTTCGAAAGCCTTGGATATAATGAGAGAAAAGGATTTTACGTCAATTGTAATTTTAAAAGTTTATTAATATATTATTTATTTTTAGTCCTTTCCTTGTGGGACATTTCTATATCCTAGAGGTGAAGCAGCCAAAATAATAGTTGAATCGTTGCTAATCTGGATTTCGCAAAATGAGGATTATTTGCCTAAATTATCTAAGATATTTTTGGTAGTACCATCAAGAAACGATGAACTTCTTTATAAGGATTCATTGGAAAAGGTTGAACTTTTTAATTAGCATCCTTATCTGTTTTAGGCAAAAAGACAACTACGTACTATTGCTCGGCACAGTATACGACAAGAAAATCATAATGAAAATATTTGTGACAATGCGCATAGTGAAAATTTGAATATACCACGTGCTCTTCTTGATAATGTAATTGGAGATGGTGACTGCCTCTTTAGATCTATAATTAGAGCACTGCATGGTGGATCTGAACAACAAGATCTACAAAATGATCAACAACAAATTCTTAGAAGACTAATAGCTCGCAGTTATCAGCGTGATATTGCGAGAGCTACAGATGAAGAAGTGGCAATATTAGTTAATGAGGTAGAATGGAACGCAGAACATATTCAGAGAGCTGGGTTGCTCTTAGATGAGCTTAATCCAAGAGCCTCTTTGAGACGTTATAGCATCCATATGATGCACTCGTCAAATTATGATGATACACGATGGGGCTCACATCTTGAAGTTAGATATGCAGAAATTGTACTGAACAGGAATATAATGATTGTGGAAAACCGGAGAGAATTAGTCGGAAATGCATGGCGGGAACTGGATGGAGTTTATGAAGCAATTTTTCTGGGAAATCATGAAATAAACATTGCTGATTTGGTAAATATTTAATCATTGGCTACATAATATTTAATTAGGGTCTTGCTCGATTCACCGAATACAGTCAAATTTTTGACGTGTTGCGCCAACTTAATATGATCGATGTAATTGTGCTTAGGCGAAGTGGATCTCATTATAGACCCATCTATATGGTATTTTGATTTTTATTTAATCGTTAATATTATATTCAGCACCCCATGGATGAACAACAAAGACAGATAAATCTGAATTTGTTGATGAACATTTTACACGATGTCCCTGATGAACCATGGAATGAATAATATTTAAAAATATTTTGTTTTGTTAGAATGTGATTTTTTTGTTTTTAGTAAATTTTTATTCGAAAAGTTTTTTGTTTTAGTAGGTTTTACTTTATGGAGTCTTAGTATTTCCAGGGATCCATTAGAATTCGTTTAAGTATGTGAAGAGCCAGAATTAGAAACGAAAGATGGTGATAGTTCTGCCTAGTACGGAAGGAAAGATAATGAAAAAAAATTTTCTCGATGTTGGAGAATTTTATTTATACCTTTAAGATTTAAAAGCCCCAGCATATGGCATTCTCCTTCTACTATGATTGGTAGCAGGTTGCTAAAGCCTTAGCACGCAAGTGCGGGTTTCTGTCGGGGCGCAAAATACGTTTATACGACTTGAATACCGATCAAGGGATTTTTTCGGATGCAATTGCGTCTGATTAAATATAGCCTTGGTCGGATGATGTCTTTTTTAAATGCTATAGACTTGTTTATTTTCAGATTTTACATACAGTATAGGGACCAATTTTCAAATTGAATGAGACATTGAATTGTAAATTAAATGGGGAATAAATGCGTAATTAATCGAAAAATTGAAATGAAAATCTGTGTATAAAATCAGTATCTATTTAATAAAAATATAATCAGAAACCTGCACTGGTCATACCCCTTTAAATTTTGAAAAAACTGAAAATTTTTGAATTTTCGAAAAATCGACCCTAAGACCCCCAAACCTTAAGTTTTTCAGAAATTTTTTAGTATCAAAAAATTTCTAATTTTTTTCTCTATTTAATAATTCGAAGTTGGTTTGAATCAGAGCAAAACTCACAAAGTTATGGCCGATTTAAATTTTTCTAAAATATTTCATAAGGGGTAACCCTTTGAAAGATTTTAAGTAAATTTTTTTCAAGAAAATTTTCTAATTTTTGGCCATAATAGGTTTTAATAATCGATGATAACGGATCCGTTGTCCGTTTATTTTAAAAAAATTTTTCCTCCAAGTTAGAGACCAAAAAGTTTCACTCTTGGCCTGAAGTTGTGGAGACCCAAGATTTGGTCACTCATAAATTTGTACAAAATGGTCAGAAATTTTTTCTGATTTTATTTTTATACTCAGCTCATTAAGTGCTTCCATTTGATATATAATTTGGGCAGGTTTTAAAATTTTTGGTAAAGTTTGAGATTTCGGCCAAAAATTTTGCTCGATTTTTTCAAAAAAATTTTTGAAAAATCATAACTTCGTTTGTTTTTGGGATTTTGGAAAAGTTTAAAGTTTATTATGTGTATAAAAACAGGCTTTATTTTTAAAAAATATAATCAGAAACCTGCTCTGGTCATACCCCTTTAAATTTTGAAAAAACTGAAAATTTTTGAATTTTCAAAAAATCGACCCTAAGACCCCCAAACCTTAAGTTTTTCAGAAATTTTTTAGTTTCAAAAAATTTCTAATTTTTTTCTCTATTTAATAATTCGGAGTTGGTTGAATCAGAGCAAAACTCACAAAGTTATGGCCGATTTAAATTTTTCTAAAATATTTCATAAGGGGTACCCCAGTGAAAAATTTTGGAAAAATTTTTTTCGAGAGAATTTTCTAATTTTCGGCAATTCTATGTTTTAATTGGCGCTGATAACGGATCCGTTGTCCGTTTATTTTTAAAAAAATTTATCCTCCAAGTTAGAGGCCAAAAAGTTTCACTCTTGGCCTGAATTTATGGAGACCAAGGTTTGGTCACTCATAACTTTGTACAAAATGGTCAGAATTTTTTTTTGATTTTATTATTAGACTCAGCTCATTGAGAGCTTTCATTTGATATATCATTTGGACCACTTTAAAATTTTTTTAGAAAAATTCAAGTTTTGGCCAAAAATTTTTGTTGATTTTTCAGAAAATTATTTGAAAAATCATAACTTTGTTAGTTGTAGGTATTTTGGCAAAATTTAAAGATTATTATGGTATAAAATCTGGCTTTATTTTAAAAAAATATAATCAAAAACCTACACTTCTTGTACCCGTTTAAATTTTGAAAAAACCAAAAATTTTTGATTTTTCAAAAAATCGACACTTAGACCCTCTAACCTTAAGTTTTTCAGAAATTTTTGTACATTAAAAAATTTCTAATTTTTTACTCTATTTAATATTTTTGTTTGGTTCGAATTTGATCATAACTCACAAAGTTATGGTAGATCAAAGTTTTTCGGAAATATTTAATAAGTGTACCCCTTTGAAAAATTTTTGTAAATTTTTTTTGAGAAACTTTTCTAATTTTTGGCCATAATAGGTTTTAATAGACGGGGATAACGAATCCTTTGTCCGTTTATTTAAAAAAAATTTTTGCTCTAAATTAGAGGCCAAAATTTCTCAGTCCTCCACAGATTATGTGTAGGAACATAAGATTTTTTTCTGTTTTTAACCGTGCTCAGTCGTTTTTTGTTACAAAGATTATTATTCTAATGAATAATAATCTCGGGGAAAAATTCGGAACGCGTTGCAGAAAACGCGTTGCCGGAGGCAACCGCAAGAAATTAAAAATATTTTTTTAAATTCGGAACGCGTTGCCGGAGGCAGGAAAACATGCGGGCCGAAGGCCCGCATGTTTTTATGACTTAAATGTAAAAATTTATAACTTTTGAAGTATTAGACATAGAAAGATGATTGAGGTGTCATTCGATGGGGAATTGAATGAGGAGTTGAATGAAAATATTTTCAAAGGTGTCACTTGAGTCTGAGAATGGACATTTGAGTCTGAAATTTTCAAGTGCTGGGAAAGTGATCCAAATTGAATTCTTTTGATTGTAATAACGCTGGAGTCAGCCTTTATACCCAAAAGCTATTAAAACTACTCAGCAATTCGCGCCGAACGCTGGTTCTGATTTGTAAAATAATTATAAAATTGTAAAACTTGGATAATTCTGATTTATAAATTCTGATTTTTTATTCTTAAATATCTTGATTATAAAATTCTGATTATTTACAAGTAGGTTGAGTGTTATAAAAAATTTTGATAAATGTGAAATTCTGATTTTGTAAAACTTAATTGTAAATTAAATTAATTCTGATTTGTAAACTTGAAATATTATCAACTTTATTATCTTTTTATTCTATTTTCTACCCTTTTTGCCCTTTTTCTATTCAATTTCATATTTCCTTCATGTCTCCTCTTACTAATTATTTCATTATCTTCATTCTTCAATTTTCTTCTTTGTCTTCCCCCAATTTTAAAATTTTCCTTTCTCCTCATTTCCCCACTTCTTTTAGTTAACAACACCCTCCTCTTTGTTGTTTTTATTATTTTTGGAACAGAAATTCTGATTTTATTTTTTTTCTGATTTTCGTCACTCAGAGGGGTTATTACTGCTTCAGTATTATTTAAATTTTCCCTTCTGATTTTTTCTGGTAGCAATTTTTCTATGTTTATTCTCTCCTTTTTAGCTTTCCTTCTGGGTGTTTTTAATGATTTTATTTTTCGTCTAGTTGGGGTAGTTCTGTGTTTTTGACCGTTTTTGGTGGTTGGGAGTGTGGTTGCTTCAGTTAATAAATTGAAAAGACCAGCAATGTTTGTTGTGAGCTTGAGTTCGTCTTGGAAGGCTTTGACGCAGTCTTCGGGGACTTTAAAAAGGGAAAATAATTTTTTTGAAAATTTTTTCATAAAATCAAAAAAATTACGTTTGCGACAGCTTTGCTTCATTTGGTCATCTTCCATGCATATTTCTCTTTCTGGTTTGCAATCCAGCTCGCACTGGTCGAGAACGGGTACCCATTGGGCGTCAGAAAATGGCTGTCCGCCTGGAAAAACATACTTTAAAAATTTTAATAAATACAAACATAATATTTGATTCCTGAAGAGAAATTCTACTAATTCTGCAGCATTTATAGGTGTTGTTAAAAATATTAATATTGAATTTAATAATTGTAAAAACAATAGCCTGACAATTAAACAATCATGCATCTACTTAAATGTTTCAAGTTTAATTTTAAATTTGCTTAAGTTTATTTTCAAGTTTTATTTTTGTGTTTCAAGTTTATTTTGTATTTTATAGGTTTTAAGTGTTAATAATTCAAGTTTGTATTTCAGGCTGGTTTTTGTGTTTTTAAAGTTTATTTGTGTGCTTCAAGTTTATTTTTGTATTTCAAGTTTATTTTTCTGCTTCAAGTTAATTTCAAGTTTATTTTTGTAATCCAAGTTTATTTATAAGTTTTAAGTCAAGTTTGTATTTCAAGTTTGTAATTTTCTGTGTTTCAAGTTTATTATTTTGCTTCAAGTTTATTTTTTATACATATTTCTTGCTTCATATTACAAGTTTTATTTATATTTAAAAGTTTCAACTTACTAAATGCTTCAGAAAATTAAAAATAGTACATATAATCCAATAAAATAAATAATAAAAAAATATTTTTACAATCTAATAAAATAATAACAAAATAATGTGGCCAGAAGCTATATGAAGCAAATTAATTAACAACTACATAGAAGCAATTTAATCTATTAGGTGTGTAAAATCGCAACCATTAGCATTTCCCCTCCAATAAAAATAAATTTATTAAATTAACAAAAAGAGAGAATTGGGTGAATTAATTAATAGAAAAAGAGGGAAGAAATTTTGTAGAGAGAGAGATTGATTGGTCAGGACCGGTTGTCGGATTTGTCAATTGCTTCCCCCTCCCTTACCTTAGGGGAGAATGTTTATATATATTTATTGTTAAGGAAAGCACCCCTTTTTGGATTTATTTTTTTATTATCCTTCCGCGTGTCCGTGATCTTTATCATTTTAAAGGGGGTTTATTTGATAAATTATCAGTTTAACAGAGAGAGAAACATTGTTTCCGAAGCAAAAAATGCTGCAACCTTAAATTAATAAAGTTGCAACTTTAATGAAAAATAAACTTGAGATTACAAACTTAAGTTAAATAAATTAAAGTTTTACAAATTTAATAAAAGCTTAAAAATGCTTCAACTTTGTTTATAGAAAATAAAGTTTCTTAGAAGCAACTCTTAAAGAATACTGTATTTTTAATTTTAAAAATTAGTAAATAAAAATTATATTTATTTTTAACTTAATTTTATATATAGTAAAAAATTATTAATTTAGATAAATTATCAAAAAGTGAATCTGTCAGAAAAATATTAAATAGCTTTACCATTACCCCTTTGGTAAAGGTTGCGCAAACATACCTCTTATTTGTTAGGCTATTCTCTCCGATTGACCTTTTTACAGCTACCAATAATTTTTATTATTTTTTAACGATTTATTAGATGATTTATTAAAATATAAAAATAATTAAAAAGGAAAAAAGAAAAATATTGTTAAGAAAGTCAAAGTTGAAGCAAGCAATAAATTCTGAAACTTGCTGCTAGCCGAGTTACAAAAATTCTCCTTACAAAAACAAAGGGAAGGAGAACCAGAACGACAATGTAAATTCTGTGGAATTGAAACATCTGCTTTGTAAATTCGAGATCTACATCCACGTATGACAAATTCTAAGCCTGTTAAAGTTTATAAATAAATTTAGAAGCAAAAAAAGTTTCAAGTTTATATTAAATTCAAGTTTTTAAGTTTACAAACTTGTAATCTTAAGTTTATTACAAAAAAGTGTAATTCAAGTTTATTTAAAGTTGTTTTATTTTATTTAAAGTTTACCAACTTTAAATTTAAGTTTGCAGTTGTTTCAAGTTTAATAATAAAGTTGAATTATCAAATTATTTTAAACTTAAGTTTTTAAGTTTGCAAACTTGGATTTTAAAGTTTATTTATAAAAATCAAGTTTTAGTCTAAATTCCTCCTTAAGTTTATTTATTTTTTTCAAGTTTAAGCTTAAAGTATATGACTGTGCGCAAAAAACGCCAAAATACGAATTTACGCCAAAATTGGATTTAAAAATAAACAAAACGCCAAAACATAATTTTTAAAAATATTAATTTAAAAAATCACCTTCATTAACCGCTTTAACCTTCACACATTGATCATTTGCCGTTGAACATTGAATAGTGGGTATTGTTTTAAATTCAATATCGTCTTCCATATTACAAAAACGGCTCACTTAAATTTTTTAAATAAAAATAGAAACAATCTAAATGCCTGGGGGCAATTCATAAACAGAATTTAGAAACACTCGAAGGGCCATTTTTGCATTTTCTTCAATATTAGGGTTTAAAGTGGTTGTACAAGAGTAGCAGATGAGTGCCCATGAAGGCACTAGAATTTTTAAAATAAAAAATAATAATAAAGGAATTTGTTGGTGGTTATTAAAGAACATTTTGTAAACAAGTAATTTGCTATTTTTAATTTTGCTTCAAGTTTGATTTATTTGCTTCAAGTTTATTTTTTCTTCTAAATTCTTTGCTTCAAGTTGTACACGTTGTTATTTATATTAAACTTTAATTTTTCAAGTTTAAGCTTAAAAATAGGGTTGTAACCTGAACACTCGAAAGCAGAAAAATTTTTAAGTTTATTTTTACAACAACCTTGCCCATATTTATTTAAAATATTTAGTTGATGGCAAGTCGGTTGCCTAGGAATATATTTTTATGAAAATAAATCTCTTCAAAATATTTTTCAGGAAAACACGGAGAGTAGTATAGTAGCATTAAAAACAGGCGATGTTTATGGATATATTAAGAAAATAAATTAATGGAAGAAAAAATTTATCTACTTTTTTCTAATTTAAGTTTAAGTTTATTTTTCAAATTTAAGCTTAAAGGGTGCTGTGCGCAAAAAAACGCCAAAATTATTTTTTCTAAAAATTTTTTACCAAGAAAAATTCTTTTCAAAAATTATTTTTTCAAAATTTATTTATCTTTTCATATGTTCAAAATTAAATTGTAAATTAATAGTACAAAGTATAGTGTGTATATGTATATCACAAAAAAAACATATTTTTAAATAAACAGAAAAAAATAAAATAAAGTATGTAGTCCTTAAAGGTAAAACAACTAATAAAAAAAATCTTAAAATTCCCCCTTTAACCCCCTCTACCCAACCAAAAAAAATTTTTTTGACAAAATTCTCAATTTAAATGAAATCCTTTTTCATATGTAGCGGCCAATAAACGTTCCCGTAAAATTGTGGCAGTGCTATATTCGGGCAATTTTAAATAATGTACACAAGTATTTACTGACTGAAAAATTTGGAAAAATTAATTTAAAAAATTTTTTTCTCAAACTTACAGGATAAGATCCATCTCCAGACCCAACTTTTCTTACAATTGTTAAGCGTGGATGTAAATTTGCTAGACCTCCAGGTGGTAATGAAGAACAACTATTTTTGAAAATTATTTTAATTTAATAAAAACACAGTCAAATCTCTATATAAGACAGAAAAAAAAATGGAACAGAAAAAATCGTCGCTTATAATAAGGTGTCTGTTAAATAGAGAAAAAGGGTATTGATAAGATAGAGGGTATCACTTACCGTTTTACCCAACCCAGCGATTCAATTTTAAAAAAATCGTCTCTTAAATGGAAGCTTGGACCTCACTATAGGAGACCCCCTTGTAACAAAAAGTATCTTATAATGAGGCGAAAGGTATCACTTAAATAGAAGGTATCATTTAACAAACACCCTCATCCAATAGCTAACCAAGTTTTAAAGAAACAGCGCTTAAATAGAGATGTATCTAGTATTAGATATGTCTTATATGGAAGTGTTAAGTTTAAAAAATTTCTTTATTTACCCGGTTGTAAATTGTAAAAAGGCTTTGCGTTCAGTCGAATCGAAATTATTCAAAACATCAACAAAGTTGATAAAAACAGGCGAATCACGGGTATATCTTAATTAAAAAAATAAAGTTAAAAAGTAGAAGAAATTAATAAAAACAATTAAGATCATGTTTTAAATATTGAAAAAAAATTTTGTCAGGAGTTTAAAAAAATTTTTCAAAAAATTTCGAAAATAATTATTTCCTATAGAAGGGGGGGGGTCGTGGGTTCGATACCGCTTGGGGAAATTATTTTTTAAAAGAATTTTAAATGTGTTGGTAAGTCAAAAACTCTATGAAAATTTAATTTTAATCTCCAAAAAATAATAATTTACCCAAGTTTAGGTTCTGTATAACGCAATAAATCTTCTCTTGTCCATTTAGGGCATTGTTCACCAGAAATAAGTAACTACAATTAAAAAAAAATTATTAATTTAAAAAAATAATTAAAAAATTTAAAAATAACAAATAAAAATTTTACTTGAAGTTCTGATGCAGAAAACGGAATTAAAGAAGACAAGGGTAGAACCATATTAAATCCATGTTTAAAGGCAAACACCTTTGAAAAAAAATTTTTTTAATAATTAAAAAAATAATATTTGAAAGCCTTAATAAAATAATATAGTACATACAATTTAGACATTGGGTCTCATTATAAGAAATTTAAAAAAAATTTTTCTCAAAAAAAAATTTAATAGACATTCTCATGAACTTTGAGAGGTAATGGGTTCGACCACGCGTGGGGAAATTATTTTCTTTAAATGATTTTAGATGGGCGTGGGGAGTCAGTGGTGATTTTCCAAGCCCCACAGCGAACAGATTTTTTTAATAATTTCAAATTCCCTCTAAACAAACCTGCTCTTTAATTCCCGTATTTAAATAAAAATCAAGGCATTTTTCAATATAAAGCTCAACATTTTCTAAAGTCACGTCAATATTTAAACCGTTTTCAATTAGTTCAGCATGTGAATATGGAAAGACTTTAGATGGAGGATTTACAGCAAAAGTTAAAGACAAATCTGAAAATTATAAAAATGGTAAACGTATTAGAATAATTAAAGATCTATGTATTTAAAAAAATTAAAAAATTGCAGAAAAATAATTTGTCCGCAAAATTTTTGCGGACAAATTTTTTTGTAGACATTTTTCAGAAGACATCACCAATTGTTAATAATAAGAAATAAGATATAAAAAAATAAATATTAATTAAAAGAAACCAGGAAGAAAAAAAATCCGCAAAAATTGTCCGCAAAAAAATTTTTAGTCCGCAAAAATAAATCAAAAAAATAATAAAAATTTTTTAATTTAAAATTTTCCAAACCTTCCAAGGAACATTCAGAATCCCCAAATTGCACAAGTATTTTTTCAGAATCGTTTTTATTATTTAATTCTTTTATTTTTAAATTATATTCAATTAATGATTTGAGCAATTTTGCCTTTTCTGGGAATATTTGCATAAAATCATCCAAATTGAGAACTGAATCAATTGATGAAGGAGTTGAAGAGGAAGAATTTAACTTGAAAAAAATTTTTTAGATTTAAATTGAAAAAAATTTTTTTTGTTAAAATATACCTCTGTAGAAAGAATTAATTTCAAAAATACTGGAGATAGGGGTAAATCAACAAGCCGATCATCCTGAAAAAAAAAGTTCGAATTAAATATAAAAAGAGAAATCTACGCAAAGTTTTTGTCCATAAACAATATTTTTCCACAAAAAATATTTTTTAACTGATATATGCCCACAAAAAAAAATTTTTTTTTAAAAAGGGTAAACCTATTGGAAAAGGCCCACCCAACGTTAGCATAAGTTCTAAAAAGCTAAAAACGGAACCGAGGTTCTCAGCTCCTGGAAAAAAAGAAGTCAACAAAATTTACACACGCAAAAAATTAAAAAAAATTCCCCAAAAAATTATTAAAATTTAAAAAAAATTTTTCGCAAACTTGTATAGCTTTAGCAATAAAAACTCCAAATAATTGGAAAAATTCCAATTGTTTTGAAAAATCAGCATCACAATTTGTAGTTGTAGGCCATGGTGCCGGGAATAAACCACCAACAGAATGGACATAATAACCTGGAGGTTTACAACAAGGATTGAGTATTGTTGAAGAAGAATCTGATGATTGAATAGAAGAATTTTTGTTTAATGAAGCATCTTCCTCATCATCACATAACCACATACACAAATCTTTACGTTGAAATTCTGTGGCAATCTTTAAAAAATAAAATTTTAACAAAGAAACAAGACACATGATCGCAGAGAAGGCAATATTATTATTATTACATATTCAAACCTCCCCGTTCGTGTTTTAAATTCCCAAAAATAATTTTTTAAAGAAAAAGCATGAAATAGAAAAGCCCGCAAATTTAATCCGCAAAAAAATTAATTAAAAGTGGATCATAAGATATGTCCCAAAACTAGGTTAAAAATTTTTTTTATTTTTAAAATATATTTTTTTAAATTTATCTTGGGTTTCAAATGTTAACAATAAGCCCCAAATTTAGTAAAATAATTAAAAAATACCAAAGCAAAAAATTCCAATGTAGGCCCCAAACCAGTTCCTTCTTCGCCATAATATTCAATTTCAAGAATAGATTTACGTGTAGCATGGAATTTAAGTACTTTAATTGCATTTTCCAAAAATAGTTTATCACTTCGATGAACCTAAAAAAAATAATAATTTTTAGTTAAAAATACTTTCAAAAAATTTTTTTAAACTCATTTTTCATTGTCAGTTATATTTTTAATAATCGACTTGTTTGGATTTTCATCCCCTATGTTTTAATTTTGAGAGAAAAAATAAGATTTCTAATTAAATTAAATTTGGCTTATATGCCTTCACTCCAAAAAAGTCTGCAAACTTTATCCGCAAGTCTTTCTTCTGTATTCTAAACCTACCCACCATTTTTTGTCCCCAAAAATATTCTTTCTCTCTCAAAAAATATTTTAAAAAAACCTTAATTCTCTCATGTTTAACACGTCCAATTCTATATTCAAGATAATGATCTTCTCTTCTCAATCCAGCCATATTACTTGTACCAGCTGCCGATGTAGCAGCAGAACGGCTTTGTTCAAGTAAATGATCACGACGATTTTGTAAATAACCTATAGCACGAGATGTTCCAAATGCTTTGAAAAAAAAGTTTCCTTTTAGAAAAATTTTTAAAATAAAAAACCTGTTGTATTAAGATACATAACACGTGTATCCATAGAGAATAAACAAGGAAATTTGTAAACTGCAAAAAAAATTTTTTTTTAATTTATATTCAAATTTAGATTAAAAAAAGACAGGCTTAAAATTATAATATTTGAAGAGCAAAAAAATTTTTTTAAAGGCTTAAGAATTTGAAAGAAAAAGCCACAAAAAGTCTTCAAATTTTGTCCACAAAATTTTGTCCGCAATTCGAACTATTTTTAAGTAAAATAGTCAAAAGGGTTAATTTTGAAGAATCAAATAGAGTATCCCTTTTTTGAGAGCAATAAAAAAAAATGACAAACTCAATAAATTATTTAAAAATCCAAAAAATCAAAATTTTTGAACAAAAAAAATTCAACAACTTGTCTATATAAAATTAAAAAAGAACAAAACAAACCTAATTCATTACACCAAGAAGGCAAAGTTTTTGCAGCAACAACTAATGGATCTGCCAATTCTTGACATAATTTTTGAGTTAATTTGGCACTATAAAATACATATGATTTTAATGAAGATAAAGAAGTAGTGGAAGAATCAATTTCTGATAAAGAAGATTGTTGGTTGTTAATTGTAGTTGCCAAAAAATTTAAAATTCGAACGAGTTCGAGAGCCTATTTAAAAAAAAAGTAATTTTTTTTTAGATTTATTTTTAAATTTAGTAAAATTTTGTAAATTTTTAGAAAATTTAATTGAAGATCAAAACCCCAAAAAATAAGAAAAATACGATTTTTAATTAGAAATTTTTAATCCTTAAACCACTTAACCACAATAAATATAAAGGGGGAAAATTTTAATTAAAAATTCCACTTATGATTATTTTGGTTAAGTGGGATAGAGAACAATTTTTAACTAGATTTAGGTGAATGTATAAAAAATAATTTTTGGGTTTGATACCGGATAACAAAAAAATGTAAAAATTTAAAAAAATTTCTCAAAAATTAAATTCATTAAAATTTTCAATAAAAAAATTTTTTTAAAGTTAAAATATTCATTTTTTTGAAATTTATTAAAAATAAAAACCTGTCCAACTAGAGGAACATTATTACTACTTTCACCACAAATTTTATTGTTATCCAAACAGTTTAAATTTTCCTCTACTTCTTCTTGTTTCAAAACTTGATCATTTTTTTCATTTTTATCAGAATTTATTTCATAAATTATAGTATAAGTATTTTCCCACAATTGATTATTTAATTCTAAAGAAGTACCTCCACTAGTTGCTTTGTGTTGTGAATTTTTAATAAGCAATTCTTGGACTAAAAAGAAAAAAAATATTTTTTTAACAATTCACTCAAGAACATCCTTTATGTACACCTACAGAGGGACAGGAAAAATCAAATAATATTAAAATGATAAATGAGATTCTCCTTAATTAAAAAATCGGGAAGAAGGTATGTAAAAATAAGCACATAACAGAAAAGAGACTCGGTTAAGCAATAAGTCAGGGCAAGTTTGAATCGTAATTCAAAATTTCCTTGGAATCCAAGTTGGAATAAAAATAAAATAAAAAATAAATAAAGATCCCAGACATACATAGAAGGGAGATAGGCCGGGTTGAGAAAAGTCAAGGTTATAGTTTCAAAATTTGGATCAGGTTTTGGATTTCGGATCGAAAAAAGTTCAGGCTTCAGAAGGTCGAGGGACCCGGTCCCTCTTTACATAAGTGAGGTCCACTTTAAATTAAATTTAAAAAATAGAAAAAAACCAAACCATATTTAAATAACGAAACATTTTCATCATTTAATTCAACCAAAATTTCTTTTTTTGCAATTTTTCCTTCTTTATTTTCCAATTTGCCTTCTTCACTTCCTTTTTCTTCTTCACCAACACTTTCAACAACAACATTTTTCTTATTATTATTAACTTCCATTTTAAGATAAAGCTTTAATTGTAATTGTTTTAAACATGATTTTTTTGGTTTAATTTGTTGGTGATTATTTGAAGTATTTGTTGTAGAAGGTTGGTAAGTATTAAATTGAATATTATCGACAAGCTCAACTTCTTGAGTCTAAAAAAATAAAAAGAATTTTTTCAGAGACTTGAAATTTTTTTTTAAAATTTTTAGACTAGAAATGTGAGGAAAAATGTATGGAAATGTACTCAAATATTTTAGGTGAAAAAAAAAAGAAATTTTGATATTTGATTATTCAAGCAACAGCGTTTTTAAAAAATAGAATTTAAAAATATTTTTTGACAAGGATAAAGGAGAAAATTAATTTTCTTCAAATTCCCATTCTAAAAATTAGTGGGAAAGTTCAATAGTCAGAATCGGACAAAAGTCATTTTCTGAGAAAACGAACATTTCATTAACGATAAGAAGTTAAAGGAAATAAACCGTATTTATGGGCGTCTTCGTCTTAAAATCATACCAATAAAAATATATCTCAAATTTTTTGGCTTCCCCTAGCAGAAATATTTCTTTAGAACGATTGGTCCCATACGAAAAATGCCAATAAAAATTTTAAAAAATTCTTAACAGAATATGCCCAGTCAACAAATAATAAAACAAAAATTATAAACCTGATTAACATTAGTTCTACCAGGTCTTGGATCAAAAGCTGGGATTAAAGCATCAAAGTGTTGCCTCAAAACAAATTCATCATTCCACCCACCATTATTATTATTTGTAGAATTTGAAGATTTATTAATTCCAGCACCTCCTCCTGAACGTATAGCACGTGCACAACCACCACCAGTTCTTTAAAAAAATAAAATTTTTCCCCTTCCTTTCTATCAAAAAAAACATACTTATCACCAATATTTCCACCACTATTTGCTGCCAAAATTTCTTCTTGAGAAAACATTTGACGCCAACGTTTATGTGTATCTGAAGAAGAAGATCCCGATCCACTACCAAATATATGACCACCAAAAGCATCACCTCTTTCTATAATTGCACGAATTGCAGCTAATGCAGCTTGAGGATTACCAGCAGCTTGGCTAAAAATTGGAAAAAAAATTTCTCAAATTCTCATTGTCATAATTATAAAATTATATGTAATTCAGCCTTTTATTTTGAATCTCATAAAAAAGAAATGTAGGTGTATTGGGACCAAGGGCGTAGCCAGGGGTTGAAGCCCCCCCCCCTTCCCCGAAATAGAAGAAAGTGGAAAATTGGAAAAATTTTAGGAGTGAAATGATGAATAATGGATAAATACCTACTCTTTCTTAAAAAATTTTTTTTTGACTATACCTAAAGCTTAACGTCCCGAGAATGAAAGTTATTTTTTGTTTACCAGCCCAAGAAAATATTTAAAAAAAAAAATAAAATTTAACAAACCTAATACTTTCCAATGCAGCAACTGCTTCACTTAAAATACTTGTAGAACCAATTCCATCACCTATAATATTTGAAGCTGTTGATGTAGGTATTATAGCTGTTGCTTTCTCTCCAGTATTACCCGAAGGATCCGAAGGAAGTGAAAAACCTCCTCCTCCAACAGACTCATTTAAATCTACAGGTTCACATTCTGCTTCAATATAATATTGATTAAGTAATTCATCATCATAAATATCACTTTCAAATTCATTATCATCAACAAATGTTTCATCGCTAGTATCACCACCTTCAATAACCTTGAAAAAAAAATTTTTTTAGAATAAAAAAATAAGAAATTTTAACCTGACTCATCATATGTTTTAAAATATCAGTGTAACTCCCAATTTTTTCACGTATATTGCCGATACCAGAAGAAGCTCCAGAGCCTGATGCTATTAAAATAAATTTTTTTATTAGAATTCTGATCAAAAATTCTAATGGAAAATTCAAAGCAAAAATTCGTTTAAAAATTCTGATCAGAAATTTTGTCCAGAAATTCTGGTCATAAATTCTGATGAGAAATTCTGATTAGAGATTCTGCTAAAAATTCGGGTCATAAATTCCGATCAGAAATTCTAATGTAAAATTTGATCAAAAATTCTGGCCAGAAATTCTGATCAGAGATTCTGCTAAAAATTTTGGTGATAAATAATGATTTAGAATTCTGGTAAAAAATTTTGAAAGAAAATTCTGATCAAAAATTCTGGCCAGAAATTCTGGTCATAAATTCTGATGAGATATTCTGATCAGAAATTTTGATAGAAAATTCTGATCAAATTTCAAATAGATTTGACAAGTTTCTGATAACTCTGGCTATTTTTTCTGGCCCTCATTAATACTCCGACGCTTAAATCAAATACAAAAAATAAATACTTACTAGAAGCTTGTTGATCAGTTGTACGTCTCGGCATCATCGCCGATTTTCTTTGGCTATGTCTACTTCCTCCACCGCCTCCTGTATTTGAACTCGCAGTTTTTGTAGAATTATTATCTCCAGCAATATCTTCTTCAGAACATTCAATTGCTGTTTTTAATGAAGATGTTTCTTCCTCAATAATAACATCACGCATTGGTATACCAACAGTAGCAGAAGAGTCAGTGGCCGTCAAATCAGAAGCTGTTTCAACAACAACAGTTTCATCAACTTCTGTAGTATGTTCTGATTGATGGACTTCTACTTGTTCTTAAAAAAAGATAAAAGTCTTATGTCAGCCCTCATTTATAGTAAAAACCTTGAGAATAGAAAATTAGTATCTTATAATGAGGTATATAATAAATAGAGAGTATCAGTTAGTTGACTCCCCCAGACTTGCTCTACAAAATGAGAGGAAGGGAAAAATAGTGTCAAACCAATTTAAAACTCCCCTCCTCCTCTTGAAATTCTACCCCTAGATACACCAAAATAATGAGGCGACTCCCTCTACTCCAATGGCCTTCAAATTAAAAATCGGATTTTATAAGAAGCGTCTCTTAAATAGAGAGTATCTCTTAGGTGACTTCTCCAACTTCAGTAGCCACCCCACTCCAAAAAAAGCTTATCCTAAATAGAGGTTCTCTTAAAGTGAAGGCTTACTCCTCACTTAATTTTAAGAAAATAAACCCTTCATTATTTCACCTTCAATAAGATCTCCACCAAATAATTCTTGTGGCATCATAAATGGACCATCCATAAATTGTAAAAGATCAGCTACTTCTTGTTCATGTTTTTGAATAGATTCTTTACAAAAAATTAATTTTTTTTTAAATTCAAAGAAAGAAAGAAAACCATTAATAGTATCAGTAGAAGATTCAGTACATTGTTGTTGATCTTCCTCTTCTTCTAAACGTTCACTGGATGAATCAACAGTGTGACAACGTTCTTTTGTATTAGAAAATGTGTTTGTATTGAGAACGGGTTGGGAACCGCCGGCAAATGAACTATGAAAAAAATTTATTTTTTATTCTGATTAAAATTCTGATTTTTGGAACAGAAATTCTGATTTTAAAAAATCCGATAAATTCTGAAAATTCTGATTTTTAAAAAAAATTCTGATTTCTGCCAAAAATTCTGATCTCTGTTAAAATTCTGATTTATGAAAAATTCTGATTTCTAAAAAACTTCTAATTCAAGAAAATTCTGATTCCTAAAAATTCTGACAAAATTCTGATTTCTGATAAAATTCTGATAATTTGCCAATCTTTAACACCCCCAATAAACATTCATTTACCTTGCCCCAATAGAAAGTCCACTTTGTGCAGCAGCATCTTCGCTTCCTTTTCTTTGATCAAATCTTCCAGGTAAATTTTCAAATGTCGGTAAAATTCTAGGCTCTGGACTGCCCGAATTAGGAGTTGCCATAGATTCCTCAGGAATACTATAATTATGTAAAAGTGCCTTTGAAAGTAGATTTTCTAGTGAAGGTGTTTGGTGTTGAAGTGATTCTGCACTAGCTGCTTGGTTGAACGAAGCAGAAGAATTAACTTTAGAACGACGATCGGCCTGGAGAAAATAAGAAAAAAATTTTTTTTATAAATTAAAAAATTAAGTCAGACCTCGATAAAAGATACACCCAATACCCTTTCTAGGCCATTAGGTAGGACCCCAATATACAACTAAACCCTCTGGTCCATTAGGTGGGAGCATCTGTCTAACAATAAAACATATCCCTTATTTAAAGTATCCCTCCAAATATGATACCCCCAATAAAAAAAACACTCCTATACTAAACCCAATACAAAGAAGTTGGCTGGTCATAGGGTGGGGTTAGGAGAGCTGTCTAAACGATACTCTCTATTTAAGGTCCCTCGCTATAAAAAACGCCGCTATTCAGACTCTATATTGTATCTAAAAATGATGCTCGACTTAATAAATTTATTTAAAAAACCCCCAACATCAAAAAGATTTGTAGTAGACATAGATTTTTGTTGTTGTTGAGAGACATTTGAACCTTCATCTTTATTTGAGGTTTTCTAAAATATTAAATTTCTTTAAAGTTTAAAAAAACAAAAAAAACCTCAGACAAATCTTTTTGTTGTAAACCTCCTCCTCTTTGTGTTCTAGATGATCCACTACTTGTTTTAGTACTTGATTTTTGAGAACCAGTAGTTAATCCAGACTTTTTTGAACTAATAGTAGAAGAAGAATATTTTCCTCCTTGTCTAGTAGGTACTTTTATATTTCCACCAATCTTTTAAAAAAATTTTTTATGCAAATTAAAAAAAGGGTAGTTTTCAAAGATGTGTTTTGAAAACAAACAATATTATTCCCAATTTTTTTTGGTAAATCTAAACAAAAGATGAGGACGGTTTACCTTAGAAACACAATCAGAGACAGGAAAAAAATTTTTTGTTTGAAAAATCGAATCGAAGCACAACCCGATTTTTTCTCACACAAAACCCCTCGCCCAAAAACTTTGTCACTTTTCGACTCAAACCAGACTAGAAAAAAAATTTTGAAACCCCTACACGAAACTCGATTCGTCAATTTTTTTGTTCTTAACCCGGTTCATCCACGCCTTAAAACCAATTTTTAAAATTTAAACTCCACAAAAATGTTTTTCCTCTCCCTTAAAATTTCCTCCAAAATCGATATTTTGGTAAGAAATAATTGAAAAACAATAGATATAGTATTTATCGAAAACTAAAGTTATCCCCCCTAATTTTAGACAAAGACTTTGAACTACTCCATTAAAAAATTAAAAGAAAAACCTTTTCCAAACAACTAGAATCACGTGTACTCCAAGGATTTGTATTAGCAGCATTTATACTAGCAGCATTACGTCCATTATTTGTTTTTGTAGTTGTATCAGCTTCCCCAGAATTATTTTTCTTTCTTAAATCGGTTATATTTGTAGCAGCTGTCGAAACATTTGAAGCAATCTTTTCAACATATTTAGGCAATTTTCTTGCAATTCTTAATGATGCTGCAGTTGGTGGACGAGTATAATGTTGTAAATTTGTTGAAGTTGTGGTAGTGGAAGTAGTGGTTGCTGTTGAATTTTTTGAATTTGTAAAATGTTCATTAAGATATGATTTTAATGCTGCAATTGTTACTAATGGCTCTGCTTTGAGTGAACGATTTGTTCTAAAAAAAGATTAAAAAATTTTCATTTCATTAAGAGAAGACATTTTATCCCAAAAATCAACTTGGCTTATAAAAACTCCAAAAAAATTTTTATTAATTAAGCCTACCCCTTTTAAATTATTAACTCAAAAACTCAAAAAACAATAGAAATTTGAATAATCAGGTCAATATAAAGTTTGAAAAAAATTTTTCTGATAGAAAAAGAAGACATTTCAGCCCAAAAATTAATAAAAAAAATTTTCTAAAAATATTTCTTCTTAAACAAAATTCAACAAAAACTTACATATCAACAAATTCTCTTTCACTTTTTAAAGTTGAAGGAGCAGAATTCTTTTTCTTTGCATTTTCAAATCGAAAACGTAAACGTCTTGTTAAAAGTTGAAAACCAAAAGGACTTCCCCCTGGACAATCATATAAAAATTGAGGAAATTTTTCCATTGATTCCAATACAAGAATTACAATGCGAACTAAAGCGCTCAAATCACGAGGATTAAAGAAAATCTGAAAAAAAATTTTTAAAACATTTTGTCCCACCCATATTTAAAAAAATCAAAAAAAAAAGAGAAAAACCTCAGTAAACAATTCAGCAAGTATTCCAGATGGATTTGCTTCAATTAATTTTACCAAATTCAAAAGAGCTGGAACAAGACCCGAAATTGAAATTTCAAAAATAGATAATTGACGATCATCAGATAAAGAAGAGCGAATTTTTTTGAGTATTGAAACAAACTGAAATTTTTTCATAATAAATAGAAAAAAATCATGCGGATTTTTTCTATCCGCAAAAAAATTTTGCGGATTTTTTATAAAAAAATTTAAATTAGAAGAAACCTCATTTTTACTCTTTTCCAAATTTTTTCCTTCTTCATCCCAATCATCTTTTCCTTCCATTTCAACAATTTCATTTGCCAATTTATCCAATGCTTCACAACATTTTAAAATTTCTTGGACTGCTTCTCTCGGTCTATCACAAACTTCTTTTAAATAATTTTCCCAAATTTCTTTTGCAAGCTCTCCAACTTTCTGTTTTTGAACTTCTACGCGGAAATAGCGAAGGCGTCGACCACCTCCTCGAGCTGCCCATCCAGTCACAAAATCGTGGCCTTAAAAAAAATTTTTTATTTTCAAGAGTCCTCTATCCTCTATCATCGGAAGCATCTTTTCACGTTCATTTTTTTAAATATTTTTCCCCATAATTTTCAATCCCCCTCGGTAATGATTGAGAAATCTAATCAAATGAAAATGGAAATAAAAAAAATTTTTTTTTTTAATCCAACAAAAAGTCCATAAAAGACAGGCAAACCTCCTCGATCATAAGAAGTTAACTCCAATTATTTTTAAAAGTTTTTGCAAAATTATCGTAAAAATCCTCCCCCTCTATCCCACATACCTAATGTAGATTCTGCAGTAAACATTTGTTTTTGTTGTCTACTCGATTCAAATACAAATCCTGGCATATCATCTTTTATTGTCATTTTTTGTTGAATTCCTTCTTTATTTGTAATATTTAAAGTATTTAATTCTGACGAATTTAAAAGCCAATTTCCAGATTCTAATGGTTTTGTTGTTTTTTCTGGGCGAGGAATTGATAAAATTGAATGGGAAGGAGCACCAACTGGGATTGAACTTTTCGCTTTTCTTATTTTTTCAAAAAATTCTGCACGAGTATCTGCATTATCCGCACCATATTCTGGGCTTCCACTGCTGTATAATGTACTTAAGCGTCCATTCATTAAGAAACGTAGCCAGCCATTTGAGCCGTCACTATAAAATTTTAAAATTAATTAGTGTTTTTCCGGGCTATGGGAACCGGAGTCAAAGAACCGGAATCTCTGAAACCAAGGAATCGCAGTCCCTGTAACCAAGAAGTAACAAGAAAACTGGAAGTAGACAATGGGATCTAATAGTAAATATAATCTCAATCTACTCAATAACTGAACGTCGTTTCCATGGCAAAATCGTCCTTGGAAGGAATGAATAACAAAAAAATTTTGGACAGCTTTCCACCAATCAATTTATGGAAGGTCCCATTCTAATGCCTATCAGCCGACCCAATGACCTTCTAAAATCTAATCGTGAGAAAACTATCAGGAGAACCAGAACTACTGGACCGTTTAATCTTTTCAAACAGAGAGGAGCCTAAACTGTTAGACTATTTTTTCTTACGGCTCCGGGGCAACACTGGCATGAGACTGGATAAACCTACGACCATTAATAATTATTTTTTATTAAAAAATTCAAAAGAAACCTCAATTCTAACGCAACAGCGTCACACCAAACAAATAAAGAATCATTTGCTCGAATTAGTCGCCAATCACGCCAACGATAGTAAACACCGGGAGTTAAAGTCCAAACATCATCAGAACCAGCAACGGCTGGAGTAGCTGTCGAAACAGATTCTTTAGATTTAGACTCTTCAGGTTTGTTGTCAGTAGAAGCAGCGTCTTCGACTATTTGAACACCCAATGCCTAAAAATAAAAAAAAATTAAGAGAAAAGTAATATAGTCGGACATCACTTGCAAATATATCCTCTTAAGGTATCGTGTCTTATATTGAGGTGATCTTAAAAGGAGAGCTAAAGACTCATGTCAGACAGTTTCCTCATTTGGTAATCAACAAAATAGTGTCTATTATTGTAAATAAAGGTTAGACATCACTATGTAAAAGACCTAACTACCGATGTCGAAAAATATTGCCCCTTATAAAGGGTTGTCTCTTAAATAGAGGGCATCGCTTGGACAGTGTCCCTCAACCGCTTAAAATTTAAGAAAAACATCTCTGAAATAAAGGTATATCTAATATAGGGTGATCATGTAGCAAGGTCCATCTATCTCCTAAATCCTAAATTAAATCAAACCCAGCCCTCCCCCTCCTGCCTAAAAAACCCAAAAAAACCTGTGCAATAGTTGTAGCAGCTTCAACCAAATCGCTATTAAATATTTGTGTATCAATTTCAACACCTTCTTCCTCTTCTTCTCCAATCAAATTATTTTCAACTTCTTCTTTAGCTGTAGAGCATGAAAGTCTTCGTTCATCAACAATTAATTCATTTGTTGGGGATGGAGTAATTTCATCGTTGTTTGCAGAATTTTGATTATTTCTGGCAATGTTTAAATCAGTTGATGGAACTGTCGAATCAGAACGTAAACTAATTGAAGGTGTTGAAGATATTGATCTTTAAAATAAATTTTTTTAGAAATTAAATTTTAGTTAGATCCCCTCTCCTCCCGCGTAACCAACAAAGCAAACTCAAAAAAAGAAAGCCATAATCCCAAAAATAAGTCAATAAAGTCGAATAGACCATCGAGATTATCACCGATTGGTGGAAAATTTGCAAAAATAAAATCTCTATTCATTTTTAATTGGTTTGAGGTTCTTACGATTAGAATAGGCAAAGATATAATTTTATAAAAATAAATCTGGAATACCCAAATGAAGTTTTTAAACTCATTCACTACCAATAACGTCAATAGACCTCACAAATATTAAATTTTAGACGTCAGACATTTAAGAATTTTAATTAAAACCCTGGTATCTCTATCTAATCCTTAACGCCGGACTCTTAAAAAATTTAAAAAAGGAATCAAAAAAGGCTAAAATAATGACGAGGAGGCAAGGAGGATGAGACAATTATTTGAAAATTAACAAAAAACATAATTAAAACACACAAACCTATTAGCTGTATATACAGAATTTGTTGAAATATTATCCTCTTCCCTTTTTTCACCACAAGACAAAGCCGCCAAATTATTATTATTATTTAATGCTGTTGATTCAGCATTTCCTCCTCCTAAAGTTGTTGAAGAACAACCTCCAATTTTTTCCTCAAAATTATTTTCTTTTTCATTTGACGTTTTTGTTGTTGTTTCTTCTGCTGCCTCTCTTGCCAAAATTTCAATTTTTTCATAAACACCCAATTTGATTAATTGTTCAGACCAAAATTTGGCATTTTTAAGTAATAAAGATTTTATTATCTAAAAATTAAAAAAAAATTTATATGTAAAATGCTAGAGTAAGGATGCCCCAGGCAAAAAAAATCTGGACATTTTTCGATTAAACCGAGACCTAGATTAAACCGAAAATTTTTTCTATGCACCTAAAGGTAACATAGAGCCTTAGGGTGTCCAGAATCTAAAAATTTCAAGGCTATAGTCCTAGAACGGAGTAAGAACTAGTACGAAATAGAGGAATTGTCTCTTATAATACACTAAAAAATCTCTCAAAAAATTTTTAAATCCCACTCTCTAAAAACATTTTCACCTAACAAGAAAACAACAAAATAAACAAACCAATAAAGCCTGCTCTTTAGCATCTACATTATTTTCTCCACTTTCCAGAATAATTATTAAAACCCCAATAAGCATTTCAACAAAACCACTTTGTTGTTTTTGTTGATTTGATGAAACTAATTCTTTTTTAAAAGAAATTACATCTAATAAGCCATCATTAGAAATATGAAAAATACTTTTGCGTATTAAAGTAAGTGTAACACGACGAATTGCAGTTGAAAGAGAAGACTAGAAAAATTTTTTAAAAAATTAAATTTAAAATAAAAAATGGAAAAAATGGCTCGCTTCGGTCAAAGACAATGATAGTTAGTCTACAGAGGGCTATAAATCTAATAAATCGAACCTGGCTAAATTTCGGTATGATTTACTCGAATTATTGTGTAAAATGATAAGAGTAGGGTAGACCCCGAGCCTTCGGAGGGCGGGATCGAGCTTTGCCGATGTAGTTCGTGTTGGGGTTTTTGCCTAATAGTCGGGATCGGGGTTTCGGAAGTAATCCAGCGGGATCCCTCTCGTCCAATCTTTTGAAAAATAATCACGTTATGGGATCAAGGAGTGTGATCTAACCCATTAAAATTTAATTTAAAAAAAAATCACCCCCCCCCCCATTTAATTACCAAAAACAAAAAGTAAAATCAAAAACCTTGAAAATTGTACAAAAAATTGGCAACAATTGTTGAATAAAACTTTCTGCTAAACCAGGGTCTATATTTGTTTCTTCTTCAATTTTTACAGCCTCCTTTTGTTCCTTAACTGTTGCTTGTTTTTCTTCCTTTTTATCTTGTTCTTTTAATGCTGCACAAGTAATTGAAGAACTCATATAAATTCCTGGATTTGAAAGAATTTCACAAACAATTTGGTGAGCTTCATCATTGCGTTCGCGAGCCTTATCTAATGCTATGCGGCCTTCTTCCTTTAAAGAAAAAAAGATTACTTTTTAAATTCGTTGAACAATCTTAAAAATATTTTTGAAGTCAAATCTCACTAAAAGATAAAACAAGACACATAACCAGGCTAGGAGGGAGTGGGATTCCCCCCCCCCCCCCCCAATGGGAAAAAGGAGAAAAATTGCAGAGGAGAAAATAAAAAATTGGACAGAGAGAAAAAAGAGAAATTCTTTTGGCCTACGGCCCTCCAAATCCAAAATTTTCAAATGCAGCGCAAAAAACAAAATTTTAGGCGCCTTTGATGCCAAGAATAAATTTTCCCCGGAAAACTTCTGATTACAGGCCTGAATAGATCCTTTGCTGAAAAATCGTCCCTTATAATAATCTTATAGTGAGCTTCTAGTTCAAAGGTCAATTAAAAAAAATTTTTACATCTTGCAAGTCAGGATTAGCTCCATAACGCAAAAGAATCTTGACAATCTTTAAAAAAATTATTTAAAAAAATATTTTACTAGAAAAAAACCTCAGCCCTTCCAAAACACGCAGCATAATGTAAAGAAGACGACCTCAATCCTTTATTTGGATCAGCTCCTTTATCACACAAATAAATAACCATATCAGGTGTTCCAAAAGCTGCACACCAATTTAATAATGTTTGGCCTACATCGTCTGTCATATTTGGATCAACCTTTAAAAATTAAATTAAAAATGTTTCAAAAAAATATTTCTCTCTCCCCAACATTTACTTATTTTCTTCCTTCCTTTTCTACTAAAAATTTTCGGCTCTTAAAGATTTTTTTAAGTTATAAAAAATTTTTTTGGCCTCCTAATAAGATTCCTACAAATTCACAACGTCTTTTTTAAGCTGCGCATCTTAGTCCCATAATCATTTGTATTTTTAGTAGAAAAGTAAATACAAAAGGACAGAGTGAGGTAAATTTAATTTATTAAAAAAAATTTTACAGATTCATTTTCAACAGCGTCAATTAAAGCATCAGTGTCTCTTTGTCTAATTGAGTCGATAAGGTTGCGATGTGCCTTGTCTAGAGAAGAAACAGCACCTTTAAGAAAAATTTAAAAAATATTGGAACAATTATGGCAATTTAAAACAATTATGGCCAACATTTTCAAATCTATTCAATTAATGATCTATCTGACTTTGGGGAAACCAAACGAGGATAAAAGGGATAAAAAAGGGAAGGAAGTAGTTCCAAATAGAATTGGAATGATAAGATGATGATTCTAGTATTACGTTCACAGTTTAAAACGTTTAGTTTCAAAATTATAAAAATCCCAAATTTAAGAGAAATTCCCCCAAAAATTCAAAAAACCTGTATCCGCAAAAGAACAATGTTTAGAAATTGAAGCACGCCCTTCACAGAGCAAAACAAGCAAAAAATCAATAAAACGAAGGCAATCCTGTTTTAATAAAAATTTTAAAATAATTTTTGAAAAAAAATTCTTACATTTATGCAACGCTCATCTTTACAATTGAGAACAACCCGTAAAGCAAAAACAAGTTTTGGAGAACTGAAAAGAGAAAAATTGAAAAAGTATGATTTAAAGAGATGGGATTGAGAGGACTGAACCCTCAAAAACGCATTAAATACCCTACTGTGGAAAAAACATAACACCAATTGGATCAACATTCCCAGCCGTTGGGACAAGTTTCCCCGTTTTTGAGACAACATCTCAATTTTTTGTAGTTCAACAATTTTGGGTGTTTGGAAAAGTCAATATTCCCAGCCGTTGGAACTTTTGAAAAATTAAAAAAAAACAAACTGAAGAATTTCTGCAGTAACAGTCGGACTTGCTTTACACAAATTAGCAAATAAAGCCAAAACAGCAGAAATAAAAGCAGAATTGCGTGAAAGCTCCATATTTTTTTCAATTTGTTTTTCCTTCTTTTCATCTTCAGAAAAATTGTTTTTCTGTTCTGGAGGTATGAGCAAATCAAATAAATGTACAATTAAATTGCTAGGTCTAGCCAATTCTACAGGATCCATTTGACGACGGATAAAACGTTCAGTCATTGCAGCGAAACCTTCAAAATTTCGAAAAAAATTTTTCCGACCCTCAAAAAATTTTTCAAAAATTTTTTTTCGACCCCTCAGAAAAATTTTCAAAAATTTTTTCAACCCTCAAAAAATTTTAAAAATTTTTTGACCCCTAAAAAATTTTCAAAAATTTTTTTTCGATCTCTCAAAAAATTTTCAAAAATTTCTGAAAATTTAAAAAAAACCCCCTTACATCTCAAAGCACACTCCGCAATTTTTTCATCATCATGACTTAACAAATCGCCCAAATTTTTGCTATATTCTGACAAATTTGAGTCAAAAGGTTCAATCTTGGCACACAGTTTGGTGATTACAGCCATTGCAGAATGCATTGTGTCTTTGTGTAAATGGTCATGGTGGCTAGAAAAAAGAGGGGAATTTCAAAAATAATTGTAGAAAAGAAAACAAGAAAGAGAAATTTGAAGGGCTCGTAGATGTTTTTGTTAATAAAAATAACAACCCGCAAGTTTTGTCCGCAAGTATATGTTGAAAAAATAAAATAGAAACTAGATCTGAGACAATGTGATATCACTCCAAATATTAGATAATTATAGAAACTAGTAATAAATATGGAAAGGAATGGCCTCTTCCGGATTTTAAAAAGCGAAAAGCAAAAAAAGCGGAATTCTGCAGAAGACAGCCCATCCCAGGTGTGGATCTGTAGATCCGACAGAAAAAGTCTTTGCATAGTGGAGAAGACGAAAAACATTTTAGATGTCAAAGGAAAAAAAAATTAAACTCTCATTATACCTTATCAAGTGAAGCATTGCCTGTAAACCACCCGCATCATAAACAGCACTAGCCTCTCTTTGACAAATATGTTCCAAAAGTTTAACACATTGTTCGGCCAAATCTTTGCTCGTTCTGTCAGTCATTTTGGCAAGTAATAGCCTATTACAAATTGCTTTAATTGCTCCTTCAACTTGAGTAATTCGACGAGTACATTCATTTGAAACATCCAAATAATAGGTTATTGCTCGAGCGGTTACCTATTAAAAATGTGATATCAACCAGGTTTCAAAGTTAGACAAGGGTCCGCGGGGTAATTCAAACTTAAGAAGACTTTATCTACCTCAGTTGCCTACCTCTGGCAACTAAACTCGACTAAAACGAGTTAAGACTGGCAAGTCAAAAGGCCTTAAGGACTAATAGGTCCGTGATTGAAGATTTGGCAATCCCGGAGAATCGTGGTCCCTGCGGAAAAAAATCTTAAAAATAAGAAAAAGGATTTTTCTAGGGTAAAAAATTATGCTGATTACGAATCTGAACTCGGATTTTGAAAAAGTCGAACCCGAACCCGAATATAGGTCCACGAAAATCGAAAAACCATAGGGGGGACCAAGCTGATTTTGGGGTGAAAAATTCGAATATGCAAATTATACCTCATTCGAAAGAGCTCGTCGAGCTGAGTCGAATGACACCAAAATCACCGTGATTAAACAAAATCGGACGAAGTTATACCACAAAAAACAAACAACTTAGACCTATGTTTTTTGTGGCATAACTTCGCCCGATCTTGATCAATCACGATAATTTTGATGTCATTCGACTCAGCTCGTCGAGCTCTTTCAAATGATATATTATTTGACCAATTTGCGCTCTGTAAATTTTTCACAAAATGTCAAATGTCCGAATTTCGGGTTCGGGATTCGACTTTTTCAAAATCCGAGTTCAGATTCGTAATCAGCATAATTTTTTACCCTAGAAAAATCCTTTTTCTTATTTTTAAGATTTTTTTCCGCAGGGACCACGATTCTCCGGGATTGCCGAAGATTTTACTTATGGGTCTCAAAATCGAGCCAAGGGTCCGCTGGGAAATTCTAACTTAAAAGACCACTTTTTTGGATCCCTAGTTGCCTTCTCAACCTCTGGCAACTAAGGCTGTTCCTATGAGTAGTAGAGATAAGTATTTTCAAAAATCCTGAATCCGAATTTAGCTTATTGTTAGTAATCTGGACAGGAATCTGGATCCAGGAAAAATCGAGACTTGTCGAAGTTCGACATTTTTAGTAAAATATTAATAAATTTTTATTTATTTCACATATTTTTCACGTGTTCCATTTTCTTTCTTTTTTAATCTTTGTCCCCTTATCTCTTTAAACTTAATCATTTTTTCTCTCTTTGTAGCGATTAAGTTTCTCATTCATTTGTGCTAGTATAATATTTCCGCCCTTAGCGGCGATGACTAAGCTTGAGAATAGGAAAGAATGATCGCCCTTAGTGGCGCTAATTAACTTCCTATAAAACTAAATGTATTTTCCCTTTCTTTGGATTTCAATCATTCATTCTTTATGTATTAATCTAAACTAATCCCTTTCTCTACGATTAATATTATTATTTATTATTGGAATAAATTAATTAGTTGGAAAATATTTGGATTAAATATTTAATTATATTTTGGAAACAACCTACAACACTTGTTTCCAAAATATAATTAAATATTTAATCCAAATATTTTCCAACTAATTAATTTATTCCAATAATAAATAATAATATTAATCGTAGAGAAAGGGATTAGTTTAGATTAATACATAAAGAATGAATGATTGAAATCCAAAGAAAGGGAAAATACATTTAGTTTTATAGGAAGTTAATTAGCGCCACTAAGGGCGATCATTCTTTCCTATTCTCAAGCTTAGTCATCGCCGCTAAGGGCGGAAATATTATACTAGCACAAATGAATGAGAAACTTAATCGCTACAAAGAGAGAAAAAATGATTAAGTTTAAAGAGATAAGGGGACAAAGATTAAAAAAGAAAGAAAATGGAACACGTGAAAAATATGTGAAATAAATAAAAATTTATTAATATTTTACTAAAAATGTCGAACTTCGACAAGACTAGATCCTAACCGATCTCTAATGAGTAGTCAAGTCTTTAAGCCCAATATGTTCCCTATCCCAAATTTAGTCCTATCTCTTTAATTTTTAAAATAAACCTCCAAAATATTTTCAGGCGCACTTTCATCAATAAATATCCGACCCAATGCTGGCAGAAAAGTGCGTGGAGGACAACTTTCAAAGCATCTATCAATATTGTCGCTCATCAATAATGTCTTAAAATGATAAAATTAACTAAAATTAAACTTAAATTTGTTAAAAAACCATGCACAACTGTTCAAGTGCCATTAATTGCATATCCCGTTCATCGCCAACACCAGTCTGTAGCCATTCTAATAATTCCATTCCGTCAACTACACCGGATTCCATTGACTTTAAATCTCTAAAAATAAGGATTAATTAACAAAATGACACGAAAATAAACATAAAAACACAAAAAATAAATTGAAAACGAATTAAAAACAACGCGAGAATGCAAAGGAAGAATAAACACAACTATAAAATAGTCAAACAAAAAATCGATCGGGTTCAGTCATCAAACCCGTGACTTGACTACGTCATAGACTAAAACACTACCCATTAGGCCACAGAGAACACTTATTAAAATCAATTAAAATTAGCCTACATAATTAACTAGTTTTAGGCTAATGACGAAATTTAGATTAGAGACCGGCGCAGGACGGGATCCCAAAATCCCGGATTTTTCTGATTTTCGGGATCCGGGATTTTTTCGGGATTTATCCCTCTGGAGCCCATCCCGGCATCGGTTAAGAAAAAAAAGTTCGATTTTTTCCCGGAAGTGCGATTTTGCCGGTCTCTAGTTTAGGTGACTTTAAATTTAATTAAAATCAAAGTAACATATCGATGACAAAATTGAAAAGAAAAAATTAGAAAAGATAAACAATCTCTCTCGAATAGACATACACAAAGAACAAATCGTTAACTGCGACAACCTCTCCTATAATTTTGGGTAGGGGTAAAAACATGACCCTTTTCCACCTCTCTTAAAAGACTTTATTCACTTCTAGAACCTTTTTTTGTTAAATTTGAAGAGTAGTTAGAGTAAGAGCAAAAAATTTTTAAAACCAACTAAAAATCGACAAAAATGTAAATATTTAAAAGAAGTTTAAAAAAAAGAGAACAGAAAAGCGTATAAGCATCTTTAGAGCTTTTTCCCTTCTACTCCCAGCCCTTTACAAAACAGGCGCTTTCACTCATCACGAGTAATGGAAAGAAATAATTGCTTATTTTTTGTGTAAAAATGATGTGATTTACTCGTGAAAAGCTTGTGAGATTTAAACCGTGGCACCACATTTTGCCAATCCCACATTTTGCCAATAAAGCTAGAATCCCACATTTTGCCAAAAATTCTATGGCAAAACGTGTCTTTTTACTCTTATTGGCAAAATATGATGTTGGCAAAATGTGTAGTAGCCGAATTAAATAATATTAACTGTCTAACACACTATTTTCTCTGTTATTTTTCTCTGCCTGTCGTGTAAATTTAAAGAGCAGGTGCTGACTCTCTTCTTTTCATAAACTATTTTTTCCTTCTATATCTCTTCTAACGCAAGAGACTGTCTGACTTATTTCTTTGTGTTTTTACGAAAGACCTAATTATGAAATGTCATAAATTTTTGCAGAATGCCAAAATTTAAATTGGTTCATTAACTTTTGGCCACTGAACATTTCGTCGTTAGTGAGATTCTCTCCAAATTAAAAAATTAACAATAGTGAAACTATAGAAATAATTTTATCATCTTTGTGAGAAGGATTAGACCCTTTTAAAATTTTAATTTTAACAAAGTATCTAAGATCATATAAACTAGATCATAGAACAGACAAATTGTAAAATTCCAATCTTGCCATTTTGTCTTTAATCGGATAACAAGCCCCGGGAAGCCATGATCCTACGACCTTCTGGCATTTATTATTATTATTACTTAAATCTCCTCTTTTTAAAATAAATTTTAACCCTTCTTCTACCACTGGCATGAAAAGCCCGTAAAACGGCTCGATAACCGGGCCCCCTAATATTTATGTATAAACAAAAAAAATTTTGAACATTTGACGATAAAATATTATATTTTTATTTTGTTTCAAGTTAATCTGAAGCAAAAAAAGTTTATAGATAACAAAAAATAACAGCAGTCGATTTTTAACACAAAGAGAGAGGAAAACTTCTTCTCTCTCATTTTAACCAAACCACATTTTTATGTTAAAAACAAAATAATAAAAATAAAAAGTGTTTTTAATCAGTTTTGTTTACCAAATGTTTTGTCAGTCTTTGTCAAATAAACAAAAAATATTATTTTTTAATTTAATTTTCAGAGAAATTTTGGGAAGAAATTAAATAATATTTATTTTTCCCTTCAAAAATGACTGATTTTGTGAGTTTTCCCTTAAAAAATTTAAAAAAATAAATTTAAAAAAATTTATTAGCCTATCCCCTTCCATCACCAACTTGTTAATTTCAAATTACCCACTAAAATTCATTTCGGTGGAAATATTCCGGAAGGCGCCAACCGGTTTGAAATTGACTTGAAGAGCACTGAGGGAGAAATATTCTTTCATTTTAACCCGAGATTTAGTGTAAGTAATAATTTCAGAATTTATTTTTGTATTTTCCGGAAAATCAGAATTTAATTGAATATAACAATCAGAATTTGTCTATAATTATACACTATGAGTAAATATACCTATAAATTATTATGTTTTCCGGAAAATAATAATAGTAAATTATTTTCCGGAAAAATCAGAATTTTAGTTATTTTTGTATTTTCCGGAAAAATCAGAATTTTAGTTATTTTTATATTTTCCGGAAAAATCAGAATTTTAGTTATTTCTATATTTTCCGGAAATATCAGAATTATAGTTATTTTTATATTTTCCGGAAAAATCAGAATTTTAATTATTTCTATATTTTCCGGAAAAAATCAGAATATATATTATTTTTATATTTTCCGGAAAAATCAGAATTTTAGTTATTTTTATATTTTCCGGAAAAACCAGAATTTTAGTTATTTGTATATTATCCGGAAAATCAGAATTTTAGTTATTTTTATATTTTCCGGCAAAATCAGAATTATAGTTATTTCTATATTCTTCCGGAAAAATCAGAATTATCTACTTTATTTTTATATTTTCCGGAAATAACAGAATTATAGCTTATTAATTAAATAGGCATGTATAATAATCAGAATTAGAAGGGAATAACTATAATTAATTTTCCGGAAAGCATGCGTATTATTTTTATTAGTTAAAGAAATATTTTCGTATTTTCCGGAAGAATCAGAATTTTATCTTTTTTATATTTTCCGGATTATATTTTTGTATTTTTCAGTAAATACAAAAATTTCTGATTATTATAGGAAAACTGTGTTGTTCGCAGCAGCACAAAAGACGGGCAACAATGGCAAGCTGAAGAACGTGACGGTGGAATGCCTTTTGCTATTGGCAAGCCTTTTCTTCTTGAGATGTTAATTGAAGAAAATGGAATTAGTGTAAATTAAATTTAAAATAATCAGAATTAATTTTTAATTTTTTTTTGTGTTCTGTCGACGGCAATCAATTTTGCTTTTTCAAAGCCCGGGACAATTTGGAAACTTTAATTTCCGTGGAAGTGGTAGGGGATGTTCTGTTGAACAATTTTAATGTTACTTGTATTGGTTCTGTTGGTGAATAACTTGAATTAAATTAAAAAAAATTTTCCTTAAATCTTAAGTTGATGAACCTTCAGGGAAGGTACCTAGAGAGGCTGGTGGAGGAGGAGAACTTCCGGAATATACCCCAACAGAGCCTGTAGCTCCTGTTCCTGGTCCACAAGGACAATTAGTATAAAATCATTAGAAAAATAAAATTTAAAAAATTATTTATCAGCCAATACCTTATCAAGGACCATTGGATACTCTTTTAACTACTAATAGAATGGTTAGAAAAAATTAATTTTATTTGAAAAAAATTTATTTAGCGTGTTGTTGGCACGCCTCACCCTGGCGCTCAACGCTTCACTGTGAATTGGAAATCTGCCGATGGAGAGACTTTGTTCCACTTTAACACGCGTTTTGATGTATTTTATTAATTAATAAAATCAGAATATATTTTCGCTTGATATGAGTCAGAATTTTTAAAAATCAGAATTTAGTTAAACAGAATTTAATCAGAATTTAAATAGAACATTAAAATCATTAAATAACGGGCAAAAATAATTATACAAATCAGAATTTAAAAATCAGAATTTTTAATTTTTTAAAAATCAGAATTATTAAATCAGAATTTTTTTAATTTTAAAAATCAGAATTTTTAATTTTATAAAAATCAGAATTATTAAACCAGAATTTTTTTTAATTTTAAAAATCAGAATTTTAACAAAAAACATAGTTACTCGTACTAAATCAGAATTAAAAAAAATTAAAAACCAGAATATCAGAATTTAATTTTTCCGGATCAGAAATTCTAATAAACAATAAATTTTTAAAAATCAGAATTTTATAGCAAAACTGCATTGTTCGGAATGCTACCGTAGACAAACAATATCCACCAACTAGTGAAGAGCGGGAAGGGCCTGGATGTCCATTCCATGTAAATTATTTTATTTTTTAATTATTATTCTGATTTTTCAATTTTATTCTGATTTATTTTAGCCTGGGAAACAGTTTGCGTTAGACTTTCTTTTGCATGGGGACATTATTCGGGTTGGAAAAAAATTTTTTTTGAAAATTTTTTCGAAAATTAATTTTAAAAATCCAATTTTAGTGCTTCGTAGACGGCATTGAATATTGTCGCTTTCAAGTATTTTTAATTTAATTAAAATAAAAAATTAATTGAATAGGCCCGTGATGACCTTCACAAAGTCGTTCTTTTGGATATTCACGGAGATATAGCACTTGATCAAGTTTTGATTGCTTGAATAATAGAGGAGAAATAAAGAAAATATTGAAAAGTTGGGATAAAATAAATAAAATGATGAATAAAATTAATTAAAATTTTATTTTTTTAATAAAATCAAGAAAAAATTTTTTATCAATAGTAATTGTCAAATGTATAATTTATAATTAATTAGGCACGTAATGCCACGGCCTGGCACCACACTCCACCAAAACGAACGTTACAATACCCATCCCCGCTAGAACTAAAATACATATTTTGTGGAAGCAAAAAATTATTTTGTTCTGAATTTTCCGTCTTTTCCTCTTTTAATGTTGCTATAGCGGAAGTTTGTATTTGTTCTGGTTTTTCTTGGTAAATTGCACAATTTACTAAAAATTTGCTGTTATTGTTATGCCCAAAGCGGTTGTGCAATGCTGTCTGGATTGATGTTAGGGAAGAAATAGCATCGCCAGCAATCATTGACTTTAATTTAAAAAATCAGAATTTATTTAATCCTTTAAAAATTCCTTACAGAATTCATTAGCTCACGCCATTCAATTTGTGGACATGGAACTTCATTGCTCTTCAAGTGCGGCATTACCACCTGTTTTTAATGCAAAAATATTATTTTTATTAATTCATATTTTGTTTAACAAAAGGACCTCTCTCTTTTTCCTTCCGCAGCAAGGCATACAACAACCTAAGAATAAAATAATTTATTAAAAAATAAGAAGGATCACCCTAAAAAATTTTTTAATTATCAAAAAACCTCTACAAACCCCCTCCTCCTCCACCACCGCCACCACCGCAGCAACATCCACCACCTCCTCCTCCGGTTGGAAAACCGATAGAGCTAACTAGTGCCATAAGGAATGAAGAGAATAGAATTATTAATAAAATTTGTTTAGTTGAAAGCATTTTAAAGAAATTTCTGTAATGAAAAGAAATGGACGAATATGGGTATTTTTATTCTCTTAAATACTCCCCCCAAAGTTGCTATCCGGAAAAATAACTATAAATTAAATCAGAATTTATGTCAGAATTTTATTTATTATAAAATCAGAAATTAAACTTTTTTATATTTAAAAACCAGAATTAACGCTTAAACAAAGTTTAAATTCTGGTTTATTTAAATATAAAAAAAGTTTAATTTCTGATTTTATAGTGGTGTTTATAATAAATAAAAATAAACTTTTTTCTATAAAACCAGAATTAAAACTTTAATTAAATAAAACCAGAATTAAAACTTTTTTTTAAATTAAATAAAACCAGAAATTAAACTTTGTTTACAATAAGGCAGACAGTAAAAAAAGTTTTAAAAAAAATTCTGATTTATTAAAAAAAATTCTGATTTATTTAAAAAAATTCTGATTTATTTTTATTTGATATAGACTGTTGTAAAGTACATTGCTTTCGCCTATAGACAGGAATTAAAAATAAAATAAAAAAATAATTTGTTTCAACGAGATTTTATATAATCATTTCAACATTAATATTAATCACTTGTTTAACCTAGAAGAGATATATTTTTGTCATTTTTTAAAAATTTATTTTTGACTGGAAGGGAAATTGGTTAAGTAAAAGCTGCGCGCTTTTACTTTTTTAGGGGGGAAACGGCACTAATAAATCATTTTTAAAATTAATTTTTGGGTGATATGAACGAATAAATTCTTTCAAGATTTATTGCAAAATAAAAATTAAGGGTTGATCGGATAACTAAAGTTAAAGAAAAATCCGGAAACTGTAAAAAAGAATTTTAGTCAACAATTTATTAAAGCTGATTATATGTATTAACCCTATATGTATACCAGAATATTATCAGAAAACAAAAAAAAATTTTTTTTAATAAATTCTGAATTTTGAAATATTCTGTTCTGAATAATTCTGAAATTTGAATTCTTTCTGAAAATATTCTGAATTTCTGAAAATTCTGAAAATAATTCTGAACTGAATAATTCTGAAATAATTCTAAAATTCAGAAATAAATTCTGATACTTTTAAATAAAATTCTGATCTATATTCGGACTAAATTCTGATTTATTTTTTAATAAAATTCTGATTTTTAAAATTAAATTCTGATTTTTCCGGAAATTTCTTTTTAACTCCTTTCGGAATAAAAATTCTGATTTCTTTTCTATCAGCCTTATTTTTTGATCTATTTTCCTTTAAACAATACTTTTAAAAATTTAATTTATTAAAGAATAAAATTGACATATAAATTACCATTAGATTAAATATTACAGCAATTTTACATTAAAATTTAAAATAAAGTCAAAAACAGAAAAAAATAAATTGTTAAGTTTATATATTTCCCCCTTTTTTTCTTAAGAATGTACATAATGGTCAACTTCCTCCTCAAAGCTTCCCTTTTTATCTTGTGAATAAGTCCCAAGATCCTCTCAATTGAAAGGTAAAAAGAGGGAATTTTGGAAAATAAGAAATGGGGAAACACAAACTTAACTATTACCAATAAATTTAAAGGAGATTAAAGTACTTTTTTATCCAAAATTTTTGCGGACATTATTTTAAATAGAAAAAAATTTAATATTTTAAAATAAGCACTTTAATCTCTTAAAAAGTTATAATCTTTATAATTAAAATTTATAATTAAATATTAAAATAAATTAAAATTAAAGTCATTTGACAATAGAAAACAAAAATATCCGCACATAAAATGAGATTCCTAAATTACAAAAAATACAAAAATAAATTCAAATTTCCTGTCTAAACCTAATAGAAAGGCTTATACCCGTAGGTTTTAACATACGTAATGTACCAATGCCCAATATTATCCTCGTCATCCTTTCTGCACTTATATTCAATAGTTGCACATATTTTTCTACCCAAATGCTCTTTTTCTAACACATTTAATTCGTCGAAAATGTCCTTAAAATCCGGAAAATATATTATTTTATATTATTTGTTCCGGAAAATATATATTAATTCTGATTTTATTTACTATTCCGGAAAGAATATAACTCAGAAAAAATAAATTCGGAGTTTCCGGAAAATATTAATTTTAACAATATTTAATAGAATAATTCTGATACTTCCGGAAAAACAATTTCTGATTTTATTTTATTGTTCCGGAAAAAAATATATTTTTCCAGAAAGAATATAACTCTGAAAAAATACATGGGGAGTTTCCGGTGATACTCCCGGAAAAATAATTCTGATTTTATTTTATTCTTCCGGAAAAAATATAACTCTGAAAAATATAAATACTTTCCGGAATATAAATTCTGATTTTAATTTTCCGGAAGAAGTAGAACTCAGAATTAATAGAAATTAGTGGTATTTCCGGAAAGAATAAATAGTTTCCGGAAAGCATTAATTCTGAAAACAATTAATGGAAATTTAATTCTGATACTTCCGGAAAATTAATTTCTGATTGTATTTTATTCTTCCGGAAAAATATATTCTTCCGGAAAGAATATAACTCAGAAAAAAATAAATTCGGAGTTTCCGGAATATAAATTCTGATTTATTTTTCCGGAAAGAATATAACTCACAATCAGAATTAATAGAAATTAGTGGTATATCCGGAAGAATAAACACTTTTCGGAAAAATTAATTTCTGATTTTATTTTAACTGGAATTTTATTGTCCCAGAAAAATAATTCAATGCTTTCCGGAAAAATTAATTCTGGTTTTTCTGATATTAATAGTCTCCGTATATCCGAAAATAAATTCTGTTTTTACATTCTGATTTAAAATTCTTTTTCTAATGCTTCCGGAAAATACAAATTAATTTTCTATTAAATAACCTGAATAAAATAATTTTTCTTGTTAACAACAAAAGGTTTGTAAAGCTTTGTATGAATCCTCGCATTTTTATCCACCCAAAAATCTTTATGAATAATAATGTCACATTCCATCTAGAATTTTGAAAAAAAATTTTTTAATAGAAAAATTTTAAAAAAATTTAATTTTTTCGAAAAAAATTTCAAAAATTTCAGAAAATTTTTTAAAAATTTCCAAAAAATTTTCCAAAAAATTTCAAAAAAATTTCAAAAATTTTCAAAAAAATTTCAAAAAATTTAAAAAAAATTTTCAAAAATTTCCAAAAATTTTTCAAAAATTTTTAAAGATTTTTTCAATTTTAAAAATAAATCACCGCCACTTTTCCCAAATAGGGCATAGTCAAAAACCATTCTTCATGTCGACGGAATGTCTGCGAATTAATTTTTCCTGTTATCATATCACTTAAAAATTCAAAAAATTTTTTCAAGCCTCCCAAAACTCTCTTCAACTTACTCATTGTCTATACAAATCCATTCCCCCAAATCCAACACTTTAGACGTGCACAATTCCAATTCTGCCGGGTTGTCTTTTTCAGAACAAAAGGGAAAAACCAAATAAGTATTTTCAAATAAACCGGTTCTGTTAGATTTTTCTCTGCTTAAAACATTCACAATTACAGCTATAGTCTGCAGACGTGGATTAAATACTTTGCGGCTTTTGATTGTTCTGACTTTTGTTTCTGAGAATCCAGTCATTTAATTTTTATTGAATTTTTTCTTTAATGTTGTCTATTAAAAAGAAGAAAAGGCTCCCATACAAAATACCGAATTCTTAAAATATGGAATCTCAAAATCGCGAATCGGCTAAAAAAGCTCAAAATATGGAATCTCAAAATATCGAATCTCAAAATATGGAATCCCAAAATATCGAATCGGCCAAAAAAGCTCAAAATATCGACAATGCGGCAAAAGCCAGTTGAGTCTGAACAATTTTATCAACAACTTCGAAAAAAATTTAAAAATATGCAAAAGGGTCTTTCTAGGGTAAAAAAATATGCTGATTACGAATCTGAGCTCGGATTTTGAAAAAGTCGAATCCCAGACCCGAACCGAGCTTCGAATCCCGAACCGAATTTCGATTTTCCGAATGATAGCTCATTTGAAAGAGCACGTCGAGCTGCATCGACTAACACCAAAATCAATGAAATCCGACTTTATTGGACTGAGATACAGACCCCTGAATAAACTGAAAAAGACCTGCACTCAATTGGCGGCACTCAAACGGCCCTTTTCGTTTTTAAAAAATTCGACATTTTTAACTACTTTTTAGCCGATTCGGTATTTTGAGCATTTTAGCCTATTCGAGATTTTGAGATTCGATATTTTAAGATTCCATATTTTGAGCTTTTTTGGCCGATTCCATATTTTGAGATATTTTTCCCGATTCGGTATTTTGAGCTTTTTTAGCCGATTCGCGATTTTGAGAATTCGGTATTTTGGGCTAAAGTACACTTTACCGGGCGATTTTAGATTTTTATGATTTATATGTCAATCGAAAGAGCTCGGCGAGCTGAGTCGAATGACACCAAAATTATTCCGCGGACTCAACTATGAACCGAGATATGGGTCCCCAAAAATCGAAAAACCATAGGGGGGACCAAGCACTTTTTTGGGGGTAAAAAATTCGAATATGCAAATTATACCTCATTCGAAAGAGCTCGGCGAGCTGAGTCGAATGACACCAAAATCAACGAAATCCGACTTAATTTGACAAAGTTATGCTCTTTTATTTTAGCTCCTTACCTATGGCATCGGTGGAGATTCTTGCTGCTACGGAGGCCCCAAATACGTACAGAGCAAGGGAGATAGGAATAGGTTTATGTTACGAGCCCAGACCCAGCACCCGTAGACTCCCCGCGAGGCGCGTGCCGCAAAACCCCGCGCGAAGCGCGGGGTTTTGCACAAGCGCCTCGCCGACGACCCATAGGTTTACGTTGTTTGATTTTGTGTCATAACTTAGTCTTATCTTATTCAATCACGGTGATTTTGGTGTCATTCGACTCAGCTCGACGAGCTCTTTCGAATGAGGTATAATTTGCATATTCGAATTTTTTACCCCCAAAAAGTGCTTGGTCCCCCCTATGGTTTTTCGATTTTTGGGGACCCATATCTCGGTTCATAGTTGAGTCCGCGGGATAATTTTGGTGTCATTCGACTCAGCTCGCCGAGCTCTTTCGATTGACATATAAATCATAAAAATCTAAAATCGCCCGGTAAAGTGTACTTAGGCCGTATTTTGTGCGGGCACGGAAGAAAATCGAACGATTAAAAAGAATTTTGGCTCCTATACAACTCATCTAATCGTTAACTCATCTATTCGTTAACTCATCTACACGGCCAAAAAGGGTTAACTCATCTAATCGTTAACTCATCTATTCGTTAACTCATCTACACGGCCAAAAAGGGTTAACTCATCTAATCCTTAACTCATCTACACGGCCAAAAAGGGTCAACTCATCCAATCCTTCGGAACGAGACTATTAAGTACCGGCCGGTTGAGTCCATGGCCAGTAGCAAATGGCCATGGACTCAACTGGTCATGGACTCAACTGGTCATGGACTCAACTGGTCATGGACTCAACTGGCCATGGACTCAACTGGCCATGGACTCAAACGGCCGGAGACTCAGATGGCCAAAGACTCAAACGGCCGTTACTCAATAGTCTCGTTTCGAAGGATTGGATGAGTTGACCCTTTTTGGCCGTGTAGATGAGTTAAGGATTAGATGAGTTAACGATTAGATGAGTTAACCCTTTTTGGCCGTGTAGATGAGTTAACGAATAGATGAGTTAACGATTAGATGAGTTGATCCCTTTTTGGCCGTGTAGATGAGTTAAGGAATTTTAGCCGTTTAGATGAGTTGAACGTTTTTGGCCGTGTAGATGAGTTAACGAGTAGATGAGTTAACCGGACACGAGAATTTTTTGTTGTAAAAAATTTTGTTGTAGTGAAAAGAGTATGTAAATTGAAGAGAAAAGATAAAAACAATTACTCTTTAGTTTATTTGGCATTTTGTTTTATTAAAATGACATTTGGTCTAATTTGCGTGAAAAGACGTTTTAAATATTGTTAGTCAATTTTTCCGAACTCGGGCCCGGATTCCTGACCTTTAGATTGAGTCGGACCAGATCCGGTCGGATTTTCCGGATTGATCCGGTCTGGAAAAAAATTTGGAGATTGCGAAAAACCCCGAATTTGGGACAAGGACTCCTGAAAAATCCGGCTAGATCCGGTCCGGCGCCGGGCACAAGTAATTGTTTCTTTTATCTAAATCCCTCGTTGTTTTCCGGAAATAAATCAGAATTTATTTTCCGTATACAAAATGTTTTTATGATAATTTATAAACGAGTTGAGAATAGCTAGAAGATTAGTCTAAAAAAGGAAAAAAATCTTCATTTTTGCTGTAACTTAAAAATTAATGGAATAATGGATGCTATTTATTTTTTTAATTTTGTTCTAATAAATTTCATCCTCCTCCTCCATCTCTTCGTCATACATAAGTTCCTCGTCCTCCTCATCTTCACAATCAACAGACCTGCAAAAATATTTTCTAACTTTCAAAAAATTATTTAGCACCTATAGCTTGGCTCATATCCACTACTCGGTTCGGTGACCACAATTTGTGGCAGAGCCGAAGAGCAGCGATGTTTTCCACTGATACCCCCACTTTCCACTGGTACATTGACTGACTCTTTCTTTATCAGTTTCTCACGAAGTCCAGTTCCTGTAGCTTTTACCTTTTTGAAAAATAGATTTATTTTTACGGATATTCTATACAGAGGACCTCACTTTAAGATACCCCTTTTGATTAAAAAATCTTGTGAAACATCGTCCCTTATATTTAGGTGTATTTTAATTGGAGGGTATCATCCAATGACCGTAGGTATCACCCAATAAACGTCTCTTAAATAGAGGTGTATCTAGTATATTTTATACAGAGGTCCTTCTCTTAAGATGGATATCTTAAATAGAGGGTATCGTTTAGACGACTTCCCCACTCAGTAGCTAATAAATAGAGGAGTATCTAATATTGGGTGTATCTTATAGTGAGATCAGACCATATCTTACCAGTAATGAATTAACTCTGTTCAACTTTTTCCTTTCTTCCCTTCCTTTGAACACACTGCTATTACTGCTTCTACTCTTCCCGCTACTGCTTCCACTACGTTTCCTTCGCTGCGCATTTTTACGGGCTATCACTCTTTTTCGTTCCTTAATTACACCTCCAGCCCTTAATAAGCGCTCAATGCAAAAGCTACGGCAAAGGTGTGAGCGTAGAGCAAAGTGAACCCCACAGGCGATTGTTACGAAGCAAATGCAGAAAACGATAAATAAAATTGTTGGGTCAAGCTATAAAAATAGAATTTAAAATCAGAATTTATTTGTCCGGAAGCATTTAAAATATATTTTTTCCTGAATTTAAAATTAAATTATTACTGGTGTTAGTTTCCGGAATATAAAAAATAAAATTGTATTTTCCGGAAAAAATTAGAATTTATGTATTTTCCGGAAGAAATCAGAATTTATATATTTTCCGGAAAAATCAGAATTTATATATTTTCCGGAAAAATCAGAATTTTATATTTTCCGGAAAAATCAGAATTTATATATTTTCCGGAAAAATCAGAATTTATATATTTTCCGGAAAAATCAGAATTTTATATTTTCCGGAAAAAATTAGAATTTATGTATTTTCCGGAAGAAATCAGAATTTATATATTTTCCGGAAAAATCAGAATTTATATATTTTCCGGAAAAATCAGAATTTTATATTTTCCGGAAAAATCAGAATTTATATATTTTCCGGAAAAATCAGAATTTATATATTTTCCGGAAAAATCAGAATTTTATATTTTCCGGAAAAAATTAGAATTTATGTATTTTCCGGAAGAAATCAGAATTTATATATTTTCCGGAAAAATCAGAATTTATATATTTTCCGGAAAAATCAGAATTTTATATTTTCTGGAAAAATCAGAATTTATATATTTTCCGGAAAAATCAGAATTTATATATTTTCCGGAAAAAATCAGAATTTTTAGATAACTTTGAAGCACAAACTTGGCAGCAATCCACACCACAACACCAAGACCAGTATTGTGAGCAGTGAAAAAACAATTGAATAAAGGAAGTTGGATTGCCACCGGGAATGCCATCCTCATAGGCTTAGGATTATTAAATAATTTATTTTTTTATTTAAAAAATTAAACTACCTAAATAGAAAACTTCATTAGAAGGCACTTTAACTCTGCATACTTGGCCTATGCCTACTTCAATTTGACTGGTTTCACTTAATTTTTTCAAAATATTTTATTATTTTTTTAATTTCATTCTCCGTTTAATAATTAATTTTATTTTCCCCCAAATTTTACCTTCCATACTCCGTTCCCATTTTATTTTTGTCTGCTTCACCAGCGCCGTTCTCTCCAATTCCATAATAATAATATAATTGTGTTGGTCTACTTATTAAGTGAACTATTTTGTGTTCATCAACACTACTTGATTTTAATATTTGTGAAGGGGATTCGTTGAATATAGAGGCAGAATTGACGTATGAAACCATATTTATTAAGTATGAGAATAGTATTGCTTAAACTTTCCGGGAATATTAGTAATTCAATAATATTGTAAGGCTGAAAGGTGTAATCCTTGAGAAACTAATAAAAACCCCGCCTAGAGAGAAGGTGCATATAAGCTAAAGGAAAATGGGGAAAAGCGGCTTAGTTGACGATCATTCCAACTTAGTTCCTATTCAATCAATGGCCTAGTGTTCGGTCGGCCTAGAGCCTGACCAAGTGGTATACCAACAATCATTCACCCCGCTCGCTTGCGCTACCTCTGGCAATTATTCACCGCACGCATTTCCATCAACATCTTCTCTCTTTAATTAGGCTGGGCCCCCTAATTAAATTATTTACTATATTTTCCCTTAAGCTTAATTCGGTAAATATATTTCCGGAAATATATTTCCGGAAATTATTTTCCGGAAGGATAATTCAAGTTAAATGTATTTTTAAAATTGTAAACCTTTCCGGAAAAGTTTCCGGAAAGTTGTAATTTTATAGTGTATTTTAGGTTTGTAATTTAAATAATAAAAATGTGTTTTCCGGAAAACTTTCCGGAAACCTATTTTAATTTTGCGATTTCATAATTTTACAATTGTTAATATAGATGTGTTTTCTGGAAGCTTTCCGGAAAGTTTAATTTTATTTAAATATTTTTAAGATTGTAATTTTGTAAAGATGTATTTTCCGGAAATTGTAAACTTAAAGTTCTCGGAATACTCTCTCCTAAGATTATAGTCTCCTATTTTGACTCAATTACACAGGTGGGTTGGAATTCTGACTTCCGACGTTTTTTCCTTCCGTTTTCCGAAAAAAATTTTGATTTCCGAGTTCCGAGTTCCGAACTTTGAGCCAGTGTCTATTTCCGGCTCTTCCAAGTTCCGACACCTCTGACTTTTCCGACCCACCTCTGCTAAATTAATTCTCTCATTAGCTAAAAAATAATTAAAGCAAGTGTGTATTTTTTACCCTTAAAATTATAAAACATTTAAATATTTTTTTGGATTTAAATTTGACAAATAAAAGTAGCTAAATAACAATAAACAAATTTTACAAATGTTTAAACAAAGTCAGTCAACCTAAATTTAATTTGAGGCTTCAAAATAGCGTTAAAAAATTTTTTTTATTCTTTTTATCACGAAGAATATTAAATTTATACAAGTTTTCATCATTTCAAGTTTAAAAGAATAAAGAAAAAAAGTTTTTTGACTTAATTTAATTTACAAAAAAATTTGAAAAATAACAAATAATATTTGTAATTAAAAAGCAGATTTTTTATGTTTAATCTTTTTTATATATTATAATATAAATGTATTTTTCCGGAAACTTTAGGGTAAAAGTTTACAATAGAAATGTATTTTAGAACCTTTCCGGAAAACTCTTCCATAATCAACTTTCCGGAAAACTTAAGTTTACAATTTTAAAATAAAAATGTGTGTTTTCCGGAAATATCGGAAAAATTATTTTAATTACCTATACACTTGTATTATAGAATAGTTTCCGGAAACTTTCCGGAAACTTATTTTAAGTTTAAAATTTTATTATAAGTGTATTTTCCGGAAAACTTCTTTTAAGTTTACAACTTTAATGAAACTGTATGCTTCCGGAAACTTTCCGGAAAACCTATTTTAAGTTTACAAAAGGTGTATTTTCCGGAAAACTTTTTTTAAATTTACAACCTTAATATAGAAATGTGTTTTCCGGAAACCTATTTTAGTACAAAATGTGTATTTTTCCGGAAAACTTTCTATAGGTAATGTGTTTTCCGGAAACTTTCCGGAAGCTTACTTTAAGTTTAAAATTTTATTATAAATGTATTTTCCGGAAAACATATTTTACTTTTACAATTTTTAATGAAACTGTATGCTTCCGGAAACTTTCCGGAAACTTATTTTAAGTTTACAAAAGGTGTGTTTTTCCATAAAACTTTTTTTATGTTTACAACCTTAATATTGGAATGTGTTTTCCGGAAAATTTTCCGGAAAACTTTCTTTAAGTTTACAATTTTACTATAAAAATGTGTGTTTTCCGGATACTTATTCTTATAAGTATAATCAGTTCATCTTCTGATTTATCCATAATTGTAATTATAATTGTAAGGGTAGTAGTAATTATTGTAGCCATATCCTCCATTATTATAACCACCATAACATCCACAATTATATCCATACCCACCAGTATAACTTCCATAACCCCCTCCATAACCATATCCTCCTCCATAACCCCCTCCATAACCAGCTAAATTGCCCAAAATCGTTCCACTTGTATAACTATCAGCATAACTTGCCAGGCAATTTTTATGGCCAATAAATATAAAAAAGAAGAGAAAAAGGACAAAATTAATTTTTATTGAGAGGAGCATTGCTGGGGGATTTAAATAAATTTTTTGGAGGTTCTTACAAAAATGAAGGCGCTTTTAAATGGAAATCTTTCTAAGGTTTCCCCATTAATTTTTTTATTTTTTAATTGGATTAAAAATTCTTTTCCCCCTAAATTTGACTATATTTACAAGTGTAGCAGATATTGAACTTTAGTTTTCCCAGTAGTTAACATTTTAAAAATAAAAAATATTATTTTTGTTTCCTTTTCTAAAATTTTATTTTCTGTTAATTTTTAACGCTTGAATTGTATAAAACTTTTGTGTTTTAATTTTTATTTTTTTTTTCTAAAAATGGAATTGCATATTGGAATTAAAAGGACATTTTATAAATCATTGCACATTAATCATTTGCAAGAGATTTAATAAAAGAATAATCAGTGTTACTTTTTTTTAATTTATGTTTTAGACTATTAGATTTTTCTGGGAATATTTCTGGGAATATAATACATGTTTATTATAATTAGTTTTCCGGAAAATATATTATAATATTATCTTTCAAGAAAATACAATATTATGTACATATAACTTAATTTCCGGAAGAATACATAATTTATTCAGAGATAATTGTTTATTCCGGAAATATATGTAATATTCATTTTCCGGAAATGAGTATATTATAATCTATCCGGAAATTAGATATTTAAATATTTTTCCGGAAATAAAGACAATATATTTTCCGGAAAAATATGGGTAATAAATTCTATATTTCCGGAATAAACAATTATCCCTGAATAAATTATATATTTTTCCGGAAAATATATTATAACTTTGTTTCCGGAAAAATATTTAAATATTTAATTTCCGGATAATATACTTATTTCCGGAAAATAAATATTCCGGAAAATACAAATATTTCCGGAAAATACATTATTTATAATTTAGTTTCCGGAAAATATATTTTTTTCCGGAAAATATATTTTTTTCCGGAAAGTATACACAACTTAGTTTCTTTAAATATAACCCATAGTAGTTAAGTACATTCGTTAGCTACCATTTTTAATTCTATTAATCACGAAATTCATCGTTGACCTTTCCTTCAAAACAGTCTCATTTATTAAGCAATATTTCCTTTTTTTGTAAAAATAAATTTAAAATTAAACAGTTGGTTATCCTATTAAAAAATAAAAATAAGAAAATATGTAAAGAAACAATAAAAAAAAAAGATTTATGGCTAATTGTAAGTGAAATGTGAAGGGAAAAATCAGAATAGTTATTTATTTGAACAGCTAAACTTCTTTCATTTTGTGGTGATAGGAATAAAATAGTAGAAGCTTAAAAATATAGGGCATAATAATGTTTAAATTTGGACACTTTTTTGCTAATTTTTATTTTTTTTTAAATTAGTTGTTTGCCCAGATATACACGAAAAAATTTAATAAAGACAAAATAAATTCTGAAAAATAAATTCTGATTTATTTTAAATTCTGAAAAATAAATTCTGATTTATTTTAAATTCTGAAAAATAAATTCTGATTTATTTTAAATTCTAAAAAATAAATTCTGATTTATTTTAAATTCTGAAAAATAAATTCTGATTTATTTTAAATTCTGAAAAATAAATTCTGATTTATTTTAAATTCTAAAAAATAAATTCTGATTTATTTTAAATTCTGAAAAATAAATTCTGATTTATTTTAAATTCTGAAAAATAAATTCTGATTTATTTTAAATTCTGAAAAATAAATTCTGATTTATTTTAAATTCTGAAAAATAAATTCTGATTTATTTTAAATTCTGAAAAATAAATTCTGATTTATTTTAAATTCTGAAAAATAAATTCTGATTTATTTTAAATTCTAAAAAATAAATTCTGATTTATTTTAAATTCTGAAAAATAAATTCTGATTTATTTTAAATTCTGAAAAATAAATTCTGATTTATTTTAAATTCTAAAAAATAAATTCTGATTTATTTTAAATTCTGAAAAATAAATTCTGATTTATTTTAAATTCTGAAAAATAAATTCTGATTTATTTTAAATTCTGAAAAATAAATTCTGATTTATTTTAAATTCTGAAAAATAAATTCTGATTTATTTTAAATTCTGAAAAATAAATTCTGATTTATTTTAAATTCTGAAAAATAAATTCTGATTTATTTTAAATTCTGAAAAATAAATTCTGATTTACATTATTATTTATGCTTTATTTTCCGAAACTACAAATCAGAATTTTGTAGTTCCGGAATTGATTTCTTAATGTATTTTCCGGAACTATATAAAAATGTATTTTCCGGAAGATTGGTAATAGTCTTTTTATATTATCAGGAAAATAACTCAGAATTTATTTTCCGGAAATAAATCAGAATTTATTCAGAATTTATTTTCCCAATTATTTCTGCATTATATTTATTTCCGTAAATTATCCCAGCATCAACCAAAAATTCTGAAATTTAAAAACCTGACAGAAAAAAACTAAAATTACACCCTTTATGAAATTTAATTTTAATTTTATCATTTTGTCTTCTCTTATCTATAATTAATTAATTAACTATATTTTAGGAAAAAATGCAACAAATAAATATTTTTAAAATATTAATTTTAATATTCCTTCCAGCTATTATTAATGCCCTAGACAATGGTTTAGCACGAACTCCTCCAATGGGTTGGATGTCTTGGACAAAGTTTTACTGTGAGATTGACTGTGCTCATCACCCTTTTAGTTGCATAAATGAGAGGCTTTATAAAGTCTGGAAAAAAATTTTCTTTCATTTTGGATGTCTCCAAATCCCCTAATTTAATTCTTTCCCAGGATATGGCCGATAGAATGGTAGAGGATGGCTTCCGCGATGCAGGCTATGTTTCAGTCCACATAGACGACTGCTGGATGCAACGAAAACGAGACAATAAAGGACGCTTATTAGCGGATGATAAACGCTTTGCTTCGGGAATGGGGGCATTGGCAGATTATGTTAATTAAATTCTCCTAAAAAATTTCTTTGAATGTTCATTTAGATGCATTCAAAGGGTCTCAAATTAGGAATTTATGAAGACATTGGAACAGCAACATGTGAAGGATATCCAGGCACTTGGGGGCATTTGAATGAGGATGCAACCTCTTTTGCTGAATGGAAAGTGGATTATCTCAAGTTGGATGGGTGTAATTTGAATGCTTCTCTTATGGCTAAACAAGGTGATAAAGAACTTTCCCTCTAGATCCTTCCACAATGATCAGCATTTGTGACGTATTAAAAAATAGAGGGATAACCTACCTGTTTATGAGTACAATCATACTTCATTATAAGATACATCTAATACACCTCTATTTAAAAGACGTTCTTGAAAATTTGGTAGGCCACTGGATTGGGACAGATTTTCCATTGTGTGGGAAAATCTGTTCTATATTACAGCTTTTTAAACACACAAAGTCAATGGATGTTTAGAAAAGCTGCTCAAATTTCTGTTCAAAAACTTTAAAAAAATTTCTAAAAAACCTTATTATAAGATACGATTTTTAAGAACAAAGGAGTATCCAAAAATGAGATCCGACTGTATTTTAAAAATATCAAATGATCAAAAAATTTAAATTATAACTAATCTAAATTATAAAGGCTACATCGCAATGGGTCAGGAGTTGAACAAAACTGGCCGTCCTATTGTTTATTCATGCTCCTGGCCAGCTTATTTATTATTTAGTCATCAACAGAAGGATATTAATTACACATTAATTGGGGAAAATTGTAACCTATGGAGAAATTTTGATGATATTGAGCGTTCGTGGACTTCAATTTTAAGTGTGTGAGTTGGAGAGGAATTTTTGAAAATTTTTTGAAATTTTCAAAAAAAATTTTAATTGGGCAATTTTCTTATTATTTTAAGAAACTATCGATTTCTATATCAAATATCAAGATATTTATCGAAAGGCTCAAGGACCAGGGCGTTGGAATGACCCAGACATGGTAATTAAATACAGCTTTGCTAAACACTCGAATTTAATTAGTGTTCAAAAAGCTTGTCAAGTACAGCTTTTTAAACAAACAAAATCAATGGTTGTTTAGAAAAGCTCCTCAAATTTCTAAAGAAATTTTTAAAAAATTTTCTTAAAAAGATTATTGTTGGCAACACAGAAATAACATTAGCACAATCACGCGTACAAATGGCTATTTGGGCAATATGGTCAGCACCTTTAATAATGTCAAACGATCTGAGAACGTTATTGCCTGAACATCGTGAAATCTTGTTAAATCCAAGAATTATAGCTGTTGACCAAGACCCTTTGGGAATTTTTGGAAGGATGGTTTACAACGTAGGGGAACTAAAAAATATTTAAAAATTTTATTTTTAAAAAATATTTCTTAGGAAAAATCAGTTTATGCTTTTGTGAAGGAAATGACACCTGCAATACCCTCTCGCAATTTATATTCGTATGCTGTCGCTGTACTTAATTATGGGACGAAACCAGTGGTAAGTTAAGTGAAAAAATTTTTTTCAAAATAACGAAATTTTTAAAAATTTTAAAAATGCAAAAAATTTTTCAAAATGTCGAAAAATTAAAAAATTTTCAAAATGTCGAAAAATTAAAAAATTTTCAAAATGTCGAAAAATTAAAAAAATTTCAAAATGTCGAAAAATTAAAAAATTTTCAAAATGTCGAAAAATTAAAAAATTTTCAAAATGTCGAAAAATTAAAAAATTTTCAAAATGTCGAAAAATTAAAAAATTTCAAAATGTCGAAAAGTAAAAAAATTTTCAAAATGTCAAAAAGTTAAAAAATTTCAAAATGTCAAAAAAACCACTTCAATCCCACAGCAATTCGCCACCGATCTTAAATCTATTGGCCTTACAAACAAGGCTGGATATTCAGTCCAAGAATTATGGAAGGGTACAAATTTGGGGCATTTTACCCCTTCTACAGTTTACAACATTACTTTGGAAAAGAATGATGTTGCAATATTTAAAGCAACTTTGGATGGAATTACTAAAAACATTTATTAAATTATATTTTAGTTATCCTTGAAAATTGCTTTAAATAAATAAAATACATTCTCTAATAAACCAACAAAAATTCACAGCAATCATAATTCACAGTTACGTGCTTGATGGAGGTTTATAGGGGGAGATTCTGTGGAATTTCGATAAATTCAGTTTTTTGGGTAAAAAAATATTATGTTGGAACAACCTAGCAGACCTTGATTACATCGCACTTTTTCCCTCATATGACACTTGTGGAACTAAGGGTCTCCTTCTACATATAAACAATCATCAATCAAGCAACTAGGGGGAAGTAGGGCTCAGATTCGCTACTTAATAGTAGTTAAGTCTCTTGTTTTCTAGTAATAAATAATAAAAAAATTAATTTTTTTTATTATCAATATGAGAAATATTCACAAAATTTACTTTCTTAAATTTTTGTATTTTTTCTAAAAGATTTATTTCCTACCCCTCCAGCAGGTTTTCTAAACCCAACAATATTTTTAACATTTTTCTTTTTTTCTGGCATTTGTTTTTGTTTAAATGACAATTCTTCTGGGTCAATTAAAGCAACTTCTAAAAGTTCTTCTGGTATTATAGTTGAAGTGCCGGGTCCATAATGTTGTTCAGGTAAATCGTCATAACGCTTTTTAGGTTTTTCTGGTTCTTTTGGAGGTCTGAGAGAGAAAAAATAATTTAAAATTAAAGAAAAAATTTTTAATTAACTACAGCTTTGCTAAACAACCAAATTTAACTAGCGTTCAAAAAGCTTGTCAGGTACAGCTCTTTAAACACACAAAGTCAACGGATGTTTAGAAAAGCTGCTAAAATTAGTAACAAAAAAATTTTTTCTAAATTTTTTGGGCAAAAAAGATTAGTATGTTGGAGCAACGATCCCAGTCCCAGGCAAGATTTTGAATCAAAAAAAAAGTTAAGTAAACTTACTCTGGCTTCGGAATTTCTTTCTTTACAGGTACCCAAGGTCCATAAGGATGTCCACCAGTACTAGTAACATCAATTTGAGTTGATTCAATTAATTCTGGTTTTGGTTCTATTCTAATTAATTCTTCGGGTCGCTTAGATTCTAAAAAACAAAACATAAAAAAATTTCAAAAAAATTTTCAAAAAAATTTCAAAAAAAAATTTTCAAAAAATTTTTTTTCGAAAAATTTGCTAAAAAAATTTTCAAAAATTTTCAAATAAAATTTTTTTTAACCTTCATTATTGTCCCATCTTCTTTTTCTTTCCTTCTTTAAATAATCCTTCTGATCCTTTTTTGGGCGCTCAAGAGGTGTAGTATGTACTTTATTATTTAATTTAGCAGGTTGTTGAGGGGCTGAATTTGGAGGTATCACCTTTAAAAAATTTTTTTCTAATTTTTATTTTATCCAAAACAAACCTGAGTCCTTTCAAAATTATTAGAAACATTCCCAGAATTAATTAAAGACTGATTTTTGGCTGCTATTTTTGCAGCGATTTCAGTGTAATTTTCGGCATATTCTTCAGCTGTGTAAAACCTTTTGGGTTGGTCCCAACGAGTTTCTAGGGAAGAAAATGAAAAATAAAAAGAGGAAATTTACTGGAAATTTAAGTAAAATAAAGAATTTTGAGGGTATTCAAGGACAAATAAAATATAAAGACATTCTAGGAAAATTATAAGAATGTCTGCAATCCGTAGCCAGGATATTTTTCGGGGAGGGGGGAGGAGGTAAGAGAGGAAAATTTTTTTGCGCCGAATTTTTAGCGCCGCAAGCGAAATTTTGTGAATTTTAGGAGGTCGTAGGCCAGAAAAATACACTTTTTTGCCCATTCCCTTCCCCAAATTTTTTCCTTTTCCCAATTTCAAGGGGGGGGGGAGGGAATCACTCCCTACCCTCTCTGGCTACGGGCCTGTTGAAAACCATAAAGACATTCAAAAAATCTAAGAACATTTGTAATAATCTTAGAAAATTCTAAGGACATTTAAAATATAAAATAAAACCTCCAGAAAATATATGCCAGTAATTACGCAATCCAGTCGCCGATTCTCCCTGAACCCAGCAAAGAATACCATCAACTTCATCACTTTCTATTTTCTCTTCCTCTTCGGGTTGGTCATCAACCCAAAATTGGGATTGTTTTGCACTTTTCTTTAATTCATCCAGCTAAAAAAATAATTTTAAGAATTCGGAAATTTGCGGACATCCGCAAATTTTGTCCGCAAAAAATTTGCGGATGTCCACAAATTTATTTTTGAGCCAAAATTTTTTTTTATTTAATAAAAAAATTTAATAAACCTTCCGTTTTTGTTCACGTATTTCTTCCCTCAAATCTGCTTTTTCTAAAGATTGTGCAGAGCAAGAAGAGACAACACCTTCATTAAACTCTTCAGGCATACTAGGCACACTTTTTTGACCTTTTGAAGACATACTTGATTTAGCTGCTTGTTCCATTGCTAGAATAGTCATTCTTAAATCGTGATCCTAAAATTTTGGGAAATTAGAAAATGACAGAGAAAAATATTTAAGGGCAAATTTTTCATTTTTGCGGACAGAATTTTGCGGACAAATTTTTGCGGACAAATTTTTTGTCCGCAAATTCTGAAAGTTATCAGATCCACCTAATCTATATATCATTCAACTCACAATCAGCTCGTTGTCCGCAAATTTTTAAATGCCTTCGCTTGTTTAAAAATCTGTACCAGACGAGCTTTTTGAACGCTAGCTAAATCTGGTTGTTTAGCAAAGCTGTAGTCTATTAAAATTTTTTCTTTAATTTATTTTTTGCGGACTATCCCCTGGTTACCCTTGAGGATGGGAAAAATATGGAGGACTCCAAAAATATTAACAAAGCCTACCTTAAGCTCTTTATCCTTCGCCTTTTTAGCACTTTCCCTCAACCTTTGTTGTACCATAACTTTATGTTTGGCACCAGTTTCATGCCTTTCCGAGCTAATTTTATTGTCGGCATACCAAACCTAGGACAAATAAAGTTAATTTAATTTAAAAACGTTAAAAATAACCTTGCAAATCTCACAAAACTTTTTAGAATAAGATTTCCAATAATCTGTCATCTTGAAAAAATGAAAAAAAAAGATTGAAATTGATCTAAATTTGACTTGAAATTGAACAAAAATTGGCTTGAAATTAACTAAAATTTAGCTAAAATTCAATAGAAAAGCGAACAAATTTAATTTTAATTTATTTTGGCATTTTGCCCTTTTAGATGAATAAATGACACTTAATCCCAAAATTATTATTTAATTTCTTTCTCTGTCTTCACTATTTTCTGCTTCTCTTTCTCTTCCTTTCAATCATTTCCTTCGTCTAAAGCGTTTCATTCTTAATATTTAGCCAATCCACATTTTGCCAGCAAGGCAAAAAATTTGCGTTTTGTCAACAAGCTTATTAACAAAATGAGGATTTTAGCCTTATTGGCAAAATGTGAGCTGGGCGTTTTATTAGTATTTGACTTTTGGGAGTTTTTCTAATATTTTTTAAATTGGGCTAAAAAATTTTTTTTCAATTAGAAATTTTCTTTTAATTTTGTATTTAACTATTAAAATTTTTTTTATAAAATTTCCAGATAAAATTAAATTTTAACCAAAAAAATGTCCTTTTACAACGACAACGAAGAAGAAAATGAACTTCACATAGCTTGGCCCAACTATACACCAGAAAAACAACAAAAACAATCTTCATTACTTCCACTTGTTTTAATGATAAACGAAAAATTGCGTGAACGTCTACCTGCATGGGAAATAATTTCATTAAATCCTCAGCACTTTCCTGAATTTTTCGAAAAAATTTTAAAAATGATTTGTGACGAGAATTTGGGCTATTCTGTTCAAATACATCTTATTACTTTTTTGAATTATTGTTTTAATTCGTTAGAAGTGGATTTTGTGAGACTAGAAGTTGGGAAACTGTGCTCTTTGCCTATTTTGGTTAATTTGTTGCCGGTTAGTTTTTTAGGCTGTAGTGTAGTGTACCGGTGGTAAAAGTTCGAGACATGATATATGTCATTCGATTCGTCTCGACGAGCTGAGTCGAACGGTACCACTCCCTATTTTAGGAAATAATTCTGGACCGAGTTATAGGTCCCGGAAAATTGAAAAACCATAGGGGGGAGTAAGCTCGATTTTGGGTGAAAAATTCGAATATGCAAATAATAGCTCATTCGAAAGAGCTCCTCGAGCTGAGTCGAATGACACCAAAATCAACAAAATCCGACTTGATTGGACAAAGTTACGATCGTTTGTTTTAGCTCCTTACCTATGGTCTCCATGGAGGGTTTTGCTGCTACGGAGGCTCCAGGTATGCCCAGAGCAAGGGAGATAGGAATAGGTTTATGTTACGAGCCCAGACCCACCGCCCGTAGACTCCCCGCGAGGCGCGTGCCGCAAACCCCCGCGCGAAGCGCGGGGGTTTGCACAAGCGCCTCGCCGACTCTCCATAGGATTATGTTGCTTGTTTTTTGTGTCGTAACATTGTCTAATCTTGTTCAATCACGGTGATTTTGGTGTCATTCGACTCAACTCGTCGAGCTCTTTCGAATGAGTTATTATTTGTATAAAAAATTTTTTATTCCAAAAATCGCCCCTTTGGATCTTCGATATTTAGGGGCCTATATCTCGGTCCAATCAAGTCGGATTTTGTTGATTTTGGTGTCATTCGACTCAGCTCGACGAGCTCTTTCGAAAGAGCTATTATTTGCATATTCGAATTTTTCACCCCAAAATCGAGCTTACTCCCCCCTATGGTTTTTCAATTTTCCGGGACCTATAACTCGGTCCAGAATTATTTCCTAAAATAGGGAGTGGTACCGTTCGACTCAGCTCGTCGAGACGAATCGAATGACATATGTCACGTCCCGAACTTTTACCACCGGTACACTACACTATATCCGTTTTTTATTTTTTTTTGGCTTTTTTTGGGAGTCAGTGTTGTTTACCCCCCATTTTCATTTTCTTTTTTCTTGGTGCTTTAATGTGGTTACTTTCTCGATTTTTGACCACGTTTGTGTTTTGGGCCTATAGAAACTGGTTATGGTGCCATCTGTTATTTTATTGTTGCCTTGGGTTTCTCAGAATTTTAGCCTGCGGCGCTAACCCTTGATTTCCTTGGGCTTCGAACCCGAAAAATTTTTTAGACTCATAAGCAACTAGGTATATATTTATTTTTTCAAAATTTTTCGTGAACATTTTATTTAATTTCCAGTCTAAACGTAACTCCCTATTCGAAAAAAATCCAAAACTTAAAAAATATTGGGTCAAAATGGAACAAAAATTTCAACAATTACCTCCTGAGGAATTTGAGAAAATTGATTTTTCACGCCGTCTGCTTTGGAGATTATTACAAAGATTAAAACGAACCGTGGATTTTATTGATGACGAAAGCAAAGGTATTTTTTACTTTTTTTGTGAGTAGTGACCAGCGCAGAGTAGGATCTTGCGTCAGAAACCCCGCACTCTTGTGATTTGTGTGATGCGGAATTTATCCCTTTGAATTCTGTCTCGAAGGTTTTTAGCAAAATTCCGCATATGCGCCTTAAATTACGATTCTGCCGGTCACTTCTTTTGAGTGTTAGGTTTGTGAGTTAATATTAGAGATCGAATCGAGACGGGAACCCGAACAAAATCTCAATAATCGGAGTTTTGAGATTTTTCGAAATATCTCTTACGATGACGTACGACCCGCCCAGTTTGGTTTCTTACCAATCATTTATTAAATTAAAAAAAAATTTTTACCTAGATTTGGAAATTGACGCCGTCACATATTGTGAACGCCTACTCTCTTTTTTAATAGATTTGGAAGCTCAATTGACTACCAGGTTTTTTCTTAAATTTTTAAAAACTTAAAAATATTTTTAGACGTTTCTTCAATTCTTTACTCCATTCAAGCCATATACTCACACATTGTTGTCTTTCCCAATTTATCCGTTCAGAGCATGGCTCTCTCTTTTGTGAGCTTTTTTCAATGCTTAAATTTTATGCTCGTTTTGAAATTGATGAACTTAGTGGACAACAATTGCTACAGGCGGAGGTTTTTATTTTTTAGATATTAAACGATTGTGATAATGGATTCTTTGAACATAGAATTTGAAAATTTGACGACAAAAAAATTGTCGAGAAACTCTTTAAAGATTTTCTCTTCGATTTAGCTGATCTGATTTCCTAAAATGTAGAATTTCATACGTTTTTGGACCGAGAATCTACATTTTCGAATCTGGATTTATTTTTTAGGTTATCAGGATCCCTGGTTTGTACCAGTGATCTTGTCACGTAAAAAGTAAATTCCAGTTGTGGGAATCGAGTCGGCTAGACCTTTGGACTGCCCTCAATTACTGGCCCTCTAATCTTTACAAGACTTAAAATAATTTTTTTCACAAGGTAACCAAAAGGCATTATGAATTTGTTTCTCAATTACAAGCGGCCGCATTCAAATTTCTAAATGAAAAATTGACTGAATTTTGTTTGCTACCAGTTGGATCTGTTGATTCTAGTAAATTTTTGCGTGAACAACTTGGCTCTTTAAGGTTTTTTGGGAAATTTTTTGGGGCTTTTTTGAAGAAAAAAAAATTTTTTTAAAGTTGTGATGACCTCTACAAACTTGCCGAATTTTTAAATTTGGTACCTTCATTGGAGGAGAAGGAAGAAAATTTAGTTGATAATTATTGCCGTTATGATGACCCAAATTATTTAATTGAAGCTATAATTTTTGTTTGTGAACGTAGACCTTTTCAATTACAACGCTTAAATGCTGAACCTCTTTATCCTAGTGAAAAAGTGATTTGGGATGAAAAGGTTTGTTTGAGGAATTTTTATCTTTAACGGAATTTTGGTTTTACGAGATATCAATGTTAAGGTTTCGTAAATAACTGACTTGAGCCTGTTAATTAGGGTTGTACCCCTTCCCCGAAAGTCGGAGAAAGGCTTCAAAATTATTTTCTTGGATTATTCATCCAAAGTTTAATACTTGACAATTATTTATATTTTTGTATAACGTTAGGGGATATAAAGGAAAAATTTTTGTGAAAAAACCTTATTAGAGACAAATATTCTTCGTGAAGAGAATATTCAAATATTTTCCGAGACTTGTCTTTAGATGACCTTCTTGTTTTACCGATTTATAATCATACTGTGATTATCTAGCGATTGTCATCTGACCGAGTTTTTATTCTGCGGGCCCAAATGTTACAGGATTTCCAACTAATTTAAATTAATTTAGGTACTAACTATTCTATTTTTCTATTCGAATTAGATAATTAAAAAAAAATTTTTTTTTCTAGCTAATTCCATATGATCATTATGATGGTAAAAGTGTGCTTCCTTTAAATAAATTAAATTTACAATTTTTAACAACACATGATTATTTACTTAGAAATTTTAATCTTTTTAGAATGGAATCGACATGTTTTTTTAATTTTTTTAAATTTTTTAAGAAAATTAAATTTTTATTAAAGATGAAATTCGTCTCGATTTGGAAGATGTAATGTTTCGAATGAAACCTTGGAAACACGAATTTAATGAATCTGATGTTGTTTGGGGTGGTTGGGCAAAAATGGCACTTCCAGTTACTAGTTGTAGAATTGTGCATGTTGGAAGGCCTTTGGTTGGAGAGGTTTGAGGAAAAATTTTTTTATGGTTTTTTAAATTGTTAAAAAAAATTTTTTTGGAATTTTTTTTAAAATTTTTTACCTTTTTTAAAAAATCCTTAAAAATAAAAATTTTTTTGGGATTTAAGAATTTTTTGAAAATTTTTTTTTGAATTTCTGGAGTTAGAAAATTTTTTTGAAGTTTTAGAATTTAAAACAAATTTCTTAAAAAATTTTTTAGAAATTTTTTAATTTAAAAATAAAGAATAATCTTTTTTTAAGTCTGCTCCTTCCGAAGTTCGTGCAGATCTCCAAATAACTTTACCCTCAAGAGAAGATTTGCGTCAAGATTGGATGTCTCTTCGAAAAAATGATGTTCTCTTTTTACTTAAAGTTAAACCTATACAAAAAGTTGGCTATAAATTCGATTTTCGACGCCCATTTAAAGAACAATTTGGAATTTGTATTGTTAGAGGGTGTGAAGTTGAAGGAATTTTGACTGGAGATGGAAAAATACTTGATGAGATGGGTTTGTATTTTTTTGTGTTTTTGAGGGAATTTAAATGGGAATATTAAAGAGAAATACATAAGTTTCCATTGTGAACTAAATCAGAATTTACTATAGTTAAAATAAATCAGAAATTTAAATAAAATACAGAGAAAATACAACTAGAATTTAAATAAAACACATCAGAATTTAAGGAAAATACAAACAATATAAAAAATACAAAATCAGAAATTTCATTTAAAACACATCAGAATTTAAATAAAAATGCAAATATACAAACCAGAATTTTTATTAAACCAAACCAGAATTTTATAAAAACATATCAGAATTTAAAGAAAAACACATCAGAATTTTTATAAAAACACATAAGAATTCAGGGAAAATACAAACAAAATACAAACCAGAATTTTTATTAAAGCAAATCAGAATTTTATAAAAACGCATCAGAATTTAGGGAAAATACAAACAAAACACAAACCAGAATTTATATAAAAACACAAATCAGAATTCAAATTAATTGCAAATCAGAATTTAGGGAAAATACAAACCAGAATTTTATAAAAACATCAGAATTTAAATTAATTGTAAATCAGAATTTAAATTAATTTTAAATCAGAATTTAGGGAAAATACAAACGAAACACAAATCAGAATTTTTGTAAAAACACATCAGAATTTAAATTAATTGTAAATCAGAATTTAGGGAAAATACAAACAAAACACAAACCAGAATTTTTATAAAAACACAAATAAGAATTTAGGAAAAATACAAACAAAATACAATCAGAATTTAATTAAAACACAAATTTTTTATTTTTTCAGAAAGCCGTGAAGCTGTCCGAAAAATGGAAGGGGATTTGCGCACATTTCGAATCCGTTTCGATCCAAACCAATACAAAGAAGATTCTGATAATGGAAATATTGAAGATATTTATTTTTCTTTTAATTTAGTAATTCGAAGGGACCCAAAATCAAATAATTTTAAATCAGTTTTGGCAACAATAAGGCAATTATTAAATACGGAATGTGTTGTCCCAGATTGGTTATTAGATTTAATATTGGGGTATGGAGAGCCTGATATTGCACATTATTCGAGGTTTGTTAAGGGGAGGATAAAAATATTTTTTTTGGAATTTTTTAAAGAATTTATATAATTAGGGTAAAATTAAGACGCTTGCCGGCGACTGATATTTTACACTTAATTTTTTTTGAAATTTAGTGGAAAATTTTTTTTATTATAATTGAATGATTAAAATTTTAAGAATTAAGAAATGGTGTAACTTTTTAAAAGCGGTAGTGACTTAAAAAAGAAAATTTTTCTTTTAAAATAGGAAAATTACATTTTACATGAGCCTATCCTTTAAAATTATAGAAGAATAGTTTAAAAAAATTGAACTAGGCAAACAAGCTTCAAATTAAAATCTAAAATTTTAAATTATCATTTTTGGACGTTTTATTTTTTAATTTTTAATTAAAAAATGTGTTTTCTTTGAAAATTTAAGTTTGACCATTATGAGCCTTTTAAAAAAATATTTTTTAAAATTTTTCGGAAAATAGGGAAAAGCTTTATTTTTTCGGAAAAAGCCTTAATTAAAAAAAAATTTTTTTATTTTTCAGAATTACAAATACAGTTGCAACAGTTGATTTTAATGACACTTTTCTTTCCTTTGAACATTTACAAAAATCATTTCCAAATAAAAAAATAATTTGTGAAGAAACTGTGCCCAAACCTCCTTTTAGGTTTTTAATTTTAAATTTATCGAATTAAAAAAATTTTCCATTTTTCAAAGATTAACTTTCAAAGAATTTGTTCCTCAACACAATATTGAAAAGGAAGAAGAAAGGGATACTTCAATAATTGTAGAAAATCAAAAAGTATTTAATAGAATATTGACAGAAACTTATCAAAAGAATAATATTGAATTTACGCCGTTACAGGTTTAATTTTAAATAAAAAAATTTTGTGAAAAAAATCTTTCGTTAATTAAAACAAGTCTGAAAATTTCAGTCTGACCATTTTGAGCCTTTTAATAAAAATGTAAAAATAATTGAAAATAATTTTTTTTCTGGTAATTTATTAGAAGTTTTGGATTATAAAAAGATTTTTGAGGGTTTTTTGAAAAATTTTTAATGAAATTTTATTCTGACCATTATGAGCCTTTTGAAAAAAAATTTTTTAATACAATGGAGTTTCTTAAACCATTATGCGTCTTTTCAAAAACAATTTTGTATTCAAAAATATGATCTTTGAAAAATTTTAAAAATTTTCTTTGGATATTTTAGTTTGACCATTATGCGCTTTTGAAAAAATATTTTAAAAAATTTTTTCGGAAATTTTTTAAAACTTCCGAAAAAATTTTTTTTGGATATTTTTGACATTTTATTAAAATTCCTTTTCACTTTCAACAAATAAAAAAAATCCTTTTTTTAGATAGAAGCAATAAAATCAGGAATGCAGCCAGGTTTAACACTCGTTGTCGGCCCTCCAGGAACAGGCAAAACGGACGTTGCTGTTCAAATAATTTCAAATATTTATCACAACTGGCCAGAACAACGAACTTTAATTGTTACACATTCAAATCAAGCTTTAAATCAAATTTTTGAAAAAATTATTTGTTTGGATGTTGATGAAAGGCATTTATTGAGAATGGGTATTTAGATTTTTTTGTTTTGTTTATTGGGCTTTGGTTATTGAAAAATATTTAAGAAAATTTTTGTAAGATTTTTTGAAAGACTTTTTGGGGTCTAATTGTAAGACACAAGCCAGAAATGGGATTAGGTTAGGAAAAAGTCGGGGTTTTCAAAATTTTCTTCGGATCGGAATTTGCTTCCGATTAACCTGAGGGACATGAGTAGGGTTGTTGGTTTCAAACCGAACTGATAAACCGAAGATTTTTGGTTCGGTTAACCGAAAGCTTCGGTCTCGGTAAACTGAAGAATTTGATGAAACTGGCACCCCTAAACATGAAAGTCCTATTGAAATGTATGTGGCTCCTAAATATTTTTTTGTTTGATTTTCTTTGGTTGCTAACGTCTGTTTTTGGATCATGTCCCATAAACAGAGCCAATTTTTAAGTCAAATTTTCTCAATAAAAAACTTTATTTTTCTTCCAGGCCATGGAGAAGAAGCTTTAGAAACAGACAAAGATTTTAGCCGTTATGGAAGAGTTAATTATGTTTTAGCAGAACGTAAACGTTTACTTGAACGTGTAGAAAAACTTTGTGAATCAATGGAAGAAATTGGGGATGTTTCTTATTCTTGTGAAACTGCTGGATATTTTTTTAGATATTCTGTAAGTTTTTTTGGGGAATTTTAAAAATGGTTTGGTTGCCCCAAAAAAAATTTTTTTTTAATTTTTTTTCGTTGGGAAAAAATGTCTCATGTAAGGAAAAATTTTTTAAAAGATTTTTTTGGAATTTCTTTCTGGATATAACGGCTAGACATATGAGAGTAATTATTTTTCTAAATCAGAAAATGTATTTTTAAGGTTACTCCCAAGTTGGGACAAAATGTCTCATTAATAGAAAATTCAAAACAAATTGGATTAAAAATTCAAAAAAAATTTTTTTTGTGAATTTTTGCGAATTTCTAAGAATTTTTTAATTCAGAAAATTTAAAAAAAAAATTATTTTTCAGGTCTGTAAAACTTGGGAAAATTTTCTTGAATTAATTGAACAAGCAAAACAGACTGCTATAAATGACGCTAAAGAAAATAATAATTCTGAGAATTCAACAAATGTTCCTTTACCTTCCAAAGATTTTGTGGCTGATAATTTTCCTTTTACAAAATTTTTTCAAAGTGGAAAGAAGAAGAAAAATTTCTTGCCTCTGGAGTTTAAGGTAAAATAAATTTATAGTGAAACACCTCTTTATAAGAGACACCCAATATTAGGTTCACTTCTATTTATGGGACGCCCTTTTAAAAATTTTGATAGGACACTGAAGTAGAGGGGTCGAGTAAACGATATACTCTCTTCTTAAGGGATACCCTCTATTTAACGTACAACTCATAAGAAACAAAAGTTTTTTGACCCAAGTGGGCATCTTTTAATTTAATTTTTATTTAAAAAAATTTTTTTTAAATAATTTTTAGAGAGAAAATTTTAATGAAGATCTACAAGTAGCAATGGAAGGATGGAATAGAATTGTAGATATATTCAAAAAATTAGAGGAATTTAGAGCTTTTGAATTGCTAAGAAATGGACGTGATAGAGCAGATTATTTACTTGTAAGGGGTTTTTTTTATTTTAAATTTTTTGAGGGGTCTGATTTAATTTTTAAAATTTTTTTGAAGAGGTCAGAGATTAATTCTTCACGATTTTTGGAAAAATAAAAATAATTTTTTAGAAAAAAGTTGAAAAAAATTATTTTTTGAGCGGTCTGACCATTATGAGCCTTTTTCAAAAATTTTTAGGAAAAATTTTATTTTTGGGACAAAATGTCTCACTAAGAAATTCCTTTCAAAAAATTTATTTATAAAGGTAAAAGAAAGTAAAATAATTGCAATGACTTGTACTCACGCAGCTTTGCGTCGTCGTGAATTGGTAGAACTTGGATTTCGTTATGATAATATTTTAATGGAAGAAGCTGCACAAATATTGGAAGTGGAAACGTTTATTCCTTTACTTTTACAAGTAAGAAGGGGAAATTTTTTTAATTTTCTTATTAAAAGGATCGAGCCTTTTTTATAAGAATGTTTGGGGGATCACTTTTCTATTTTTAGTCTGACCATTATGAGCCTTTTGAAAAAATTTTTAATTTTTTGATACCTTGAAAAATTTGGAAAATTAATTTGTTTTGACACTTCGAGAATTTTTTAAAAAATTTTCTAATGCATTTAAAAAAAATTTTTTTTTCATGACCCTCATGATGGCCGTTCTCGTCTAAAACGTTGGATTATGATTGGAGATAATCACCAATTACCCCCAATTGTTCAAAATGTTGCTTATCAAAAATATTCAAATATGGAACAATCTCTTTTTGCTCGTTTAATTCGATTAGGTAAGGGAAAGATGAAGGTTCTTTGGAATGGTTTTTTTTGTTTAATGGAATCTTGGCTTCTCCAAGTTTTTTTCTTTTTAACCAGCGAAAAAATTGTTCGATTTTTTTGAAATTAAAAAGTCCAAATCAGCACCAGACAAAAATTATTAAAAGTTTTTGTTTGAGGGGATTATGGATGCAAAGAGCCATTAAATATTTGGGACTCCGCTACGAACCCCGGAACCATGGAACTGTCAGCTTTTTTTTAATCAGGAAGGCGCTGGTAAATAGATGAGCAGTTACGAAGCCTTCTAAATCCCGATGATGACCATAAACTTCAAAAAAAATCGAAAAATTTCTCAAAACTTCACTTCACTTTTTCTAGGTGTCCCCCATATCCAATTAAACGCTCAAGGCCGTGCTCGTTCAGAATTGGCAAATTTATATAATTGGCGTTATAAAAATTTGGGTGATTTAAAACATGTTTTGGATAATGAAGAATTTAAATTGACAAATGCTGGATTTTTGTATAATTATCAATTAATTAATGTGCCTGATTTTAATGGAATTGGGGAAAGTACTCCTAGTGCTTATTTTTATCAGGTGTGTTTTGGGGGACTTTATGCCGAGAAGAAATTTATTTTTAAGGGAAAAATATATACGGATCTCACTATAAGAGACTCCTTTGGGGTTGGAAAATAGAGTCCCTTTTAATGAGGTGTATCTTAAATAGAAGGGTTCCCTTACATAGACAGATTCTCACCTAGTAGCCAGTCAAATTTTAAGAAAACGTCTATTAAGTGGAGGGGCGGACCTCGCTATAAGAGACTCTCTCGTTGCTTGAATACATATTTTCTCTTATAATCAAGTGTATCCTACATAGAGTGTATGATTTGGCTAGTTTCCCCAACCCTGTGACCTAGCGAATTATAAAAAACGTCTCTTAAATAGAGGTTTATTTAATATTGGGTTTGTTATAATGAGGGCTGATAATTAAATTTAAATTTTTTATTTTCAGAATCTTGGAGAAGCAGAATTTGCCGTAGCTTTATTTGTTTATATGCGTATTTTAGGATATCCTGCAGAAAAAATTTCAATATTAACAACTTATAATGGACAAGCTTCTTTATTACGTGATATAATAAATAAAAGGTGTACAAATAATCCTTTAATTGGAATGCCTGGAAAAGTAAGGAGAGGGGTATTAAGATGGGTTTATTAAATTTCAAATTTTTAAAGATTTCTACTGTTGATAAATACCAAGGACAACAGAATGGTAAGGGAAAAAATAAAGTTTTATTAAAAAAACTTTATAAGAGACACCCATTATTAGTTATACCTCTATTTAAGAGACGTTCTTTAAATTTTGGTTGGATATTGAATGGAGGGAAATTTTTAAACGATACCCTCCATTTAAGAAACACCCCTATTTAAGAGATAACTCGTTATAAGATACAGACCTCTCTATAAGAGACACCCAATATTAGGTCTGCTCTATTTAAGAGACGTTTTGTAAAATTTGGTGGGCTACTGGGTGGGGATAACTGTCTAAACGATACCCCTATTTAAGAGACCCTCATTATAGGGTAAATTTTTTCACCCTTAATGGTTTATCTTATATAGAGGTTTTGATGTATCTCCTCAATTTATTTTTTTTCTAGATTACATAATTTTATCACTTGTGAGGACTAGAGCAGTTGGACATTTAAGGTGCCTTTTTTGCTATAATTTTAAGAAAAAAATTTTTTTTGAAGAGATGTACGACGATTAGTAGTAGCTCTATCACGTGCTAGACTTGGCCTTTATATTCTTTGTCGTGTTTCATTATTTAGAAAGTGTTATGAACTTGCACCCGCTTTTGAAAGGGTAAATGTTTAAATTTAATTCTGATTTTGTTTTTGAAACTTTTGTGTTTTGATTGTGTTTTTTTAATTCTGATTTTATGTTTGGTGTGTTTTTGTTAGGTGTTTTGGTTAGTGTTTTTCTGGTTTCAAGTTTATATTAATTTTGATTTTATTTCGGAGTGAATGTTTAAATTTAATTCTGATTTCGTTCTAAACACTTATGTTTTGTTTGTGTTTAAATTTAATTCTGATTTTGTTTTTGTTGTTAGTTCTGATTTCTTTTCTGGGATGAATGTTTGAATTTAATTCTGATTTTGTTTGTGTTTAAATTTAATTCTGATTTTGTCCTGGATGTTTGGCTAGTTGTGTTTTGTATTTCATTCTGGTCGTGTTTTTAATAATTCTGGTTGTGTTTTTGTTGTATTTTTATATTTTTTCTGATTTTTAAATAAATTCTGATTTTTTATTTTATTTTATAGTTACTCCAAAAACCAACTCGTCTTCTTTTATTGCCTACAGAACAGTTTGGTTACCCTAACGAAAATAGTCAAAAAGTAAATTTTTAATTTTTCTAAATTAATTTTTTTAATCTTTAATTCTTTTCAGCAACCCCTAGAAATTATAGACACTCAACACATGTCACATTTTGTTTCAGAATTTTATTCTGCCAATATTGAAATTATGAAGGGGCGTAATAACCAACTAGAAAAGGAACAAGAAAAGGGGGATGGGGAGGTGATGGAAGTAGTGGTGACGACAGAAGAGACGTCAACAACCACCACCATAACCACTCTTCCAGTGGAAATTCCAAAAGAAAAGGAAGGTGAAGAAGAAGAGGAAGAAAGGATGGAAGAGGGGGAAGTTAGGGAGGAAGAAAAGAAGAAGGAAGAAGACAGAAATAAGGGAGAAGAAAAGGAAGACGGCCCTAAAGAAAGTGATGAAGGAGCTATAGTTTTTGAACAGGTGGATTTTGAACGTTTACAAAATGTTCCAAAATATGGATAATTAATTAAGTTGATGACTGATCTCTTAATTATTTTTTTTTAATTTGTTATTTTTTGAATAAATTTTCTAAAAATAATTTTTAATATTTTCACAACTAGAGGGCATTACGTTACTACTGACAGTAATTTATCGGTATTCAGTATCGGTGGTAAGGTACGACAAAATCTTCGATCTCCATTATATTTACAAAAGGAATTTTTTTATTATTAATTCTTTAAAATGGGATGTAAATTAAAAAAAAATTTTTGGTCTAGCCAGACTATTTTTTTATTCAAAAAATATTTTAAAATTTTGGCTATACCTTTTTAAGAAAATAAAAATAATATTTTAAATTCTCATAAATTTTTTGAAAAATCTAAAATTACATCTTATACAAATTATTGTAACCATTATTGAGGCTTCTGCTGCAAGTAGGACTATGAAGAATTGGGTTAACCAAAGTTCATTTTTAGACACCTCTGAAAAAAAAGGAAAGATTTTTTTGAATTTTTGTGTTTTTAAAATTTTTTGGACATTAGAGTCTTGACTTTGCTTTAGAGTCTATTGCTGTTCACTAGAGTCTCAGATGGTGCAGCTGGGTCTCATTGTAAATTGAAGCCTTAAATTGTACATTTAAGTCTCAAATCGTCACTCGAACTACAATCTAAGACTCTAATATACAATCTAAGACTCAGATCTACCATGAGACCCAGCCGCACCATCTGGGACTCTAGTGCACATTCTGAGACTCTAATGTCTCAATTTTTACCTTCCTGTGTGTGGGGCACAGACTGCATCCCTCCACGTCTCCTATTTTCCACCTCTACTCCCTTTGTAAATCCAAAAATACTTGAAAAGACTATTATTGCAACTAATTTTCCAAATGCTCCGAACCCCTAAGATTAAAAAAATTTCTAAAATTTTCAAAAAAAAGTTTTTCCAACCGAGGCAATAGCACAAAACCACAAAGTAGTAATTTCATCCCCTTTTCTATTCATAGCAGCAAATATAGTTACTGTAACAACAATTAGTGGGAAAGGAACGACACTTAGAATTGACCTATAAAAATTGTATTTAGTCGACTCTCACTATAGGAGACTTCATTGGGGGTTCCAAAATTGTCCCTTATAATTAGGCGTGTTTTAAATAGAGGGTATTACCTATTGGACAGTCATTTTTTAAAAATAAACATCTTTTAAATAGAGTCTAAACGATACCCTCTATTTAGGATACCCCCATTATAGGGGACGGTAGAGAAGCTGGGTCTGGACCAAGGCCTGGGTTTTTCCTGTACCCATAGTCCAGGCCCAGGCATTTTTTGCCTTTCTTGGTTTTTCCCGGGCCTGGGATTTTCATGTGGACTACAAGCCCAGGATCCTGCCCAGGTCAATAAATCAAACCCAGAGTCCAGGAACAGGTCCAGGCTTTTCACAAATCTCGATCTCTACTATATAGCTATGTAAAAATGAGATTTGGCATAAAAATTGAAAGAAAATTTTTTAAACGAACAATGGATAATAAAAGAGAGCCAAACATATTGAAATAAACAAGTAAATACATACAAGAATTAAGGTTATACGCTAAAATAAAAAATTAAAAAAATTTATTTTTTTTAATTTTACTTGTAAATATCCATTTTCAAATCCATCCCTTTCCCTCGAACTTCTCTGTCGTCCTCGTTGTTTTCCTTTTTCGGTATCCTCTTCATCGTCATAACAATCAACGTCAACATGACGTGGATTAATAAACATCATTTTTGGGGGAAATAATTTTTAAATTTATTTTTAGGCTGAAAAAATTTTTTGAAAAAATTTCTATAAATTTTAGACGATTGGGAAGTGAACGGACTCGAACCTCCATCCCTTAAATGAGGAAAACACAAATATTATCCACTTAACCAAAATTACAAAACTTTTCCGATTTTTTATTAGGTGAGGGAATAGGTAAGGGTGCCGGAATTTTGGTCACTGGAATTCTGGTCACCAAGGATTTTCGGAACTTTGGTCACCAACTTTTTTGGAATCTTGGTCACTAGCGGAATTTTGGTCACCAAGTCAAAAAACGGAATATTGGGCACTGAAATTTTGGTCACCAAGAGGAATTTTGGTCACCAAACGGGAAAAACAAATCTTATCTAGAACTGATATCTAAGTGATAAAAAATTGTTTTTCAACTACCTGATGATTATTTTCAATGTGAATCACTTTCACGGTTAATCAATCTTCCGGGAGAGTGATTGAGAGTGATAAACCGAGAGAGTTATCAGCCGGAAGGGTGATAAACATTGAAATTGATCAACTGGAGATTGAAAAATCATTTTTTATCACTTAGATATCAGTTCTAGATAAGATTTGTTTTTCCCGTTTGGTGACCAAAATTCCTCTTGGTGACCAAAATTTCAGTGCCCAATATTCCGTTTTTTGACTTGGTGACCAAAATTCCGCTGGTGACCAAAATTCCAAAAAAGTTGGTGACCAAAGTTCCGAAAATCCTTGGTGACCAGAATTCCAGTGACCAAAATTCCGTACACCATAGGTAACCAGTTCAATTTTAAAAATATATTCTTGCTGATAACGAATTTTCAATTTGGTTATGATAATTTTTTTGTTTTCCAACTGCTGCCTTTAGGAAGGAAGATACAGAAAAATATTTTTTGAAATTCTAAAACGCCAGAAATAGAAAAAAATGTGGCAACGGAAATGGAAAATTGGATGGAGAAAAAATTAGAAAACTTTAATTTAAAAAATTTTCAAAATAATTATTGGAATTTTAGACACAAAACTTTTGTTAAAAATCTTTTAAAAAAGTCCAATAACCAAATCCCCAATAAAAATAATTAAATATCGGAAAATGCCCCCAACTTTTAACATTTCCGATATATTCGTTTTTTTGGATTTAAAATTAAATTTAAAAAAATTTAAAACTAAAATAATAGGAGAATTTGAAGGAACAAAAGAAAAAATAAATTTGAGGCATTAAAAAAATATTTTTTAAAAATTTCTATAGGAAATACCGTATAAGCAAAATAATTACCCCAGGTAAATTATCGTCTTAACCTTCTCGCTAGATTAGTATAATTTAGGGTAGAACCCGACCCGTCGTGTTGAGAAAAAAAATCCCTTGGATCAGGGTTTACCGGGAAGGGCATGTCGGGGTTCGGGGTAAGGGTTGGTTTTTCGGTCGGGGGTCGGGTTGCTACCCTAGTTTAACTTATCAAGAGAAGGATAATTATTCAAGTTTTAAAATTTGAACGCGCACTAGAACAGCTATGGGAGGGTATTATTGTTTCAAACTTCTCGCTGGAGGGCGCAATTATTTGATATAAATTTTCAACATTTTTTCAAAATTACAAGTCAAGAAAAAATATAGAAAAAATTTTTCTTACGAAAACAAGTAGGGGGATTTTTAGCTTATTTTACTACTAAAAGTGTGACAAAGAAATAAAAAAATATTATTTTATAAAAATATTTAATAAGAAAAAAAAGAGAAAAATGGATATATAAAATAGATTTTTTGGGCAGTTGGCCACAAATTTTTTTCTTTTATTTTTTTTCTTTGTTTGTTGATATTTTTTGTTTATTTTATATACATAATTTGTCTTTTTTTAATGGTTGATTAAATTTATAAAATTAGTAAAAAGGTGTAAAAATAATAAAAAATATATAATTACTTAAGTGTGAAAACACAAATATTTTTCTTAAAAAATTTTTTTTGAATTTTTAAAAATTTTTTGAATGGGAAAATTAAGTAAAATATATCGGGGAGCAGGGGGGGGGTGGTGATAATTCAAGCATAATTTTTCGAGAAAAATTTAAAAAATAATAAAACAATTTTTTAAAGTGAAAGGCCACAAAGAGGACTAATTTCCAAGAAAATTTACAAAAAAAATTTTTTTTCAAAAAAAATTTTTTTAAAGTGAGGGGTCACTCGAAAAATCACTAAAAATAAGCACTTTTATCGCTTATTTTAATCTTAAAAATAAAATAGTAAAATAAACTGGTGGAAAAAACAAGCAAAACAAGACAACAAAAAATGTCAAAATTTAGAAAAAAAATTTCATTGTTTCCTTTAGGGAATTGGAAAAAAATAAGGGGGGGGGGGATAAAGCAAATATTTTTATATGAAGATTTATGTGTTTTTGTAAAATAATTTAGGAATTATTTTATGTTCAGTGTTTTATTTATTCTGTTCTTGTAAAACACAAAATCAGAATTAAAATGAAAACAGAATTAATTAAAAAACAATTAATTGGGTAAAAATAAATTCTGTTTTTATGTTGTAAAATAATTCTGTTTTCTGCTTATAAACTAATTTTGTTCCAATGTTTTAATTTAATTCTGGTTTTGTGTCCTTTTAAATTGCTCGTGTTTTTATGTTTTTATTTAATTCTGAATTTGTGTTTTTAATTAATTCTGGTTTTGTCTCTATGTTTTAGTTCGGAATATGCCTTAATTTTATTTCAAGTGTATTTCCCTGCCCAGCCAAAAATATAAATTAATCAAGAATTAAACAATTAATTTAATTCTGAATATAAATTTTTAAAATTAATTTCCAGTTATTTTTAGGAAGTAAAGGTAAAGCCTTAAGTATAACATTTGTCAATCAATCACTTTTTTTTTAAATTTCTAAAATAAGTACACCTAAACACGTGCATTTTTGAATGTTCATGATAAAGAAAGAATTGATTTTTTAAATGAAATTTTAGACAATTTTTATTTCAAAAATAATAATTTTTTGACACTTCCAAGAACGAAAAAAATATTTCTTCTGATTTTTATTTAAAAAAGAAAAAATTCTGATTTTTTAATGTTCATATAAAATTCTGATTTTATAAAAGTTCATATAAAATTCTGATTTTTTAATGTTCATTAAAAATTCTGATTTTTCAATGTTCATTAAAAATTCTGATTTTTTAATGTTCACATAAAATTCTGATTTTTTAATGTTCATATAAAATTCTGATTTCTTAATGTTCATATAAAATTCTGATTTCTTAATGTTCAAATAAAATTCTGATTTTTCCATGTTCGTTAAAAATTCTGATTTTATAATGTTCATTAAAAATTCTGATTCTTTAATGTTTAAATAAAAATTCTGATTTTTAATGTTCATTAAAAATTCTGATTCTTTAATGTTTAAATAAAAATTCTGATTTTTTAATGTTCACATAAAATTCTGATTTTTTAATGTTCAAATAAAATTCTGATTTTTTAATGTTCAAATAAAATTCTGATTTTTTAATGTTCATATAAAATTCTGATTTTTTAATGTTCAAATAAAATTCTGATTTTTTAATGTTCATATAAAATTCTGATTTTTTAATGTTCACATAAAATTCTGATTTTTTAATGTTCAAATAAAATTCTGATTTTTTAATGTTCAAATAAAATTCTGATTTTTTAATGTTCATATAAAATTCTGATTTTTTAATGTTCATTAGAAATTCTGATTTCTTTAATGTTCAAATAAAATTCTGATTTTCTAACAAAAATCAGAATTTTCAGTTTAAAAAATCTACCTCTTATTTAACGTCAAAGGCAATATCTTCAAATTTATTATAGAATAATCCTCCACCTTCCTCTTCACTTCCATCTTCATCCTCTTTTATTAAATTAAAATAATTTTTGGGATATTTTGTTGATAAGGAAGCAAAGACTTCTTCAAGTTGAATTTTTCTTTGGCTTGTTTCGGCGTTGTACTGGAAAAATATTTTTAATTTAAGAATAAAGAAAATAAAAAAATCGGAAAAAAATTTTTGGAAATTTTTCTGAAAATTCTGAAAAAAATTTTTTTCTGAAATTTCCGAGAATTTTCGAAAAAATTTCCCCCTCACCCTAGGCTTAAATGTTGAAGCCATATCACCATCTTCTTCATTGTTTTCTTCTTCTATGTTGCTTATATTTTGCTCTCTATGTAAATTTTTAGCAACAGAATTAGCCAAAATTGATTGAAGTACTGGGTCGTTAACGGATTCGATTTGTTCTAACTAAAATATTAAGTAAATAAAAAATTCTGATTTTTCTAAATGTTCAAATATAATTCTGAAAAAGAAAAAAACACAAAATTTTGATGTTTAATAAAAATTCTGATTTCTATTTAAAAAAGAAAATACAGAAAATTCTGATTTTGAAAAACAAAACAGAATACACATTCTGATTTTTAATATTTAATAAAAATTCTGATTTCATTATAAATTCTGATTTTAAATGTTCATATAAGATTCTGATTTCTAATGTTTATTAAAAATTCTGATTTTTAATGTTCATTAAAAATTCTGATTTCTTAAATGTTCGTTAAAAATTCTGATTTTAATAAAAACAACAGAAAATACAAAAATATTCTGGTATTTAATTTTGTATTTTCTTCTAATTAAAAACCAGAAAAACACAAAAATACAAATAATTCTGATTTTCTACCTTTTTCTGTTCAGCCAATTTTCCAGTTGCAACATCCAAATCAACCAAAATATTTCTTTTAGCTTGCAAAGCTAATTGTCTCAATTCTTCTTTTCTTTTTACTATAGCTTCACGTTCAGAAGTGGTTAAATAAGGGTTTAATTCCAGTGAGAAATAATCGGATTGTAAATCGTTGACTTTTGTGACTTCTCTGGAAAAATAAAATTTTTTTGAAAAATTTTTTGAAAAATTTTCAAAAAAAAATCGAAAATTTTCTTAAAAATTTCAAAAAAATTTCAAAAAATTTTTCAAAAAATTTCAAAAAATTTTTCAAAAAATTTCAAAAAATTTCCCAAAAAATTCCCAAAAAATTCAAGAAAAAATTTCAAAAACCTTCCGAAAAATTTTTCCTAAAATTTTTCAAAAAATTTTTAAGAAAATTTTAAAAACAAAAACACAAACTGATCTTTATCCGCCAATAACAATTTTTGTTTGTATTTCTGTGCATTTTGAATACTTTCTGCTAGAGAGGACAAAGACAATTTTTGTTGAATTGATTGAATATCCTCCAAATTCCCTGCAGAATCCAAAATATCAAAATTTTGTAATTGAGGGTTTGAAGTTAATTTTCTGAGTAATTCCAAAGCCTTATTATCTCGGTTTTTGAGAATCTAAAAAATAAAAATTTTTCAATTTAATTTAAAAAATTGTTCATCAACATGTACTGCTTGAACTCGTTTAATTTACTTTAACGTCGGAAAAAATTTTCTTTTCTGGTTTTAAATACCTCCCAAAAACTGAATATATAAATAAGACCAATTCCTAGTTTCGGCCCCCTCTCTTTTTTCTTCCTCATAGGGCTCATAATGGTCAGAGTTCCTTACCCGATGTCACTCTAATTCCCTCATAAATTTATAATTAAAATAAGTTAAAAAATTTTTTAGAATTAAAAAAAGAGAGAAAAAGGCATGATTCTTTGCTGTCGCTTTCATAGGCAAGCATAAGGAAATGACAAAAAATAAACTTAGAGGGGAAGGGGGATAAAGCTAGGCATCACCCAAAAATAAAAAAATTAAAAAAACCTGTCTTTCCTCTCTAGTACACACAATCGTTCCACAATAAAAACAAGGACCACTTCCTTCTTGTTCACACACTACCCTTCCACAATTTAAACAATTCCTTATTAAATCGTGTATACGTGCTTGGCAACCACAAATATGCCTGCCTAGAATTGAAATTTTTGAAAAATCAAGTTAAAGAAAAGAAAACCTGGACGAAGACGAGAAGAAATTTTATCGACTCCATCAACTAAAGTAAACTTCTTTTTAAGCATCCTTTTATTTTTAATGAACAAAAAAGGAAGTGTCGTAATGCCAAAACGTCGAAAAGCGCCGAAATGCCAAAACTCTAAAAATGACGTCATAAGGAGGGTCTGTCTACTTTGAGGGGTCTGGCTAGTTTTTGGATACCCCCCCCCTCCATAACGTAGTTTGAGTCTCAGCTCTCTTTCCTTCTTCATGCGATCTTTTATTTTCTTCAAGCAATGCAAGCGAAAATGTAAGAGCAATCGAAAAAAAAATAAATTTTATTGCCTACCCAAAAATAGCTAATAAAGAAGGAAGGAATAACTGATACTCACACCAACAATAAGGAAGAAGGCAATATACTCAAAAAAATACCGGAGTTTGGTAATTCAGCGTTTTGGCATTACGACACGCTTCAAAAAAAAACGAATAAAATTAAAAAATAAAATTTTCTAGTAAAGCAACTAAACGAAAAAAAAATAAAAATTTTAGAAATATTTAATAACCAAATAAAATTTTGAGATCAAAACAACCTTTAAATTAAATAATTATCATCGTCCTCAAAACTAAAATGTCCTCAGCATTCACATATAAGCGCTACCACCATCAAATTCAAAATTAGAGCCTGACTGAAATGACCGTCCACAATTCATGCAGATACTAAAATAATGAATAGGGCTCTATCTGAAAGGAGTGCCTGATTGACTTCCTTACTTCCTTAGAATGGTTTTTTCCTAACTTCTTTAAGATCGAGTGGAGAGCAAAACAAGGAATTCCAAAGTACGGAACAGACAAAGCAGGTCTCGCCCGTGTTTTGTCGTTCTGTCTGTAGACATAAGGAAAAAACTCAACCAGGCACTTCCTTTCAGATAGGGTCTAAATTAGAGTTGCTTTTCCGGGCCTAGTTTTTATCGGATCGGGCCGTACGAGTCTTTTTCTGGCCAAATATCCTTACCCTAATTCGATCTTTAGGTCCGTTTTGGCAACATTCATACCAATAATGATGGATGTTGTAAAAATATTTTTAAATTTAAAAACATACCGATTGTTAATAAAACCAGGATTAAGAACGTTTGATGACATTGGATCGTCTAGAACATTATAACGGCCTAAAAGTGATAAGAATTAAATTAAAATCATTCAAATTTATAGTAGAACTCCATTTCCTTTAATTCCTCCATACCCCTCAATATTCCCTTTCAATTTGTTGTAGGTCTTCAGGATCAATTCCCGTCCCCTTTTTTCTTATCCCCCCTTCTCCTTCTTGCTTATTTTCTGAAATAAATTGAAAATATGGCATAACACAACAAGTTTTTATGAAGTGATAAAATTAAAACTTAAATACTACTGGTCCACTACTAAAGCCACCAAAGCAACGTCCACACCGTCTAGTCTAAAAATAAAATTAAAGAAAATTTTTTTCATTAAAAATACTGGTAGACGAGAAGGATAATAAACTTCTCTCTTGCATGCCAATTTTCCAGCAAATTCATCAATCAAAACACAAAACTGTTTGTTGATTTGACGAGCTTTGTTTAATTGATAGAAATCGAGACATTTGAAAATATCAATTTTTACTTCGTTTGGCAGATTTTTCATTTTTTTGTCTGCTAATTGAAAGACTAGAAAAAATGCTTTTTGAAAAAAACATCGAAATGCCAAACCCTTAAAAACCGTCAAAATGCTAAACAGTGAAAATATGGTACGGCCCAATTAGGCGCGCGGCAATAACGGCGCAAAGCCATAACTTGCTTCCAAATTTTCGAATCTTACCAAATTTAGTATTAAACAATTCCTCTCATCGAGCTGAAGAGATTAGTACCAAAATTGATAAGGGTCAGAGGTTTTCAAGCTAGTTATGGCTTTGCATCGTTATGGCCACGCGCCTACTTGGGAGTGTACCTGGAAATGACGTCATAATGTGGAGGGAGTTTGGCATTCCGACGCTTCGATAACTTTAATAAATTTAAAAAAATAAATTTTTTTAGTTGTAAAAACTAATCGGAAAAAATAAAAAAAATTTTTTAATTTAAAATATTTAACCAAAAGAAAAAAATTTTTTTGAGCACATAAATATTAAACATCAATCAAGAGAAAACTCAAAACCTAAGCTTGACTGTTCACAATAAATTCACAACAGAGTTCTAACGCCTAATAAGATGAATATTAAGAAATAAAAAATTTTTTAAAGTTTAAAAACTACCGGCGGGGTCTGTCAGAAGGGCAACAACCTGAACGACTGCCTAAAAATAATTAAAAATCACTGGATTTAACTGCTCCCGGCCCCTATAACTTATGGAAGTTGGTAAGTCAACTAGCGAAAATAGGGTACTTTATTAATTCTTTTCAAGTAAAAAATTAAACTAACGGTTAGTGTCATTGTAAATGTCTGGACTAACCTAAAAATAAAATTAAAAAAAAATTTTTTTAATAAAAATACTTGTCGAATTCGACGATAAACTCTTCTCTTACATGCCAATTTTCCAGCAGATGCATCAATCAAAGCACAAAACTGTTTGTTGATTTGACGAGCTTTGATTAATTGATAGAAACTGAGACATTTGAAAATATCTATTTTAATTTCGTTTGGCAGATTTTTCATTTTTGCTTTGTCTGTTAATTGGAAACTAAGAAAAAATGCTTTTTGAGAACTAAAAGGAAAAAAACATCGAAATACCAAACCTTTAAAAACTAATCCCCTAAAGCCGACGAAATACAAAACGGTGGAAATCACATCATAAATAATAGGAAGTTTGGCATTTAGGCGTTTTGGCATTACGTCGTGCTACGAGAAAAAAAAACAAAAGAAAATTTAAAAATAAATATTTTAGTTATAAAAACTAAACAAAAAACTAAAATTTTAACAACAAAAATATTTATCAACCAAAAGAAAAAATTTGAGCAAATAATTATTTTCATTTCTCATAACAAAGCCTGACAACGTTTACAACGGCTAAATAAAAAAGATGATGTTAAAAATATTTTTAAAGTTTAACCACCTTTTGCACCCAGAACTAAAAGATTTTTGACGACGGGGACCACGATAGCCTAAAAATAGTAAAGTGGTATTTGTGTAGTTTACCCCCCATAAGCCCCGCCCCTTTTTATTTACTTATTTTCTGAAAAAAGTAAAATTGAAAATATTGGCCCAATCTACTCTAAAAAAGGAAGTGAAGAAAAAAGGGCGGGACTTATGGGGGGCAAACTACACAAGAGTACCATTAAACGTTAATTCAAATGTGGATCCAAACATGGATCCAAAATATGTAACTTAGATTATATGCTGAAATAATTACCCAGGGTACTTATTTTTTTCAACCTGTGATTTTTTACGTAATAAAATTAAAACTTAAATATTGTTGCATTTCTATCCGCGTAGCAACGCGCACAAAGTCTAGCCTAAAAATAAATTAAAGAAAAATTTTTTTAATAAAAATACTGGTGGAAGAGGACGATATTTTCTCTTGCATGCCAACTTCCCTTTAAATTCATCAATCAAAGCACAAAACTGTTTATTAATTTGACGAGCTTTGATTAATTGATAGAAATCGAGACATTTGAAAATATCAATTTTTACTTCGTTTGGCAGATTTTTCATTTTTTCTTTGCCTGTTAATTGGAATATTATTTCTACAACCTCTAAAGAAAATAATTTAAAGATAGTAGGGTCTCAGAGCTGGGCTTTTTTTTAAATTTATTTGGCCATTGGGAGAGCTACCCGGGATTGGGAGAGGACCTCCCCTCCCAGCGAGCATCTTTACAAGTTTTCTAAAAAATTTAAAAGGGAATAAAGGAGCAACTAGAGCAAGTACTATTAAATTGGGGGTAATAATGAAAAAAAAGATTTAAAAAAATAAATTGCAACAGCAACAAATGTTAAAAAACAATAAAATTCGATAAAAAGCAACAATTTTATCAAACAAAAAATAGGTATTCCTATATTTTTACAAACAAATAATGCCTATTCCTTAGGTAAACGATTACGATATCCATAGGTTGAAGTAGACAAAAAAAAGAGATTTTGGACACCACTATTAGAACCATTCTCCTGCATCACGCACATCAAACATGACAGCGTGGCAACTTTTGCATAAGGAAGCCATGGCAAATTTTGAGAAGCATTCTCCTTTTCCATATCCTCCAAAAAGTTGGGCCAAAATTGAGTACAAGACTGGCCACCTTCAGCGCATACACCATTTTCACAATGCTTCAAAGTCAATGAAATGAGCGGATTTGTGTTCTTGAATAGCAACACAATCATTATTGGATTGAAGATAATATTGGCAAATTTAGCTTCATATTTCACGTAAGAACAATTCAATAAGAGTCTAACCAACCAACTACGCCAGAGAAGCATCTCTTTGATATTTTTCGGAATATAAGGCAACTTTAAGAGAAGACGTTTGGACGAAGTGTCATCTGGAAAAATTTAAGTATGTATTCTGAAGTCTTGTATATATTAAAAATTCACCTTTTCTTTTAGGCTTCTTTACAGTCACACAAATAGCAAAGTTGATAATATAAGGCTCCTTTGATTTAAGACTTTCAGAAAAATAATACATTGGAGTTTTGTTATCTATAGCATGTTGCCACTGAAAAATAAAAGAAAAAATTAATAATTAAATTCACATTCCCGCAGCCTTCTTAATTTCCAGGTAATTAGAGACCGACCCAAGTTAAGAACCCAACCCAGTTCGAGATTTGAAAAGTAGTACACGACCAAACCCAACTTTTAAAAATTCCCTCACCTTCTTCTCAAGTTCCTTACTCAACTCAAAACCATCAGCCAAACCAATATCCTCTTCATTTAATTTTAAATATTTGTTCTTGTCATTAACCGATTTATACACAATTGTCTCAAAAGAATAAAATTTCTTCTTTGCCAATATCCCAATATATTTATCAATTAATGAACAGAAATAGCTATTTGTTTGTTGAATAGAGGATATTTGGTTAAAGTTGAGATATTTAAATATGTCCAGATGGACTTCCACCGGCAGAAGAAGAATATTCATTTTTGTTGCGTTTTGTTTCTGTCGTTTATTAGAAGGAGAAGAGAAATGAATGGAAAAGGAAGGTAAGGAAAAAATCCGCCTTTTATAGTATCCAATCTGTAAATCAAAACGAGTGGATACCAAATCCCTACTTTAGGAAATGATTCTGGACCGACTCCAATTTATGTTACACCCTTTAAAATATGGTTGCCTATTGGATTGGGAGAGCTTTGTACACCTGGGGCCGTATTCAGAGAACGAGGTAGGGGTTAACCAACCCTCAGCTGCGGGTAGGTTAACCCAAAACCCTTATTCATAAATGAGGGTAAAAGTAACCCGCAGCTGCGGGTATGGTTCTTATCCTTATTCAGAGATGAGGGTTGTGGGTTGCCCATTGGATTGGGAGATTAATAAAAAATTAATTAAGTCAATAATAATTAAGTCAAATTTTCTAAAAAAATTTTAAAGGAAATGAAAGAAGCATTACTAAATTAGGACTAGCGTGAAAAATGATTATAAAAAATAAATAAATTGCAACAGCAACAAATATAAAACAATAAAATTCGTTAAAAAGCAACAATTTTATCACACAAAAAATATTCTTATATCCTTACAAACAAATAATTTCTATTCCATAGGTACACGATTACGATACCCAAAAGTTGAAATAAAGCAAAAATTGAGTTCCTTACCCAAACCAGTACCATCATCTTGCAAGAAAATCCAACACGACAACTGGGCAAATTTCGCATAGTGAAGCCACGGAAAATTTTTCGAAGCATTCTCCTTTTCCATATCCTCCATAAAGTTTGGAAACATTCGAAAACTAAACTGGCCACCATCGGCGCATGTACCACTCTCACAATAATTCATTTTTAATGAAATAAGCGGGATTGCGTTGTTGAACATTACCAGAATCATTATTGGATTGAAGATGACATTCTCACAAATAATTTTTTCTTCGAAAATACAATGCAAGAAAAGTCTTTCCAACCAAATTCGCCAAAGAAACATTTCTTTCATATTCTTTGGAATATAAGGCAATTTTAAGAGAAGACGTTTGGACTTGTCACCTGGAAATATTTAATTATACGAATTCACAGAAAGCAGACTTGTCGGCAGAGGTGGGTCGGAAATGACGAAATGCCGGAAATTGGAAATGTCGGAAATCTGAAATGGCTCAAAGTCGGAACTCGGAAATCAGCTGAAATTTTCGGAAATCGGAATTCAGAATTCATCGAATCGGCCAAAAACACTCAACTCATCGAATCCTTAACTCATCGAATCGGCCAAAAACGATCAACTCATCGAATTTTTCCAAAAGGGAACGTTTGAGTCCCCTGTTTTTATTTTTCTCCCGAGAGGGCTAACTGAATCTTCGTTGAAAAAATTTTTTGCTGCTATGGAGGCTAGGAAAAAGGGCTTTTGGGCATAATCGGGGTCTACTGGACTAATTTGGTCCGGTTTTATCCGGTAAAATCTCCAGCATAATTTATTAGGAATGAGATAATGTTTTCAGGAATGAGATAATGTTCTGATAATGTTTTCACTGGCCGGATAAACTTGGATGAGTGCCCGATCAACTAATTAACAAAATTAGTTGAAACCCCAGAAGAAAACAAAAAAAAATAAACAAAACAATAAAAAATCTAAAAAATAAACACGGGGACTCAAACGTCCCCTTTTGGAAAAATTCGATGAGTTGATCGTTTTTGGCCGATTCGATGAGTTGAGGATTCGATGAGTTAAGGATTCGATGAGTTGTAGGGTAGCCTTCAGCTTCTGCGGGAAAATGATAACCATTCTCTGACTTTATTTGTTTTCTCTCTATACTTTTCTCTATACTCTATACTTTTCTCTCTATACTCGGTAATCCTGCAGAATCTGGGAGACACCTTAAAAACACCTTAAAAATTATTATTTTTTTTTTAAATATTTTTATTTAGGTAATCGACCATGCTGAGTTCGAATTTGAGCTTAGAATTTGTTAATTTCGAACTCCGGACCCGAATTCGACAAGTCGAATTCGGGGTAAGAATTCGAAATTAAAAATTTAGGGCTAATCTGACGCATCTATTCGAGCTGAGTCGAATGGTATCAAAATTATTCAGTTTCGACAACTTTGGGCGTAGTTATGATCAATTAAATAACGCTGGGTTAGACTTCCGTATACAAATCAGACGTCATAACTTCGTCAAAAGTTGTCAAAACTGAATAATTTTGGTACCATTCGACTCAGCTTGAAGAGACTAATCCGATTAAACATAAAATTGAAATTTCGAATTTTTACCCCCAATTCGACCTGGTCGAACCCGGGTCCGTGGTTCGAAATAAACAAATTCTAAGCTCAGATTCACAATCAGCATGGTCGATTACCTGCGTAAAACTATTTACAGAAAAAAATATAATAATTTTTAAGGTGTCTCCCGGATTGTCCATGATTACCGGAAATTGGAAAAGGCTCAAAAGTCGGAACTCGGAAATAAGCAGAAATTTTCGGAATTCAGACTCATCTCTGGTAATCGAGTATTTATTGCCATAGATTGGATGAGTAAACTTAAACTTTTCGGTTTTTGTGCAGTTTACCCCCCATAAGCCACGCCTCTTTTTTCTTTGGAGGGCGTAAAAGTACATCTGTACGCGTAGCCCGGAAATTCGAAAAACAAAATACTCAGAGGCTGTAACAAGGCAGAAGATAACCCAGGTCTAGGCTACAATCTTGCCCCTAAGACTTATAGATTAAAAATTAACCTTTTCCTTTAGGCTTCTCTTTAGTCAAACAAATAGCAAAGTTGATGATGTACTGCTCCTTTGACTTGAGACTTTCAGAAAACAAGTACATTGGAGTTTTGTTATCGACAACAACTTTCCACTGAAAAAAGAAAAAATAATAGACATTTGGTTAATTTGAACTAAAGTAGGTTTCCCTTAAGTCAATGAGTTTCCCCCCACAGTTTCCTAAGCCCCCTCCCAAGTACTATGGTTCATGTCAGGATTTAGAAACCAGTCTTGGACCTGCCCCAACCTTTTAACAATCCCTCACCTTCTCCCCAATATCATCACTCCACGCAAAAATATCATCCAAACGCATATGAAGAATATCCTCTTCATTCAATTTTAAATATTTGTTCTTGTCATTAACCGATTTATACACAATTGTCTCAAAAGAATAAAATTTCTTCTTTGCCAATACCCCAATATATTTATTAATTAATGAACGGAAATAGCCATTTGTTTGTTCAATAGAGGATATTTGATCAAAGTTGAGATGTTTAAATATGTCCAGATGGACTTCCACCGGCAGATGAAGAATATTCATTTTTTGTTTTTGGCGTTTTGTTTTTTTAGATTTGTTGTAGAAAGAGTAAAATTGAACTTCGTATACCCCATCATTTTTCCAAAAAAAAAAAACGCACGCCCAAAACGCGCCCAAAACGGCGCGCGGCCATAACGGCCAAAACGGCGTGCGGCCATAACGGCGCTGAACCATAACTTGCTTCAAGCTTTCTGAATCTTACCAAATTTGGTATTAAACGATTCCTCTCATCGAGCTAAGGAGATTGGTACCAAAATTAATAAGGGTCAGAAAATTTCCAGCTAGTTATGGTTCAGCGCCGTTATGGCCGCGCGCCGCTTTGGGCGTGTCCCAGGAAAAACGATGGGGTATATGAAGTTCAATTTTACTGTAGAAAGAGAAGAGAAATGAAAAGAAAAGTAAGCCTTTTATAGTATGAAAAAAAATAAATTTAAAAAATATTAAGTTGCAAAGGCAACAAATGTCAAAAAACAACAATACATTAAAGAACAATTTTATCAAACAAAAAATATTCCTATATTTTTACAATAATTAAAATCCTAATACATTTTATTTAAGAAAATCAGGATATCTTCCAATTCTTAAACACACCATATCATAGGTCATAACACCTGCCTCAGAAGGAAATATACTATTCACCAAATAAAATAAATCGGCCAAACGAGCATAGGGCCACAAATCCAAATATTTTTTCCCTCCTTTCAATTTATCAAATTTTTTCAGAAAGTTGACAAATTGTTGAAGAACAACACGAACAAGATCTTCTTCAAAAGCTACACTAAACCCAATAAAAAGAAGCGGATTTTTGTTCTCGAATAGCAACATTAACATTGTTGGATTGAAGATAATATTGTCAAATTTAATTTCTCCAAGTATGCATTTCAACAAAAGTTTTTCCAACCAAAAACGCCAGAGACGCATTTCCTTGATATTTTTTGGAATATAAGGCAATTTTAAAAGAAAATATTTGAAGAGATGTGGATTGTTGTTCTTAAACAGCAATTTAGCCGGTGGAAGATCATTATCTGAACGAAATGAAATAATAATTAGTAGAAAACGGAAGGAAGGGTCGTAATCGAAGTAAATCTCAATCTCGAAAAACCTCGAGAAACAAAAAATTTGTCGTATGAGAATCACCTTAAAAGAGATACTCGGGGGCCGTATTGTAGAATAAAGGTAGGAACCAGAGCTGGGCGAAATGGAAAATAAAAAGCGAAACTTTTCGCGCTGAAAAATGAGAAACGTGAAATTAGCCCGGTCCTAGTAGGAAACATAGGGTCGGAATTCCGATTTGGCTCTTCCGACACCTCTGACTGTCCCGACCCAATCTGGTAGGAACCACTAATATGTCTTCCCGTATTTTAAAAAGCGAAAGGGGGAACGTGGAAGGGTCAAAAAAAATTCTACGTAAAACGAAAGATAACACATCCCTGATAGGAAACTCAGTGGGAAACTCACCTTATTTCTATAATATAAAATTAAAAATTAACCTCCTTCTTCACCTTCCTTTTCAGTCAAACAAATAGCAAAATTAATGATATAAGGCTCCTTTGATTTAATACTTTCCGAATAACAATACATTGGAGTTTTGTTATTTACGGCAAGTTGCCACTGAAAAGTAAAAGACAAAATTAATACTTAAAGACAACTAAACTACGAATTTTTCCTGAAGACAGACCCCCAAGAACCAGATCCAAACATTAAATGGACAGTTACCGGTTCCCCTAGGTTATGGGCAAAAACTTATGTCAGTTGAATATGGACAATAGTCAAGAACCCTTAGGATTCAAACCAGCCCAGGATCAGACCCAACCTTTTTAACAATCCCTCACCTTCTCCTCAAGTTCCTTACTCAACTCAAAACCATCATCCAAACCAATATCCTCTTCATTTAATTTTAAATATTTGTTCTTGTCATTAACCGATTTATACACAATTGTCTCAAAAGAATAAAATTTCTTCTTTGCCAATATCCCAATATATTTATCAATTAATGAACAGAAATAGCTATTTGTTTGTTGAATAGAGGATATTTGGTTAAAGTTGAGATATTTAAATATGTCCAGATGGACTTCCACTGGCAGAAGAAGAATATTCATTTTTGTTTTTGGCGTTTTGTTTTTTAGAAAGAGAATTTAAAAGGTTTTTACAAAGAATAAAGAGAAAACAAGCCTTTTATAGTATCCAATTTGGAAATCAAAACAATTTTTATTTTTTGGCATTCTGTATTTATAATAATTTTAAAGTGGTTTTCAAATTTTTAAACAGCAGGAAATACGGCTCTTCTCAAGATTAGGCGTCAATCACATTTTTAACGTCCTATGAAAATTTTGTTCGTTTTGTTATACCCAAAAGTTTTTTTGAACGAGCTGGATACTTATTGTAAACAAGATCCGTAAAATAGACAAAAATAAGCGTAAAAGTCTTCCTACAAGACAAATTGTAACGAAAAAATGTCAATAGAAGACAATTAGGTAATTGTCTTACTCAGTTCATTTGTTCCTATTAAAAACCAGCTAGTTCTCTCTCAATTAGAGACAGGACTCTTTAAAATAGAAAAAATGTTGGCGTTCTGTATTTTTAACTTTTTAATGGGATTTTCAGGGACACGCCCAAGTAGGCGCGCGGCCAAGTAGGCGCAAAGCCATAACTATCTGAAAAATTTCTGGACCTTAACAATTTTGGTACCAATCTCTTTAGCTCGATGAGAGGAACCATTTAATACTAAATTTTGAAAGATTAGATAATCTTCAAGCAAGTTATGGCTTTGCGCCTACTTGGCCGCGCGCCTACTTGGGCTGTACCCGGATTTTCAAACGTTATAAATTTTCTCGTCGATTAAGTTCGATATCTCGAAAAATCCAGATAACTGCGTTTTTTCTTAATCTCGTCTCCATTAAGTCTGTTTTCGATATACTACATATAAGGGATTGACTCTAAAAACATATTTAAAAATTTTTAAAATTTTTAAGGGAACTATGGTTATGAGTAAATAAAGAGATTTGCTAAAATTATTTTTGTAAAAATTTTGCCTGAGAAGATTTTTTAAAATGAATCTAAAGAAAAGACACGACGTCTGACATATACATAAGCATTTTCCCATGAATTTGTATTTTTATATCTATTTTGCCATCATCAATTTAATCCAATGATGGTTTAGTTTTACTCATTTAAAGTATTCCTTCCGGGTCGAATCGAGTTTTCAAAATTTTTCGAATCGAGTTTCATGTCTAAAAAGTCCCGATTTTGGAGAGTCGGGTTTGAATAAGGGAATGAGCCGTCCGGATTCCCGAAAATTGGGAATTTTGTTTTTTTGTCGGCTCGTCCCCTGGTTTGTATACATGTTGTAATCCATTTCCATCCAAGAGACACATCTTTGTATCCAACTCTACCAATTTTATAATAATATTTAAAAAACTGCCTAAACTCTTTTTTCCATAACATTCACAATTTTTAAATTTATACTATTTGCCGACTCACCGCAAGGATCACGGGTTGAGAAAAACGTTGGGTCAGGTTTAAAAAGGCAAAAAAGTTCTCTGCCTTTCATCGCCTCTCATTTCTATAAAAAAGTAAATATAAGAAATTCAAAAAATAATTTTTGTTAAATTCTAAAATGCCATTGTTTAATCCTTGGAATTTGTTGCAAGTTCTTTTGACTTTATTGAACGACTTTTGGAAAATAATTTTAAATTTATTAAACGACATTTGTAAAATTTTTTTAATTATATTAAAAGATTTTTGGGAGATTATTGAAGTTTTAATTAATGATTGTTGGGAAATTTTTACTATTCTAAGAATTTACATAATTTTTGAAATTTTATGTAAGTTTTCCTATTCTTTTAAATCAAAAAATATTTTTTTCAAATAAACACAACAACCCTCTTATTTCCTTACCAGTGCTGGGAAATCTCAAATTTGCTCATACATACTCGTATTTTGGTACGAGCTTCCAAACACTGTTCCTTTCCAGGCCTGGTCATGGATACGGATATGGATTCAGTTAATTCCAAAATACCTGCGGATATCCGCATGTATCCGTGACCAGGTCTGTTACTAACATTTAGGTTTCACAAAGATAGTGTGGAGAATTTGAAATTTGGTGCCAAAATCTCATAATGGCTGTGGTCCTCTTACACGACATTAGTACCCTACAACTTTTGATCAATATCATTTTGAATTTTTATTTTTAACCTTAATCGTGGCGATATGGAGGGATTGATGGGATAATGAGGGATCTGGCGAGATTAAGGGAGTATTGGAATATTTGGATGGATATTTGGGGATTGTGAGGATATTAGTAGATTTGGATGGATTAAAGAAGGGTATAGGTAAAAATGACAATATCGTGGATATCATTGGATTTGGAGCGAGGTATTGGGAATATCAGAAAAATGCTTTTAACCTTCTGCTTCACATATCCACATTAATCTCTCAATATCCCTCCAAAACCACTAATATCACCCTTAAGCTAAATTCCTCATTCCCTTTAATCCCTCCATATCCCCACGATTAAGATTTTTAAGAAATAAAAATTAAAAAAGGGTGCTGATCAAAAGTTCGTAGTAGGTTTTAGAATAGTTCTTTACGGTCTTCAGGGGGGTGTATTTAGGTCTAGAAGGTATAGGTAGGTCTCCAAGATATGTAGTTCTCTCTGGGTTTTTCCATCCAAAATTTATTTAAAATTTTTAGTTTATCTTCTGAAGACGCTTGGTTTATTAATTTATTTGATGGCGTTGTGTATAGTAATTTTTGTTAGCATGCCAATGTTAATGTTGTGTTTACTTATTGTAAAGTTGGCTTTAAATTTTGCAAGGATATATTTAAATATTTTATTAATTAAAGTTCTTATAATTCGTCTATTCCTCTTATTTATTAAATTTGTACTTAAATCGATTATTTTTTGCCTTAAAAACTTTAACAAAATTAGGGCTTATTTCATATGTAGAATGTATATTTATATTTTCTGTGCCGTAATTTGTATGACTTTATTTTTTCTAATTTTATATAATTTATATAAATACATTTAAAATAAAATTAAAATTTATATTGGGAATTATGACATATTATAGTAGTGTTTCGCCGGAAGTTCCGGGATTTTTTGATTCCGGTTCTGATTCCGGCCCGCAACCAAAGAATTAGATCCGGATCCTGTCAAAATTTCAGTTCCGGTTCCTGCCAAATTTGCGGTTCCGTCGAAACACTAGTATGTAGTATACAATTAATTGGATTGTTTTGATAAATGTGAATCCATTAGATTTTTTAAGAGGATTAAAGTATGTATTTATGGGCTATTCCAAAGGGTGAAGGGCAAAACTTTAAATGACAAAACTCAGTCCAGACAAACAACCGACAAAACTACGTCTTTCCCTCTGTAAAAAATAAGCAGCATTGCTCGAGCCAAAATAACACCAAGCTTTCGAAAATGCATGTTATGGTCGGACAAGTTTTGTCTTACAGAGTTTTGTCGGTCGAAGTTCTGCCCTGATAAATATGCTGACAAAGTACAGATTTTTAAGAGAATCACACATACTTCCCTCACCAATACTTGCCTCATCAATATTTCCCTCACTACATTCTCAATCAATTTTCTTCTTCCCCTCACCCATTAAAAAGGCGGAGAAGTTGTAGTTGTTTTTAAAAGGTTGTCTATTGAACAATTTGAAAGATTCGACAATCCTCAGAACATAAAACGTAGCCAGTCAGGTTGCCGTGTTATCAAAAAGTAACCAGAAAACCCCAACTATGAACCGAATCTAATATTACCAAAGTTGTAGTCTGGGGTACTATATAGTCGGATCCTGGAAATCCCCGGATATCCAGTCAGATCCGAAAATTCCCGGATGCCTTTAAGCTAATCACAAAACAAGTGGCTGTTGTTTTTGAGTCCTAACCAAAAAAGGAAAATATCAAAATAAAAAATGCTTGGATCGAACTTTGACTCACGTTCCAAATCTCCCGATAAATATCGAATTTATAAAATTGAATAATTTTCGATTTTGAATTTTATATTTTTCTAATCTCTAGATTCACATGATATAATTTATTTAAATTTAGAAAAAATTTAAAACACCCTAAACCAATTCCAACAATTATTTTTTTAATAAAATTTGTTAATTATTACCCAGAAGAATTATTGTAACAAATGGATGTTGGAAAAATATTAAATTTTTTAAATAAATTTTCTCTTCTTTCTGAAATTTTTTATAAAATTTCAGAAAATAGTTTATTTAATGAACAGGTTAGTTTTATCGTCATAGATTTGGGGAGAAAATAATAAAGGCAAAATTTGTAACCGTTAACATGGCTTTATTAAAATATTCAACAAATCTTTTAACCGAAATTTACCAAAATTGTTGTCAAGATTTTGGTTGGGGGCCGATCCAGCCCGGTTCGAAAGATCGAGTCAGGCATTAATTTTGGCCCGAAAAAGACTCGGTCGGGCCGGCTTGATAAAAATGAGACCCGAAAAAATGACTCGAACGTCAGCCCGACTCGAAAACCTCAACTCTAGTCAAGATCACAGGATCGATGCTTGATCGGCGGCTAAACTTCTGATTATTTTCGAACAAAACAAAATTTAACATAAAAATATTAAATTTTTAAAAGAGAGAATTATTGGCCGATGAATTTTCAAAGAGTAAGGAAAGTATTGCAGTGCTTGTTTTTAACATAAAGATTGAGCTTTCAACTATGTATATTAATGTTCAAGATATAGGTGCGTATTTAATATTTTGGGTAAATTAAATTTAAATAACCAATAATGGGCAAAAATAGAAATAACGGAAGATAGTAAGGTAATCGTGTCGTTTACAGACTCAGATTTTTCCTCCCCAAGCTTTTTCTCCATATTTGTACAGAAAAGTCAGACTTTTAATGCCAATAAGTTCCTAGTATATGTATTAGAATAAATGGTTAGGTACTATGGGTCTGTAGCATAACTCTGGTAAATAGGGCCTACTATTCCCAAAAAAGATTTTACATGAATAAGTTAACATATTACAAAAAAGTTGTGATACAACTCGCATTAGGTCAGTCCGTATTTTTGTGAAGGATTAACACAATGGCCGACTTAAACGCTAATCGAAACAAAAAACGGTACTTTTCCGTTCTGCCACACCCCCCTAAATTAATGTTCAAAATGTCATGTATACCCCCAATGCGAAAATTTAGAAGATTACCCGAAACACGATCCGACCTTTTTCTCATACTGTCCCCTCCCTAGTAGGTATGGGCAGCCCCCTACCCATTAATTTAACTTGAAATATTCTTTATTTTTACAGTCTTCTATATTGCTGTTCAATTATGCTTGTTCTGTATAATAATTGTGTTGGGTGTATCAATTATTTTAGTTATTATTGCCATTTGTTTCTGCATTGGATTATTCCTTCTTGCAATTCCAGTATATATTTTAGTGCTAATCTCATATTGGTTAAAGCGTATTTGTGTACGAATATTTGGTAATACTTTGGTTTAGACCCCCTACTATTTTTCTATTTCGCTGACCATTTTGAGTATTTTTGCTTAATATACATATAATTTATTATAATTCTCGTGGGCTGGGTCGAATGAAATCAGTATCAGTAGAGTTAATAAGGAGCTAAATGAAATGAAAAAATATAAAGGAAAAAAGTAAGAGGCTAAAGCAAAGTATTACCGAATATTCAAATTGTTATCAACTACAAAACGTTATTCCACCAATTTTTTAAATTTTATTAAACATTTAATGTAGTTTTGGTCAAGCCCAGTTAATGTTGCCGTGGCCTAGAGACGTCCAAGACTTTTGATCTTTAGTCTTTTATTGGGGTTTTTCGTTCTTGGTTTTAGGGTCAAATCTCGAAAAAATTTTCGGTTTTGGACATCTCTACCAGCGCCCTCATAATGCCCCCTCAAGCTAATTAAATTTTAACGTTCTCTGATAAAATTTTTGTATTTATTGCTAAATTTTTTGATGGAGAAAATTTGATCAAAAGTGGCATGACTTTTCGTCAAAAGACTTTCCGTCAACGGACTTTTCGTCAATGTTGAATGTTTTTCTAATTTTGGAGAAAGAGATAATTTAAAATATTAAGTAGCGGAGGCAACAATTTCAAAAACAACCACACATTAAAGAACAATTTTATCAAACAAAAAATATTCCTACTATATAGATACATACAATAACTAAAAACCCTAACACATTTTACTTACAAAATCATTCTATATTTAATGTCCATGTCGAATTCTTGGATCCCAACGACAACAACCTCCGTGTTTAGACGACAGAACCTTAATCATGCCTTCTAAGACGGCAATTTCAGCATACGGAAATAAATCCGAAGAATTTTGCGAATCGCCCTCCTTTTCCAATTCCTCCGGAAAGGTGTTCCAATGGCGAAAAATAATACGAATAAGATCATCTTCAAAACGAACACCAATATCAATTGAGATAAGCGGATTTTTGTTCTCGAATAGCAACAAAAGCATTGTTGGATTGAAGATAATATTGTCAAATTGAACTTTTTTGAAAGAAGTATTCAATAAAAGTTTATCCAACCAACTACGCCAGAGAAGCAATTCTTTGATATTTTTTGGAATATAAGGCAATTTTAAGAGAAGACGTTGGGACAAAGTGTCATCTGAAAATATTTAAGTCATTATTCACAAAAATCAGACTTATTATTGAGATATCCCTGGATTCAATTTGACTTTAAAATTAAAAATAAGCTCGTGCTTAGATTTAGACAGTGACCATTTCCCTCTTATTAATGAAAGGAGAATCTTCGAGAGCGATGCCTAGAAAGTAGTGCCGACGATAAAACGTTTGCTCGGCTTTTTGTCTTCCTTATGCAAATGGTCGACGATACAAACAGCACATAGGCGAACCTCTCGTATTTTTGAACAGGTTATCCCAAAAAGTGATCGCATTATAAAGGAAAGTGACCGTATTATCAAAGAAATTTAACCAGTCCTTCGCCAAAAAATCAAGTCCCCCCCCCCCTAAAAAGGAATAATCAACTGGTCTAGGGTATACGCAGAACTTATAAGAAAAACTTTGTCATTATGAACTGTCTAAATTAAAAGTTAACCTTCTTCTTCACCTTCCTTTTCAGTCAAACAAATAGCAAAATTGACAATGTAAGGCTCCTTTGATTTGTAAATTTCAGAATACAAGTACATCGGAGTTTTGTTGTCTATAGCAAGTTGCCACTGAAAAATTAAAGAAAAATTAATATTTGGTTAAATTCAAGTCAATTAGAGTTTACTGAAGACAGAGCTTGAGAACCAGTCCCACAAGACAGCTTGGACCGCAAAGTTCGGCCAAACCCTTTCTTTGTTGAATAGAGACCATAGTCAAGGAAAGGGGTAATAGTGTCGTTTCCCAGCCCCCTTTTTTTCCTCCCAATTTTCTACCCTATGTTTGTACGGAATGGTCAAATTTTCCCCTTTCTTTCATCAAATTTGCCTTTCCATATTTTGCCTAAAAACAATCAAAAAAGATTAATTTTTTATTCATTTCTTTCACAAGGATAAAAAAGTGAGACATGATGCCAAAAATTATAAAAAACATTTTCAATATTGCCAAATCGTTTTCGCCACATAAATTCCGGGAGATAACTTTTATAGGTTTCAGTGTTGTTGCCAGCTTGATGTCTGAATTTTCGCCATGCATCGAAATCATTATCACTCAAACGTAATTTTTCTTATAAATCAATAGGTTATAAATTCTTTAGTTCTTCCATTTTTATTAATTGGGAAAATGATTCTTCTCATTACTCAAAATATGGAAAGGCAAATTTGATGAAAGAAAGGGGAAAATTTGACCATTCCGTACAAACATAGGGTAGAAAATTGGGAGGAAAAAAAGGGGGCTGGGAAACGACACTATTACCAGGAAAGGACCCAACTCAGGAGTTAAAAGTCAGCCCAGACCCAAACTTTTAACAATTCCCTCACCTTCTTCTCAAGTTCCTTACTCAACTCAAAACCATCAGCCAAACCAATATCCTCTTCTTTCAATTTTAAATATTTGTTCTTGTCATTAACCGATTTATACACAATTGTCTCAAAAGAATAAAATTTCTTCTTTGCCAATATCCCAATATATTTATCAATTAATGAACGGAAATAGCTATTTGTTTGTTGAATAGAGGATATTTGGTTAAAGTCCAGATGGACTTCCACGGTGGCCGAACGTTTCGTCACTAAACTTTTCGTCACCGAACCTTTCGTCAAAACCTTTCGTCACTGAACCTTCCGTCACCAAACCTTTCGTCACTGAACCTTTCGTCACTATTCACCATAAAAAAGAGAATGCACATCTGGATCAGGGATGAGCGCAAGAGCCAATCTCAAAAAACGCAAAACGCAACGCAAGGCCAAAATTTAACGCAAATAACGCAAAACGCAAGAACGAAAAATTGGGGAAAAAATTTTATCAAGTATTAGCCATATTTTCAGTTAAAAATCGAAGTATTACTATAAGTTGGGGAGTCCTACTCGATTTTATGATACATGTAAGTTGAATGGGTAATGATTTGGAGTAATATAGGGGGTATAAGGGATTATGAAGGATATCAGACGATTTACAGGGATCAAGGGGTTTAACAAAGTAGCTGGTTAGTACGGATGTATTTTGGAGGGATAAATAGATTTGAAAAAATCCATGTGATTACCGAAGGGTGTCTGTTAAGTTGGGGATATATCGACGGATAAGGGGCTACTGTAGTTATGAATTGATGCCGGGGAATCAGGGGATTTGGAGAAAACGTGAGATCTGAGTTCCAGATACTGAACAGATATTTTTTGAGCTGCTCCATGATGGAAACATGGTAATTAATTCCCTATTTTTGACGCCGCAGGCAAAAATTTTGAGAAATTTGGAAATCCAGAAGCTAGATTTCTTCCAATTTTTGCCCTCAGATTAAAAAGATAACAGGGATTTTGGCATAAAGTAGGTATCAGGGGTTGAAGAGATATAAGAGGATTAAGAGGATATAAATAAAATTGGTGCACCGGCAAACGGTATCCGAGGAAAGGGACTTAAGCGGAAGTCGGTTTATGTCATTCAAGATCAAAATTTGCAACAAATATTTGCTGAATTTGCTCAGCGAGCTAATGACCCAATTGGGTACCTACGTACTGTCTCCTATCATTTAGCAACACAGTAAATATAACTAAATTACCGATTATGATCAATTTGTCATTTTTGACAACTTCTTATTTGATTTTCAAAAATAAAGTCTTGGTGACGAAAGGTTCAGTGACGAAAGGTTTGGTGACGGAAGGTTCAGTGACGAAAGGTTTTGACGAAAGGTTCGGTGACGAAAAGTTCAGTGACGAAACGTTAGGGAACCGACTTCCACTGGTAGAAGAAGAATATTCATTTTTGTTTTGGCGTTTTGTTTTTTAGAAAGAGAAGGAAAATTAAAGGAAAATAAGGCTTTTATAGTAACAATAAAAATAAAAAATAAAAAAAATTGAAATGCAGCAGCAACAAATGTTTTTAAAACAATAATTAAAAGAACAATTTTATCAAACAAAAAATATTTATGATTTTATAATATCAAACTTCCGAAATACCCTTAAACATTTAGGCATATAAAACTGGTCTATACAAAACGAAATCCATCATCCATATATTTGCTAAAGGATGAAATCCAAGTAACTTAACGGAACTGGCCAATTTAGCATAGGGAAATAAATCCCAATAATTTTTCCAATCGTCCTCTTTTTTTATTTTTTTCAGAAAATTGGAATATTGTTGAAGAATAATACGAGCTATATCATTTTCAAATTGTGCTTGAAATTCAAAAAATAGAAGCGGATTTTTGTCCTCGAATAGCAACATAAGCATTGTTGGATTGAAGATAATATTGTCAAATTTAACTTAATTGGGAGTTAATATAGTATGTAGAGCATATAACTATTTAATTCCTAAGGCTGTGCAGTAGGCGGCGTGGAGTAACGGATAACACATGGAGTAACGGCGTGGAGTAACGGATAACACATCAGCCCGGTCAACTGAAGATGCTGGTTCGCTCCCAGCCGCCGAATAAACTTTTGCACTAGCTGAAGCAGAGAAATAGCTATAGCCCAGCTGCTTTACTAGTACATGGGACCCGAGAAATAGATTCGAGACCTAGGACGTTACACGATGGCCGTGCTTTACTGCGGTCGTGCTTGCTTCGCTCGAGGCAACCATAGCGAAGCGGCGGGCGTCGTTCATCTCGACTTGCCCGGCTTCCTCCGCAGCAGCGAGTTAATCTCCGCAGCTAAAAGCCACAACGCTACAAGTTAATTCCAAATTAATCGATTGGTATATATTTCGAATCTAGTCCTCGGTCCCCAAAATAAGCTTACATCCACGGTGCAGTCCCCTTTCAAAAGAACAATTTGATAAAAGTTTATCCAGCCAGCAACGCCAAAGAAGCATTTCTTTAATATTTTTTGGAATATAAGGCAACTTCAAAAGATATTTGGGCGAATTGTTGTCTGAAAATATTTAATTATATTTCTTTGAAATTTTAGCTTCGACGCTAATTCTTAATTTGGGGTCGCTTAATTATGTATAGGCCCGCGAGTATAGGCCCCCGAACTGCGAGGCTCCCTACTAGAGATCGAGATTTTTGAAAAACCTGGGCCTGTTCCTGGGTCCTGGGTTTGATTTATTGACCTGGACCGGGTCCTTGGCCTGTAGTCCAGGAAAGCCCAGAAAGGTCAAAAAATGCCCGGGCCTGGACTCTGGGTACAGGAAAAACCCAGGCCTTGGTCCAGACCCAGCTCGCTCTCTACTCCCTACTACTTAAAGATTCAACCTTAGGTAGGTAAGTCATTTTTTAAAAGGAATATAAAATTATATGACCTTTTCCTTCACTCAAACGAATAGCAAAATTAACAATGTAAGGCTCCTTTGATTTGTAAATTTCAGAAAAACAATACATTGGAGTTTTGTTATCGACAGCAAGTTGCCACTGAAATATTAAAGAAAAAATTAATATTTGGTTAATTTCCAGTCAATAGAGTATAATGAAGACAGAGTTTGAGAACCAGACCTACAAGAACATCTTGGGCCGCAAAGTTCGGCCAAAACCTTTCTTTGTTGAATAGAGATCATAGTCAAGGAAAGGACCCAACTCAGGATTTAAAAGTCAGCCCAGGACCATACCCAACCTTTTAAAATTCCCTCACCTTCCCCTCAAGTTCCTTACTCAACTCAAAACCATCAGCCAAACCAATATCCTCTTCATTCAATTTTAAATATTTGTTCTTGTCATTAACCGATTTATACACAATTGTCTCAAAAGAATAAAATTTCTTCTTTGCCAATATCCCAATATATTTATCAATTAATGAACAGAAATAGCTATTTGTTTGTTGAATAGAGGATATTTGGTTGAAGTTGAGATATTTAAATATGTCCAGATGGACTTCCACTGGCAGAAGAAGAATATTCATTTTTGTTTTGGCGTTTTGTTTATTTGGGGTTGGTTTGTAGAAAGTGAGGGAAAGATAAGAAAATAAGCCTTTTATAGTATCCAACATAAAAATAAAAAAAAGTCAGAATAATTTTATCAAAAAAGTCTGCCTAGAAGGCAAATGAAACGTAAAAAACGTCAAAGAAGACAATTGTTTTTACTCATTTTATTTGTTCAAACGAAGAACCAGCTCTCTTTTACTTCGAGACCGAACTGTGCAATTTGGGAAAAAATTTTTTGGCGTTCTGTATTTTTAATTTTTTAGTGGAAATTGAAGCATTTAAATTTCTTCTCTATATTAAAAGTTGGAATTTAAATTTGGGGAAAAATGGAATTTAAAATGAGTTGCAATTTGAAAAAATTGTTAGGCTTTAAAAGTTAAAAGCCAATTATTTAATAAATAAAAAATATTTTTGTAAAAAATTTTTTTGAGAGTAATAAAACGATTAACTTGTCTGTTTAAATTTTCTGAGAAATGGGTAATTTAGCCGACATTCAAATATTTTTGCTTTAGAAAAAATTAAAAAAAATATGTGAAAAATTCTTTGGATGGAAGATGGAATAGAACCTCTAACAAAAATAATCCTAAACGGAAGTACACCCAATTGTGCCACCATTCAACCCGATGATTGTAATGTAATTACTTGCCATTTACCTATAAATATTCTTTCAACTTAAAAAATTATCCTTCAATAAAAACATTTTATGTTTGTTTTAAAATTTTTAGTAACATTATATTTTCCAAAACTTTATTTTTTCCGAATTTATATAGTCAGGGTTGTTGTTTTTTTTGTCTCGGGTTGAGAAAATTTCGGGTTAGGCTTCGAGTCGGGGTTTAAAATTTTCATTGGATCGGGTTTCTGGTGAAATAAAGACCGAGTTTCTGGACGTTTGTACTAGGGTTTCACCGGAACCGAAATTTTGACCGGAACCGGATCCAATTTGAGTTCCGGATAGGGTTGTACCCCGTTCCCGAAAGTCGGGGAATTCGAGAGATTTTTTGAAAATTCCCCGTACCCCCCCCCCCCCGTGGCGCTGCCTCTCCGAAAATTTTCCCTGTGGCCCTCCCCCCTCCCCCCGCCGGAGAACAACCCTAGTTCTGGATTCCTGAACCGGAACCTGTTGTGAAACAGATTAAACATTACCCATTACTATTTGAGAGAGATACACCTCATTAAATACCTTTTATAGTATACAAAATTGTTGTTGAAAAATTTTTGTTTAAATTTTGTAATGATTCGACAAATAATTCGACAAATATACCTAATGATTCTAAAAATATTCCTAATTATTCTAAAAATATTCCTAATGATTCTACCAAAAAAAAAACCAAAATTTCCAAATGAATTATTGGTCGAAATAATTTATTTTATTCATGGATATCCTATACATATATTGGAGCAAATGGGATATGAAAGGAGATTAGATCTTTTTGCAAGATTTAGTTTTGTTTGTAGACTTTTTTACAGAATTCTAGGGCATGGCTTATTATTGAAACAAGTCAGTTTTAAAGATATAGGTACATATTTAAGGGGAGCAGGCCGACGTACCACCTACTATTATATGGCCCATAATTGTAGTCCTATAATTCTTTTCGGTCTCAATCAGAGGAACAAAATTCATAAACAAGAATACAAAAATTAAAAAATTTACGTTTGCTGAGTTTTAACCAGTGTTTGTAAGCTCGTACAAAATTCATACTCGTACCTGTGTATTGGGGTCTTTACGAGTACGACTTGGGCCCTAAAATAAGAACTCGGTTGCTGGTTAATAATTTTGCTAAGGCTGGGTTTGTATTCAGAGTTGGGAAAATTTTTACGTTTGCTGAGATTTTAACAATTTTTCCTTTCAAAATTAAATATTTTCACACTTGATTTTGATTTCAAAATTGAGAATTTATTTCTTAAATACATATTAATTGTGAAAAACTGTAAAAAATCTTAATTTCGGCAAAAATTTGTCAAAATTTTCTCCTTTGCGCAAAAAATGGAAGAAAAATTCAATGGAAAAAAAGTCGGGTTTTAGCTTTTGGAAAATTTCATATGTTGGGTTTTGGGTTGAAAACTCGAGTCCTGGACTCCAAAAAATCAAAAATTTTTTAAATTTTTTACATATTTCTTATGTACAATAAAGTACGAGGTACGAGGTCAAAGATAGGCCTGGTACGAGTATGAGGTAAAAAGGCCTGTACGAAACTAGTACGAGCAAATTTCAAAATTCCAAACACAGATTTTAACTTTTTCAATCATAAGGGTAATGTTTTAAGGAGACCATGGGGTGGGTGATTGCTTAAGGAGACGTCGGATCATTTAGGCTTACAACAATTTAAAATTTAATATTTTAAGCGTGAAATAACTAGATTTTATGTTCCTCCCTTAGTTCGTCCTAGAATCCAAGAAAGATCAATTTGCTATAATATGACATTTGGATTATTATTCTTTTTCATTAGAGGCTTGAAAAATATTTTTGGTATTTAATTTTAATTTTAAAAACAAAGGAGAGAATTTTGCTTAAAAAGGACAAACATAAAATTGTAAAGGAGACATTTAGGCTAATTTTTTGATATATCAAATGTTTAAAATTTTGGCCAGATATTTTCTTCTATAGTTTCTTTTAGTGTTGTATTTGGGGTATAGTGTTGATTAGGGTTGGCAGCTCGCTCGAACCGAAACTCGAAAGATCGAGCGAGCCAAGGCTTTCGAGCTCGAAAAGCTCGAAAACGAACCGAAAACAACCAAGCTCGAAAAAATGCACCGAACGTCGGCTCGAATCGAAAACGGCAACCCTAGTGTTGATATTGCAGATACCGTAAATGCTCTAATAGAAGCACAGTGCTTGTATTTTTCGATCCTCTCGTAGGGTGTGCTTATATTAGAGACTGTGCTTCAATTAGAGACTGTGCTTGTATTTTTCGATCCTCTCGTAGGGTGTGCTTATATTAGAGATGTGCTTCAATTGGAGATGTGTTTTTATTAGAGCATTTACGGTATATTCTATTACAATTCAAAAAATTATTGTTTTTAAAATTTTTAGGAAATTTTGGGAAAATTCTAAATCCTTTTTAAAATCAAAAAAATTCAAATAAGATATAAAAAAAATTCCTTATTGTCACGGGGTTCGAACCTCCAACCCCTATAAACTGCAGTCAACAACACTACCACTACACCATTAATAAGATCAACTTAAAACAAAGAAAATAAAGGGAAAATAATGTGGGAAAACACCCTATGAAAATTTTTAGTTAAAATAATTCAAAATAATTCTCTGAATTTTTTTTCTTGGACTAATTATTTAAAATTTTTAGTGTGGTATTTAACACTTATCTCGTTGTCGTTTAATGGATTGGTTTTTATAATAAAATATACGATTATTACAATGTGTGCTATCAGTATAGCTGTTATATACTTCTGTTTTAGCCTGGCTTTTGACTTTTTTATTTATATTATTAAAAGTTTCATACTTCGACTTAGAGCCTTTATTTTTGGCCGTTTTATTTGAATATGTAATTTGGGTATTTTATTAACATCCCGCCCCATCCCTATTTGAGTCTCAATTTAATTTTCCCTTTTTTTACTGTCAATAATTTTTCCCTCAAATATTATAAGCGGAAAGGGCAACGCAAAAATCGACCTAACGAAAAAAAATCAACGTTTATAAAGCAGGAAATTTAACCGTTGCTAGACAGGGAAAAATAAACCGAAAATTAATCTGAGACTCAAATAGGAGTACGGGGAGGGGTATTTTTTCGGAGCAGTTCAACTGAGTCCCGGCCCTATAACTTAGCAAGAAACAGTCAATTTTTTATTTTCTTGGTATAATTCAAAGCTCTATAGAATCAAAAGCTCTATAACATTTAAAAAAATCAGAATTTTTGACCGATTGATAAAAAAGTTATGATTTAAAAACTAACTTTTTCAAAAAAATCTGATTTTTCGACACTTTATCGATCATAACTTTTTTACCAGTCGGTCAGGAATTTTGATTTTTTGGTATATTTTAGCCTATTTAATTCCCTATCCAATGGTACCAAGATTAACAAAAAGTAACCATCCCTTCATAAGTTATAGAGTCCAGGACTCAATTGAGTCGGGACCCGTATTTTTTATTTTGGTATATGGCCATTATTTGTTGTCTTTTGCTATACTTTTTTTTTATTTTTTACACAAATGCATTTAGAATCAAAATAAAATTTTATCTTGGAAAATTATGATTTATGTACTATCTAATTATATAATATAAGGGAAATTTAAAACCCTCCTGATCCTTCAATATCACGTTCCCATTCCCATATATTCCATTTAATCCCCCATATCTGACATCACTTTTAACCACCCAAATCCCTCGATATCCCGGGGCTTGGTCGAGAAATCCATCAAACCATCTAATTTTTAGAAATGTGAAAATGCAGATTTTTCTCTGCTCCGTGTTTTGATCGTAAGCCAGGTCTGTGCGTCAAAGTTTTCACGTGGCGCGCCAAACGCCATTTTTTCAAATTTTTAAATCATGCCAAACACAAAACGCCAAAAATCGGTCAAAATGGACGCCAAACGCAAAACGTCAAACGCCATGGCGCACAGCCCTGATAAAGACCGCGACGTCGTTACATGACTTGTCTGTTCTTCCTCGCCCCCACCCCATAAATATACTAACAAGTTACAATTTTTAAGAGAATCACCAATACTTCCCCCAATACATTCCCAATAAATTTTTTTCTTCGGCAAAATAGCTCTACATTTTCTAGAAAGTTCTATAAATAAATGCAGCAGAGTGTACAATTTCCAAATAATAATTTCCAAATTCAAAAATTTTTAAATTGAAAGGGCTATCTATCGAACAATTTGAAAAATTCGATGGCCCGACTATAAAAAACTATCAAATAGACATAGTCAAAGTTGTCGGCATATCAAAAAGTAACCAGAAAACCCCGAGAAAAATTATGAAGTTAAAATCAAGGTTGTCGGATAGTTGTAAATCTTCGGATATCTGGATCCGATTACCCGTACCGAAATTTTCCGGATAGCCGGTCTTTTACGGACAATTCGAAAATCAAATAATAGCTCATTCGACTCAGCTCGACGAGCTGAGTCGAATGACACCAAGATCAGCTCGATATCTTGATTCTGAGCCAAGATAAACAGGTTCAAAATGGTCAAGGTAAACCTATGGGGCGTAGGCAAGGCGCTTGTGCAAAACCCCGCGCTTCGCGCGGGGTTTTGCACAAGCGTCTCGCGAGGAGTCTACGGGCGCTGGGTCTGGGCTCGTAACATAAACCTATTCCTATCTCCCTTGCTCTGGATGTATTTGGGGCCTCCGTAGCAGCAAAAACCTCCATGGAGAGCATAGGTAAGGAGCTAAAACAAACGATCATAACTTTGTCCAATCAAGTCGGATTTCGATGATTTTGGTGTCATTCGACTCAGCTCGTCGAGCTGAGTCGAATGAGCTGTTATTTGCATTTTCGAATTTTTCAGCCCGAAATGAGCTTACTCCCCCCTTCTCTTTTTCAAACTTCAGGGGTCTGTAACTCGGTCCCTGGTTGTCGGATCGACTTCCCCCGTATCTAGTTCGACTCAGTTTTCGAAGCTCTTTCGAATGACACCTCATTTGTCGAAATCGGTTCAGAAACAAAAAACCGGATATAAGTCACAATACCCGCATGGGGAATTAATCGAGGGAGGGGAATTAATCGAGAAAACACGGTAGTAGTATAATTTACTAGAAATTTAGAAAATGGTTTTTAACTACATAATTTCCAAATTGCTACATGTAAAACAACCTAAACCAATTGCAACTGAATTAATTTTTGAAATAATAAAATTTGTTAATAGTTACCCAGAAGAATTATTGGATCAAATAAATATTGGAGAAAAATTAACTTTATTTAAAAGATTTTCTTCTTCCTCCAAAATTTTTTATAAATTTTCAGGAAATGGTTTATTGAATAAACAGGTTAGTTTTAAAAAATTTGGGTCAGAACGTATAAATAGGAGGAGGAATTTGAACTTTTATAGTAGGTTGATATTTTAAGATTCCATATTTTGAGATTCGATACTTTTAACATGCGATGTTTTGACCGGCACGACGAATATCAGCGACTCAACGGGCTCTTTCGAATGAGCTATCATTTGTATAGATTTTCGTCTTTATGATTTTGTGCCTCTGTGGTTTAGGGGTCTGTATTTCAGTCAAATCAAGTCGCATTTTGTTGATTTTGGTGTCATTCGACACAGCTCGATGGGTTCTACAATTGTTGTCAGACTGACCATTTTTACATATTTTCCAAAAAAATTGACGGGGGGGGGGGGGGGGGGGTAAATATGTAAGTACCCGGCTAAACTCACAAATTGTATCTTGGAACAAAACAAAATTTACCATAAAAATATCAAATTTTAAAAGAGAAAATTACTGGCTGATGAGCTTTCAAAGAGTAGTGAAAGTTTTGCAATGCTTGTTTCTATCTTGAAGCTTGACCTTTCAATTATTCGCACTTTGGTTCAAAATATAGGTGGGTGTTTAATGGATACACCCAAACTATAACTTCATTCAAAAGATTGACAAGGAATGGGACTGAATGAGAATGGAATAGAGTGAGAAGGAAGTCGGTTTGGGTCGAGTTTTGGGTCGAAAGGTTCCGGCTTTGGGTAACCCATGCTATTACATTCCTGATACAGACTAAAATAAAGGGCCGGTCATTTTTCGACCCAGAATTATATTTCTTCGGGTTAGGGTCGTTTTGGCGTCGGACCGTTTTGGCGCGACAACTAAAAACTGGTAGCTAGGCGAGAGACCTAAATTAATAAAAAAATTTTACATTTCTTTAACATCCTTGACTACCTGCTCCAAAAATTTCAGAATTTTTCATCAAATATTTCTGAAGTTATAGTCGATAAACCTCGAAAAATTAGGCATTTTTCAGAAAATCAACGTTTTTGGCCATGATTTTTAAAACTTACTCAAAAATTCTGAAATTTTTGGTGAACTTAGATAAAGGTACGAGAGTTATTATTACAAAATTTTATCATTTTTGATAATCAACTCGCTATCTTATAAGCTCGCGCCAAAACGGCCCCGCGCCAAAACAGCCTCAGTCCCGATTTTCTTCTCAATCCATTCTCATTTAGTCACATTCAATGTCAATACTCTATCCACTAATTTAACTTTTTTTACAGTTTTTTATCTTGCCGTTCTATTATCCCCGTTTTGTATAATAATTCTATGTGCTGTATTTATTATCTCAGCTATTATTGGCTTTTGTTTCTGCATTGGATTGTTCCTTCTTGCAATTCCATTATGTCCTTTGGCGCTAACCTTATATGGCTTAAAGCGTGTTTATGGAGGGATATTCAAATTGCTATCAACTACAAACCGTTATTTCGTTACGGAGACAACCACAATTACGGAGACAATCGACAAACAATAAAATACCGTGTTTCCTCTAATGCCCGGCCATTCTATTTTTCGATCGCCTTCCAAAGGGGCATTCTATGTGTACTTCCAAAATTTTTGATTATTTTCGTTCCTTATTTAATTCTCTATCATTTAAGCTTTATTTTATCTTTTTATTATTTATTTGAATAAAGTTACACAATAAATAAAGCAACCCGGTCACTTTTTTGTCACGCTGTACAAAATGCCAACAAAAATGTTTTGATTTAAAAATTGGATACTATAAAAGCCTTATTTTCCTTTAATCTTCTCTTTTCTAAAAAAACAAAACGCCAAAACAAAAATGAATATTCTTCTTCTGCCAGTGGAAGTCCATCTGGACATATTTAAATATCTCAACTTTAACCAAATATCCTCTATTCAACAAACAAATAGCTATTTCTGTTCATTAATTGATAAATATATTGGGATATTGGCAAAGAAGAAATTTTATTCTTTTGAGACAATTGTGTATAAATCGGTTAATGACAAGAACAAATATTTAAAATTGAAGGAAGAGGATATTGGTTTGGCTGATGGTTTTGAGTTGAGTAAGGAACTTGATGGGAAGGTGAGGGAATTTTTTAAGATAGATTGGGCTGGGGTAGTTTCTCCACCCAATGTCTAACCAAATCTTGAAGAAAATCTTGAATCTGGTTCAGAACTAATTTTCGAATCTGACAAAATATCAATTTTTATTTTTCAGTGGCAAGTTGCTGTCGATAACAAAACTCCAATGTACTTGTTTTCTGAAAGTCTCAAATCAAAGGAGCCGTATATTGTCAACTTTGCTATTTGTGTGACTAAAAAGAAGCCTAAAGGAAAAGGTGAATTTTTAATCTATACAAGTCTTAGGGCCAGGATTATCTGGGTTATCTTCTGCCTCGTTAAAGCCTTTGAGTATTTCGTTTAGGGATAATAAATTTTTGGCTAATTTGCAGGATCTTTCAAAAAAAGTCCTTACTCTTGATCAGATAACTCGTACAATCGCACCTTTAAGCGCCGATTGATCGTGCGTTCAATCTAGGGTATCTCCCAGTACCCCGACGATTTTTTGACAAAAACATCGACCCGAATCCCCAAGTCTCTAACCCGCCAAACCCCGATCCCCGACGATCCCGACCACTAAGGCTGAGGAGCTACCCTAGTTCAATCTATACCAATAAATACCCATTTACGCGTAAAGGTGCAATAACTAGGTTCCTGATTGTCAGATCGACTTCTTCCCCCGCGCGATCGACTCAGCTCGGCGAGCTTTTTTGAATGACACCTTAGTCGACTAAATCGATCCAGCCAACAAAAACCCCCTATAAGTACCCCGTATAATTTTGGAAGGAGTCAAAAAGTCTGATTTTTGCTATTAGTCTAAACAAATATTTTTCAGATGACAATTCGTCCCAACGTCTTCTCTTAAAGTTGCCTTATATTCCAAAAAATATCAAAGAAATGCTTCTCTGGCGTACTTGGCTGGTTAGACTCTTATTGAATTGTTCTTTCGGAAAAGGAATAATTAGATTGGAGGACATCATCTTCAATCCAATAATGATTCTGTTGCTATTCAAGAACACAAATCCGCTTATTTCATTGGATATTATGTTTATGGAGAGTGGTTCATGCACGGTTGGCTGCCAGTTTACTTCTCGAATGCATCCAAACTTTTCGGAGGATATGGAAAAGGAGAATGCTTCGCAAAATTTTCCGTGGCTTCACTATGCAGAAGTTGCCCAGTTAGCGTGTCGGATCTTCTTGCCGCGAAAAGATGAGTCTAGTTGTGTCCAAAAGCTCGATTTTTTCTTTGTTTCAAGATTTGGATATAGTAATCTTATGCCTATGCATTAGGCTTTATTTGTGTGTAAATATAGGGGAATATTTTTTGTTTGATAAAATTGTCTTTTAATGATTTATTTGTTTTTATATTTGTTGCAATTACAAATTAGTATTTTAATTTTTTTGTCACACAGAGTCGCCATATAGTGATATCAAAGTTCCAAAATTTCTCTGGAACTAGTTCCAGTTCCAGAACCAGGTTTTTAATTTTTGTAGTTCCAGTTCCTGAACTCCATTTTTGAAATTCCTGAGTTCCAGTTCTGGAACTAGAACTAATTAGTTCCGAAACTTGAACTTTGACATCGCTGACGCCAATGAGTATCGACCCGGGGCATCGACCAATGTGTTTTTTATCGTTTAACCCCCACCTAAGCATTTTAAATGCTGCTAAGTGAACCCGGACCGGGAATTCCCGATCCCGGTTTCATCCCGGCATCTTCAAAAAATGCCGGGAAAAAGGACTGGATACTATAAAAGGCTTATTTTCCCTTCATTTAACTTCTCTTTTCTAAACAACCCCCAAAAAACAAAACGCCAAGAACAAAAATGAATATTCTTCTTCTGCCAGTGTCAACTTTAACCAAATATCCTCTATTCAACAAACAAATAGCTATTTCTGTTCATTAATTGATAAATATATTGGGATATTGGCAAAGAAGAAATTTTATTCTTTTGAGACAATTGTGTATAAATCGGTTAATGACAAGAACAAATATTTAAAATTAAATGAAGAGGATATTGGTTTGGCTGATGGTTTTGAGTTGAGTAAGGAACTTGAGGCGAAGGTTGGAGATTTATAAAATTTTGGGTCTTGTCCCCGATTAATTTTTGAATCCGGACATGGACTGGATTCTTGCTAGGTCTTTATTTAAGGGTACATACGAAACATTTCGGGTCAGATGTACCTCGAGCTGTAACCGTTAAAAATTATCGAATCCAGGAAAATTAAATTCATGGAATCGATCGAAGCGCACCGAACCATATCAGGACGTCCTTGATTCAATAATTTTGAAATAGCTTGGCGGTCCATTTAGCTCGCGGTAGTTTGGCCTGCTCCCTTAACCAGTAAATATATCTAGTTACTTCGAAATCTGTTGCTGAGCAAATCCCAAAGGGGATCAAAAAGGGCATCTGTTTCCCCCAATTTCTGAATGAAAAAACTCTTGAATTGAGTTTTAATCTTTCTTTTCAGTGGCAAATTGGTATAGATTACAAAACTCCAATGTACTTGTATTCTGAGATTGTCAAATCAAGGGAACCTTATATCACCAACTTTGCTATTTGTTTGAGTGAAGAAGAAGGTTACAAATTTTAACCAAAAATCCGAATAAATCATTTTTTATATTTTCAGATGACAATTCGTCCAGATATCTTTTAAAATTGCCTTATATTCCAAAAAATATCAAAGAAATGCTTCTCTGTCGTTACTGGCTAACAAAACTTTTATTAAATTGGCCTTTCCAAAGAGTTAATTTTGACAATATTATCTTCAATCCAATAATGCTTATGTTGCTATTCGAGAACAAAAATCCGCTAATTTTTAGTAGACTTCGAGTACGCTTTGAAGAAGATCTTTTTCGAGTTGTTCTTCAACAATATTCCATCTTTCTGAAAAAATCTAAAATGGAGGATGGTTGGCAAAAACATGTGGATTTATGGCCCTATGCTCGATTGGCTGATTGCATTAAGGTGTATAAGGAATCACTGCTAGATTATGGTAGTGGCTGGGTTGTAGGTCTTTCTGTATACCCAATTTCTTATATGAAGGTAATGGGCTTTTAATTGTTGTAAAAATATTTTTTGTTTGATAAAATTGCTTTTTAAATTATTTGCTTTTACATTTGTTGCAAATGCAACTTAATATTTATATTTTTTATTGCCACTATAAAATTGCCACTATAAATAGTTCGCGCCGTTTTAGCCATGCATCGTTTTGTCCTTGCGACGTTTCGATTTACGATGTTTCGGTCTGAGCCGTTTTGGCTGCGCCCAAATTTTTTATTTTTTGTCAAAAAGTCCTAATTTTCAAAAATTCTTAGTTTGTCTCGGATTTGAGATGTATTGATTTTGATTTTAGTTGTTGACTTTGACCCTCGTCTTTGAATCAAGAAAAATCGGTCATTTTCTTTATTTTCAGAATTTAAATAATGTCAGTTCCAATTATTCTTCTTCGTGAAGGCACACAAACAAAACAAGGACGTGGACAAATTCTAAGCAATATTAGTGCTTGTTGTGCTGTTGCTGACAGTGTTAGAACTACGCTTGGACCTAGAGGATTGGATAAATTGTTGGTAGACCGTAAAGGTTTGGATCGATTTTTTGAGTTGATTTTTTCGAGGAGAAGGGGGGGGGGGGGAGTTGCTTAAATCCGGAGGATTTTTTGTTGTTTTCCTATAAGCATGGGAGATCGGAGTTTGTTAACTTGGTCCAAATACCTATGAATTTGATTTTTGGGCTCCTTTGGAGTTTCCCTGGCCGAAGTTTTCAGTGACTTGTTTGGGCTGTGGATTCGAAACTTATTTCCAAAAGCCAAACTTTGGTCGTCCCTATTTTTGTGTAGGCAATGCGTTGTATGGAATATGGGGATCGAGCTTGGTAATAGCCAGAACACAGACCTTTTGACTTTTTATGATTTCCTGGACTTTAGGGTTTCCTAGGCTTTAGGCCCAAACTGTCTGGATGGAGTTTTGGTAAGACTGAGTTTTGCTTGGACTCAGTTTTTTCCTCATTCACCTCCAGACCTAGACTATAGTTCTTTATCGTCAACATTTCAGGCCAAACAACAATTTCAAATGACGGAGCAACAATACTTAAGCAACTCGATATTGTTTTCCCAGCGGCGATAGTTATGTCCGACATTGCAAAAAGTCAAGATGCTGAAGTTGGGGATGGAACTACGAGTGGTTTGTTTAAGTTTAGAAAATTAAAGAAAATTTATTTAAATTTTCAAGTTGTCATTTTGGCCGCAGAATTTTTGAAAGCTGCAAAGCCTTTTATTGAAGAAGGGGTTAGCCCTCAATTGATCATTAAAGCTTTTGAGGATGCTTCAAAAGAGGTTTTTTTATTTTGTAATTTGTGGGTTATCCTGGCAAGGAAAGGTTGCGAGGTGTCCGACTTAAAAACGGTCGAGACCGGGCTCATTCGATAGAGAATGTGCCCTTTCTAGCAAGGATTTTGTGCCGTTTTTGCCCGTTTTTTGATCTGGTCAAGATATGGCCTTCCAAATTCCCTAAATTTGGCACTAAATAGGCAGATTAAAAAGACATAATGGTCAGAGCATCCATACTTTCTCTGTTAAATTTGAGGGAGTGATATCTAACCATCATGAGTCTTTTTTATATCTGACCATTATGAGTCCATTAACCCACAAATACTTTTAAAAATTCTTTATTTTTTCCTTTAAATTTTAAAGGCCATCAAAAAACTCCGTGAACTCGCTGTCAAAATCGTCGGAACTACTGAATCCATTGAAATGCTTGTTCGCTGTGCAGCTACAACATTGAGCAGCAAATTGGTTTATTTTCGAATTTATAAAAAATTCAGAAAAAAATTTCTCTCAGTTAAAACAAGAACGTCACCATTTTTCTACAATGGTAGTTGATGCTGTTAGCTATTTGGATATTGATTTGCCTTTGAATATGATTGGAATTAAGAAAGTTAGCGGTGGCTCTATTCGGGTTTTTTTTTATTATTAAATACCTAGGTTTGGACTTTATGACTCCTTTTTTTTCTTTTTCTTCAATTCCTCTTCCCTTTAATAGTAAATTTTTGGTACCGTTTGCTGTCGAACCTTTCTTTTCTCTGTCAGCTTTACCCGCAACACGCCGGATTTTCGACTTTGGAGTTTCGCCTTTCGTCTCGATTTTAAGATTACTTCGCACACCCCTGTTATATAAGTATTTCCCAATCACATGGAAGGTTGTTTCAGCAAACTGGGGGGTTCGGATTCCTCCATCCAGCTTGAATGTTGTTTTTTGTGGGATTGTGTTTATGGCGTTTGGTATTACGGCACAATGATTATTTTATAGTATAGAGGAAGTAGGTGAAGGGCGTGGGTCAAAGTCTTCTAAAATTTTAACTTTAAAAATTTTTTCAAAGGATTCTCGTCTTGTAAAAGGTGTGGCCTTTAAAAAAGCCTTTAGCTATGCAGGATTTGAAATGCAGCCCAAACACTATAAAAAGCCTTTAATTGCCGTGTTAAATATTGAATTGGAATTGAAAGCAGAAAAAGATAATGCTGAATTACGCATTGGAAATGTTGCTGATTATCAAGAGGTTTTTTTTTGAACAAAATTTTTTTAGGGGTGGAAATTTCGAAAAAAAAATTTTTTTTTGAAATTTTTCTAAATTCCCACCCTGAAAAAAATTAAAAAAATTTTTTTCAGAAATTCCAAAAAAAAATTTTTTTATTTTTCAGGTGGTCAATGCAGAATGGACTATCCTTTATAATAAATTGGAAAAAATTCATGAAAGTGGCGCAAAAATTGTTTTATCAAAATTACCAATTGGAGACGTTGCTACTCAATGGTTTGCTGACAGGTTGGGGGTTTCTTTAGAAATTTTTTTTCATTTTTTTATATTTTAAAGAGACATGTTCTGCGCTGGCAGAGTTCAAGATGAAGATATTGAACGCGTTTTAGCTTCTTGTGGTGGATCATTGTTAACAACAGTTTCTCAAGTGGATGCTTCTGTTCTTGGATGTTGTGGTGAATTTTATGAACAACAAGTTGGAAGTGAACGGTTTATTTTTTTGATTAATTTGATTTTTGTGTCATGGCAAAAGTCGGTCCAGACAAAATTCTGTCCTTTCAAAACTCCGTTTTTACTCTTTCACTTACCCTTGTCTGCAGCAGAAATGTTACGACAAGTCCCATTGGCGTAACACATATCGGGACATTTCAATGTACTAACAGTTCTACTGATTTCAGGGCTTACGCTTGAGTCCTACGGCCATTCAGCCCACCTTTTCATTTCATTTTGGTAAGACTGAATTTTAAGAGGCTCGATTTTTGTCGTGTTGAAGTTTTGTCTGGTCGGAGTTTTGTCCCTCCCCTTTTTTTCTTCTTATTCTTTAAAAATTTTTTTTCAAGTTACAATTTCTTCACTGGCGGTTCCAAAGCAAAATCTTGTACTTTAGTACTTCGTGGAGGTTCAGAACAATTTATTGCAGAAACTGAACGTTCTCTTCACGATGCAATTATGATTGTACGTCGAGCAATGCGTAATGATTCAATTGTTGCTGGTGGTGGAGCGATTGAAATAGAACTTTCACGTCACATTCTTGAATTGGGAAATAAGCGTGAAATGAAGGACCAATTCTTTTGGAAAGGTTATGCAAAGGCTTTTGAGGTTTTTTTAATTATAAAATTAAAGTTGGGGCTCTAAACTACTTCCTTGAATGTGGAAAATCGTATTCTGTAATGAGTCTATTTAAATAAAGGAGGGGGTGGGATGTTGAAATGGCAAAAATGGAGTACCAAACTCCAAAAGCCATTGAAGTACCAAACTGTAAATGACCTTGATATACCAAATAAATACTATTGTTTGGCATTTCAATGACTTTTAAGAGTTTGACTTTTCATGCATGTTGTTTCGGTGGTTTGGCATTATAAGATTACACCTAACTAGGGGGTTTAATGTTAAATCGATTCCCATACCCATATAATGGTTAATCGAATTTAACATAAAAGCTAAAATTTATGTGTGTTTTGAGTTATCTATAAGTGCGGTCCAGTATTCAGATTGCCTATCTAAAAAATCTTTTTTATTTAAGGCAATCCCTCAACAACTTTGTCAAAATGCTGGTTTGGATGCAATTACAATGCTTGGAGAATTACGTGCTGCTCATGCAAAAGGGCAAAAATGGTGTGGAATTGATATACAAGCTGAGCGTGTTGCGGATAATATGGAGGGTTGTATTTGGGAACCTGCTCTTGTTAAAGAGGTTTTTTTTTATTATTTTTTAATTTGAATTTTTGGAAAACTAATAAGGTCAAATTTCGGATAAAGGAAAGGCCCAAGCCTCGGCTTTAACCCAGCTCTATAAGAAAAAGTGATTTTATTGAAATTATTTTTTTCTTGTGTTACTGGGACAGTGTAGTGACTGGGTTATGGGTGAGGTCGGCAAAATCGCATTTACGGGATCCCGTAACTGGATTTTTTTCAAAATTTTTTACGGGACAGGATCCCGCGGGATTAATCCCGTAAATCCCGATAATCCCGTTCGCGCTTAAAAATCGGGATTTCGGGACGGGATCCCGCAAGATCCCTTACGGGATTCTGTCCTGTCTCGTGCCGAGATCTAGTTATGTGTAGGTTTCAGATCGGGGTTCGGGTAGGAAAAAAATTTTTTTTCGCAATTCGGGCAACCCTATCCATTCATGATCTTAAAAAATAGGAAAAAGTAGTTAAATTTTACAATTAATCTTTAAAAATATAATTTTTTAGAATGCTATAATCTCAGCTACAGAAGCAGCTTGTCTCATTTTAAGTATTGACCAAACAATAAAAAATGTAAAATCTGCAAATGAAATGCCTGGATTGCCTGGACAGCATTGAGAGAGGTTTAAAAAGATTAAATTGTTATCTAGTAAATTAAAAGAAGTTTTTTTTTGTTAAGAAAAAGGGAGAAAACAACTCGTTCAATTTTTGAAAATTTTTTTGTGTCATTTTGTTAACTGACTGGCGCTAGTCTAGTTTAAGAGTCCAATGAGCTTTTATGCGTCCAAACAAAAGAAAATCGGATTTTTCTTGGTCCAAGCAAAGCAGGGGTATGGTTCCAAAACATTTCTTCAAGTTCGGGACCTACGCCCAATGGGTCTGGAACCGTTCCTTACCCTTTCCCTCGAAAATTGGAAAGTTATAACCGTTTTTCTGAAATTTTTAGAAATTGGCTATAACTTTCCTAAAAGTTATTTCAAAATAACCAAAGAAATCCAACAATTTAATACAAATTATCACAACAGAACTAAATTAGAATTCATTGTGGAGAAACCCTCCATGAATAACAACATGACCATACATGAAAACAAATACTTTCGGAATACAAATTCCATCGTTAGAAATATGGAAATTGTGTATATTGAAAATCTTATGAGCACCAAAAAATAATTTAATAATTTGTGGATTAAAAACAGCATGTTTGACCTTAAAGTTTTGAATTAAGTAACTTGACAGTTTTGTAAGCCAATAGTGAAAAACATGCCTTTCTTTGGGTACCGAAATTTTCGTCGCTGAAACTTTCGTCTCCAAGATTTTTTGAATTTTCGTCTCCGGAATTTTTAGGCGCAGGGAGGAGTAAATTTTTTGATTCATTCGAAAATAACACAAAATCAATTTGCACAAACGCCTCTCCGAGCCCATAGGTTTATGTAGTTTTTTTGAATGAATCAAAAAATTTACTCCTCCCTGCGCCTAAAAACTCCGGAGACGAAAATTCAAAAAATCTTGGAGACGAAAGTTTCAGCGACGAAAATTTCGGTACCCAAAGAAAGGCATGTTTTTCACTATTGGCTTACAAAACTGTCAAGTTACTTAATTCAAAACTTTAAGGTCAAACATGCTGTTTTTAATCCACAAATTATTGAATTATTTTTTGGTGCTCATAAGATTTTCAATATACACAATTTCCATTTTTCTAACGATGGAATTTGTATTCCAAAAGTATTCGTTTTCATGTATGGTCATGTTGTTATTCATGGAGGGTTTCTCCACAATGAATTTTAATTTAGTTCTGTTGTGATAATTTGTATTAAATTGTTGGATTTCTTTGGTTATTTTGAAATAACTTTTAAGAAAGTTATTGCCAATTTCTAAAAATTTCAGAAAAACGATTTTAACTTCCAGAAATTTCGAGTGATAGGGCAAGGAATGGTCCTAGACCCAGTGGGCGTAGGTCCGGAACATGAAGAAATGTTTTGGAACCATACCCCAACTTTGCTATACCAAGAAAAATAAAATTTTTTAAATTTGACTCAAAAGTTCATTGGACTCATAAACTAGACTAGCGCCAAAAATTTTTCTCTGCTTCTCTCATTAAAAAAATTTTTTTGCATAAAATTGAAAAATTTAATAGTTAAGATGCTACGTTATATTGTTATTTTATGCTTTTTTTTATTTATTTTTGTTAATTTTTATGCAATTTTTTCTTTTCTATCTTAAAATTTTTTTTACTTTTTTAGCTATTTTTAAGAAAAAAAAGTTTTAGTAAAAAAGTTTTTTCAATGTTTCCTGCAAGGACTTGTTTCTTTCTTGCTTCAAGTTTGTTTTTGTTTAAAAATTAATTACTTTTTTTTTAATCTAGAGCGCTTCTATGTGACAAAGCCTCTTCTTAATTTTGGGGCAATTGGAGGTGTTGGCAAGGCTACTTTTGCGTCTGCTGTTACTAAAGGTTTAGGCTTGGAATATGTTATTTGTGTTAGGCGGGTCTGTTAAAGGGTCTTTTTCTAGTAAAGTCGAAGTTTAAGACTTATCTTTGTTTCTTTTTCATCCTATGCTCTGATTCCCTCATAATTCTGATTTTCCTTCCGAGTTTCCACAAAAATTTTAAGCTCCCAAATTTCGAAATGTTGGCTAGTTTTTTGATTTTTTTTTCACTCATCTAGTTGTTTCGACTCACCTTTTTATGCTAATAACAAGTAAAATCGAATACATTGTTTCTTTAACAGGCCCCTGTTTCGTATTTTTTTGAGTGGTTTGTTGGAGATAGGGTGGGTGGGGATTTCCGCATCCTCTTTCTACGAGCCTGGCTTGGGTAGTTCAAATTTAGGCCGCATGTTTTGTCGTAATTTCCAGAAATTTTGTGACCATATAGAAATTGACTTTATTTTCATGGAATTTTCTATTCAGGCGATGGGCATCATGACGCTGAAGAACATCACGAATACTTCCATGGTGTTCCGATAGAGCCAAATCCTGGACCTCCAATTACTTTTGACTATTTTCCTGTTCCGTGCAAGCCGTATAAGGTTTATAAAATAATTTATATTTTTTGACAAACAATTTTTGACGCTCAAAATAGGAATCATTTTTTAATTCGTTAAAAAATAGCCTTGAATTTTTCAAGAATATTTGGCTATCATAATCCAGAGCATGCGTCCCGTGGTAACGTATGCGTCCATAAATGTGTCTGATTCCTCGGATCTTTCCTTGGGCTTGAAACACTCAAAAGCCCGCGAAATATCTGACTGTTTTCCTAACAATGAAGGGATGTTGTCCAACAAACGGAGAGTCGGTTTTCCAGCGAAGGATCAATTGTAACCAGGCCCGTAAATAGTGTATTTCGAGGACTTTCGAGAGGATTTGGTATTTCGTGATTTCTTGAAGTTGCTAAGGCTTCCATAACATTTTTTGGGAGTTTTGGGGACATCACCTTTATAAGTCACAAATATTCCCATGGACTCATGTTTTAAACTAGAGCCAAAAAATTATTATTTTTTTCTTTTAATAGCCTGTCTATGACGAACTTCAACGCAAATTCAATTTGTGGTTGTTAGGAGGACTTTCTGTTTTCTTTTTCTCGTTGTACATGATTTACGCTACGGATGCTACAGAATATGAGGCTTGGGCTAGGGTAAAAAGTTGGCGTGATCGAAAGAGAATTAATGCTGAATTGCGTGCTAAGGAAGCTGCTGGTGAGAAGGAAGAATAAATTGAAGAAGAGGAAAAATATATTTTGAGGAGAAATAATTTTTAATAGGTTTATTTTTTTCGGTTTATTTTGGCTATAATGAAGAGGGGTGGAGGTGAATAAAATAGGGGGAGAGGAGGGCGAGGGAAATTTCAGTGAAAATTTTTTTTTCTGATTTTTCAAAAAACTTTTTTTTGAAAGAATTTTTCAAAAAATTTTTTTATTCCTTTAAATTTGAGAATTATAAATTTTTTTGTATTTTCAAAAAATTTGTTGAATAATTTTTTTTTTGATTGAAAAAATTTTTTGAAAATTTTCAAAAAATTAAAAAAAAATTTTTTATTTTTCCAAGTCATTCAGAAATTCTTTTAGAATTAATTAAGGGTCTCACTTCATTGATAAAATTAAAAAATTTTTCTTTCCCTCCTCCTCATTTTTCCCTCCCACCTTTATTATGTTAAAGACGTTAATTTTGTTTGCCTGTCATTAAACTATGTCTTAGTTCAGTTTATTTTTGTGTAATTTTAAAATTGAAAAAAATTCTTTAAAAATTTTTTTATTAATTATTTGAGCCATTAAAATATGGTTTTATATTTTTATTATTTTTTCTAGGGTTGGGATTTTTTCGAGCCGGGCCAACGTTCGAGTCATTTTTTTGGTTTATTTTGGTTATAGTGAAGATGGGTGGAGGTGAATAATAGGAGAAAGGGCGAGGGAATTTTTTCGAATTTTTTCGGGCTTTATTTTTATCGGGCCGACCCAACCGAGTCTTTTTTGGGCCAAAATTCAATGCTCGACTCGATCTTTCGGACCGGGCCCCCAACCCTAATTTTTTCGATTTTCAAAAATTTTCTTTAATTTTAAAAATTTTTTCAAGAAAAATGATACTTTTCAAGTCTTCAAATTTGATTAAAAATAATTTTTTAAAATCTGTTTTGGTTTCAAATGCTTCTATAACAACAACACAACAACCACAGACACGCCCAAATGTTGTTTTAATTGATGCTGTGCGAACACCTTTTGTTGTATCCAATACAGTTTTTAGGGAACTTTTGGCTGTGGATTTGCAACGACATGCTTTGAGAGGTTTTTATTAAATATTTCTTAGGTTAACTATTTTTTGGTGTCTTTTATATCGATACTGGTTGACGTGTGAGGGTCGTTATAGGCGTACCATGAATAGTAAAAAGTTGTGTATGGGGTTTAGGAAGATTAAGGACGTACGGGCACGTAGCCAGTGTAGTTTGTGAACAACAAGATAGCCAAATTTTCATTATTAAGCACGCAGGAATTTCAAATATTATCCTTTTCTTCCAAACATTTTTTGATTTTTCACATTTTATAGGCGAACGCATAGAGAGCCAAAAATTGGACATGTTGGGGGATAAGATTGGTTCTGATTCCGGATTGAGTTTTTTACTTTGGATTTAGTTTCGGGTTGAGAAAAGTTAGGGGCCCGGCTCACGAGTTTCGAGTAATCCAACCCTTCCATGATAGAAACAACTTAGGCAATTATTTTTATTTGATGGATGGAAGTTTTTATATTTTTTATTTTTTAGCTTTGGTTGACCGAACAAATGTACCTTTTGAAGATATTGGACATATAATTTGTGGACAAGTTGTACAAGAATGTAGAACTAGCAATATAGCACGGGAAGCAGCTATTACTGCTGGGTTTCCTGATTCTGTTGGTTTTTTTAAATTTAAAAAAAAATTTTTTCCGGGTCAAAAAAGTCTGTGTTTCAGATACATATTTAAATTGGCCGAAATTTAGTGGAACAAAACGAAACCGAAAAATCGGAGAAAAAGACGAATCGTCTTGTGTATTGTCTAGAAAGGATGTCATGCAAGGGCGTAGACATGGGATTGAATTCATGGTAGGGGGGGGGGCTAAAATGGGATGTGCGTCTTTTTTGGAAGGCGTTTTCTGAAAATTTTCTGGAACCTGGAAATTTTCGGCCTGAAACTTGATCTGTAGAAATTTTTGAAAACTTGACATGAAAATGATTCGACTTTTTTTAACTCGTGACATTCTTGATATCTAGCCATGACATCCCTGATACCATCAAAATAAAAAAATTTAATTTTAGATTCCTTGCAACACAGTTACTCTAGCCTGTATTTCCTCCGCTATTTCAACTCAAAATATTGCCTCAATGATTACTAATGGATATTTAAAGGCAGGGATTGCTGGAGGAGTTGAGTTACTTTCTGACTTTCCTGTTAGATATAATCGAAAGGTTTGTGGATTTTTTAAAGAGATTTTCAAAAAAAATTCTTGAAATTTTATAAAAAAATTTTTCGAAAAATTTTAAAAATTTTTTGAAATTTTCCAAAATTTCTGAGAAATTTTTAAAATTTTTTGAACGAATTTTTTTTTGAAAAATTTTTCGAAAAAAATCTTCAAAAAAATCTTTCTGAAATTTTCCAACAAATTTTTGGAAATTTTCAAAAAAAATTCTGCGAAAATTTTTTAAAAATTTTTGAAAAAAATTTTTTTGAAATTTTCAGAAAATTTTCTAAAGATTTTCGAAAAAAATTATTTTTCAAGGCTCGTCTTTCAATGATTGATTTTCAAAAAGCAAAGAAACTTGATGCAAAACTTAAATATGGATTTAAAATGCTGGCTAATTGGTTTACCCCAGAATTACCCGCAGTTTCTGAATTTACAACAGGCGAAGTTATGGGCAATTCTGGTGATCGTTTGGCTGCTGCTTTTTGTGTTTCGCGAAAGTATTTTTTAATAAATTTTTAGGTGTCTATATCCCAAGGGAAATTTCAAGCAATTTTTTGACCTCAAAATTAGTCCGCAAATCCGCAAAATTTTTTATCCGCAACATTTTTATCCGCAAATTTTGTCTGCAAAATTTTTGTCCGCAAATTTTGTCCGCAAGTTTTTTCCGCAAAATTTTTCTCCGCAATAATTTTATCCGTGTTATTTTTGTCCGCAAATTTTTATCAGGATCTTTTTGTACGCAAGATTTTTATCCGCAATTCAATTTTAAATTTCTTAATTTTCAAGAGAGCAAGACGATTTTGCCATTCGTAGCCATACTTTTGCCGAAAAAGCAACAAAAGAAAACAAATTAACAGATGTTGTTCCAATGTTTGTACCTTACGGACCTAAAAAGGGTCAGACAGTTTTGACTGATAATGGAATTAGAGTTTCTACAAAAGAACAGATGGCTAAACTTAAAGCTGCTTTTATTAAACCTCATGGAACTGTAAGAATTTTTTGAAAAAAATTTTTTATTTTAAAGGTGACTGCTGGAAATTCTTCTTATTTGACTGATGGGGTCGGTATTTATTTTTTAATTTTATTTTAATAAATGTGGGAAATAAAGACATTACGTTAAGAGTTTATTCCGTTGTAAGGCTTCCTCAATTTATTAAGTTTGAGATTTTCAAATCTGGCTAGCAAAAAAGTTTACTAATCATGAACGACAGAAATATAGCTGTATTCCGCTCGTTTTGAAATTTCTGTCCGCAAATTTAGCAATTTTTTGGTCGTAAAATTAAAAAAAAATATTGAAATACATTTTTCATATTTGTAGAGTTGTCCGCAAATTTTGTCCGCAAAAATTTTTTTTGAATTTTTTGAATTTTTTAATTTTTTTTTCAAATAAAAATTTTTTTTGTTAAGGCCTCTGCAGCTTTAATAAGTTCAGAATCTTATGCACTTCAAAAAGGTTATAAGCCCAAAGCTTTTATTCGTGAAACAATGTTTGTGGCTCAAGACCCGAAAGATCAACTTTTGCTTAGTCCGGCTTATGTAATTCCGAAATTGTTGGATAAGGTTTTTTTTGGAATTTTTTTGAGGAATTTTAATGATTTTTTAAATTAAATAAGGCTGGTCTTAAACTACAAGATGTTGATGTTTTTGAAATTCATGAAGCATTTGCTGGCCAGTTGTTGGCAAATTTGAAAGCTTTAGATTCTGACTGGTTTTGTCAGGTTTTTTTGAAAAATTTTTTGGAAGAATTTTTTGAATTTACTTATGATCCTCGCTATAAGTTAAGCCGATAGTTAAACCCAAATTTAAGCAAACCCTCTATTTAACATACACCTCATAAGAGACAATAAAATTTCCTTATAAGATACCCCCAATATTGGGTACATTTCTATTTAAGAGACTTATTCATTAGGTTGGGGAGCTGCTTAAGTGATACCTCTCTATTTAACATACACCTTATTATAAGGGACAAAAATTTTTTTTTGGATTTTCCCATGGGTATCTTTCAAGCCCGACTTTATTTTAAGCTTTTATCATTTTTAAAAAATTAATTTTCTTTTAGAATTACATGAAAAGAAATGCAAAATTCGGAACTCTCCCAATGGAAAAGCTCAATTTATGGGGTGGTTCGCTTTCGCTGGGACACCCATTTGGCGCTACTGGTGTCAGACTTTTGGCGCATGCTGCTAATCGTTTAAAGGATGAAGGTAAGGAGGGGGGGTATTAAAAATGAAAAAAAAATTCTAAAAAAAGGTGGTCGTTATGCAGTAATTGCTGCATGTGCAGCTGGAGGGCACGGTGTTGGAATGCTTGTTGAGGCATATAAATAAATTTGAAAGAAAATTTTAAAAAAGAAAAATTTAATTTGGACACAGCGAAAATTTTTCAGACTATATTTTAGCATATATTTTTAAATTTAAAATATAGAGGGTGGCCTATTAAAAAGTTAAGATACGTATTGTCTCTAATAGAAGCCCGTTTGCAATAGAAACTCATGCCATATTAAAAGCCCATTCAATGAGGGGTATTGAAAAATAGACGCCCAGGGCTTGTATTAGAGACAATACGGTATATTAAATAATAATGATTATGTGTATTTTTAATCTTGGATATTCTATAAAAATTTGGATGTATTTTTTTAACGGAATAAAAATAATTATGCAGTAATTGCTGCATGTGCAGCTGGAGGTCATACACCTCATTATGAGGGAACATACACCCTCTTTATTTTTCTTCTTTGTTCTCCTAAAAATTAAATTAAAATCACTGACTATAAAACTTTAAGACTCCTTTCTTAAAAAAACTTTTTTTATTTTTATATTCTATTTTTAAAAAAGAAAATTGAGAAGTTATTTAAGTACATTTTCTTGACTTATGATCGTCTCATAGATAACGTCATCAAGCTTTTATTTTTTCTTATTTTTCTAATTTTAATTTTTTTGATTAGAAAAGGATATTGGGGGATTTAAAATATAAATATTTTATAAGAGAAAAATAGATGAAAAAAATAAAAACAAATGTTCCCATAAAATTTATAAAACTTTATTCAAAAAAGAGGGAGGGAGGGTCTTTATGTAAGCCTTGAAAAAAATTTTTTTAACAACGGAAAAGTAAACGAAGAACACTTGTCACGTAAATAAAAATAAAGGTAAATCCTTATTTAATCTTCCCCTGCCAAAAGACATTTGGCACTTAAAAAATTTTTTTTATTCTTGACTTTTCTCCTTTAAATTGATTTTTAAAAATATAAATTCGATTTTTAGTTGTTAAATGTTTCAAGTTTTAAAATATTTAAGTTGATAATTCTGATTTGATGTAAATAAATAAATAAAATGTATTTTAGTGAAAATACAAGAATATTCTGATTTTAAAAATAGAATAGTCTTGTATTTTAAAAATCAGAATTCTGATTTTAAATAGGGATTCTGATTTTTAAAAATATCAGAATATTTAAGAAAGTCAGTTTAAAAATCAGAATTTAAAAAATCAGAATTCTGACTAGAAATTGGAATACTAAATTTTCAGAATTCTGATAAAAATATAAAAATTCTGATTTTAGATGGGGATTCTGATTTTTCGGAATTCTGATAAAAATCAGAATTCTGATTTTAAATTAGAATTCTGATTTTTTATCAGAATTCTGCAAATTCTGATTTTTTTATCAGAATTCTGAATTTTCTCTGCCTTTTGCTTTTCAGAATTCTGATTAAAAAAATCAGAATTCAGCATTTTTCCTAAAATATTCTGTTTGTATTTAGATTCTGATTTTGTATTTCTGATAGCAATCAACTACATTTTTCTTGTTGAGAATTCAGAATTTTTCTTAAACAAAAAATGCGTTGTTCCCTTCACTCTACTTTTATTATCCTTCCCCTTATAATCTTTCTCTTCACAATTTTTTCTACTTTTTGTTCTGCCGACCTTCAAAATATAACAGTTCGAGGTCAGGCAATTTGCCGACGTCGAAGTGTTAAAGGATTGCATATTGAATTACGCGAACACGATACTTTTGATCCAGACGATTCTTTATCTACTACAACAACTGGGCCAGATGGAACTTTTGAAGTTAGGGGTTCCGAGAATGAGGTGGGATGTGATTTTTATGTGTACTTATTTTGCGGACACATTTTTTAGAGAATACAGTACTTCGTGATAGACGGGAAGGGGGGGGGGGTAGCCTCAAGGCTAGGAACCTTGAAGCCACTCGATTTTTAGAAATAGGGGTAATGCTAAAAACTGGATGGGAGTTGTTCACCTATCAATTTTTTTTTCTTTTAAAGGTTGGCTCAATCCGTCCCTACCTTCGCATAACGCACAAATGTGACGTCTCAGATGATATGGTAACTAAATTAATGTTAAAACTATTGATCCTGTGTATAGTGACCCCTCTCAACTTCAAGATCCCTTATTGACCAAGATAGGGTCTTCGGGCTCCATCAAAAGCTAGTCCGATATAGGACCCATTTGTGAATATTATCTTTCTACAGTCTGCCAGGACTATACAAGAAGTAGACCCCGTTCAGTGTCTCTTAGATATAAGACACTTGCTCGACCGGAACTGACTCTTAAAAATGACCTAGGAAAGGGGAGGGAACTGAGTCGGAGTTTACCGTATTAAAAGCAAAGATGACCCTTCTTGCTAAATAACTTGTTCCCCTACTGGCAGGTCCGGTTTGGTTCATCAAAGATCCCCGTGAGAAGGAAAAACGGGAGCTAAGTCTGAACCTATTAAATTAAGCAAAAAACAAAAATTTTTTATTTTTTATTAAAGAAATGTCGTCGAATAACAGAAATTGATATACCAAAAGAAAAAGTTAATGGAATCTATGAAATGGTAAAAAATTTTTCCTTGAAAAAATTTTTTTTCAATTAAGAATTTTGTCAATTTAAATTTGCCTGGACATAGAGATAAGGAAACGTGTGACGATTAAACTTAATTATTTTAGAAAGATTATGGACTTCTCATATAATTTTGTGCGTTTATTCTGCCTTATTTGCTATAATAAAATTAAATATACAGTCGGACCTTGTTTGTAAAATACACCCAGAATTAGGTGCTTCTCGAACCAAGATAGTACGTTTCTCTAAAAATATGACTGGTCCCCAGGGCTGTGCGCCAAAATTTTCGCATGGCGCGTCAAATGCCAAAAGTTTTTTTTCAAAATCTCAAAACACGCCAAACGTCAGAACGCCAATATGGGCCAAAATGACGCCAAAACGAAAATTCATGGCGCACAGCCCAGCTGTCCTTTTGGGTGGCAATTCGAATGGCCCATTGATAGGGGGGAATGCCCCTCTGCCTAAGGAGGGGGCTGCCTAAGCGATACCCCTCTATTTAATATACACTCCATTTTAAGAAACTAATTTTTGGTTCCAAGGGTATAATGAGGTCCGACTGTATTTCAAAAATTTATATTGAAACTTTTTTAAATAAAATTATTGCTCTTCAAGAAACTTAATCCTCTTAAAAGTGTGAGAAAAAATCCATTCGTTTTTCTCTAACTCCAGCCTCGGCACTTTCGTGTTCCTCTGATTGGTGTCGATTTCGACGAGTATGAGCCAATGCCATTTGATATTTTCTGAAAAAAGCCGGGTTTTAAGTGGGACTTGAATGGCTTTTTAATATTCTGGGGACATTTTTAGACTAAAATAACTGTTGAGACTCAAACGTCATATCCCCACATCTGAGTCTAACTCAAGACTCAAATGTCAAAAATACCTCAAATAGCCTGAGGGAACAGGATTTTTGACAATTTCATCGTCCTCGGATACATCATCCCTCTCCAACAATGGCTGATCTTTTTGAAATTGTCTCTCTTCCTCTCCATTATAAAGTGGCTGTGCGAGAAAATCAAATTGTAACGATTTGCTTTTTTGCCGTCCAGTTAATTCAAGAAGGAGAACGAAATTTTCATTTTTCATTACAGCACCGGGCACGAATAGAGTCATCTTTAAGGTATCGAAATGGTCAAAAAATTATTTAAGAGCCCCTAACCTGTGGGCCTAACAACGGCCAATACCGCCCAACATTAAACCCATTCACCATAGCAATGCCATGCCCCCACCCTCGAGAATCAAAAAATGTATGGGCCAATCTCCAGTCTACATCGGGAGTTGTGAATTTGGCTGCATATATGGCAGGTTCATCATAGGTAGGTTGTGGAGGTTCGATGCTTAATTATTTAATAATTTTTGAGACTCAAATGCCCACTATTTAAGCCCCACCTTGATGATCCTTTCAAAAGTTGTTGCTCCAAATATGCCTCCTCAAACAGCAAAGAACCAGCTGTGTATAAAGCATCTATTGAAACGCCACATTGTGTCCAATAATTACTAACTGAGATACCACCCAAAATTACAGGGGAAAGAATACCCTTCAAAAGAAAATTTTTCACTTTTAAAATATTCCGATAACCTTTGGATCAACTTTAGACAGTGGATAGGTTAATCGTCCAGCATTTTCTACAAGTATATCTAAGCGTTGACCAGCACGAGCGTTTATCGTTACTCTTTGAGAGCAGCCAGTTCTGTCACAGACGGTTATGTTTCCCTAGAGAAGGAAGAGGGGGACTTAGAAAATTCTAGTTACCCCCCCCCCTCTAACCTTAAATTTCCCGTCCACAAAAATATAGGCGTGGTCCTTCACCACAGGTATAGTCAACACAGACCCTCCTATTTGAAGGACTGTACTGTACCAAACAAAAGCATGGTCTCTATCGAAAACTTCAAAGTTTAGAGGGCGAGCCCCATTTGAGTGTATACATTGTTGTTTTGTATGGGTTGAGTTTAAGAGTTTGATGAAATTTGGGAGACGGAGGGCTGTAATGCCGTTTATTGCAATTCCTCTGAAATGTTAAATACAGTATTTATTTTAGGATGTCTCTCAATATTGCTTACTATTTCATCCTTTCACTAACCGTCTCTCAATTCTCCCACTATCTCATTTTTCTCTGACCTAATTTTTCTCTAACCGTCTCTCAAATCTGCCTACTATCTCATTTTTCTCTGACCCAGTTTTTTTTCTCTAACCGTCTCTCAATTCTATCCACTATCTCAACTTTATCCTACACTCAGAAAAATACCCACGTTCTGTTTGGCGGTAGAGGCAAAGGAGTATTAGGCCATTCTTGTTTTGAACCAATCCAATTTCTGATAGCTCTATATAATGGTGTTATTTGCCCTTCTTCGCTTATTGGGGCAGCATAGTCGTATGAAGTTATCACCTTTTAGAGAAATATTTTTAGATTATTTTTCTAGACATACAGGGCCATCTGGTTCTCTCCCATTCCAGAATCCAAAATTCGTTCCACCATGGATCATGTAGAAACTAAACAGAAATAAGACTCAAGTGTCCTTAAGACTCAAGTGTCCTTAAGACTCAAGTGTCCTTAAACGCCGGAGGGGAAAACCAGTCAGTAGAGTCCAGCATCAAAAATTTTTTCAGACTCTAGTGTCCAAAAACGACCCAAGGTACCATTAGAGTCCAGAAATAAAAAAAGTTCAGACTCTAGTGTCTTAAAATGAAAGCCTGACCATTAGAGTCCCAACAGTCAAAAAGGTTATATTCCCACCTGAAAGAGGCATTCAACTGCCACATAACCTCTATCGAATCAACAACATTTTTAATATCTTGTCTGGGCACAGAACGATCCCCCCACATTGAAAACCAAGTCGTATAAAATTCAGAATTTACATTCGGCCCTCCACCAGAAAACTTTCTTTGAACTTGGAATTTTTTGCTAGCAGAGTCTATAGTTTGGGGAGCACCAAAGTCAACAGTCTTTTAATTGACAATATTTTATTTATAATTTAAAAAAATTACTGGGAAGGTGCCTGGAACGGAGCCACATCGCACCATATTCTCGTTAAAGCCATCGGCTGTAAAGGGAATGTTAAGGGGGAAATTAATTTTTGGACAATCAGAAATTAAATTTTTTTGGACATTTTGTACTTTTGACATTTTGAAATAAAAAATATTTTTGGCATTTTGTCGTTTTGACATTTTGAAATGAAAATTAATTTTTTGGGCATTTTGTTCATTTGTCATTTTTGGTACTTGTGTAGTTTACACCCCATAAGCCCCGCCCCTTTTTCTTTTATCTTTTTTTCGCTCTTCCTTTTATAAAATGTCCATTTGGGTCAATATTTTTATTGGCATTGTCTTTTAAAGAAAATGAAGAGAAGATAGAGTGGCGGGACTTATGGGGGGGGGGGGGGTAAACTACACAAGTACCGTCATTTTAAAATAAAAATGATTTTTGGCATTTTGTCGTTTTGACATTTTGACACTAAAAGATTCCCTACTTGTATAAAGCACCACATCACTCCCAAGTTGTTCCCTAACAATATCCCTTAACCAAACTGTATAAGCATGGTCACAGAGAACAGAACCATATTCATTTTCTATCTGTAGCATAATAATAGGACCTCCATTCTTGTAGAGGAGAGGACGAAGTAAGGGGAGGAGTACATTAAAATAGCGTTTGACATAGCTGAGATATCTGAAAAAGTGTGCGATTTTTGTGATTGTTCTGATTTTTAGAGGTGTTCTGATTTTTGTTCTGATTTTTTAAACTGTTCTGATTTTTATTCTGATTTTTTAAAGAATATTCTGATTTTTAAAAATTATTCTGATTTTTGTTCTGATTTTTAAAGAATATTCTGATTTTTGTTCTGATACTATTCTGATGTTATTCTGAAATTGTTCTGATTTTTAAAAATTATTCTGATTTTTGTTCTGAAATATTCTGATTTTTAAAACTGTTCTGAAATTGTTCTGATTTTTAAAATTATTCTGATTTTTGTTCTGATTTTTAAAAATTGTTCTGATTTTATGTTCTGATACTATTCTGAAAAAATATTCTGATTTCTGTCTTGAAATTACTCTGATTTTTTGCCTGTTTCAAAATTGGTTACTATAATGTAGGAAGGTTCATTGGAAATAATTTTTAAAAAGGCGCCATTAAAATAACGCCAACTCACAAAAACTATACACTCTCCCACCTGGGTACAGCCCGATTAGGCGCGGGCCGACTAGGCGCGACCGATTAGGCGCGACCGATTAGGCGCCGGCCGATTAGGCGCGCGGCCAATTAGGCGCCGGCCGATTAGGCGCCAACCTTTTAATTAAATATTCGATTATAATCAATCAGAATGGTCCCATCGACCATCAAATGGGACAATTCTGAATTATAAAACAAAAATTTTACAAAAAAATTTTCCAAAATTAAAAAACAGGCCTAACTAGTTTACGTACCAGACTAAAATCAGCTCGATTGGATGAATGAACAAAGTTATTACCAACTGAATCTTCGCTGGAAAAACTGTTTTTGTGCTGCTACGGAGGGTAGGCCGGGCATGGTCTTCGCTACACGATGGCCGTGCTTCGCTGCGGTCGTGCTCGCTACGCTCGCGGCGACCGTAGCGAAGCGGCGGCCGTCGTTCCGCTCGACATGCCCGGCTTCCTCCGCAGCGGCAAAAACTTTTTTCCGCGAAGGCCTTATGTGAGGGTGGTGTATTTGTCCGGGATTATCAGAATCCTATCTATTTTCAGGATTTGGAAGAGCATTTCGTTCAATATTTAATTAAAAGGTTGGCGCCTAATCGGCCGGCGCCTAATTGGCCGCGCGCCTAATCGGCCGGCGCCTAATCGGTCGCGCCTAATCGGTCGCGCCTAGTCGGCCCGCGCCTAATCGGGCGTGTCCCCTCCCACCTAACGTTAAACAGAGAAAAAATAAATTTAAAGGACGCCTTTTATTTTATAAAAAGGTAGAGATGTCTCTCTTCTTTTATTACACTATTTCCTTTTTTTTTTATCTATTTTCTTCTGTCGCTTATCTTTCGATTTTTCCTTTTTATTTGCTTGACGGGCATTTTGCTCGATTAATTTTCTTTTTGATTTTTATTTTTAGGAAGTTTTCTAATTAAAAAAAGATTTTTAATGGCTCCCCAACCAAAACAAGCAAAAGGAAAGACTGGAGGAGAAACGAAAGCGGTTGCAACTGCTTCCAAGGGTGCTTCTGACAGCAAAAAGCGTGTTGTAAAGCCGGGAGGGAAAGGTTTATTTTTTAGATTTTTTTGGGGTTTCTCTAAGGTCGAACCTCAATTCAGGATACACCCAAAACTGTATGGACCTCTATGTGGGGCGTTTTTAAAATCTGGTTGGCCACAGGGTGGGGGACAGGGACGGGCTAAATCGGATAGCCGAAACCCGACTATTTTTCGATCTCGAAATCCTAAACTAAGAAATTTCGGAAAACCCGCTTTGAAGTCCTAGCTTGGCTTTTTTCTCTACTTGGCCCCTCCCTGGGTGGAGCTTCATGGGAGACACCCTCTATCCAACATACCCCCTTCATGAGCGATACCCAGCTAAGAGGTAATCATTCAGTCCCAAGGGGGGTATATCTCTTTAAATGGGGGTGTAAGTGAGGCCCTCGCATCTTTAAGGGGGTGTCAGATTGTACTGCTCGAACTTGTTGATATTTTCTTTTTTAAAATTCAAGATCGCAAAGCCGTCACCAAAGCTTTGGACGCAAAGAAGAAATTAGCCAAAGGAAAGTTTACTCTTCACAAAAAGAAAATCCGAACTTCTGTCCACTTCTATCGTCCATCTACTTTGAAGCAAGCCCGTGCACCTCGTTATCCTCGCAAAGCTGTGCCCAAACGCAACAAACTCGACGCTTTTGCGGTCATCAAGCATCCGCTTACGACGGAATCGGCAATGAAGAAAATTGAGGTTTTTTGAATTTTGAGGGGGTTTTGAGGGGTTTTGGGACTTTTTAGTTGAGTTTTGGTCAAGTAGAGGGTCTGGATTCTGGTATTTATCCTGGAAGTTTAGGAGATAGAGAAGCCTAGCCAACTACCAAAAGACGGCTTAGGGTTGTTTATCTAATAAATACGTCTAGAGTTCACAGCAACTAAACATACGGAGCCGTGTGGGTCGGGTTATCCGGTCCGAAACTCTGACTTTTTTTCGGGCTCAAAATCCGACCTGACTTTTTCATTCCGTCTGTCCCAGATACATAAATCCCCAGGTTCACACATCTACCAGTCACTCTGTTAAGTAAGGGGATGGGATTTTTAGAGGCAATCAGTTAATTATTGGTACCCTTTCTGGATCTTTTTTTTTGTTTAAAATTAATTCCGTGGGAAAAAGTTGAAGGGATTTAGTCGCCTTCTTTGAAAAGAAAATTTAAAAAATTTCTTTCAGGATACAAACACACTTGTGTTTATTGTGGATGTTCGTTCGAATAAACATCAAATTAAGAGTGCTGTCAAGAAACTTTACAATATTGAAATTGCTAAGGTTTTTTTTAAAATTTTTCAAGAAATTTAAGCAGTACAAGTAGATGAACATGTTCATCTACTTGTACAGCTTGAAGTTGATGGACTTTTTTTAATTTCTAATTTAATCCCCCTTTTAAAGGTCAACACTCTCATCACTCCTCTACACACTAAAAAGGCTTATGTTCGTCTCGCTGCGGATTGTGACGCTTTGGACGTTGCCAACCGTATTGGAATTATTTAAATTTGATTTTGTGTTAATGACAAAAATTGTTGGTTTTTAATGTTGGTAAAATATTTAAGTTGTTTATTTTGAGTATTTTTTGTGGGAATTTTACAAGAAATTCGAGCAGTACAATAGCTGAACATGTTCATCTACTTGTACTGCTTGAAGTTGATGTCCCGAAATTTGATCATTTTGAATAATTTTGACCGATTTTTCAAGAAATTCGAGCAGTACAAGTAGCTGAACATGTTCATCTACCTGAACATGTTCATCTACATGTACTGCTTGAACTTGAGGACTCATTTTTTTCGGTTGATATTAGTTCTAGTTAACAAATAGTTTAACTTGACATACTTTTTGTTTGAAGTCCTCAATTCAATATTTGCTTGATCCTTAATTAACCACCATGGTAATCCACCAAATTCAATTTCTGCACAGACATAGGGTCCAATACGGAGCAAAACATACAGACCATTGTGTTGTGCGATGCGTAAAAATTCGACAAGATCCCGGTCTCCACCAAAGTTGAAACTAGAAAATGGAACTTTAGTTGGCGTTTTGACCGTTTTTTCGTTTTTGACCATTTTGAAAAGTTGACATTTTGAAATATTTTTAAAAAATTTTTAAAAATCGAAAACCTAGCTGGTTCCTCTTCATGAAAATTCCAAGGAACATAAACTTGCACGGCATTAAGTCCAGCAGCTCTCACCTTGTACAGTCTGTCATGCCAAAGCCAGGGATGGATGTGAAAAAAAGGGAAAGAAAATTTTTATTAGTTGACATTTTCAAAAAAAAATTTTTTTGAAAAAATTTGGGGGGAAAATTGAAGGTGAACACCCAGAAGGTCTTCTCTCGACTTTTTAATCTGCCCAAATAGTTGGAGTAGATTTTTGGATGATTTTGTTCAATAGGGTGTTGAGGGGCCTTTTAGGCCTTCAGGCTGGATGGGGTCTTTTGGGTGTTGACCAGAAATTTTTTAATAAAATTCCACATATCCGAAAATAATGAATTTCTCCAGAAATATAACGAAACGGTTTTCCATCCATTAAAAAAACATTGGCTTCTTTGTCTATTGTAAAGGTTCTAGTAGTCTTTCCAATGGTTGTAGTTGTTATTTGTTGTAAATTAGCAATAGAAGAAAAAATAAAAATTAAAAAAATTGAAATTAAAATAGAAGCCATTCTTAAAAATTAAAAAAAAAATTTTATTTTTCCTCGGTTTTGGAAAAAATTAAAAATTGGAGGTTCTGAAAGGTAAAACGAATCAAAAAACCCCGGGTGGACTCGAACCTTCGACCCTTTTCTATAGAATAGGGGTGTAGGCAAGGAGAGAGAGTGTAGGCAAGGAGACTACCGACTTAGCCAACAAGAGTGTTATGGGAAATATTTAATTGTTTGCCTATATTAGTTAATTAAAGAAGGGAAAACAGCAAGTGAATGCTAAAAGTAATTTATTAACCCAATTAAATGTGTTAATTCTTGTTTTAATTAATTAATGAACAGACGTTCAATAGACCTGTTTAATTAATAAAATAAAATGAAAAATAAAATAATCAACAATCATTGCAAATGGAAAATGGAAGGAAATATTAAAAATAATTTTTTCTTTCAACCACAATTGGTTGAAAGAACCACAACTCTCCCATTTCAACCACAACTCCCCCATCTTTTAATATTCTCCCTCATTTAATTATTTTTTATCCTTAAATCCTCACTTCATCTTCCGTTGTGTATCCTCCCTCATTTTTTATCATCATCACCTCTGATGATGATTCTTGCTCATTACTTCAGCCTTGTCATTTTCTCGCCCTTACCCTTTACTTCTTATACATTATATCTTACTCATTATCTTAATCATTTGATATTATTTTGCTCTTTTGATAAAAACATTTTACTACTATTTGCTTTATTTTTTCAATGAAAAAAATTATTAATTTTGCTGATTAGCAACATAATGTAAAATTGTTATTTAAAAATAAAATGAAAAAAAAGAATAAAACGAAAAAAAGGAATAAAATAAAAATTAAAGAAATTAATAAAAAATTACAAAAAATTAATGAAAAATTAAATAAATTTTTTTCTAAATTTATCCAAAAAAATTTACGCTTTCCCAATTTTTAAAAAATAATAAAAAAATAATTTATCTAAAGTTTATGGAGCATTTGAATGCCAATGTGTGAGTGTCAAAGGGTCTATTTTGGATCATAACTTTTTTGATTCTCAACTGATTTGAAAAGTTTTAGTATCATTCGAAAGCTCTGAATGTCTAGATTATTATTGCTAAAGGGAGTGATTTGATCAGAAATTCATGAGAAAAGTTACAACCGGAAAAGTGGGCGCAATCGTGATTTTTGGCCTTTTTCTGGCTATAACTTTTCGAGAAAAAATCTGATCAAATCAGTCCTTTTGGCAATAATAATCCGCACATTCAGAGCTGTCGAATGATACAAAAATTATTCAAATCGGTTGAGAAGCAAAAAAGTTATGGTCCAAAATAGACCCTTAGAATCTTTTCGAATCTTTCTTCCATCAAATTCTAAACATCATCACAGCTTAATTGTTAGTATGGGTTAGTGTTTGCATGAGAGGCTTTACACCTCTAAAGTATTCCTGAGGTTGAACAAGGAACAAAGAATGTTCTGTTTTCTCGATTAATTGCTCTCCATCTAAGAAAAAAATCAGGAAAAAGTGTCCAAGTCCAATCTCCTTATTAGGGTTGCCGGTCCGGTCCGAAAGATCGAGTAGGGCATCGAATTTTGGCTCAAAAAAGACTCGGTCGGGCAGGCCCGATAAAAATAACTCGAACGACGGCCCGACTCGAAAACGGCAACCCTACTCCTTATATACCTTGAGCGTGAGTTTGAATATCTAGCGGTTGAGTTTGTGGATCTGAATGATCTGTAGGCGTGTAGGAAGGGATGGGAAGCTTATTATGCCTGAAAAGAGGGATTATTATATTCGGGTTCATGCTGTGGAAACATTTATTGGATGGGAGATGGAATAGAACCATCACGGAAAGGGCCCAGACTGAAGCACAACCGACTGTGTTTTTTAGAGAACGAGATTTTCAAAAAACCTTGACCTTAATCCTTGGCCTTGATTTCGGTTGAATCAAGGAACTCTGAAAAATGCCTGGGGGGGGGGGTGAAGAAATAAGTACCGATTTCGGTTGTTACCTTGACCAGATTCTTGACCTTGAGTCAAGGAAAAATCAAGGTCGATGAGAAATCAAGGAACTCTGAAAAATACCTTGATCTACTCTGGATCCAGGAAAAATCAAGGTCTGGATCCAGCTCCCTCTCTGTTATTTTCATTTATATTCTTTCTGTAAGAGCGGGCACAACAAGGAGGATTGTCTAACTAAAAAATTCAGAACTAACCTAGTTGAAAGATACCCTCTTGGAGCTGGATATTTTTTATGGTGAGGTTTGACTGTAATAATATTTATTGGGGCATTAAGGGGTTGAAGAGGGTGATGCTTTGAATTACCACCCTTCCCACCTCCTTCAACAAGTTGAGAATAAAATTGAAGCAAAACAGACAAAATAAAAATTTTTAAAAATTTTTGGGAAGGCATGGGAAACAATAAAAAAATTTTTTATAGAGTAAATGAATAGTAAAAAATAAAAAAATTTAGAGGGGAGAAGAGAGGGGGAGGTTAATTTAAAACATAATCAATTCTTTTAAGGAGAAGGGAGGGATAAGCAATTTTGCTATTTAGAATTTCCAAAAGATCAACAAACATGTAAAAATAAAAAGTATTGCATGTCTTCCATCTCCCAAAAAATATTCAAAATAATTTTTTTCAAAAATTTTTATCAAATAGATAAGTTACTGTAGAATCCGCTTAGACCAGGTTTTATAGACTGTTTTTAATGTAGTTTCGAATGAGCTATAGTATATCCAAATCCGTCATGTATTCGCAGAGAAACACCTTTTTAGATCGTTTAACCCCCGCCTAAGCGTTTTAAATGCTGCTGTCGGTCTCGATTCTCGGTCCTTTTTTAACTCCCGACCATCACTAAAATATACACCAATTATTTATTTTATTAAGCGTTGACATAAATGGATAATTATAATGTTTATAATTGCTTTTTAAAATTTAGAGTAATAATTTTTATTTAATTTAGGAGTTTAAATAAAAAATTTTTTTATACATTTACAAATTTAATACGCTTCTTGATGAGCTTAAGAAACAAAGATTTGGTCTCAAAAAATTTATTTCATCATCTTTTAGTAGAAAATTTCGTTATTAAATACCAAAAATAAATTTTATTAAATACCCAAAAAATTTTCAAATTCAAACCCCCAATTGAATATGCACCAGGGCTGGGCTTGTTTCGCACTTTCGCGTTTCGCATCTTTCGCATTCGCAAAAGTTTCGCATTTCGCTTTTCATTTTTAGATTTCGCTCAGCCCTGATATGCACCCTTTATGTATTTATGTAAATCAGAGGTGGGTCGGAACAGTCAGAGGTGTCGGAAATCGGAAGAGCTGGAAGTCGGAACTGGCTCAAAACTCGGAACTCGGAAATCAAAAAATTTTTTCGGAAATCGGAATTCCGACCCACCTCTGATGTAAATAAACTTCAGTTTTATGTATAAAAATTTCAGCTTTAGGAGTGTACGTAAAATGGAGTTATAACCTTATTTAAAAGATAGGGCCAGAAAAAAATTTTCCTTCCCATAATTAAGTATTTTCCAATATTAATTTAATTTTTAAAAATATTTTGAAAAATTGCGAATATTCTCAGACATAAATTTAAAAAATTAAAATTAAGAAAACAATTTATAATAAATATTTATTCTAAAAAATTTTTTCACACATTAAGTACAAAAATATTAGTTTATTAATTAAATTTTAATAAAATAATATTTTTATTAAAATTTTTAGTGCTTGAAATTTTCATTTTAATAAGTATTGTAAAGCATATAGCCATTTAATTCCTAAGGCTGTGCAGTAGGCGGCGTGGTGTAATGGCTAACACATCAGTCCGGTCTACTGAAGATGCTGGTTCGCTCCCAGCCGCCGAATAACCTTTTGCACTAGCTAAAGGAGAGAAATAGCTATAGCCCAGCTGCTTTCTGTATTTTAATAAATAAATATATTTTCAACTAGGGGTGGCACCCAGAACATTTTGGAGCGGATGTGTAGGGGTACAGGATTTTTAAACTGTTTCAGGTCGAGAATATTTGTAAAAAAATCGTTCATGAAGAGAATTAGGGTCCCCAATTGCATACTAATCCGCATTTGCGTCCAACCCTAGTCGGGGGGGGGGGCAACTCTATTTTCAAATTAAAGCGCAACAATCAGGCATTATTAAGCCTCTGACAAGGTCGCGTTAAAGCTAGCAGAAATCTTTGTTTTTTATTCTTGTTTAGCTTAACTATGATTGCACTTTGTCCATGAACCCCACAGAAAAGGGCTGAAGAATTCTGAATTTAAAAAGCGAAAGGCGGGAGAACGGAAGAAAATAAAAAACGGAAGACTAAAGTGGAAGACCCAAAAAAAAAACGGAAGTAGGCGGAAGCTGAAGAAAATCCAGCCCTGCCAAAGAACGTTGACACGCCTTCCTCGGCAACCCCCGATCTCGAACACTCCCATCCCAAAGGTTTGGGGTGTTGTCCACATCTATACTGCTAAAATTATTTCGAACCATTTTTTGATAAAATAATGCGCGAGGGCACAGCCCACACCTCCCATCTTTATTATTTCAATTACCTCATTAGTCCATTATTTATTTAAAAAATATATTAATGAGCAGCAAAAAATTATGAATATTTATGCTTGACTAAATTATTTTTTTAATTAATTTTAAAAAATATTTCTGTGTGGTCAGGACTTGTATTTGCGTGGTTTATTAGAAAATAAAAAATTTTTCTAATTATTTGTTTTTATAATTTAAAATAATGAGAAGTAAATTTTTAATCCAAAAAGATGGCGTGAATTTAGTAGGTATAAAAGGCTTGTCACTTCGGTCCTATACTAAGCAAAAGATAACTCAAAACCCTCAAAATATCGTTCCTTAAATATCACCACTATAGAAGGAGTTTAGCCAAAGTTTGGCCACCGGGCAGGATTCCAACATGCGCCTCCTGTCAGTTAATGCTAGGCGCTTTAGCCCACCACAAACATGTAGCTCTCTCTACCTCTGAGCTAACGGGGCATCGACTAATGCTTTCTCTTTTTCCTTTTTAGATCGTTTAACCCCCGCCTAAGCGTTTAAATGCTGCTAGGTGAATCATCCTTACACTAGCTAAACGGATTACAGCATCACATTTGATGGAAAGAGTCATTTATTTGTAGTTCCAAGGAAAGGGATATTAATATTATATACTGTGGATTTATGTTCTATCCAATTGATTTAAGGATTCGATTATACTAAAGTCTGCCGGAGTCCGAAAATTATTTTTACCAGACTTCGAACGAACTCAAACCGGCATGAGCGCGAAATTCGAAAACCGTAACTTTATGCTAAGCACCGGGGATGTGCCTTGGGTTAATTTAAAAAGCGAAAGACGAAGGGTAAACGACAGAAAATAAAAAGCACTGGCAGAAGGCGTAAGCAGAAGAGTCGAAAAAAGCGAAATTTCGAAAACATAAGCAACATTATTATGTAATTCTGGATCAGGGGTGTGCCGAAAGTGATTTTAAAAAGCGAAAAGGCGAAAGACGAAAGGCGAAACTCGCACACCCTTGCCCTGGATGTATTTAAAAGCGAGTCCCGACTGCATACTAATTTAAAATTTTCATTAATATTTAAAAAAAATCTTTTTATAGATGGTAGTTGATTATAATTTAGAAATTATTATAGCACGTAGCGTTGCCATTTTTATTTATTCAGTTTGTGGATTATTTTTATTAATTATACTACGTCCTCTGTATAAATTTTCAAAGGAAAGAACTGCTCTATTCATTCTTTTTAGCAAGGCAAGTTTATTCTAAACATAACTTTTTCGAAACTGAAAAATCTCGAAACACGAAACTCGAAAATATTTTTTAAAAATTCGAAAATCGCAAAGCAAAAGGAAAAACCCTCGAAAATCGAAATTTCGAAACAGAATAAAGGTTTTGAAATTTTTATTACAGAGTGCCAAGAAAATTTTAGGACAAAACATTTCGCCATAACTTTCTTTCTCTTTAACATTTTTTAATATTTTTACACTCATTTTGTAGCCCAAACAATTCTCTTTAAGGGCTTATAAGATCTGTTCATTCTTGATTTTTTTCGAAATGATTCAGCGGTCGCAAAATTTCAACTCCTCCTAACGTTTAAAAAATCACTTTCCAAAAAATTAAGATATTCCAGTATGAAATTCTTTGGGAAAAATTTTTTTGAATAATATTTGGGATAGTGGGCAGTGGAGATCGAGATTTTTGAAACGCCTGGGCTTGTTCCTGGACTCTGGGTTCGATTTATTGGCCTGGGCCGAATCATGGGCCTGTAGTCAAGGAAAAACCCGGGCCCAAGAAAACCCCAGGAAGGTCAAAAAATGCCTGGACTCTGGGTACAGGAAAAACCCAGGCCTTGGTCCAGAGTCAGCTCGATCTCTAGTGGGCAGGACTGTTGACTTAATAAAATGTGGATGAACTGTATCAGTAAGAACACCCGAGAACGTGAGCATGGCTAAATTCCGAGTATGCCCCCAATTCACGGGTTTCGATGAGAAAAAGCGTCATTGAATACCAAATAAATTATTAAGACTTGCAAACAAATTAATTTTTATCAAATCTAGACTTGTTGCAACCTTTCTTCTCAAATTTTTCAAATATCCCGCAACATAATTTTTTATTTTCCTGCAATTTCTGCAGCTGTTGCAGCTATTAATAATGCTATTTCTCAACCTACGGCTATACTTTTTGAAACTTCAATTTACATACATATAATTGTATTGGCATTAAATCGTTTTCATGCTGTTTACTTTCCTTTTAGTTATCAACAAATTTGGGATAAAAAGTATGTAAAATCTTTTTAATAAAATACTCGAAAAAGTGGTAAAATTGAAGTTCGTATACCCCCTCCTAGTGTTTTGCCGGAAACGCAAATTTGGCAGGAACCGAAATGTTACGACCGGAGGTGTCCGAGATTTAGACTGATGTTGACGTGCACAAGAATAACAATTTATCCGGTGTAGAAATAAACAATGTAGGCGAAGGTGAGGGACTAGCCGCGCTAGTATGATTCAACTAGACTGACGCTTTCACTGGCTTTTATACTATAGCGATACCACTACACAACACGAAACCGGATCTAATTTTTTGGTTTCGGGCCGGAACTGGAATCGGAACTTCCGGCAATACCCCCACCTTCTTCCTTTCCTCAAAATATTAAAAAGATGGTCAGACTTCGCTTCATTATTCAACTTCACTCTTTCCCTATGCCACCTGCCAAAAAAGGTTTTTTAAACCCGACTCTTTTCCGACCAAAACTCGATCCTACGAAGATCCCGAAATCCCGGATTTATTGATTTTCGGGATCCGGTTTTTTTGGGATTTATCCCTCGGGATCCCGTTTGGGAAAAAATCCCGACTCGGGAATCCTGACATTTTTTATTATCTTCGGGATTTTTAAATTAACATAATGCCAAACATTTCTTACACTAGTGACCAGTTGGTCACTAGAGATCGCGGAAGTCGGGATCCCGGAAGTACGATTTTGCCGACCTTTAATTAAAAGCAGAGTCTTGAGTACTTATGTATCATATTATGCCGAGACAGATTTTAAATAGCGAAAGATTTTAGAATATGTACATTAGAATAAAAATTATTTTTTTTAATATAAAATTTCAGAAAACTGAAATACATCATTTTTGTCACGTGGATAATAATTGTGCTTTGGAGTGCTGGAGAATACCTTGGACTTTCTTATTTAGGTCGGGTCATAATTAGTGTCGCTTATTTAATTTGATTTTTAAAATTAAGTTTTTTGAGAATATGTTTAGAGTAATTTCTAAAAGATCCCAGCATTTGAAAATTTTTGGTTAGGTATTCCCGCGTCTTTGAGTCACGCGTGGCCGTACGTATAGAGCAGATATCCCCGGCAATTAGGCGTAAAAATAACGGGATTTCGTTAAACCGGCCGAGCAGGACCGTTATGCTTAATGAATGCCGTCTCCCTCGACCATGTTTGCTTCTAGTATAAACGATTCAAAATTTCACTACGAGGTAGTGAGGTTAAAAAACCATAACTTTAAGAATATCACCCATATATAGCTATACCTGATATTAAAATGAAGAGTAGATTCAGATCTTTATGTTGATTAATAAGAAAAAAAGAATATTTGTAAAACAACACCCCTAAAAATTAATCTAAAAAGCGACACTAATTATGACCCGACCTAATAATTACAGCATTTTCAACGGACATGTTTTTCCTTCTAAGGTAGTTTTATGACACATCCTCTGCTATGGATGGGGGTTAACTGACTAAGCTTGGCTTACTGAGTTATAGCAAACTTTAATTAACCATAGCTTTTCTGGTCTTGATTCCATCGTAAACGACATTTTTCCCACCGGATGAATCAAGTCTGTTCACTTATTAAAAAGTTAAACTTGATAAAAGGAAGAAACATCAAATAATTACATATAGTCTTTTAAGATCTTAAAGATCAGTAGAGTAGTCCAAAATACATGTGCAAGGAAGGAAGCAACATTTTCGGCTTCTTACTTCAAGGCTAAGGTTGTCGGTTTCACCAGATTCATCGGTTAACCGAAACCGGACCGAAAATTTTTTCAGTGTTAAGGAGTTATTAAGGATTAGCGGTGGGGTTAAGTGAATTTGTTGGATCTAAGAGGTTTGATATCGGGTGATAATAAGTATCGCGTGATAAACCGACAACCCTATTCAAGGCATATCAAAACATCAGACTTCATTCATCTAAATAATTTAACATCCTCAAAAAGTGTTCGCATAAATATCACTGTAATCGTTACAGTGCCCGGCAGTCAAATACATAGTAGATAATAATTAGACGCCAATGTTTTCGCGTTAATGTGGCCCAAAATTAATTTTAATTTAATTAATAAGATCATACACATTTGGATTCCTAGCGACTGGTGAATTAAAAGTGTATTTAGCAATAAGTATATCTATACCACTTTATGTTGCCGTACTGTCCAAGTTTATTTACAACTACAGTAAGTTGCATTCAAATAACAAATTATTAGGTTAACTTTACAGGATAAGGTCAATAGTATGCCGAGTACAAATTTAGAGACCGGAAGTGGACGTGATCCGCGCGGGATTTCTCAGTACAACCATAACATAGAAAACAAGAAATAAACTAGGTGGTTTTATAATTTCTTAACACACTATAATATTTTCACCCATACTTAACCATTAAGTAATTTATTAGATATTTTTAAAATATAAAATAAAAAATTTAAGAAACAAATCAAGTCGATACAGTTGACGGAAGCCATAAAGATCGTATAAGAATATTAATTGTCTGTTTGATTAGCATACTTCCATGCCCATTCTATATTATTTATTATGCGACTTTTTCCCGAATCGAATTGACCGAAACATATAGTGTAACTCTTATGTATTCTGTACTGTATGCCAGTAGCACTTTAATCCAATGCATTGAGGAAATTTGCTTGGTTGTTATCTCAAAAGATTTTCGTAAAGTAATCAAGAGCCAATTTATCAAAACTACA